AAAAATGGAATTAGAACTAGCTAGGATATAATATAATATTACTAAACTTATTAATAAATATATTTTAAAGCCTAAATATATTCAAGGATATAAACTAAGCTAGTACTTAAAAAATACTATTTCTAACTATAAGAGATATTATAGTAATAGATAACAAGCTTAATCTAGGTACTAGGCTTATAATATAATAGGGAATTACAACTATAAATATTTAAAACAAACTTATTAAAAATAAATTAGAAAAGGAAAGTACTAAAAAAATAAAACTTAAAAAAGTTACTACTTAGTTACAATTACTTAGAGTAATATATTATATAAGTTATTATAAATAATAGTTAATTAATAGGGAATACTACTAAAAATAAATCGTAAAGACATACTAATCTTTATAATAAAAGTATCTATTATATAATAGGGGTAATCTTTGCCTAAGGTAGATTTTAAAATAGACTTTTAATAAGATAAGATAATAATAATATAAAGAACTACTTTTAATATAGTCTATTTTTACTTTTAGTTCTTTTTTACTTTACAATAGCGTAATTACTACAATATCCTAAGTATATTTTTTATTTAATATTATTATTAGTTTATAATATTTTAGATAATATAATATATAATAATTAGAATTAACTATTAAATATTAAGTAGAAAACTTAATATCTAAGTTATATAATTCTAACTATAGTATACTTAAGATTAAATTAAAGCTTTTTAAAGTTATTATTATAGACTATACTTTATCTAAGTAATCTTTTAACTAAAATATTATATAGGCTATATAAATAATATTTAGCGCTAGCTTATTATTAGTTAGTTTAAGTTTAAAGGGCTTTACTAAAAACATAATATTTAGCTTATATTTTTTAACTAATATAAGGTTTATAAAACTTAGAATAAATACTTTAATATTAGTTAAATACTTAATTAAAGTATTATTTATCTTTATAAAGAATCTACTTTTAAAGTCAAACTATTAACTATATTATAAAGGTTAATTAAAGTTAATATAGCTAAAAATAAGTTTAATAGTAACTAACTTACTTTATAATTTTACTTATTATTTAAGTTTTTTAATTTTTCTTTATATTTACTTTAGCTTTTAAAAGTATTTCGTTTAATAATTCTTTATAATTTATATTAAATTTAGTAATTTCAACTAATTTTAATTATATAGCTACTTTTTTATTAATAAGCTATTTATTTTTTTTATAAAATACATTTTTATTTTTTATAATATATTTTATTTTCTTATATTTTTAGTAGTACTTTTCTTTATTAGTTATTAAATTATAGTTTAAAGGCGATATATATTTATATTTAAAGTTATATTAGACTTTAAAGTATTAATATTTTTAAATATAAGGTAAAATAAGCTTTTTTTACTAGATTTATTATTAAGATTATTATTAGCTTAATATATCTTAATATTATAGTATTTATACTATTTTATATATTTATAGTAATTATTAGTTATTATATTATTTACTAGCTTATAGTAAAGTTTTTTTAAATTAGTTTATTTTAAGTTTTAGATTTTAAAAAGGTTATTAAATTTAAAAAGGATAATAGCGATAGTAAAATAAATATAAAATTTATTAAAAGTCTTATCTTTATTTCTATTTAAGCTTATAAAAAACTTAGAATTATATAATAAAATATTAGCTTTAATTACTTTATTAGTTTTTTTAAATATATTATTTAGGTTTTATTATATTTTATTAATAATAAAATAAAAGCTTACTATACTAATAAATATATAAAATTTAATAATATTAAATACTAATTCTTTATAATAATTACAAACAAAGTTAATTTTATAACATTTAAAAGGGTATAGTACTACACTATAAAAAAGTTTAAAAAAGTATTATAATTACTAGGCTTTATATTATTTATAATTATTTATTTTTTTAAACTTATCTAAGTTAAAATAATATTTATTATTATTTAAAATAAATATATTTTTAGTATATAAATATATATTTACTTTATAGGTTACTTATTAAGGTATAAAGTTATTTCTTTTATTAAGTTTTAAATTATAATTTTTATTAAGTATAAATATAACTTTTTTTATATTAGCTTAGAAGTATTATATTTCTTATTTAAAGTTTTAACTTAGTATAATATATTATTTATATTATTATAATATAGTTTATAGGTAGCTTAAACCTTAGTAAGATTTTAAAGTATTATTTTTAACTATTAATTAACTTTTTTTTCTTAAATATTAATTATAATTATAACTTTTTTATTATTATAAAGTATTTTATTTATTTAAATTATTAAAACTTTTAGCTTTTAGCTTTTTTTTTTTTATATTAAAACCAACTTTATATTTAACCTATTAGTTATTAATAGTTAATTTTTATATTTAAAATTATATATTATAGAAATTATATTAATAATAGTATTATATTATATAATAAGTTTATTTTTAATATTTTTTACTAACTTAGTTATATTATATATATAGGTTATAATACTTCTATTTATTTTGCTTAAATGGATAGCGTTACTTTATTTAAAGTTAAAAGTAAAATAAGTTTTCTTTATAATTTTATACTTTAACAATATTACTAATATATATTCAACTTAATTAATAATTTTTTAGATTTTATTATAGTTTTCTTTATCTTTTATAATATTTATTTCTTATATTTTAAATTATTATATAGCTATAGCTAGCTTTTATAAAACTTTATTTTCTATAATAATATAAGTAAAATTATATTTACTTTTTATATTAGAATTATTTTTAAAAAATTACTTAAAGGTTCTATTAATATTAAATAAAGTTTAAAAAAAAGTAGCTACTTAAAAATAGAGTATTGCTAAGACTATAGATTATAAAATATATAATATTTATAGTTTTCTTAATAATTTCCTATATATCTTTTTTTTTCTAATTTATAAGTCATTATATTTAAGTATTTTAGGTATATAAATACTAATAACTTTATTAGGTTATATAATATTTAAAAGATATTATAATATTATTTTTAAAAATTTCTATTATATTTAAATAGTATTTTTATTATTATTATTATAAGTAAAGGTATTAGATCCTTTATACTAGTAATAATTAAAATTATATTAAGGCCTTAGAATAGTAGTTTAGAAGATTAATAAAATTTTAACTATAAGTAGAAGTCTATTTAAAAATTAGATAAAAGTATAGATAAGTATATACGCTAAGCCTAATTAGGCTTAGCGCCCACTCTAAGCGAATACTTGCGCTAAGCTAGGCCTAGAGCTATTATAATTATATAAAAAATATTTATTTTTAAATATTAGTATTATAAGTATAGCTATATAGTTATAGTAAGAGAGTTAAAGTAAACTTATATAAACTTAAAATAAATAATAAAAGCTTTTTATAAAAAGGTAAATATTTCCTATAATATTAAATAAAATAAAAAATAAAAGAAGTAATTAAACTTAAAGAAGAAAAATATATTCTTAAATAAAAATTTATTAATTTTTAACTATTTATATTTATTTTATTATAATAATATAGATTATAAGATTTATATTAATATTTAATTATAATAATATTCTTTTTTAACATTTAATATATAAAATTTATTATTTTATATTTATTTTATATTAATTTTATTTTTAAATCTATATAAACTTCTATTTTAATAATTATTTAATAACTTTAAAATCTAAAGTCTTAATAAATAGCTTTAGTAATTAATAAACTATATACTCTAGTTAATATATAATATTAAATTAATTAATATATATTTACTAAATGAATAATAATTATAAAGAATAAAATATAACCTAAGTATTTTTATCTTTTATATAGTAATATATATAATATTTATTATTTTTATTTTTAAATATATAATTAAATATTATACTTAGAAAGCTTTTCTAGTAAATATTTTTATATTATAATAGTCTTTTATAATATAATTTTGCTTAGTAAATATATATTTAAAATTAAAATACTAGGGTATAAAGCTTTAACTTAGGTATAAAAATAAAATTATTAATATATATAAAGTTTTTCTTAACTATTTTATTAATTAATTTTTTAACCTTAAGTAATAAATATATATAAATAGTATTTTAGTTCTAGAATTTATATTATTTTATTATATTTATAAGTCCATTAAACTTATTTATTTTAAATTTATATAAGAAATATATTTTAATATAATATTATTTCTTAAAAATATTTATTTAATATATTATTATATTTACTAGTTTAATATATAAATTTTATATATAATTCTTAGCTTTTAGAAAATATAATAATATTATAATAAATAATTATAAAAAGCTAATAATATTTATTATAATATTAATTCTTAATTTAACTTAAATAAAATATATTTCATTAATTTTAATCTATAATAAGACTAATATTATAATATTTTTATTAATTATTAACTATAGTTTATATATATTATAATAGAAAAACTTACTTATTATTATTTATTTTATTAGTAAAAATTCTAGTACTAAGAGGTGCAATAGCCTTATAAAATATATATTTTACAAGGTACTATAATTAGCTAATTACATATATAAGCTTAATAAAAAACTATAAAGCTTTAGTAAAAATAAACTTTTTCTTTATTTTAAAATACTTATATCTCGTTTAATATTATATGTATTTTAAAAATCTTAAAAGATTTGAAATCTACGTTAAAAGTAGCCTTAATAAGTAATTTATTAAGCTATAATACCCTATATTAAAGGAGGGGTTTTTAAAAAGGTTTTATTTTTTTAGTTTACAAACTGCTTACTATTTGCGCGCAATCTACAAGCAAACTATATATAAAAGTAGATATATACTTTCCTATATTCCGCGTATTCTACGCGGAATATAGGCTAAAAATTTTTGCTAATATAATAATAGTTTTTAAAAAGAATTTTTATATATTTTAAATTAAGTTCTTAATACTTAGAAGAGTTAAATTTTCTTTAGTAAGAAATTTCTATAGAAGACTATATATTAAAAAAATATATTTTATTCTCTAATCCTTAAACAATACACCGTATGGAGAAAGTGATTTATATGTTTTCCGCGTCGGGATGCCACTAGCTGCCTTGACACCATTATTAGACTTATTAGATTGGATATCAAATTTTTGGAACTCTAGCCCATCTGCTAAAGGCGACCCAGGAGCTCGCAATTTTGGTCCCATTTCCGTTCGTACAGAAGACGTAGATGCCTCTCGACTCGCAGATATGGTCTGCTTGGCACGTGGTCTATCCTCATATTGAGATGAATCGCTTAACTGAGCGTCGCCTGATCTCGGCCTCGATTGAGTGGCAGACTGTCTCTGCAAAGTTTGCAATGAAGGACGCGCTCTGTAAGGATTCCTCTCAGCTGAGTCAATTGGCTCCGAGTTTGCGCTTTCACTGCTGATTGCATCGACACTTTCCCAAGGAAGGGCCGGTGCGGAGTTGAAGGGTTGGGAAGGTGAACCAGATGATTCTTGTGCGTAAGGACTTGTAGGTGGAGCAGAATCAGAGCCACCTTCCTCAGCATCTACGAGAATGATAGCCCAGACGCCAACGACATCTCCAGGCCCGAGCAGTGGAGTGCAGTGGATCCAGCAAACTTCGCTGATTCTCTGATTGCTTCGAAGCCACTTGACTTTCGCAGTGACCTTCCTCCCGGCCTCTAAGGCCTGCACTAGAGCTTGCAGAATTCGCGTACTCGCACCAATCAAGCTCAAAAGCGGAGCCTGGACTAGATTCAAATTCCCCAAGTCTTGCGATGTAAAAATGACCTTGAGCGAGGGATACGGTCTTAGCACAACAAACTGCAATATTCAGCCTGGCCCTCCTTGAGCTACACATATACATACGTGTGAATAAAATCCTAGTGCTGGAGGCGCAGGGATTGAATCAGAGAAAGTCGTCCCCTTCTCAAAACCTCTAGAGTCATTGTGAAGGGCTGTATGCCCCTGGCTGGCACCGCCTGTTGACCCAATGATTTGCTGACTAGACATCAAACTCGATCGTGTGTTCTCTATGTCGTCTGCATCCAAAGCGTTTAGAAAGTTCTCAAAAGCCACTTTTTCCGAGTCTTCTACTTTGGCATCGGCCTGAGAGTCGGTTCGTTGTACTCCGCCTTGGTTGTCGAGGAAGTCCTGCACCGTTGGTAAAGTTCGCTTGCTATGCAGCAATGATGTCGCGTCAAATTGCGCCCCAAGCTATTTCAGTTAGAGCACAACAGTGATACCAAGCCTTCAAGCAGTGCTTACGAAGTATCGGACGTTCCCAGACTGATCGCACAATGGCACACTTGCAATCAAATTTAGAAACTGCAGGCCGTCACGGCGACTACACGGTCAGCAATACAGTCAAGAACAAAGTTTTGCATCTGAGACGCATCCGAGGCTTTGACAGAGCTGTGTTGTCTGTCAAACATGCTAAGATAACACCGCGACCAAGATGCATAAAAAGCTGAAGGATAATAGAGGGATGAGGTGATTGCAGCTGATATCTGAGCATTGTGCTATACAACATTGGAAATGGTCACGAATTCTAGAAAATCGGTTGATTGAACCAACCAACAGGCGACCTGAAAGGTGGATCTTAGGCAGACTTAGAAGCACCATGGACTATTCTTGTGACAGACCAACAAACGGAAAGCAAATATGACTCACTAATTCAGAAGTAGCTCGCAATGCTGTTTCCCACCATCTATCGCAGACCGAAAGCGGCCTCTACCTAACTTGCAGGTTCTTTGACCATTGAGAAAACGGCAATTGTGTCCTAACACCTCGTCTCTTTGGTAACCTGTCATCTGTTGGAATCCTTCCGAGGTGAATATGATAGGATTGTCAGATCTCGCAGGATCTGAAAGAACGAAGACTTCGGCCACGTTTCCAAGTATTTTGGCCGACGTGTTTCGCTTACCACTCACCTGAGCGGTCAATGCCTGTTCGATCTCATGGCTGTAGTAACCGATGACGAAATTTCTAAAATCGTCTTGGACAAGGGAGTCAAGCACTAGCTCCAGCTTGTCCTGAACGAGCCATGGCATTGAGATGCTCCCTAGGCCCACAAGGCTTTGGTCAGGATTATCGGTTTTCAAATCGCGTACGATCGCTTCCGCATACTCAAGACATCTTAGTGCCTTGGTGAGTCTGTCGAAGCACTTCAAACGCGAAAGCGAATGAGGCCGCTGTGTCGTGAGAAAAAGTCTGAATTTTAGTAACAAATCTTTATCCCGCAAGACAAAGGCTAGATGCTGACGAGAGAATAAGAAACTGGCCAGCTTCTCTATTCCTGAAGCTTGTTCGTTACTGCGCTCTGAGGACGTTTCATCTTGGCGTAGAGAATGGTGCTGACCCTGCTCTTGGCCACTCAAGTCTATCTTACTCACTCTGTCAATGTCATTTGAAGCAGCATCGAGAAAGGCATCATTTTCCTGTATTGGGGATAACCCAACTTTGTTTACGCCCTTGCTGGATTTCCGGGGGCTTGGGGCTTCCACGAGTGGCGCATGATTTGACGAAAGCCTTCCGTCAAAAAAGAAGGTCAATGTCAGCGCTTCTGATGGCGGCGAGTCGTGAACGGGGTTTTACGTACTGGTCGAAGCGACGCCCGGGATTATAGAAATCATACCTCGAAGGATCGAACCCATCACCCACCTTCAAGCCATAATCTGCGCTAGGCGATGCTGGAGCTCCACCATCGTCGTTGATACGAGTTTCCTTTTGCATCTGGGCGCGTTGCAGGAGAGCAACGAGTGCTTCATCTAGAACGAGTACTTCGGCAGGGCCGAAAGATTGATGAAATCATCAACAATGTAAAACTGTTGCAATCCAGCGTTAGACGCAGCAAATGATTGGAGCCGTACCGCAGCGCTCGTTCGTAAGACAGAAGAATAGTAATGTTGGACCTTTGCCAGAGAACAGAATGAGGGAAATGAGCTAAAAGTCTAGTGATGCAATCTTGAGCGGCCTTGCCCCTTAGCAGCCGGACCTGAGCTGCTCCTCCCACCTGAGTCGCGATGTCATTGGATCGGAAAAGACCGTAATTCGACAAGACGTTGGCCCGCTTGAGGTAGCGCCGTAGCGGTGATGTACTAACAGCTGCTAACGAGCACTTAGACGAGCTAGTGGTACGAGCCTAGAATCTACCTTGGCAAAAGTCGCTAAAAGGAAGATGGGTGGGAGATCGAATCGAGATGGGGAAATAAGCTAGAGAAATCGTGATGTACCCTACACTTTGCCGCGCCATCAATCCCTTCTCCTCAGCCTGTTGACGATTGTCTTATTGAGACATTAGGAAGAAGAAGATGTTTATGTGTTTTCAGCGTAACTGGTCGTGACATTTGAACTTAGTTTGTAAAAAGCCACGTCGGACTTCGGAAGCAAATTCGCAATGGCGCAAGTGACAGACTTGGTAGCTCCTTTCTCTAATGGGCAACCAAGCCCGGACCTGCTCTCTGTTAATGGCACGAAAAAGGGTCAAGGCTCGCAGCATCAAAGCCTCTCGAGTGCGGGCGACGATTCAAGGCCGTACGATCCTCCGTCTACTTCCTTCTCGAACCCTAAGAAGAGCGCCGCAAGTGACAGATCACAAAATGGGATGGCAGATTTCTTTAGGTATGGGACTTGCAGCGTTGATATGGACTTCCTTGCTCATCACTCTACCTGCGAAGTCCCGAGGTTTTTCAGATCGTATTGCACAACCCAACCACCGCTCATCGGCTGTTGAAGTTTAGTCAGGCCCGAATGTGCGGAGAGAACATGGAGTTCTTGGAGAAGGTACGTGCCTGCGCGCTCCGTCCCGCATACAGTGAAGCCTGTTTGGCTTCGCAAGAGCGTACGGGGATGCTCGTAACTTCGCTTTCCAAATCAACATCAACTGTGAGAGGCCAAAGCTTATGATTATCCTTCTAACCAATCAATATACGGGAAAGCTGTTCTTAAAATCATTGGAACGCCAGATGGGCATTGCCTTGTCTGAATGGCTATACTAACGCATCTTTCACCATCAGGTTGACCGTTACAATACTCTACTCGACGAGCTTACTACGGTCATGTCAGAGATACACTCTAACTACACATCAAACGAAGCGCCCCAGCAGCTCGGAATTGACAACAGTACTTTGAGACGCGCAAATGCAGAGCTGAAAGATAAGACAGTTTCAGTATTACCGGTCATGGAATCGCTTTTTGCCGATGCTCAGAGCGAGGTTGAATCGTTAATTCGGGCGGCTGGTAGGGATTCCCATCCCCACTTCTACTGTTGGCAACTGTGGTACTTATGAGGCACTGTGATAGTATATCCGCGCTTCGTCAAGTATCAAATGACCAACAGCGCCTCAAAAGCACTCTCATCTGACCCTAAGAAGTACCAAGGACTCGGCGACTGCTTTTGTTTGACAGATCCTAAGTGAGGCATTTTTGCACAATAAGGTGTAAGCGCAGCTGACGAAACGACCCTAGCAAAGCAGACAATCCAATCGTGTATGCCTCAGACGGGTTTGTTCAAGTTACAGGCTATTCAAGACCTGAAGTCGGTAAGCCTTGAGTATTTCTCTTTGCAACCGTAGGTTTCGGAAGCTCAACCGAGCTTCTATATGCTTACAACATGTGACGAAGGCCTCTCCAAGCCTCGCTGTAGACTGAATCCTTTCTAAGAAGGCAATACCTTTTGTTGGAGATGACCCTCCCTTTATTTCTTACACCATTGTAAAGTATAGACTTTTATCAATGCAAAAGAACGCTGTGGAAATGACTGGCCTCATAGAAAATCTCTTATTGCTTCTGGATACTTAGAACCCGAAGATCTACCATTGCTCTATGGTCTGAATGGACTTGACTGACTTCATAAGTCCCTAGAAATTGTCGATTTCTGCAGGGTAAATACACTGATCGGGCCGCAACCAAGCGACTAAAGACATCGATCGAGACTCGTGAAGAAACAGTTGAGCTCCTACTGAACTACAAAAAAACCGGCGAGCCGTTCTGGAACTTACTTTATGTCGGTGAGCGCGATTTCTACAGGATTTTGAAATTCTGCGCCCTAATGACGATCGATAGCGCCTTTGTACGATGCCAACGGAAGGCTGGCATTCTATATTGGTGGACAGATCAACTGTTCAACCACCATTCGCAGCAACAATGATGTGCTTCGTATTCTCTCAATGTCCGAAAATCCAGAGGAAGAAAAGGTACTTGTCAATGACGTTCAGAGCCAAAAGTCTTCGAAGCGGAGCTTCTTCGGTCTTCGCAAAGAGAATACTCAGCAGCCACCACAGAGCACCAGAAAGGTCGAGGTGAGGGGTACAGGCATGGAGCCTGCGCTCTTGAAACAGATCGGAAGCTTGGATTTCCGATCTCAGATGGAAAGGTTCTATACCGCGTACTCCAAGTATGTTGTGGTCAGCTACGATAACTTCCTCATCCAGCACTATTCTCAAGGGATAGTTGACACTCTCGGCATCGAAGCTCGGACCGACCATGACTTCGTCGGGAGTAATATTTTCAAATTCCTAGGGAATCACACTACCACGTTACCACGCGAATTCAAATCAAAGGTGCAATACGCAATTAAACATGGGCAAGCGATATCGGCCAGCATCAGTCTTTTCACCTTGAGTTCTCTGGCTCGACGAGCAGACGACAAGTTCTTCACACATTGGACACCGACCAAAGATGAAAAGGGCAATGTCAAATATGTCATTGTTACGCTGAGCTCGGTAATGTATGACTGATAGTACACTATCAATCTCTAGGCTTTGGGGAAAGAGATAGAACTCGGGCCTTTCAACTGCCGTTTTTTGATTGAGAAAGTCTCTGTGATAATGAGAATCTGCGACTTTGCTGGCGAAAACTTTGCATTTGGGAATGTTTGTTGCAATGAATTTCCATATTTTGGCGCTGGTGCCTTGGAGGCCTAGGATTTACAAGATATATCATACATAGAAGTCATCCAAGTAGTCCATCCTTTAGGTCATAGTTGTCATGATGTCTATGCTCTGGAGTACCATTAGAGAGTCTCGGATTTCTTATTATGAGATGTCGGAAAGGTCTCCTGAAAGCACCAAGAAGTGGGTGTTATCGATAAGCCAACATGACCTTTTTGCCAACTCATGGCTAGCAACCCGACTACACGCCATTTCATGCCAAATTGCTGCTTTTGACTCCCTCCGATCAAGATGGTAGAAACTGTAGAGACTGAAGCACCCAAGGAAAGATTCGCACCCAAAGATCCACCAAAGGATGACCCCATCAGCATAGAAGAGCTCGCCAAATGCGATGGTAAGCTTCGCATTAAGTCATATCAGGCTTCGGCAAAGCAGGCTGATCTCTTGAATTTCAAAGGTAAATCTGCAGACCATCCAACATACGTGGCAATCAAAGGCACCGTCTTCGATGTATCAGGAAACAAGGCATACGTGCCTGGCGCGGGCTATAATTGTACGCAACCCTCCTCTACCCTCGCTCCTGAGGTTCTACAAGCAGTCTAAAAGAAGAATCACAGTATAGCTGACAGTCACTAGTGTTCGCAGGCAAAGATGCATCACGAGCCCTTGCCAAAACCTCATTAAAACATGAAGATTGCAGTCCGGTCTGGGAAGATTTGCCGGAGAAAGAGCAGAAGGTATTGGGCGATTGGTATACGTTCTTTGAGAAACGATATAACATTGTGGGGAAAGTGCAAGAAATGGCCTGAAAATCGTAATGATACCAATTTGTATGGAAACAGCGAGAGGACTTGCATTGGCGCATTCATGGCTTCGAATGCGTTGTTATACTAGAACTTTTCCTATCCACCGAAAGAAGCCTTGCTCTTCCGTGCCTTACGATTGGCACGTTTGCGACCAATGATGCGCTGGCGACTGGATACTTCGGTGCCTCCTGAAGCTATCTTCCGGGTCAGCTCGCGATTGGCTTCGGCGTTAGTGTCGCTGCCATTCTCTCTTGGGACTTGATTCGTCTGCTTCTCGACCAGCCCTCTAGCCAATGCACCTCGCTCACGTGCTTTGCCTTCTCGCTGCTGGCGGCGTTGGACCACTTGGGCATTTTCGACGGCAAATTCAACGATCAGCCGTCTCTTCCTTTCTTGGTCGACAGGGGCGACTACTTGATCTTCTGATTGAGGCTTTGGAGGACGTACAAGATGACCGTTCAGCCAACGCAGTCCCATCAATGCCCACCGATGTGTTGTGTACTCAATGAAACCGTAGCCCCTGCTTCTACCTGCATTGCCATCACTAGCAACCTTCGCACCATCTCGACCTTCAAAGATGATTTTTGCTTGCTTTACGATCCCCTTGCCTTTGAGTTTTCGATCCCTCTCAGCCTGTCTCATAGTCTCCCCACCACGTGAAAGCTCCTCCTTCGATAGCTGTTTGCGGCGGCTAGCTTTTACGTCTTCTGCGAAGCCAACCGCTGCTTCTCGAGCCAGAGCTTTCAATCCTTGCGACGTAATGCTTCGAGGTAGATTTCGAACCGAAAGGCGGGTCAGACTCAGATGAAGTGTGGGATTGCTACTGATGAGTTTCCGTCTCTGCTTTGCGCTCTCCTCCCGCATCCTGATCTCTGGCGGCGAGAGGTTCTGGTAGAGAGGGTGATTGGATGAGATGGTGCCCTCACTTAATAAATATGTCCGCCGCTTATCGTTCTCACGTACACTTTGCTGCTGGGCATTACTCACGGCTAGCCGAGCAGCCTCGACTCGGTCTACGGCGCGGGAGATTAGGAGCGTACGGTTATCGAGGATAAATTGGCCGTTATTATCTCCAGTGTTGTCCTCGAGAATCGAGCGTCGGGAGACCGGACCTGAGGATTGGGGAGGTGGTGCTTCTTTGAGGCAAGACGTTGCATCCTCCGGGTTGATGAACGACACAAAGCCTGTCCCTTTTGAATAATTTGTGGCCGGATCTCTGACAACCCTTGCATATCTGACGTGGCCGAATTGACTAAAATGTTCCCGAAGAGAATCATCGTCTACAATGAACGAGACATTGCGAACGAACAGGGTCGACGACTGTCCATCGATTTGCAAAGCCTTAGTAGACGACATCTTTTCGTGGGTACGTTTCTCGCCCTCCATCTCAAAGTTTCCTTGAGCTTTGGACGCATCGTCAATGTCATCATCGCCATCAGGTGTATCAGGAACGTCTTGTTCGTGCTCACTTTCTGACTTGACGCTATCGTCAACAGGTGAGCTGTCTGCATCCTTTGTTTCGCCCTGCTGAGCTTGTTCCCACAGCTCTTTGGCAACGGCCCAATCAACGGCGAGCGTTCGTCCATCAATCATTTTGCCATTCACGCCCTGTATAGCCTTTTCGGCGTTCTTGCGGCCTCGCATAACAATGAAGCCAAAACCGGGCGACTGCCCCGGCTTTGTTTTGGGAAAATTGACGTGTTTAATCTTGCCATAACTCATGAAAAGCTTAGAAAGCTCGTCTTCGCTCTTGATCGTCCACGGTATGTTTCTCACGATCAGCTTTGGCGGAGGTTGAAATCGTTGCGAGTGGTCTGCCTTCGGAATACTCTTGTGCAATCCAGAGGACTCGGCTCCACGTTCACGATGTCGAGGTTCAGCGACATCGACCATGATCTTGCGTCCTTGGAATTGGGCGCCATTGAATTCTTGTTGTGCGCTCCTCGCGTCTTCTGCGTCTGCGAAGGATACGAAGCCAAACCCTTTACACTGGTTTGTTGCTTTATCGACGACGGCAGTAGCATACTTCAGCGGGTAGGATTGAGAAAAAAATTCGGCAAGGCCTTCTGATGTTGCGGATGCAGGCAATGATCGCACAAAGAGGGATTTCCTTCCGCGTCGATGCTCTTGCGGGGTTGCTGGCTGCCGCTCGACACTGGAATCCGCACCTTCAGAACTGTATGCGGTTACCTTGTCTTCACCTCCAACGCTCAGTCGCTGTCTCTTGATCCTTGACATCTTACTTGACCCTAGCTTGACTGCCTGGGGTCTCAATCTCAATTTTTCATCTAGAGCACCAGATAGGGTAATCCGGTTATATCCGAGGCTAGACAGTATATCACGTTATGCCTACCCAGGCCTAGCGTCACAATGAAACATACTTGTTTTCTCCGCATCGAGCCGCCGTTACCTGTCATACATTACTGCTGCCCCTATTCCCAACATAATCTTACAGCTGAGGCACGGATGAATCCTACACTTTGCCGTCGATCGATCGACTGGGATGGCCATGCGGCACCTGCCAGCCAGCGCCAGCTTCACAGAATCCTACGTGATTGTGTCTTGTGATCGCTGCTTCAACCCTCGGTTATTTCCTGGATTTGAAACCCAATCCACGAGTTCCAATTCCAAATTGTCACTGCTAGGCCCAACGCTAGTCTATCCAGGGCCTGAAATCAGCCCAGGTCTGGGCTTCAAGGGAGTGGAAAGACGAAATCGGTGACCGTGAGAAATCGAGTGCTGCACATCTATTCCAATGCTACCGGCAGGTTATTCATTTTATTGATTGATAGCTTAATTTTTTTGCCTGCTTTTGCGTGTTCAAATTTGCTCTATTTATACATATGCACTACTGTGCAGAAACACGGGCCTCGATCTTCGTCTCCAAGTGGCCAATCTTCCAGGCCTTGCGTGAGCGAGCTGCACATCTTCTTCTAATGAATCAATATACAATGAATTCCTAAGTGTGAAAAGTTTTTCATCTCGTCATCTAAAAGCCATTCGTGGTGAGCCCGGATTGGACACCGGGGTTACCGGGAATATCATTGATGGCGAGCCATCCCTTGACCGGTCGAAAGACCTTGAGTGAGAAAGTGGTGGTGTCTGGACGTAATTGCTGTCAGTTTTGGTGCCCTCTGTGCAGACAAATAGAAATAGAAATTTGTTCACGAGGAAAGAATTGCCGCTCTTCCTGATTTTGGTTCTTCTTTTCAAAGGAAATAGAGGGAGAGAAAAAGATGACGTCTAGAACTGTAAATGAAAAAAGTACTCATCGGTGAGATTTACATTCATGTTAGATTCCGGGTATGATTGATGCATCGGCAGTTCCACGCTCGTGAAAGGCGTATAGCCCATGCTGTACTGATTCATGACGTTCCCGTCCTCGAAGAAGCCGTTGGTCTTTGCTGGGCTTGGTTCAAACGACGACATGGTAGGCAATGTTGTCGGTAATGATGGTAAGTAAGTGGAATGATTTGGATAATCTGGAAAGGGTTGTGGTAGACTGTGGTACGATGGCTGATGAGAGTAAGTTGGGGGCGTTGCCGGCTCTGGCAGTGAGTAAGGATAATTGGTGTGGTGTGGTGGTGACATTGAAAGCTCGCGTTTGTAGTGCGTTGGTGAGAGGTCAGAATGATGCTCAGGATACGAAGAATATGGTGTCACTAGCGGCTCCGGTGGGTTCTTTCGGTTTTGCTGGGGTGCAGATTCCCGTTTGATCGACTGTCGTCTAGTTCCAGTGCTTCGTCGTGAATTTGTTTTCGGGGTTGTGTGAAGTTCCTGGTAAGATTGCTCCGGGGAAGGCGACGAGGAGGCTCGTTTTTCCAAGTCCTCTAAGCGTCTCTTTATTTTTTTGCCTGCGATTGTTGTTAGTCTTCGGCGCAGAGCACGCATAGCGGAGATAGACCTACGGTAGTTACGTTGCGCGATCCGGTTTTGGATTCGTCTCCGCTCCGCTAGGTCTGAGATCTTGGTCCAGTCCTCGTTTGGCTGAGCACTGGCACTAAACGCACTGCTTGTGCTGTGCGAAGAAGAGTAGCGGGGCAGGTGATGATTAGGTGAGTTGGCGTATGGTATGGGGTAGCTTGGTTGGCGCTGCATGATTGAATGCCCACAGGGCCAGGCAGCAGGAAGGATGGGATGGACGGGGTATTCTCCGCGAGGCAGAACAGTCAAAACAGTCAAGAAGTCTTGAGACGGCTTTGTGATGAAGGCGCAAGCCGAGAGCTTCCGCGGGGCTTGGGTAGTTTATATGTGGAGAGAGTGGTGAGGTGGAGGATGTGCAAGATAACAATGGGGGGGAAAGGCTAGGTAGGAAACGAGGGTTTTAATATATCAGGCTGCGGACGGAGGAACGGTGTGGCCGCGTAGATTAGGTCCCGTAAGTATACTCGTATATTAGGAGCTGGACGCTAGTGTATGCAGCTATGTAGCGTGATGCAGGCATATCCCTGTCGCTGCATGGAAGGTGCCGAGCCAAAAAACGTGGCCCTATGCGTCGATCCCATTATTATTAATCGGTCATTATTACCTGCGTCCTTCGCGAAAGCGAGAATGCTGCTAAATGCGTGGCGCCTGAATGCTCCCATTTTAATCACGGATCGTACCAGACTCGACGTGGGAGCGAAGCGAATCAGAGCCCGCCAGGAAACAAACGCTGCTTGGCTCCGTCGATGGGTGCATGGGGCTTGGTTTCCTACTTCCCTGCCTATGGCAATGGTAACGTTGCACCAAATAGGCTGTATGCCGCGAGAAGCGTTGTTCGCAGCGTGGTATGTACGGCGTGCCAATGCACAACATCGTCATCCAATGAGCAGACGCCTGCTACCGTTGTTGGCCATGCGAGGCGCACAAATTAGTCTGGATTAACAATAGCAATACCAGTCGCTTCCGTCGTCCGGCCATGCTCGCAGCATGTGTTCCTTTTTAGCACTTCGTGCTCTCACGCTTTCCCCGAAAGGGGGTATTTTGCCCATTTATCCAGATGGCTGCTAAATCACTCTTTCAGGATCTATTTTAGGATTCTTGTCGCCATCCTTGCTAGTCTTGGGAAGCTCAAGCCAAGCAGCGCGACTCGGAGCGGGCAGTGCAGTTGCTCCGCAGCTACCGTCTAGTGCAAGCCCGCAGCGAACGCCTAAAAGACTGAGCAAATAAATTGGAATTCATCCTTCGCAGGTTCTGGGTGGAACGATGGTACTACAAAGGAGCGGTCAAGTTGGCTCGGAGACTATTCGGCCACAGAGCGTCCATACTCTCTCGCGTCTGTTCATGCTTCGGCTCGCATTATTTGTGATCGTGCAGCTTCTTAGATAGGGTCCCTTTGAGCGCAATAATAATCAACTGATCTCGGGCTTTGTGTCTGCCAGCAACCCCATGCAATGTTCGATCGGTCTGACCTGCAACAGATCCCATCTTGTCCCTCTTAAGCGGCCTTGCCGACCGCTCTGCATACCTCTTCTGAGTCGGTACTTCTCTCACCGCCTTGAAGGTGCGCAACGATCTGGAATCAGTCGCCCATTATTCATCCGATAGATGCTATGGTGACATGCAGTGTTGCATCGCGAAGACTGCCTCCTGTCCAATTCAGGGCATATGCACTTCGCAGCTGACGTGTGCTCCGAGCCTTCGTCAAAGAATCTTCTTATGTTCTAGCGGTCTGAGAGAGCGTTCAATGGGCAAGACATGTGGTGCGGCTGAAAAGTATCCTGGCTGCTGGGTCACGCAATGCTCTCTGCCCTATCGACCCTTGCAACATGGCGAGTCACCCTATGCCGCCTAAGGCGGGGTGGCTCTTGCGCGCTAACGATTTAGCGTATGACTGCATACCTTGTATCCTGGAAAGTTCTCACCGCCCTTAGCTCTGCCGGGGCTTTGTTTCGCGTGGCGTCCTTCGTCACACATAGCGTCTGTAGTTTCTCAGATGCCAGACCGAGGGGAGGAGGGCGGAGATGATGCGGACTTGCGGCCTTAACAGCGAACCCGGTGAACTCACCCACGGGACAGTTGGGACTTCCCAGAGAGGATCCATCGGCACGGGCTGGTGCTGGAGAGTAGGATCATGATTATTGAATAAAGCCCTGCGATTGAATGCGTTGGCTATTCCCGGCAATCTGCTTGGCCTCCCTCTTGACGAATGCTACTCGGATGGCGCGGCCGAGTTGGGTCACGGCGTGGCACTCTTCTCTTGACGTGGGTTGCTGCCATAATTGGTCATCTCGTTCCTCGCTTAAGAGTGTGATGTGATTGATAATGCGCAAAGTGGTCAAGCGAGAAGCTTTTCGGCAGGGCAGTGCCACACCGTCCATAAGATCCCCCCTCATCACCGTTTCTGAATGAATTTCACGCGATTCGAGATTGCCAATGGTCGGCCGCCTGAAACAAGCATCAGCCTTGTCGTCTACTCGTCTGGTTGGAGAAAGTTTACGTCGCTCTCCTCGGCAACGTCAGCTAGCCCGCTTTAAGAGGGAATCTCCGCGAGGGGCTTGTGCGAGACTCTTCTCTAACCCATTTTCGGCGAGCCACTCAATTCAAGCCCATTCTTGGTGCACGGAGCTGAGGACCCTTTCCTGGCTTGATCAGAAAACAAATACATTGCGCGTCTTCCTAGTCCTCATCAATCACGTCTCTCGTTTAAGATGATCCCTTTCCAGCGGACCTAGCTTCAACAATGTATTGCCGTAGAGTAAGTAGAGTAGAGGCCGATACCAGGATCATCCCAGCCGTACCAAAACAAAACAACAATTATACTCTTGTGACTGCGCCTTCCTCATTTGCGAGGTTAGGGATCGAACTAGGTGCCGCATCAAGGTTACGCTGTTTTGGGTGGCTATGCCCTTTGACAGATCATTCTACCTGTTGAAACAGACTCGGGTTGCGTGCTCAAGCTGCTGGGTTGCCGTTTCACAGTCCTCGCTGAGTCGCTGCGAGGGCGCCCTCTCGATAATCGCATGCGTTCCTGTCGATCCCTGCACATGCGCACGTGGGAAGTGGCCCGATCAATAACGGCACAGTCACTCGGGGTGAGCGAGCACATGGCATCTGCCTCATGCCTGCAGCCATCATGCACCTCCCATGAGGCATCGACAAACGGCTGGGTCTCCTGTCGTCTCGGGGTGTATCGCTAAGGAAGGCAATGAATCGTTCTGCGACAATTTTGGGTCGCTTTCGTGTCTTGAAACAAAGTAGGGTGTCCATCTGCAGCTTCGCGGCGTACGAGTTGGGTCGAAGAAGAAAGTCGCACAATAAATCTTTATTGGAGGAACGACTACGATGAGTTGGCACGCCTCAGGCCAAAAGATACGTGTTATCCGTACTGCAACCCGGGTCCAATTAGCTTCTGAGTGCTTATCCCGCCGACTCCCAGCCGTGCACATCCTACTTTCCACTAGTAGACCTCGATACATAGTGGTGGAGAGTAGAAAACATTCTTGTTTCTACTCTGCTTTGTTCTGTGTAAGGGAGTCATGAGTCCCGAGAAGCGCACGAAAAGAACAGAGCATGGGATTCTGCATCCAAGACTTTCGGCGAGGACCACAACTGTGATTCAGATGGACCAATATTCAAGTGGTGTGCGCGCATATTGTATTATTGGATGGACTTTTTCATGCGAGGCGGGGTAGATTTGGGAAACCCCAAGCGACTTGAACTCCGAAGGTAACTGGGAAAAGGACCGATCCTTTACATTTACCTGAGGCTCTTTGCCGCTGTTTGGTGGAATCGATACCTACAACTTCTGCATAGCAGCAACATCGGTCGATTGAACATGATCCTCAATGCCTTCTATCTGCTGTTGTAGATCTTCAAGCGATACCTTGTCATCCTCCACCACCAAGTTGATCTGCAGCTTGCTGATACCATAACCCACCGGAACAAGCTTGGAAGCCCCCCATACCAACCCATCCATTTCAATTGCCCTCGTGTGGGATTCAAGCTCTTTCATGTTGGTTTCATCATCTGCCATTGGTCAGTCGAAATTGCCCCCAATACCCGTTCATCTCGAGGAAACCAAATTACCCCATGGCTTCACATCTAGTGTTACTAAGCTTTTGGCGGCTGGCTTTGTCTTTCCTTCTTTCTTCTTCTTGTAGGCCGCTAGATTAGCTTCTTTGATGCGTTTGGCTTCCTCATCCTCCGACTCATCGCTGCCGAAAAGATCCTCCTCTTCCTCCTCTGCATCAGGTGCACCTTTAGGAATGACTGTCAATTCGCTCTGCTCGGGCCCATACGTGGTATATGCTTTAGATGGGTCTCCTGGAAGCGAGGGAAATTCTGATTCATAGGATGCGATGTGCCTGTACCAACGGTAGGCATGGGGAAACTTGGCGGCTTCGGGTGTTGCTTTGATGGCCTTGAAGCAGGCGACGTCAGCCTGAGACGGACCGTACCTACGTACCTGTCAGTCTCGATAGTTGCAAAAACATGCCAATAATCCATCAGGCTAGTTGAGAATTTCAGAAGTGCGCATGGCGCTGTTTGAATAAGCATTGGGGGTCTTGAGGCCCCTCAGCAACACGGACCAAACTTTATCTCATCACATTGGAGAATTTCAGTGAGTGAAGATGTAGTCTTACCCTGCTATATAGCTTCTGGTACGAGTCCATGTGTCCAGAGCTGCGGGCTGTTAGCTTACGCAACATGATGCTACACAAAGTAGGAGATCGCATACTGGACAGTCCTGCAGCATTAGCGAAATCGAGGAAGCCCATATTGGTTTTCGGTGATAAGAAGACTGGTGGATTGGTACGTGTAAATGAGAAATGTGGATGGGGGTTTTTCCCGTAGTTATATTTTGCCGAGCTCCCATTTTTAACAGTTAAGGCAGCGGCGAACTTCCGCTACAACAGCTGCGGTTCGTCATGAAAGCGTGTGCGCGTCTCAGCTCGCGTGGAATTGAATCTAGCAAACGAGTCGTTCCATGGAGATCAGTCCCTTTAGGGGAGCTCTCTCCATGCTTTCCTTACACAGCATTGCGAACATGTGCTCCATTATGGCTGGCACATTCCACACATCGAACTTTTGCCAACCGGCCGCAACAACCTGGAGGCACCCACCGCATGAACCTCGGCGGCGAGCCAGAGAAGTCGGCTCTGGAGAGCTACGGAGTAGACTTGACAGCCAGGGCGAGGGAGGGCAAATTAGACCCAGTCATCGGTCGGGACTCCCTTATTCAACGGCTCATCCAGATACTTTCTCGGAGGACTAAGAACAACCCTGTCCTTGTAGGTTCAAGTGGAGTCGGTAAAACAGCCATCTTGGAGGGTTTGGCGCAGCGTATTGTTAGAGGGGATATACCGGAAAGCATCAAGGAGAAGCGAGTGGTGTCTCTTGATCTCGGGTTGCTGATAGCAGGCGCAAAATTCAGAGGAGATTTCGAAGAGCGCCTCAAGGCCGTCTTAAAGGAAGTGGAAGATGCCCATGGCGGTGTCATACTATTTGTCGATGAGATGCATTCTTTACTAGGTCTTGGAAAGACAGAGGGCTCAATGGACGCCTCAAACCTCTTGAAACCAGCGCTCTCGCGTGGTGAAATCCAGTGCTGTGGTGTGAGTTGAATAAAATGATCTCCTCTGCGCCTCTACGTATTGACTGTAGTAGGCTACTACTTTAAATGAGTACCGTCTAATTGAGAAGGATGCAGCACTGGCGAGGAGATTCCAACCCCTCCATGTTGGCGAACCTACTGTCTCGGATACTATTTCTATCCTCAGAGGTATCAAGGACCGCTACGAAGTCCATCATGGCGTCCGTATCACCGATGGTGCCTTGGTGGCCGCCGCCAACCTTTCCAATCGCTATATCAGCGAAAGATTCCTCCCTGATAAGGCAATTGACCTTGTTGATGAGGCTGGTAAGTGGCTGCATGTTGCACTTTCAACTGCTTTTTCGACTGCGCTGATATTCTATAGCCTCCGCACAGCGATTGCAGCAAGAAAGCAAACCTGAAGCTATTCAAAGTCTGGACCATCAAATAATGACTATACAGATAGAATTAGAAAGTTTGCGGAAAGAAAGTGATGTCCTTAGCGAAGAGCGACGTGAGAAGCTCCAGGAAGACCTTAATTCTAAATCAGATGAAGTCATCAAGCTCACACGGATATGGGAACAAGAGAGATCAGAGATAGCTGCTCTGAAGAGCGCTAAGGAGGAGCTGGAGAAAGCTCGTCTAGGACTTGAACATGCCCAGAGAATCGGTGACTTTGGCATGGCGTCAGAGCTTAGGTACTCTACGATACCGGGTTTGGAACAACGCTTGGCTAAGGAAGGCTCTGAAGCCGGCGTGAATGATGAACATAACCAAGTATTACTACACGACTCTGTTAGAGCGTCTAATATTGAAGCTGTGGTTTCTCGACAAACGGGCATCCCAGTCACTAAGCTGATGTCTAGAGAGGTGGAGAAATTGCTTCACATGGAGGACACCTTGCGAGAATCGATTCGTGGTCAAGATGAGGCGCTTACAGCCGTGGCAAATTCTGTGAGATCCCAGCGAGCTGGTCTAGCTGGCGACAATCGCCCAATAGCATCATTTCTATTCATGGGGCCTACCGGAGTGGGCAAGACAGAGCTGTGCAAAAAGCTCGCATCTTTCTTATTTTCGACAGAGAGTGCCATGATTCGATTCGACATGAGCGAATTTCAAGAGAAGCATACTATCTCAAGACTCTTAGGATCTCCAGCCGGTTACGTTGGTTATGAGGACGCAGGACAACTTACTGAAGCCGTTCGAAGAAAACCGTACGCAGTCTTGCTATTTGATGAATTTGTATGTCGTTCCCGGAGCTTTCCAGGTGTAGAACACTGACCCCAATGATCCGTTAGGAGAAAGCCCATAGAGATATTTCGTCCATCTTGCTTCAAGTGCTAGACGAAGGTTTCCTCACTGATGCGCAAGGCCACCGAGTAAGTTGCTTACAAATTGTCCTGCAGACTTTCCCCTTGTCATCTTCCACTCTGCATCCGAAGGCGTAATAGGTAGGGTGTTAATCAAAGATATCTGCAGGTTGACTTTCGCAATACAATCATCGTGATGACGACCAATCTTGGAGCAGAAATCCTGGTCAATGCAGACTTGGCAGACAGGGATGGGAATGGAGACATTGATAGTAAAACAAAGGAAGCGATCATGGCAATAGTCTCCAATGCATTTCCCCCAGAATTCATTAACCGCCTCGATGAGTTTATCCTCTTCCATCGTCTCTCAAAATCCTCGCTACGTGATATAGTCGATATCCGATTGAAGGAATTGCAAACTCGGCTTGATGACCGCCGCATCACCCTCAAGCTTGATGACAATGTCCGCGAGTGGCTTTCTGAACAATCTTTCGACTCCCGCTACGGGGCTCGCCCGCTCAATCGGACAATTTCAAAGATCAACCTTTCACTACCCTCTACTCAGCCTTCAAATGATAAGAATCTTTACATGGGAAGGTGGACTGAACTGGTCTCCTCTTTCTGTCGTGTTTTACCGATCGTATTTCCTCAAGTCTGTTTGAGAATGAGGTGAACGTGTTCATGCGGTCGGAAATTGGCTTTCGCATGTCCACTGGATATTTGGCAAGGTAGCTTCTTTTCAGTAAGCAGACTAATCAAGTCTATGCTTAATGTCCCCTTTCGTACGCCAGCCTGACCTCTTTTGATAACCTCCTCGCTTACGAATGACGCCTTGGCATCCAACCAATGCCTGCCCGCTGCAATCCGAGTTGGGCATTCGTATGATGAACATCACTAGAGCCCGGTTCTGGCGGCAAGTGTGATACTCAAAATTGCGGCAAGTCTATTAGAGTCAGAATACGATCTTTGGTTGGATGATCATGACTTCTTTAAGTTCTCGCCATTCACGTCATAATACCAAAGGTGGTAATTCGATCTTTGACGCGGATGCAAGCGAGTCGGATGCAGCACACGATGATTTCAAGGAAGTTGTTGTCATGGGTGTCAATGTTAGTAATAGAGGCGAAATCGGATGCTGCTACTATTCGGCCAGCGATGAAATTCTGCTGCTCATGTCGGATCTTAGTAATGGTGGGCTTGACATCTTAGACTCACGTGAGTGATCACATTTCTCTCTCTAGTACATTGATTAAACTGGGATAGTCAAATCCTCCATACAGCCGACAGTTGTCATAATGCCTTTCAGAATCGATGAGGCTGCTGAGTTGCATTTTGATCCCTACGGCGATTCTCATAGAAATCTAGACCATGACGGTCAGTGTTTGCCCTTGTAACCACATGGCCGAAACTGAGGTGTGAACGTGGCATAGACGGCACCATACGTTTGCCATATGATCTGGTGTATCGTCCAACAACAGAATTCTCCTATGAAGCTGCTATGAAGAGGCTCACTGAATTAGATCGTGAGACTTCCTCTGACAAGTTTAAATTTTTCACGTCACCTGGAAATCTTGGAAGCTTTCACGATCACGATGCAGGAGAGGGTTTAGGGCTTGTCCAAGCGCAAGGTCAGCTGCTCAAGATTTCAGCAACCATCGACATGGATAGCAGGTTGAGTGTCGGATGTGCTGGGGCAGTGCTAGCTTACATCGGACGTCACAAAGCCATGCACCAGCTGCCGGGGGATACATCCGCGTCTCATATCTTGCGAGTTGGCAAGGTTGAAATGTTTGGCGTCGAGAACATGATGTGAGCCCTATTGCAGAAATGCCTCTTGTACATGTATCTCAGAGTAACATAGGTTCATCAATGCTGATACTCTGGCATCACTCCAAATCCTTCGCTCCGACTCGAATCCAAATGCTCACAGCCAAGGACCATCGAAAGGTGTGTCAGGCTCTAAGGAGGGCCTATCTATATACGGCTTGTTTCACCGGCTTGCACGAACATCCCAAGGAAGGCAACTCCTTCGCCAATGGTTCTCACGTCCCACGTTAGATCTCAGCACTATCCAAGAGCGACTGGAGTCGATTGAAACCTTCTTAATGTCGGACAACGAGACATCAATGAAAAAAGTTGTCAAAAACCTCGGTCAAGTCAAGAATATTAAAACAATCTTGCTTCACCTACAAAAAGGGATGAACCATGGGCTTAAAAAAGGCGGTGTCAGGAGTAGTGTCTGGTCTAACATACGCCTTGTCAGTACCTTAGGTGGAGAACACACTATTGCTTGCTCAAAAGATTGCAGTTTGCATTTCACTCACTGCAGATCCGGGACGCTATGAGTGAAATCATCGGGGCAGAGCACCTCCAGATAGGAAAGAGAGTGAGTGTCAAAGGAAGACCTATGAGCTTGACCTGATATATCTCTGTCTAGGTCTTTGCCAATTTTGACACCCAGACACTGGCATCCATTGGAGAGCAAATTGGGGAAGTTGTAAGTCTTGAAGCCGATCCTGCGCTAGCAACTGGTCGAACGTGAAATGGCCGACCAGGTTTCACTTATTTGAAACCTCTCGACTTTTTACCCAGCCAAAGCTCCACGCTGTACCATTTCACCTGATCATGTTGCTGGCCCTGAGCCTGACATAAGCACCATGCTGATACCACTTTTAGATCAATTTTCAAGCTTCAGCTGACATGCATCGTACAGTTGTCAACTCGGGTATCGACCGAGAGCTTGATAACTTGAAGCGAAGCTATAGCGGCATGGAACATCTACTAGACAACGCGTCCAAGGACATTGCCGCGACCATCCCAAGAACTTACGTCGTCAATTTGAAAGTCATCTTCTTTCCCCTGGTGGGGTTCCTCATAACTGTCCAAATGGACTCTAACGGTGGTACTGTAAGCTTTGAGGGCGGTTTTGAGGAGGGATTCCAGTGGGATCATATCTTCTCGGCTGATGGCATGAAGTTCTACAAAGACTATCGCATGCGAGAGTTGGACGAGAGTTGGGGGGACGTGTACACCTCGATTTGTGGTATGCCCTCACGAAGGCACGGAAACATGACGCAGCTTACGTTGATACTTCTTCAGATAAGGAGATTGAGATAGTGCACCGCCTTGCCCAGGATATTCTGGTCCAAACAGATCTACTCGGCATGATATCTGAAGTGTGTGGGGAGCTCGACAGCTTAACTGCGCTGGCGCAGGGTGCTCGATTATATGGATTCTGTAAGCCGATCCTTACACAAGACAACTTCTTTGATATACGAGGCAGCAGGCACCCACTGCAAGAACTGTGCGTCGCTTCCTTCGTCCCAAATGATGTGCATCTACAGGGCGGTCACGGGCCTGTCTCGTGTTCAGAGGCCGATAAAGGGGGCAACAGCAGTCTTTACGGTGCGCGACAAGACGCTCGAAGGTCAAAGGAAATTGCTTACCCTAGCATGTTGATAATGACTGGTCCTAATTTCTCAGGAAAAAGCGTATTTCTCAAGCAAGTGGCCCTAGTCGTGTACATGGCGCATGTTGGTTGCTTTGTCCCGGCTCATAGGGCGGTTATCGGCCTCACTGACAAGATTCTGACCCGAATTGCAACACGCGAAACTGTGTCGAGGATCCAGAGTGCATTTATGAATGATCTACAGCAGGTAGCATTGGCCACCACACTGGTCACGAGACGCAGTCTCCTTCTACTGGATGAATTTGGAAAGGGGACCGACTCACACGATGGCGTAGGGCTGGCGTGTGGTGTCTTCGACCATTTCCTTAAAATGGGTGACGAACGGCCCAAGGTACTTGCAGCAACCCACTTCCATGAGATGTTCGAGAACGGCTTTCTGAAAGCAAACTCATCGCTTGCTTTCGGATACATGGAGGTACGTGTGGACGAGAAGGCCAAGGATGTCGACGATCAGATCATCTATCTCTACAATGTCAGGCCAGGCCGGAAGAATTCCAGCTATGGCAGCTTCTGTGCTGCTAAGAATGGGGTTGATGACGCGATCATTGCAAGGTCCGAAGAGCTTGAGGAACTGAGTGCGAAAGGGGAAGATATTGTCGCCGCATGCGCACGTGTTTCTACAGCTGAAGAAGAGAATCTCTCCAAAGCCGAGCGGGTAGCACGAGATTTTCTTGTTCAAGATATGCGTGAAATGCAAGGCTCGCCGGAAAAGGCTCGGCTCTTATTGAGCTTGATCACATGAACTATGCGTTCGATGGCAATAAAACTGTATAGGAGGTAGCAAGTCGGCCTAAGAATCTGTAAAGTATAATTTATAGGTTAATACTTGTTAAATTTGTGACACGCGGTAGCGCTGCTACTAATTTGTCGACGCTTTTCTAGTCCAGAGGTATCTTGAATTGTGAATCAATTCCCTTTCTGCCCCAAATGCCGTCCGCCCTCGCAAAACCTTTGATCGCGTTTGGCATCACAATGCTATGCCATGCGTATGCCTGCCAGAAATGTCTACATTTATCGTTCTACAACTGATCAGTCGATAGTTGCTACTCCGCCTATGAATACTCAAGTCTGACTGCGCTCTCCTCATCCTCCGCAAAGCTCACTTCAACCTCCGTCGAAACACCAGGAGCTTTGAATCTACCACTGGATATATCTCTCGAAACGATTGTCTCAGTCGTTCTCATCTGCGCAGGACTGGTACTAGGCGCTGAAGAGCTAAAGCCTATCAGTTGGCGGGTATGGGCTGGTAAAGTAGAGAGAGAGAGCGCTGGGGGGCCATACCAGGGCTTGGAAGATCGCATAGGGTTTGTGGATATCAGGGTCAGTTTCTGCACCGTCCTTTCTGATGGTTGCTTTATCTGCTTGCCTGCCTCTTATTGATCAACTTCTCGGCGTGTACGTTCGTTGGTGATATATTTGGCTGACTGGAAATAATCTAGGCGAAAAGGAAGGAGTTTGCAAATTGGGTGCGGAGTCAGGAGGACGACCGGAAAAGCTCATAGATGGAGAGGTTTAGACTCTTGATTCAGGCTGTCAGGTTTTCCTATTCCTACCGGGTTTCTATAGTCGGCTGATTTCCGAGCTTATCCTACTCTACCCCCGTTTCCGATGAACAATAGCTTTGGCTTGTGTACATCCACCCTCTGAAGAAGCCTTGTTGCCATGTGTATGTCCATATTTCCTTCAGGTCCCCACGTGTGCAGCCTCTAGAGAAATTCTTCCGTAACGACAAGAGAGCGAGAACCTTTCCTTTTCACCTCCCATCATTTCCTAGCGTGCGTTCTCTTACCACCTGTATCGACGTACAGGAAGTCTGTACTTCGTAGCAGGCCGATTGCTGATAGTGGATGCTGGTAATTTACAAATCTGGAGTCGTGAGGCTTTCCTGGCTAGCCACGCTTACTGATGCTTGACACCGCCAATCACGTTTCCCCTGACTTTCTTCCAGTCGATTGAGACATCTAGCTCTTCGTTTACTAACCCACAGACCGCAACATTCTCCCCTCGAATGATATAAAGCCCATGATCAACCTCTTCACTATCTTCTAGATCGTCTTGAGGTCTAATGACACGCTCGATGGTATGCTGCAATATCAGATTGGTCGTTTGATCGCACGAGAGAAGAGTGCCTATTAAGCTTCGGCCGTCTGTAGTAAGGATGAGGACTTTCTCTGCCGAAAATGGATGATTAATATTGGAAGGGTCTCAGTAAAGAACCTTGACTTCACAGGGACTGTAGAGACTTACGGTTGATGTAAGCTTGCAGTGACATGCCTATGCACACCGCGCTGTAAGGTGGCCTGGGTCCTGTGAGGACCTTGCGGATATCGAAGCTGTCCTCGAGCGGACAGCAATGAATACAACGCTAGGCAGATCTGTGTTATAAAACATGACGCTAAGTATACAAATAAACACATCTGTCAGCATATGCTCTAGTACTCACAGCTCATAAGGGAGAGTTACAAATCTGTTACTATAAAGTATTAGCACGTGACTCCGTAAAGTACCTCTTCAGGCTGATCTTTGCAAAATGTCATCTTCCGCACCACCAATATCAGCAGGACGTTTTGCAGAAGCCATAGAAGATTTGCCTGTAGGCAATCTCCACACGAAGGCTGCCGAGCTACGTAATTCCATCTCACACATGCGATCATCAAACGAGCAGTTGCAGCCATTCGCAGACGACGGTGACAGAGACTGCGCCGATGCCATCCTGGAAAATCGGCAGACAATTCGAAGAGTGGAACAGCGTATGCGATTGTTGAAGTATGAAGTAGAACGAAGAGGTCTTCCATGGGTCGAAGATCCGATGGACCTTGGTTTGGATCGAAACTCTAGACCAATCGTTGAAGAGCGAAGAACTGGAGAACATGGATCGCAGCAAGTCAATGGTGAAGATGCTTCAACGAGCGAGCATCATAGGGAGCGGGATGAAGATCTGCTGAGGCAGACATTGGACCACATGGACGAAGATTCCGCAGATGAAGGGGTCCATCTATGAAAGGGTACCTGCTCATCTTGCGGAGTCGTTTGCAAGTCCCACACAGCCCGTCATCAATCATCCGACCCCTATGCAGCGACAAACACGACCGAATTCTGGGCACAAACTATTCATATATTGCTAGGGACATGCTTTTCGCGGCAATGATCAGTAAACGACCCTAATTGGATCCTGTCACGAAGATATTCCATGTTCTAGTGAAGACTAAATCTGAAATGTGGGGTTTATCTTATCAATTGACCGGGTTGCGTCATTGCCATGCAAGCCCTGCAAATATGTAATGGCTGAATTTCCCCCCCGATTATAGGCTTCCGCTCAAGAGAATTCGAGACATCCCCCCCACAAATCTTATTGATATCGCTTAAGATGCAGGCTGCAAGTCGTATACACAAGGCTTTGCAAGGCCCGTCAAGTATATCCTTTGGAGCATGGCAGATGCTTCCGGGCACCAACCATGCGAGGACCATCGCACGGTGCGGTTTTGATTGGGTGTGTGTCGATACCGAACATGGAAACATCGATGGTATTACATACCTGTCTGGAAGGTCGCATGATAGGCCTGGATTTCTAGTCAGAAGCTTATTGAGCCCAGATGCCGCGATGCATGAAGCTGTTGCCGCTATTGCAGCTTGCGGAGTAAGCCCAATTGTCAGGATAGCAGCGAATGAAGGCTGGATGGTCAAACGTAAAATGGGTCTGGATCAGATTTAATCGCGGTGCTAATAGCCTCTTAGGTGCTCTGGATTCTGGCGGTAGGTTTGGCCTAGACTGGTTCTTGACCTTTCCGCTTGCTTGATTGATTTCGTTAAAGCTCACGGAATTGTCGTCCCACTCCTGGAAACCGCCGAGGATGCGAAGAGATTGGTTAGATCGGCAAAATTTCCTCCTAAAGGTAATAGAGGGTTTGGCTCGCCATTTGCGATGGAGAGGATCGGTGGTGTCTCTATGACAGAATATTTGCAGCAATCGAATGACTCGCTCATCACAATCGTTCAGATCGAGACAAAGGAGGCTTTGGAGAATGTAAATCACCCTCTTGTCTGCGTTTGGACTCTGTTCTGACGACGCTTGTAGACGGAAGCGATCGCCGAAGTACCTGGTATCGATTGTCTCTTTGTTGGACCCTTCGACTTGGGTAACAACATCGGGCATCCGATACAAGACGGTGCAATGCACGATGATCTGAAGGAAGCCGTGGCGAAGGTGCAGCGAATAGCGAAAGAAGCGGGCAAGAGCAGCGGTATCTATGCAACATCGGGCGAGCAAGCCCGGGAATTCGCTGATCAAGGGTTCAATATGGTTGGTTTCTAGTAGCTTTCATAGCATTGAGTCGTGCTGAAGTGTCCTAGATCTCAACAATCGCGGACATGGTAGCCCTGCCCTCAGCACTGACCTCTACCCTGTCAGCAGCAAAGGGATCCTACGCCCATTCAGCGCTCAACATTGGTAAAGGGGCCGCGGCCGGTGTAAGCAAGCTAATGTCAAGTCGGTAGCGATGATCGGGAAGGTTGCTGAGGATATCCTGGGTTAAGGCTGCGCGCAAACATGACGAGGGGGTAGATTTGCGACTCAGGGATTTCCCCCAATATCATCCAGTAGCTTCTCTACTTGCGATTGATCGAAACGATGAAAGAGCTTAGCGGGTGTCGTTGACTTGTCTGGCTGCAGGCTATCTCGGAAAGATTGCTCAACGTGCAACTGTGTACAGAAAGTTATTTAAAAGCTGCAATAAGAAAATGGAATCCGCGGACGAACCACTGGAGCATCGAATTCATAAACTCTCCAATCAGGTCCCTTCATCACATCAATTTCATTGTAATCGAAACTCCGGACTTTGCCAACATTATTGATGACCGCTTTCGCAGTATCGCACAAGGAGCAATTCTGACGAGTGAATAATGTCACCCGAGCAATAGCTCGAAAATATCGAACAGATGCGCGCATGATATCTGCCAATGACCGCCGGCGAATATTAAAAGCTTGAGATATTGAGAGTCAAGGAAGTGGAGGGCAAGGGGTCGATAAGGTAGCTGAATGGCCATACCTTCATTAGGGCGCGCCTATATGACACGGCACGCGCGGCTGACCCCCTGAAACTCAACTCTACCACGCTGGTTACTTCTGTAGACGAAGACAGCGTGGGTGGATGGAGCAAAACAATGCAATAATGTTTCCGAAGAGACATGCTTGATTTGAGCACCACTTTTGCTCTATCGTACTTGGGATAGGTCCAAAGGCACGCTACTGCCCCTTCCCGCCCTGTACTTCTTCGGCCCCCCCATAAATTCTCTTGGTTTAGGGAGTTGACTTCCATCCTTGAATTGAAACCTTGAGTCTTCAATCCGGATAGCTTCCTTCCTGATTGGTGATATTCGATCGCGTGATGAAGTTGTGCTATGGTTTGGTGAAACGCCATTCAGCAGAGAATGAGGATTTTGCTCTAAGCTTCGCCTTTCGGGTGTCAAATTGAAAGATTTCGAAGAAGCAGGTGCTGGTGTAGATTGCTTAAGAGGAGATGCGTTCGACGGCGGGGGTGGCGGTGGAGGAGGTGGCTGAGAAGATGGAGAATTTGATCCGTTGCCAAATGCGTTGCGAGCGGCTTGCATTGCTAGTCTCTGTGAGAGGTCTTGGGAGATAGGCTGCTGGAAAGTTGGTGATGGCGGAGGCGTCGATCGAGCGGGAGGAAGGCGAGGCGCAGACACTGTCGGCGGAGGGGGGCCGGTGGAGGAGGTGGAGCGGCAGCACCAGGTGGAGGAGGAGTAGCTGATGGGGGAGTTGGAGCACTCGTCGTTGGTGGCGGTGGTGGGGCCGTCGAGGGCGTGGGAAAACTTGTTGTTGGCGGTCGCGGAGGAGCCGCGAAAGGCGGTGGAGGAGGAGCTGATGGTGGCGGTGGTGCAGCTGCTGACGGTGGATGTGATAGAATGGATGCTGACGGTTTACGAGCCGATATCGGGGGAGGTGGCGGTTTCGGTGCTATTGGCGGTGGTGGAGGCATTTTTGATGGAAAGTCGGATTTGGACCGAGACGGGCTTTCTGAATTAGGCCTGGGAGCAGGTTTAGGTGGAGGTTTCCGTAGATTCGCTAACAACGAGTTGGATGGAGGGGATGGAGTTGAATTGGTCGACTGCGGAGATGGCCTTAGAGAATTTAGCCTAGATGCCGTAGGAATATTCCGTGGAGTCGATAACGGTGGTTTGGCGAGCGATGCTGCTGAGGCCGTGATAGCTTCTGAGCTCGAATTCTGATCGGCTCCTGTATCAATACCTCCACCGGTTTTCCTAAGCTTCGGCATTCCCACTCCAGCGAATATTCCACCAAGCTGGGGGGCACTCGGAAAACCACCTCCATTCGTTCCCCCATTGCTTTCGCTCCTAGCCCTGTTCGATAGCCCAGGGATTGGAGGGGCGAGGCCTGCTGGGGGTTTTCCCAACCCAGACGTGACTGTTGTTGCTGGGGAATCCGATATCCTAGGACCCGATGATTTGTCAACAAGCGGTGCGGACCTATCGTTCGTCTCAGTTTTCTTTAGCTTTGCGCCTTTTGTTATGTCACCCAGAAGAGCTCCCTATGCTCCATGTTTAGCCAAGTTCTTTCTCTTCTGTTGGCATGCAACTCACCCGGTCTTTAGGTACTGCAGCCGATGGTCTCGAAGTGTTGTTGCTGCCTTTTGCTCCGGAAGAGGGAGGAAGTGGAGGAGGGGGAGGTGCAGACCCGCCGAAACCTGGCGGAGGTGGTGGTGGAGGAGGAGGAGGAGGAGGAGGTGGTGGTCCTGGCATCTTTACTGAGACTCCACATAGAATGTATGGATACCTGACACTGCTCGTTATCTACAATAGGGAAAAGATAATTAATTCGTGAGATCTCGTCATCTTAACTTCTAGAACGCTGTTGCCTCCGATTGGGATCTAGTTGGGCAGCGCTGCCGAGCGGAAGGCGCCAAGACTTCAACCCTGTAAGGTACTGACCCAAGGACGAGAGAGCTAAAATCTGCTACGTTAATGAAATGCGAACGTTTCCGTCCACTTGTAAATCCTCTTCTGAGCATCTATGCCGAAGTCTCTTGCCTCTGAGATGGGCATCTCAGCAACGCCAGCGCGACCTCAGAGCCGTGAGGGAAGCCCTAAGCATCTTGCCGATCGTGAAAAGAAGCTCGCAAGCTACTGGCCTTCATCCCTCGGCAGCCGCATATTGATTGAAATTGAATAGAAGAAGATCACAAGCCAGTGATTGAGACAAGCGTTCAATCTTCATTGAGGGCCGATTCCTATATAGAAGCAGTGTCAAATACTGAAATTACACGTGCGCCTAAAGAACCTCCCTGGCAGGTTGAGACACTATTAGGCACCTTGGATTGGGACCTTGAGCATTGAAAGTAAGGTATTGTGCACGATGATAACTTTCTTAAATTGAGCTACTGGTATAGCTGGGGTAATTGTACGTCTCCAGTATCTCTCAATGTAAATACGTCCTATGAAGAACAGTGCACAACATTGTCAAGAAATGAACGAGGACAACGGCATTCAGGAAAACCAAAGCCTTCGTTGTCTTTCCAAGTAGCATGATCAGAGCACCCTCGCTGCTACTTCCTGAGACCAATAGCAAATTAGCTATGTCTTGAGCTCCACGCTCTCCGTTGCAGTCGCGGTCGAGCCCGCGCATTTCAGAGTGCCAAGAGTTCTATCTACCAACCATGCCAGATCCTTGCGGCCGACCTCGATGCTCTTCGCAAAATCCGATAGCAATTTTACGAGCTGAGCTACCATTGACTGCGTTATTCCGTCAGTATTGCAACAAAAGTAGCGAGAAGGGAATTTTGCCATACGCTCTCAGATGGGATGATGGCAACAAGCGCGTGACGAATGTCCTTGCAACCTTCGGCGCCACTGAGAAGTTCTTCTTTGTACTGAATCTCGGTGAGGGCAATGCTGCCGCTTCCAATGGACTGGTATTGTGAGCGAAAGGCGCGGTACGTTACAATGACCGGAACCCACCCTTAGCCACTGAATGAAGATTTTGTTTTGAAAGTCGCCGCCGAAAGACCCCCCATCTGCTCTCAGTCAGTGCTGGCGATACGTGGGTAAAATCGCCCCCTCACCAGATGATCCGTTCCAGAGATCTGCCGCCCGCTTGAGGTTCTGGTTCATACTGTCCAGGGTTTTGACAATATCCTGAACAGGTACGAGGTCAGCACCGGATTCTGAATGTGCAGGAACAGGTACAATCAGCGGACTGCGAGGTTCTTCTTGACGTTTTCATCTGTCATACGTTCTGCAAGGTCGCGCACATCGTCGAAATCTTGGTAGGTTTGGCTTAGAGGACCAGCGACCTGGCCAGGATAGAGGTCCGCGACTGCTAGGCAAGCAAGGCCAAGAATCGGAATGGCGACTTTCAAGATGCGACCGGGTTGCATGATGAATTTCAAGAAGAGAGGATCAATTGGAGAGGTGCTCTGCTGGAAGCCCCGAGCTTTATACTGACTTGCCGCATGCTCGACATCGGCCTAAATTAGGGCCTTCTCTTTGCTCCCAAAGCAGCGACTCACCAGAGCTGAAGCAACGCCAAGGTGGAGCTTACACAGCTAAAGGAGGCTAGAGGAATCCTCAGGTAAAAACGGCGGTCGAGCACGGTCTGGACCTGGCGGACATTGCGCCATCGATGTCATTGATTGTCCGGCTTGGGATTGATGGCTATACACGTGTAAGCTGAGATACCTCGCATCCCAATTTCATAATTATCGCATCATTTTGAATTTGCGTTTGGGTTTGGGTTTGCGCCAAATCGTCTCGAGAAATGCGTTGGAAAGCGTCTCTTCGACAATTTCCGTGACCCTCCTAAAGTATCACTTTCTCTACACAACGGGACAGCGGAGTTCCCTGAACTGCCCATCTTCATTCCTCGAGCGCTTGACTGACATCCTGGGGCGAGCTCGGCTGCAGCCACCCAAGCTGGGGAGGTCGCATGATTTTCTACTCCTGCGATTCATATCCTGATGTCTACCTTAGGATTCTTTCATCATCCACAGCCAGATTGCATTTGCGCTTTCGTATCTTTTTTGCCGATAGTTCATCTATGTTTGGAGGCCCCGCCATCTCGTACTTATCGGCTGTTGCCATCCCGTTGTCAGAGAATTCGAACAACAATATAAATGAATCGCTCATGCAGTGACCTTTGAGATAGATCTTCGAAAGCATTCAGCCGCTGATGCCAAGGAGTTTTATCTAACGCACCAACAAACCCTTCATGTCTTTTGAAGATGCAGGGTGGAGGATACGTGCATGTTGTCTGTACCGAAGATGATATCTGCGGTCTCCGATTACGGATCTTTGTTGACTTCTTATGGATTCCAAGTCCAAGTCGAACCCAAAATCATGAACATGGCTGTAGATGTTTGATTGACTAGATGTGTGCTTGCGGAAGACCTCCCATAGTCGCTGCTGGCTAAAGGAATTGCGGCTGAATCGAAGGCCACCGTTACTTTTTCCACTGAAGAAGGTCATTTCTACTTATTGACGCCTCGCTAAGAAGCCAGTCATGATAAAGCCGCCCCTTTCTAGAAGGAGCGCAATTTTAGTCTTGTATGAAAAGATGTCAAGGGTCTTACTAATCTTAAAGATGAAGACTGGAGACTTTGCTGAAAGATGTGAAGCAAAAGACCGCTCCTGCCGGCCACGGTAATGATAAGTTTCGCGGCAGTAAGGATGGAGCATGGCAAACAATAGATCAAAGGTGGAACACAAAATACAGGCCTCGAAACATAATACTCCCGAAGAAATTGGGCACCATCGAGAGCTGAACCTCGGCTCTTTAGACGATTGATATCAGTCAGGACAACAATGAGAAGTCACAGCCACTATCGTCAACTTTTTTGTTCCACAGAAAGGAGATCGAAATTAGGGCTGCAAGTCTGACTAAGCCCCAACCACTAATCACGAAGGGGATAGGCCGTGGATTCGAATTGTTCGCTAGACTATTTGCGCCTTCTTCCACTGCTAACATCTTCTCGTCCTCACGCTGACAGCCATGGTGAAGGCTACCAATTGCTTACGGCGAAGCTATCCGGGAGTTGTGCAACGATTTCAGGCACGAGGGGCTAATATACTTTTTTTAAAAGGAAGCCTTCGACGCTCGTATGCGGCTCAAGCTGTTGCTCATCTACCTAGCGAGCTGCAGCAGAAAATAGTTGAAACTCCAGATTTGCGTACTCATCGCTCACCAATCACCAATGGCCGCATTGGCAGTGACATATATACGCAATTGAACGAAGCTGCCGAAGTCATTCAAACTACCACCGTACCAACCGAGAACGCATTGCTCGACGCACTGCGCTCATGTCAGCAGCTAGCTCAGGCCGTCTCATCAGAATCTGCACTGAAGAAGCAAAGATCAGACAAGCAATCGGAGGGTTCAGCTTCGCGATCATCTCCTATCGTCGACCTGTCAATAAGACAGTCTAGTCACAGCCAGCGGGAGTTGCTTAGGGACAAGATTACAGACATGGCATATCGAATCGTGACAGATCCAAAAACATTCATGTCTCCATCTATACTTGAAACCTACGTCTCTACGCTATGCACGCTCCATCGTCCGCAGTCTTTTCCATACATATTTGATCTATATGCTGTCAAACCAATCCCGAATCCTGGTACGTCCCCCACCACCTACTCTGAAGCGGACCCAAACAGCGTCAAGGCTGCAGTGCCTCTACAAGTCGCAAGTGCTGCGCTAGATGCGGCCATCGAAAGCAGAGACCTAGCTTTATGTCTTAGCGTCATCTCAACAACAGTGTCTACGCAGGCATATATTCGCAATCGATGTTTGCGAAGAGCGGGCCCGGCTGTAACGGCGGTTGGAACTACGCCTCTTATTTCATACCAACTTGCAGTGGCGTGGGCAGACTATTCAGACAGACTTGAACCGGGCTTTGCATTTTGGATGTCATTTGCATGCTTCATGACCTTTTTCGCCTCGACTTCGGTAACTGGATACGTGGGGGTGACTACGGCGTATAATTCGAACCGGGTCGTCTGGCGGTCAGGAACTCCTTTGCATCGAAGATGGACGCGCAAACAAGAGAGAGAATTTGCGGATCGGGTCGCTGACGCGTGGGGTTTCCGCAGTCATCTGAAGCGAGGAGAGGAGGAAGGCGAAGAGTGGGCGTTCTTGAAAGAATGGACAAAAGAAAGATCAATGCATTTGGATAAGCCAGAGCTCATGGAGGGCATGGAATGAATAGCATTTTTAATTTGAATACCTGTATCCGCAGCTGCAGCGGCTTTTTCGCTCTGGTCTGGTGCAGGTATTCAAAAATCGGCTGCTACCAGTCATTTCACAACATTCGTCAAGACTTGCTAGTATTAGCAATCGCCCATAACGAGCTGTCTGGACTGTTCCAGTACCTGCATACCTTTGATGTATACGGACACATTCACAAGAGCTTTGACATAGATAGGCCGACGAGGCATACGTCCCCGCAAAGGTGTCCTAAACTTGGCTGCAACGAGGGCAACCCAAGTCGCAAAGTTCGTCGTCTTCCGCGTTCGGAGTGGAGACGATAGCCAAGGAATGAGATTTGATATCTTTGCAGGATCGCGGATTGGCCTTCATGCACGCCCAGCCGGTCCGACCTGAATGATTCCTTTCGGCCTTTGTTCATCGCTCCTGAATGTGGCCCAACTGGTGGCCTCACCCTTTTTGAGCGTGAGCTCCAGCTTCGTGCTCATTATTTTGAAAGTTGACTCGGCAGGCTTGATTGAACCGAAAAGAGGAACTTCGGCCTTGTACTTCTTGTGATCTGTAGTGGGAAGATCAAGAGAAACAGAACTGGGCGATGAGAAGTCGATTTTGGCACGATTTTTATCGATCTTCTTAAGGAAGAAAGACGCTATTACCGTTGATGATGTCTGGTAATAGTCATGCCTAAGTAGGACTATAAGTCTGTTATACATGGCTTGATTGAAACACATACCTGATATCACTGACTTTCTCCTCCTTCTCTTGCGAATTTTTGCTTCCTACAAACAGATGTCTTGGTTTTTGCTTGCAGCCCTCAATCTTCATGAATTCGTCAAATTCCAATACTCTCCTCTTACAACAAGTCCAACCTTTGCTGCCCTCGTGAAAAATCGGGTGACCAGAATGATGCACGCAATTTTCGCCCTCTCGTGTTGACATTATGTGTTCGTTGGAGCTGGTCTTGCAGCCACGCCTTCTGCATGTCAGATTCAGCGGGACAGCCTCCAATGGTCCGTCCGAATCAGTTTCTTCCGGCGCTGGGGCCGTATGTGACGGCGCGGTTGGCTGAGGGGCTTCAGCCACAGACGTCCGTTGGGAGTCTTTTACAGGCACAACAGACTTTGCCACTGGCGTGGGAGTGGGAGCATCTTTCGAAGTCGAGGAGCCTGGGAGAGGCTCGTCCTTTTGTGTATCATCTATGGTAGAATGTTTTCCAGTCGTACAAGGCGGGATTGATAGGAATTCATCAAATGTGAGGAACCGAGGTTTACAACATTTCCATCCTGCCTCGAAGGTCAATATGAGGCATTCTGATGGCGCACTGGGATGGGCTGGCAGACACCTTTCTGACCCTCGTGAAACTCAGGCGCACCGGGATGATAGATGCATGACTCTTCAGGATCGTCAAAAGATTTACCGCAGCCCTTATGAACACACTTCTGCGACATCTTGTCCAACGATTTCGGCACGCTGCGCGTTAGGGAGCTGTTAGATGTGTGAGATGCGGAGTCGCGGGAATAATGGAAGGCTTCAACGGCTGGCCAAACCCTCCTCTGCGCCAAAATTGCAATTTATCCGAGTTGTATGTATTTGAAGTAACGAGTGCGTATTGAAAGGTTTGTCGTCTGACAACATAAATGATGAATTTCGTAGACGAGGCTGACTGTTTATGCTGAAGCCTATTGAGCATTTCGGTCGGTTCAAGGCGATTCTTACAGGGTTGATCAATCACTAGTATGCGTTAACTGAGAAGTCATCCTGAGCATCGCTCAAGACTTGGACTAGTTGGTGTGAGCATTACCTAAGGTAACCATCAAACATTTCTCCTTTTGATCTCTTGCTTCAATGGCAACATTATTAGTCATACTCTCGCAATATCCTGTAGTCGAAAGGCTTATGCCCCTCCTCGGGCTGGGTGACTTAGTGCGCTTTTCAAGGACGGACTCGCAAATCCGTGCTGTTTTGCATGGGTTCAGCACCGGTCAATCTGATGGATGTCGAGAAATGTTCATTGGTGACCATGAAACTACATACTGGAAAACATTAAAATCAAAAACCCTCCTGGAGTGCGCCGAACGCTCTCACGCAAGAGGAAACCACAGGATCAAAAGCTGCCGCATGTGCTCGTTGCCTACATGCGAAGCCTGCATAATTAGAGCCTCTTTTAAAAACAGACATGAGGACACCTTTCACCGCCGGTATCGAAACATGTGCTATGAATGCTGGGTGGGCGATAGACCGCACAAGAGACAGATGTACGATTCTCAAAACCAACCACGTGTTGATCCTCAACAAGAAGTTCACCAAATCCAGCGTCTCTGTGTATGTTCCGCGGGCGATGGCCATCTATGCCTAAGTTGTAAGCATATTCAAAATACCAAACGGGACGAGGAGATGGATATCTGCTTTGGAGAGAACTGCTCTTCTACGGATACTTTCGAAGGCCGCATATGCCTGTGGTGTGACCTACCCCTACCTCGCAATCGGGCACAATCTCGGCGGGAATACGATACCAAGCATCTGAGTGCCCGATCACATTCGACTTATGAGCGTGTAGAGGACAATTCAGTTCCAAGCCTAGAAGGTTTCTCAGCGTCGATGGTATCTCACAATTACACATTTCACTACATGAATGATTCCCACACTGTACATGACTGTCCTTGCGGGGAAAATAGACCGAATGCATCACAGCCTGAACTTTTATCTTGAGGTGACTTCAAGACCTGGATTAAAGGGCGAAACCGAGGGCGAGTGACGTAGCTGATATTGGGCGCAGGACCTCATCAAGCTATTCCCCTCTCAAGAGAAAAAAGGTTTAATGCTATTTCCAACATGCCAATGGAAGGACGAGCTTCTCGCGATGTCTGCAAAAGAATTTCTCTTGCACGCCGGTTCATGGCCTTTGACTCAGATGGTGCTCTCCCTCGACGAGAATCCAAGCCTTCGAACGTGTCTCAATGACACAAAACTTTCTGCAGATAGGAAAAGGAGCTCTGTTCGGCGGGAAAGAGCTTCCTGTCCAAAAAGTCGCTCCTTACCTTAGTAAAACTGTGTAAGTTTGGCGCGTGTTAAAATTCTTGCCCATTGCAGGCGCAAGCCGAACTGGCTCTAGACAGTCAACTCTTAGTTTTGCAAGCAAAACAGAGTAGAAAAAACAGAATTGAATAAATTTGTACGCAAAAGTCTCTTCTTATAACCTCACACTGGAAAGATACTGGAATGGAATTAGAAAGATGTTGCCAAGACCTGAGATGTGCAAAAAAAAGGTAGAAGGGCTCACCCCCAGTTCGGATTTCTTGGCGTATTGCTGAGCTTGGCAGCGCAGCCCTTCTATCAACAAGCCAGGGAGGTCCCGTTTTTCTCCCCCCTTGCAGTCGTAGTCCTAGGCTTGGCACTTATTCCAACGAGTCAACGACAATAACCTCTCTCTCATTATATTCCGGATCAGACCATTTGACCACCAAACATGCGATGAGCATCTTGTTCTCCGCATCATGGCGACCATTTGGCCATAATCTGGCGGGCCAGCAATGGTCTCGTGCGAGTCTGCGGGAATTCAAGGCGACCTGCTCACCTCTCCACTCAGTGCAATCTTCACTGCTGCGATGGAGGCACTCCCCCAGGAACAATGCAGAGAGCCACCTCATCCTATTATGGCCTACAAGTCGTACTGCATTTGAGAACCATTGGTTCAGGGCTCTTCGACCTTCCCATACTGCAGCTGCAACCCAAATTGAAACTTCCCAACATGCTACCTCAGTGTTGCCAAAGCCGGACGTGAAGACTGCCTTCGCGCTACCAGCAAGAAGAGTAAATTCAATATTTAGGGGATCTTTGCCTGCGGGAGACGGCAATGGATTGCTCGCAAAGCTACAAATTCACCGCCAAAAGGGTACATTAGATGCGAAATTTGATGCCTCAGAAGAGGCCATTGAAGCAGGCTTGAGATACTTGCGAAGCCGGTATCCTATGGACGAGGATGCAGCAGTGCTTGCTCGGGTAGATCAAGAGCTGGAGAATGAAATACGTTTACCTCAAGAAAAGCCCGAGCTAAGCCCGTACGCTGAATCCAATCTTGTAAAGATACGGCAGGAAAACAAAGCTCGACACGAGCGTGAAGCGGCTTTGGAAGTAGCACAGGCTAAGCGGCTTGAAGACACAGACAAGAAGAGACGTCAATTGGTCGCCGTAGCGTCAGCAGATCGATCAGTCACAGATCCTAAGACAAAAGAGTCAACAGGTTTGCGCCCCTTAGAAGAGCCGAATCGCAAGGAAGCGGAGTGGGTGACTCGCTACAGGGAGGAGGCAGAACAGACGGAGATCCCTGACATCTCGACCTTCAGACGGCTTTGGCCTTCTGGCGTCTTCACTGTCGCAGCTGTCACCCTCTCGTATCTATTCGCACAGAATTACACGCCGCCAGAAAAGGCCGCACGCATATTCTCCGAAAGCCCGCCGGCTGCAGTTACCATGTATGCGATCTTGGCCGCTAATGTATTGGTCTATGCTGCTTGGAAGACACCTCAACTATGGGTCGCCCTGTCGAAGTTCTTCATTATTGTGCCCCTAAGACCTAAAGCGCCCTCGATGATACTGGCCGCATTCAGTCATCAGGATTTCATTCATTTGGCGCAGAATATGTTCTTTATGTGGTTCATTGGCGTGCGATGTAAGTTTTGATATCGCATCTAGAGCCCTCGAGATTTGAAGCTAAGCTCGTAGATAGTACACGACAACGTTGGCAGAGGACCATTTCTTGGGCTTATCTGTGCTAGTGCAGTGCTTGGTGCTTATGTCACCTTGACGACCTTTGTCTTTCGCAACATGCTCTTCACCTCAACTATCGGGGCTAGCAATATACTATGTGCAATGATTGCGGCACAGTGTATTCTACATGAAGGGTAAGCCTTGCTACAAATGCTAGGTGAAACAGCAATACGCTAAATCACGTTAGCGTTACGGTGAAGCTCCCATTCGTCTTTGACGAGTGGACGGCGTCCATGAACACAGGAGTAGTTCTGGCCATATTGATAGCTTACGAAATCATAACCATGTGGCGAGGCGGCCTCATCAATCCCAAGATTGTCGAGCTGCACGGCTTCACACCCGATAAGGCTGGCCATCTTACTGGCTATATCACTGGAACAATCATGGGATGGTTGTATCGCCAGCACCACGCAGAATGGAGAGATCTCAGACGAGATAGCTTTTGGAATCGGTGGGTTCCGACCACCGAGGCAGACCCAGCCAACCTTAAGGCCCACGGATCGGACTCGATATCTGAGGGGCCAGGAAGTTAACTCCGTTCAGGCGTGATCTTAGAGGTAATGGATCCTAGTTGCGCCAAGGATGATTCAACGTGCCGAATGGAGGCAAGGATGACATAGAGAATGGATAACATAACTTGGCATATTTGCGACACCCCACAGATACCGTCCAGCCGCTCAAGCCGTCTATATCCAGCACTTTACAAGCAATAGCATTGACACAGAGAGCAGAAGGTGGATCACCGTCGCCGAAGATTGACTGACTGTGGACAATTATTTCGGTTTCGTTTGGTAGGGGCCACATTAGAATTCATAGAAGCTAGCTAATAGAGCTAGATGATAAGAGAGGATAAGTCCAAAGTTTCACGACGCATTATCACGAACGCTCGAATGGTACAATGACTGGCATGAAATCCAAAGAGCAAGCGCAAGGCATGACAAAGCTGACTTGTGCGCGTACGGGCTGCACGTATGTTAGTCCACGGTAGGTGAACAACCCCCTCCGAAGATTGGGGAGTGGAAAGGAGACAGATTGAATGGAAAGCAGAAAGCTACTCCAATGAAAACTGTTCAATTACTATATGCGATACATAATTTGAAGTGGACTACAAACCCCACGCACACTCTTCGTTGGGTATCACAATCGCCACCAAATGCAAACCTCCCTACCAATTTCCAGAGACGAAGAAGATATCTACAAGCGAAAAGCCCAATGATTCTTTCACCTCCTCACATTAAATACCCTTACCCACGCTAAGAGTAGGAATACTAAACCCATAACCCTCCGTTTTCCCCTCCTTGTCGTGCTGATCGATCTCAACCCGAATGCTGACATCCAGGCCTCCGGACAAAGTGCCCCGATGCACTCCACTAGCAGCTACATGTTTGGTACCCGCACCTTCTTCTCCGGCATGCAAGAAGGAATGGCCGTCTTTCTTAGCTGGCTTTGAGCCCGAGCTCGCTTGTTGATCGATCGCTACAGCTCCATTGGTGGTAGCGGTGCCGTTAGTCAGTGTCCCATTCTCCGGGGCTTCAGTGATGATGGCATAATTCCGACTAGGCATGGTGCACTTGTTGAAATTGGCGGTTTTTTGGCTATTACCGGGGTCTTTATCAAACATGTTCATCATTGTCTCGTCAGTGTGGTGGTCGAGGTGGTGGATTTTGTTCCGCCTCGCGAGGAGATTGGCTACCGCTTTCGGAGGTGGTTTGTTGGTGATAGCGGAGGAAATGATATTGGGCATATAGCGATGATCTTGCTCTGGTGGGATTTGCAAGCTAGGTTTGGAGTAGAAGCGGCCCAAGGCTGCCAAATGGACGTCGCCACCTAGGATGGAAACACGAATGTTGTTTTCTTCGGCGATAGCTTGAAGACGGAGGATGAGATCCTTGCGCTCTTTTTTGTGTTGGCGCGCTGTGTAATGATCATCTAGGTCATCGAGTAGATCGACAGACCCATCGAATTTGTTGAACAAGCCGCCAGCGATGCCGAAACGTTTGCTGAGGAGCCGGATGGGACCGATAATGGGGGATTTGAGTACGTTTTCCAACCAGGCCAGTCGCGGATATGCAATGGGTACGCCTAATAACACGATCAAGTGTCTTATATCAGGAGAGGCTGCTACTTCGGCACGAAGACGCTTGAAGAGGAGGTCGTAAGTGTCTGGGTAGTTAACCTGATGTCTTGTTCGCTCTGTTCGCGCATCGACACCCAGAAACGCTAATCGAGCACCGAGTTTCATGTACAAGGACCGCGACCGCTCTTCTACATAGGGACCTGGTCGAGCACCAATGATCCAACTGTTTTCTGGTTGCTTTTCTTGAAGCACGAAGGTATCTTTGAGGTGCGCAGGATCAGCGCCAGTGCTACCTGACGGTGGTTGAGCATGCATAGTCTGCCCGGCATCCGTTGTGAACGTCGACCTAGGAGGCGGTGTATGGTGTTGGAATAGATTGTAGTATTTCAAAGACACGCCGCCCAAGCCGCGAAAAACGGCGCACTTCATGAAATGATCAGTATATGAACCAAAGCCGTCAATGATATCGTGGTCGTCCCAAATGTTTACTTGTGGTATCTGCGCATTGGCAGAGGCAAAAGGTTCGGTTGAGAACCAACGGACGTAGTTGTCAAAATAGAACTTATCGCAAGCTGCTCGCAAATCTTCCCCGAAAGGATATTCTCTCCTTTTATGTGGATTGTTTATCTCCGTCCACTGCTTCAACGGACCCTTCACGCGAATGCTGTCATTATAGATTTGATCACCTCCACCAATCATGACATGAAAGGGCTTGGAGTCATGAACGCGAAGAACATCGTTCCATAGCGCTGGGCCTGACCAAGCGTCCTCATCGGTACCGACGGAAAAGCCATTACACGAATGGAACATAATCCGCATAGACTGAGAGGTAGAAGGAACGACGAAAGTCCGCGCTGCGGAAGTTCGCGCACTGGTGCCCGAGAGGAATCTTATGTCTATCAGGGAATACTCCCAGCAAGCTTCATACTCTTGCAGTGGCAAATCGATGGCGAATCGCCAAAAAGTTTTGTCTGGATCTTCGTACAGTTTCACAGCGGTGACGACCTCAACTGATCTGGGGTGACTCTCGGATGATTTATTTGTCTGTGCTTCAGGCCAAGCGTGGCCGCGACATTTCAGCGTTGATTGCGGTTGCTTCTGACCAGGTTTTGTGACTATCAAGACGCTGCCATGCCAGAGAGGCGCGCGACCTGGGGCAGTCGTTGTGCCTTTGTAATTCAATAGAGGACCACACATAATGTCCAGCTCCTCCGTTGTGCTGACGACGGGCGGCGCGTTGCCGACGCCATCATGTTGTGGCGCCGCGCTGTTGCTGGCGAGCAACGCGCTCATATTGGAGACCTTGTACAATCAAAGGCGTGATACGATGTGATGACTGTCAACATCGGTATGATATTACTTGTTGGAGGTCATTACTTGGAATAGAACAAGCCGGGGGTCTATGTAGTTCTGTCGACCAAGAAAGGTTGGAGAGGGGCGGAAAGGCGCAGTCAGGCGTGCCATGTAGTGATCACTACTGGTGACCGATCAGGATCCAGGATCAAGGTCAATCTTGGGAGATGATGTGCCAAGCACCGAAGCCAGGTGCAGATGACGATTACGACCTTACGAAACGAGACTGATTGGAGAAGACTACGGGAACGAAAATGCACTTTTCTGGTAACTGGGTAAGGTTGACCCATAATGGATAATCTCCTAGCGCACCCTAGTCCTCTCCTTTTTATATTAGCATCACTAGCCCACAACTCTAGGCAGCGGTGGAAATGCAGGCGCATTGCTCAATTGTTACCATGCGGGGAAACAACAAGTGCTATTTGATCGATGGTATCATGTCCTACTTTACTTTGCCACCAAATGCAAAGGCAAATGCAAATATGGTCTTTCTCGCATGTCGCCTTCTAGGGCTGTGGTTCATGCTGCTCGTCTCCGACAGGTCTCATGCAGCTATGCTCACTTCTCGCCAGTAGAAGCTCCTGCTGGATACACTGGGCTAACGATCTGTACATCCTGGAAGTTCGAGACGTCTGTGACGTGCAATAGATCGTTTCATCTTCTCAAAGCATATTCCCCAGGTGCTTGTACCCTGTTATTAGGGTGGCACAATCTTGTGGGTCTCTCTAGCAGCCTCGGCAGGTATAGAGCCGTTGGCAATCCAGATATCAAGCAGAGGTTGCATAGGCTCGGCATCCTTTTCCGTCAGAAGTCCATAGAGTTTAGCTACTGTGCAGAAGTGGACGAAACATGAATTCAAGTCTGTCCATCCTTGAGAGTTGGATCCGCTGCTTAGATGCCAGAATGGGTCTACCCAATGCGAATGATACAAATGAGCGTAGATGCGAAAGATCTGACGAAAGCAGGTTCGACAGTCGTTGAAGAAATTCTCCGGAAAGCCTACCTCCCGGCCAATCCAGTCCTTACCGGCCAGCTTTGAGAGAGGCGTACTCAGGGAAGTTGGGCCTGCGGCGATTGGTCTTTCTGTGGTTGGGATGCTGACGCTACCGGAAGCATATGTATTACTGGAAGACGCATCTGGCATGTCCGTTGGGAATGCCTTTGGATCGTGAACTTTACCATTCATCCATCGCTGTACGAGCGAGATATACTGCGACGCTGATACTGAGACCGGCTGTCGATTGTTGTCAAGCCACGTATATGTGTGCCTTCACTTGCGTCAACTTTGAATTTCGCAACCAACTAAAAGACTCACCGTCCAGCGGACATCTTAGGGCATGTGTCAGCATTGCATATCGGCTTTCCAGTGTTCTGATCTGTCTCCTGAACGCATGCCACGATAGTAGTGACCAAACGATAGTTCTCGACCGCTTTTTAAACATTAACCAGTCACAGATAGATGACAAGAGCATATAGGCTTACTTTGATGGGCAAGCCAATCAGCAATGTCTACATTGACAGGCTGGGCAGCCAAGGGCATGAAATTGCCTTTGACTCCGAGTTTCGCATACTTATCGCGGAAGAACAATTTGGGCTGTTCGTTAGCCGTAGGTGGAAACTCGGGCGCGCCGAGATGGTTCTCAGAGGATGGCGTTGTCGGTGAGGCATAAGAGTTTGAAGACGTTTGGTTCGACATGATCCCTGGAACGGTGGAGGGATTGCTATTAGGGACGCCGTTTACCCGATGTTGACCGTTGGCACCGTCCGCGTTCTGCTCTGGCTGACGATTGAAACCTTGACGACTAGCGTCAATCAGCGGCGAGTTCCCTGAGAATGGCCATAACACGCATTTTGCAATAGAGAAATTACACCTGAACAAACAGCCATCACGACATTGAAAGTCTGCCACTAACACCGATCACGCCTCTGGCTCAAACATATGATGGCAAACCATCGCACCGCCGGCAACAAGCATCAAGCAAAGCTTTTAGAACTTTTAACACAACACCGGAGCTAATGACATAAAAAGGTCTTCGTGACATTTCGAAGAGTTCATGGATGATCAACTTACACACTACGAAGGAATGAGGCCATCATCTGGAGAAATGGGGGACTTTGTGTGGATCATAAGGCCGATCCTCCTAACGTCATCCCCAGAACTGCTGCGTGAATCTTGGTTGTTGGCGACTTTCTTTATTCATGTGAAAACTCCTGCAAGCCCCTTGATTCACCTAACCGCGCTACGGCGTCTAGAGCTAGAACTAGGAGCCGTTCCGCAGGATCTTGGCAATACCTTCAACCGGGGCGCGAGTCATATAGCTTGCAGCCAACGCTGAAGATTTCGACTGTCCTGATATAAAGGTGGTCGGGCCTTTTTGATAAGCTATGCTAGGAGAAGCTCTTGACTTCACCTTGTGAGGCGATTTTTGGATTTTTCTGTGACATTTATCGCCCAAAGAATGAGAGATTCGAAACGGGCTTCAGATTTGCTCTAGCTACTCAGGCTGTCGCTTGGGTATCAAGCACAAAACACGGGGCCAATATTGAAGATGTCGGCTTCAGAGAGTGAGGTTGAGGTCAATGGCCATCAGAATGCAACGGACGATCATCTGAGTGAAGAAGATGCTGGCGGCCTGTTTGGATCGGGCTCGGAAGACGGTGGTTCAGGGTAACACGTCATACAAGCAAGCTCCAAAACTTCTCGCTGACTCGCTGTGAAACAGTGATGAGAATCGCAGTAGCAAGAGGCGCAAACTTGATGATTCTGAGCTTGACTCGGGTGACGATGAAGGCAGACGCGACCGACTCAAAGAGCTTGTGGATGAGGAGGACGATGCCCCAGAGAGGACTGCCATTATCACAGACATCTCCATTGGCCGACATCATGGTCCATCGCCTAGTGATGGAGAGGTATTAGTGTCCCGATCGTAGTGTCTACTACAATTGCTAATGGGCTTCAGCTCTACATGCTTCAATTCCCGAGCAACATCGGCATTAATCCGAAATCCTTTACACTAGATGGCTTTGAGCCTCCCGTGACCGATCATCACTCCTCAGGCCCCGCTTCTTCAACCTTCTCTGCGTTTGCGACGTCTAACAACACAATTCGATGGCGGAAATCACCTAGTGACTCTTCTGTTATTCAATCTAATGCACGAGTCAATCGCTGGTCAGATGGCTCCCTCACTTTGCAATTAGCGTCCAATCCACGGGAGCAGTTCGAGCTATCCGCAAAAGCGCTCGCTCAGCCTCAAGTAAACCCCAAGAAACCTACTCCGACATCTGTCAAAGGCAACCGTAGCAATCTTCAGGCCTACGATTCGCGTCTGGACTCTCACACATACCTTGCTGCTCCTCACGAGCATGCGGGTCTAATGAGGAATATTAGACAGATTACAGTGTCCCTAGCCGTCCAATCATCCGAGCAAGACGACGATGCCCTTCTCCGTCTGCAACAAGGACTTGCCGCCGCTGCGAGAGGCAACAAGGCGACCGCAGACGGAGGTGTGGAAGTTATCAGCATTAACGAAGATCCTGAGAATGCCAAGCGAAGAGCAGAGCTTGCAGAAAAGGAGAAGACGAAAATGCAGCGCCGATATCAGACTCAGCAGGAACGGGAAAATAATCGCGCGAATAATGTGCTAAAACGCTCCGGCCTTCGTCCAGGCGGTATGGGTGCGGGTGGTCTCACGGTCGGTGGATTGGAGGACGATGAGATGATGGGCTCTTCAGCACGGAAAACCAAATCGAAAGCTAGAAAGCCCAGAAGACGCAACGATGAATACAGTGATGACGAGGACTTCGGAGGGAGGAGACGGACAAAGGAAGACGAGTATGATGAAGACGACGGGTTCCTGGTCGGTAGCGATGAAGAGCCTGAGGTAGTCGATGAAAGCGAAGAGGAAGCGGAGGGCTCAGATCTGGACGCTGAAGGTGAGGAGGACGAGGAGGTTATGCCGCGGAAATCGGAGCCAAAACCACCAGAGACTGGAGAAGAGGCCGCTGGAGGGGCCCGGGGAAAGAGGAGGCGGATTATTGAGGATGAGGACGAAGAGTGAGCGCTAGGCGGTGCTGGTTGGCTTGTAGATGGTGGTCTTGGAACCTAATGGTTTGGTGACGCATATTGACTGTAGGATATAGACTTGCTTGGACTTGATACCCCAATCTACATCGCTTTCAGGTGTTCCCAGAGAGATTCAACGAGAGATCCATGATACTTTCTTGCTCTGGGGACGGCCCGTCACTAGTGACTGGAGAATCTCAAAATCCGCCAGTTGAGCTTTCTTTCCTTCCTTCTTCATCTATCATCAGTAGATTTGGGGGTCCCACTTCGGTGGGAAGCTGTTGGTCATCTGTGGTTCCTTCAGAGCCTCTCTTTAGAGAGGTTCGCCCTTGGATGATCTTCCTTTCCCGACTCCCTACAGTGAATATGCCTTGATTCTTTCCTATTCAGGTCGGCTCAGGCGCCCTTTGGGGTTGTCGGTGGGTTGGGGCTGTGGAATTAGGGATACATGCTTTGTCCATCTCACTGTGCGTGATGCTGGCTACGATTTTAGGAGTATGATGCAGGATTCCACGTCGGATTGCGAGCTATGACAGCCTACCGCTGGATTCAATGAAGACTTCATCTCGAGCGTTGGGCTTTGGGCGAGCCTGTGCGACTTATCGATATGGTGATGCAAGATGAATTCTGTTGCCTCGACAAGCTACGCAGGTGGCACTTTAGGTCTAGTTTCAACAATACGGTATCACTGAAGATTTCCTTTCGGTGTACAATCACACTCGAATACTATGATTTGAATCTGCTTCAGTGATCACAGAGTCTTAATGAATCTAATACAGCCTTCTCGGTGGGCTCATGGACGCCTTAATTGTCAAACTGCCCACGTTTTGCCATCCCTTCTTCAGCAAGCTGACCAAGTAATTGATGGCCAACATAATGTTGGCAATCAACTCGTCCTCCGTCATTCCTACGTTACCCACTGCGACACCCAAGCATAGCACCTTCTTCAATTGAAACTTGATAGTTGACTTTACTTCCGTCATTTTATTGTTGAGGTCTTCATTATGTGAAACAGGAGATGGGAACTTGCCGGCTAATAAGAAAGTCATTAGTATGCCATTCGGATGATAATGTAGTAGATTGAACATACCTTTAGATAGACCAGGTCCCAGAAGACGAGGTATCTGCTTGATCAGGGCATCGGAAGCAACGAAGGCATCGTATTTGCGAGCGAGCTTCTTGATGAGTTTCTTGTTCTTGTTAAGTTTCTTCAAATCATCCGCAGACATGGCATCGACGCCTTGGTGCTTCGCGCGATCGATATCATGTTGATCACCCAATATACTGTGTTGTATTCTATTAGCTTTCCATCTCGTGTCCGGCGTCTTCACTTATTGAGCATACCAGATAGACATGCCCGGTCTGGGGACACGGGGCAGCTTCACTGTTCCCGAGAAACGCTTGTCACGCTGCGGATCGTAGTTTTTGAGGCCAATCTGTAGCTCGACGGTCTCCAGGAAATTTCTCTTCTTTTCTTCGTGTGAATATTTGAGAAGGGTCTGAACGTTCGTGCGCACTCCGGCTGAGGCGACATCAGCAAGTGCAACGGTCAAAGAAAGAGAGAGAGACTGGATGGATAAACATACCGACTGTGATTTTCGACATGATCACAACAGTCTTCCAGAAGAAGTTGGGTTTCTTTTGGTGAGGATTTGTGCGCTGCGGTGATGGAGCGTGGAAACGCTTCTCCGCAATCCTGATATTGACTGGCGTGTAGCGAGTTCAGCCCTACGGATATCTCTTGGCGCTCAGCCTCGTGGTCGACCTCTGGCGCTTACTATCATCGATAGACGTGTCCGAAAGCTTTGTTTTCCATCAAATTCTGTACATACATATACAAATGCCTTGATAGTGACTCGTTACTTGCTGGACATTTCAACGATCCCATAAGCGACGCTTCATCCCACTTTTAATCGATATATATGGCTCCTGCTTGATCTTCGAACGGACTAAATTTTCGACAACGTGTGCTGGCCACCAAGGGTATCATCTTTTCCATCCAGAAGCGTATACTGGTAGATCTTGATTTGTTCCGCATTGTATTAAGAGTATCGTCGTCTGCAGCAACCGCGCTTTTCTCGGTTGGGCAGGTCTCGTGACGGCACCATTGACCTGTCATCTGCCCAGGAATATTTTACGTTTACGTCGATCAGATGTGCTTTGAATACTTTTGATTCTAGCTTCTTCTTGGAATGCAAAAAAAAACACCCTATTCTCCGCTTTTCGATAAAGTAGTTCGATATGACGCTCTTTACGTCTTCGAAGTTCAAGGACCTTGACCAGCAGGCTGCCTACGAAGAATGCTATAAGGCGTTGTACAATCATAAGACGCAAAATTTTGTGATTGAATTCGATGATGAGAATGCAAATGTTGCAATAGATCTTGACGCGAATTCACTTGGCGACTTCCTAAATTTCAAGCGTCCAAATGCTTCAACCACACGATGGATCAACATATTCTCCCCCGAAAAGCAGGCGGAGCACATCGCACGGATTGCTATCAAATATGGCTTGTCACCACGACTCCACGGCATCATTAAGTCAAAGCATTTCACGCCAAAGCGGAGCGCTGTGGACGGTCCATCTGTTCCACGACCAAGTTGGAGCGCACGAAGTCCACTCAACACCAAGCTTTTCTTTTCTGGTGTCGTCGACCCAGAGAAGGCGAGTGACCAATCTCTGGAGTCACTCGATCCACCAGCTCTTGACGTAAACCACTATACCATCGTGGACCAAGTCTGGCATTTTTGCTCCATTGATTGGAGTCAAGAAGCACTATGCATTGGCTTTAATTCACTCCCGAATTTGTCGGTCAACAAATCCGCCGATCTCTACAAAGACCCATCGAGAAACAAGTTCAAGAGGAAGTTGCGAGATAGCCAGCAAGCTAATACCCTGGGAGACAACAGAAACAGTAAGCCAGGTGGTCATCGGGTCTGGACTTGGCTGCTCCTCTGCGGTGATGATACGGTCATCTCAATTCATGAAGACCCATTTCCATCGCATGAGCAGGGTCTCTCCCCAGAAGATGAAAAGACACTCAAAGTTGTGAGGAGGAATCTGTGTAATGTCTTCAAGCAATTGTCAAGGCTTAACGAGAACAAGCGTAGGGAGCGTCCGATCGAAACGCTCGACATCCGGCCGGGCCTACTCACTTTCGAGGGATCTTCAGTCACTATCGCGGACTCCGCCGGTTTACTTTTTCATTACCTGTTTGACGACTGGTATACCACTTACGCCCTGGTTGCAAGGCAGGGAGACCAGTATGCCAATGTTTTGGACATCTTGGTAAAAGGCTATGTTGTCGCTGTAAGAACTGCGCTGATGTTTAGCAGCGCACAAAAATGTTCAATCGGGCTCAGCTAGAAAGGGTGGAGCAGCTTCATCAGACTGGCCGCCAGCTTGCAGTGTTGAAACGGATGTATCAAAGCTATGTACTCATCATCGACCAGATTTTGAACCGGCAAGGGCGTTCAAAGCTGCAGCAGGCACCTGATGGTACCGGACAAGGAGGAGGACAGATGGTTGAGCAAGACAATGAAGCCTTCAAGGCCCCATTAACGCCTAAAGCTGCTGTCAAATTCGAAAGGCTGAGAGACAGAATCAAGCTGTATGCATTGAGCGAGATTGAAGAATGTCTGCAGGAGAAAGAGACATTGACCTTCTTAGTAAGTTCTCATCATGTTGACCCTCCTTGTGGGAAGACGTCTGATTCACAACTTGCAGAACTTCAACTTGATTACCATGCGACAGTCAGAAGCAGTTGAAAAGTTGACGCGGATTACAATCTTGCTCGCCAAAGTGACGATCTTGTTCATGCCGGTCAGTCTCATGACAGGGTATTTCTCCGTCCAGATTGAGGACCTCACGGGTGTGTACACGGCCAGGACATACTGGGTCTGCTTCGCGGTGATCATGTCACTTTCATTCTTCTTTCTGTTGGTGTTCGGAGTGATCAGCCATACATTGGAGGGCGGCATGATCTACAAGTCGATCACGAAAGCGACCCTAGACATCGCTCGAGCGCCATCGACACTGTTGAGAGGACAGAAGCAGCATAATGGATGAAAGAGATGGATTCATTTGGGCATGAAGACCTACCGTGTTGTTGGCTGGAAGGATGTGTTTTGGCAAGATTTGCATTCCTTTTGATTGTATGAATAGACGTTTTCTGTAGAGTATGACGGCCAAGATGAAAAGGATCGGGAGATGGCTTCGAGAACGCCAGACATAGATTTCCCGCAACATTCTTGACCAAATGGGATACTCAACTTCTGGTGTACTACTGTCATACATCATCCAAAGGTGCAATCTCGATTCCAAGGCCAAGGACTCGATCGAGGGCGGCGGGCGGGGCCGGGGGTGCCTTGCAGGACGTTAGCACTAGAACTAGCTCTGGCGCTGGGGGCCAATCTGCTGGAGTTTGCGCACAGCAAGGGCACCAGAGGGTGGGAAAGTTGTGACGAGAATGGAGACTAAAAAGTGGTGATGTCAAAGCTGTTGATTTGCACTTGATGCGACCCCGGTTTGATTGGCTGTCACATCTATTGACGCCCCAGATGTGCGCAATCACGTTCCTCAGACTTGTTGGTTGTTGACTCAGAGATCAAGTGAAGAGTGGCGAGAGCACCCCATGACAGAGTTGCTAGACCATCAACGAAGTACTGAGAAGATGGATGTAAACAGCAACAAGCAAGAAGAAGCCAAAATAAGACACACCGACTGCCAGTCTGTCAGACTGGATGAGATCTTAGGGCCAGATGATGGTGCTGGCCGAACGGTCGAGAGGGTCCGGGGATGCAGGCTACCCAAGATGCTAAGCCGTAAGCCAGTAGCTAAGCCTTGCGGATCCGACATAGAACTTCCCATGGAGGCAAATGCACGGCCATCTTCAGAATAGCTCGCGAGCCTCATCAGGTTCGTGTGAGCAGCAGGCAAACACCCGCAACGCGCGTCTGCTGTCCAACAGAGCAGCCAATATAGAGATAATTAATAGAGAGCCAGAGAGAAGGATTAGGCATCTCATGAGGGCTGTGGAATTAGGTCGAGCAGGCTTGCCCACTCTGAAACGGCTGTTAGGGATGACCTAATCCCCAATCAATCTAGTGACCGTCATCTTCCCCGGTACATCTTATTAGTATATGCATTTATTTTGGCTGATGAGCTGTAGCTTGTGGCCTGCCAGACCTTCATAACTTCATCACTTCACCACCTTCTTCCTTGCCCTCTCTCTCCTCACTCAACTCAATACTGCCACCGCTTGATTGAACGTTCATATCATCACATCCCTTCCAAGTCAACCACCCAGCCCATCGCCCAATGTAAGCCCACCCTCCTTGCCCTTCTGTTTGGTCTCCTCAACACCCACCACTCGCAACACTTGCGTCTTCAAGGATCCCTTGCTAATGAGGAAACCTGCAGAATTGATCATTCTTCCTGCAAAGATGCAATTTCTCGCGGCAGTTGCCCTGTCAGGCCTCGCTCTCGTCAACGCACAGTCAGCACCAGTCCCGGGTGTCACAGGGCAGCTTGGTGATGCCGCCGTAACCACTGGGAACCCATCGGGCGTGACCTACATCGCAACTCTGCCTAACAAGGCGACCACCAATGTAAGCCAGTAGAGGCCTTGTATCCATCATCAGACCCGCTGAACGGTCCTCAGATTCGCGGATACGTCTCGGCCTCGTCCAACGCCGATGGCACCGGAGTCTTCTTTAACGTGAATTTGTTTGGCTTCCCATCAGAATCTCTCGGTCCTTTCCGTGAGTTCTCCTCATCCCAGCCAAAGGTATCTCCATCCTCATGACCAGTATAGTGTACCACATTCACGACCAGCCCGTCCCCGCAAATGGCAATTGCACAGCAACCCTCGCGCATCTTGACCCCTACATACGCGGCGAAAAGCCACCATGCGACCCAGCACACCCAGCAACCTGTCAAGTAGGTGATTTGGCTGGCAAGCATGGCAACATCACGTCACCTGGCCTACAGACAAGGTAAGCGCATTTCTCAAACCCTCCCGACCTACCCTTCCCATCTGCCCTTCCCTCTCCCTCGCCACACCACAAGCTGACTCTTTTTCCGCACAGCTACTCAGACCTCTATGTCGCAACTAAGCAAGGTCTCGGCTCCTTCGTCGGCAACCGCTCCATAGTCGTGCACACCTCCAATACCACCCGCTTGACATGCGCCAACTTCGTGCTTAGCAGCGGCGCTTCACCGAGTGGAACCGGTGCCTCTGCATCCGCGACTGGTGCTGGATCAGGAAGCCCAACGTCGCCTGCCTCATCGCCTATTGCATTCGCTGGTGGCGCCACCACGAATTTCATCAGTGGCGGTGTTGTTGTCGGGCTGGCCTTTGGCGTGATTGCTTTCCTCTTGTAAAAAAATCGTGATACAGGTTCAGGGAAATGTGATGCGTAGGATAGAGAAGCTGCCATGGCAGTTTCAGCTACCAGCAGGTAATACAGAAGTACGCGAACATGTATCTAATGCACTGAAGAGAAATGTCGCATGCTTGGAGGAAGAGATCTGCATTGTGGTGACATACTCAAAGCAGTCGTTCGAGGTGTCCCTTGCCGTTATTGAAAAGCGCAAGACAAGATAGACGAAAGAACATGTAACACTAGCTGCTACCATAATTTGACCCTTGAGTCCTGTCTGACATCTCGCCTGTGCAGTCGTTTGAGCAGCTCGGAGAACATTCTTAAGATAGGAGAGAAATCTAAGACCAAGGAGAGTACCTTACTCTTGTGCCTTGAAACCCTTGATGCGAGAAACACCTAAAAGTCCTTGATTGATGCAAGACATGAAGAACGATCTGGTAGTACAACTCGCGAGGAATCTGACAACAAACAGAGAACACCACAGCACACAAACGAAAGAAGTGAGAACTAAGTGCCGCAGGTAACAAAGGAAACCCCGTTGATTATGTACGCTCCGACACATCATGAGAAGGTTTCCATGTGCGAGAAACGAAGGAAATAGGTTCACCATATATACGGCCCTCTGGCGCCCCCCGTCTCCACACCATGAGAAGGTTTCCCAATCTGCCCTCTACCATTGGCTCGAGGCCATTGATCCTGGCGTGCTCAACCACCGAACCTCTTCACCTCACCCCACTCCTTCTTGTCACGATCTCCCTCTGTAGGCCTTATCCTAGCATTTGTATGCTATTGTTCGTAGGACTTGGTTGGATCGTGCTACCCCTGACATGCTTTTCCATGCTCTTGATACACATTCAAGTCGTACCGAGTCGCTCTGATAAAGTCTGTCAGTATGCGAATCGGAATATCGAATCCTCTTCGATACAAGCTCGAGTAATTGTCCACGTCCTCGTCGGATGCTGAAGCGCGAGGTGATCGCTTGCTGTCCAATCCGCCCGCTATGCAGGTCGATGATGGTGCCTCAAGGGGCGCGATGATTGTCGCTGTCGCAACTTTGCTAGTTGTCCTCTTGCTGCCCTTTTCAGAAACCATAGATAGTCGTCTCTGTTGGCGTGCGGCAGCATCTGATGTAACCTAGGTTCTCTCTGAGAGGCTGTTGGCCCGGACATGATTCCAGCTGTTCTTTCGAAGCATTCACAATTCTAGAGATGCAAATTCCCTTTTCACCTCAGATCTCCACCCTCTCCCTCCTCCTCTGCTGCATCCTTGAGCACCTTACCCTTAGCATGATCTTCCTCATGCGCCCCCTTCAGTGCACGCGCAGCACTCAACGCCGCCCCCTGGCAGCAGCAAAGCCCGTTTCTTGCTCCTCAAACACTATTGGCTTCGGCCACCCTCCCCGTCTCTTCGACCACCACTCGAATGCCTCCACAACCTTCTCTTTGACTGCACCACCCACAAGATCCTGCCCCACAACCATCACGACGTCAATCTGATTTCCAAAGGAAGCCCTGCGGAGGCGTCTTGGGAGGACTAGAGCGGAGGATCTCAATGCTCTCGAGCACGCCTCGTCATTGCTGAAAATATGCGCTTTGAAGGCGGTGGCGCCGGCCGTCTCGTCGACGGTTCGCGCATGCGGCGTGCCGAAACCTGAACTAAAGGAGAAAGAGGGAAAGAAGCTGCTGACGAGCGCAGAAGAGTGGTATTCGAGCACCAGCACGTTCGGATCCTCTGGCGCATCTGACGCTTGTAATTTTGCCTCCGCTGTTCCTAGGGCCGCAGAGGCGGCATTAATTCGCTCTTGCCTGAGTTGGAGGTCTTGTAAGCCCACGGTCTCAAGAGCGGCGCTGATTGTAGAGGCATTGAGAGAAGTGATAGCCGGTACAGAGACGGCGAGACTTGATATTGGGACTGTAAGGCGGGCTTCCACTGCTGAGCGTAGTTCGCCAAATATGGCGCCTAGATTTATCATGTCGTTGTGCTTCTTGCTTTTGCTCGGGTCGTAGTCATCGGCCCACTTCGAAGATTGAAGATAACGAGCATTGGACTCTAAAATAGGAGATTTGGAGACGGCATTGTCTGTGAGGCGGCGCATGGTCGCCGCATAGTCGTCTGAGCCATCAATGGAGGTGACGTCGTAGGATGAACCGCCAACACAGTTGATTGCAGCTGAGCTTAGAGGTTGTTAGCTCAAACAAGGATTTGATGAGAGGGGATGTACGTGTGATCAAGTGCAAGATCGAAGCCGACTGCCACGACACACATGTCTTCAGACGAAGAATCGGAGGATGGGAGTGGGTTTGCATGACTGACTAGGGCGCTGAAGAGGATGCCAGCTGATAGGACTGTGAAGATTGACCTTCGAGGCAGGTTGTTCATGATGCGTGAACCCCTTCACGTCACAGCAGCTGAAAAGGAGAGTGGAGAAAGAAAGGGAGCGGAACGCATATGGACACTCGAGGGAGATGTGATGTAAAGAAGAGAAAAGGTCAGGCACAGCATCGTGTTCTGTCTGAGGATTCTAAAGCTGAAGCACCGAAAGTATCCTTTGATCCTTTGGTGTTGGCGAACCGTCAGTGCCACCAGCGCCGGCGGTAGTTTGCTGGTTCTACGAGTAGCCTGGTAGTCCGGCCATTTCAGCCAACCACTGCGGGGCATCTGAGTGCCTAGACATACCAGACAGGGGGGCTCCGGGCCTAACGGGAGCGATCCTAAGCCATAACATATTGACGTTCGACGTAAGTGAATTGGTTCAAGTAGACCGGATGAAATCAATATCAATAAGACCAGATCAACGATCAGCTGAGTCATATCGACCAACTTCTCATGCCCGTCATAGAAGTAAGAATATAATGAAATGACAAGAGGCGCGTATATCCCATTCCAAAGAGACATGGTGAGAATTTGGAAACCGTCTCTCCTGGCGTCCAAAGTGAAGAAGCCTGAGTCGGGAGGGTGAATGCCTCTCTACCAACGCTCGAGAAAGGGATTTGAAGATCGTCCTTGTCGTTCGCAAATCAAGCCTGTTCACTTACCTGCTAGAAGATTTAATCCAAAGTTCGGCCGAGATGAATCGTTTCTGTCCATGTAGAGGAATCCCTTTCAGGATGTGGCCTCTGCATATCCTTCCGCTATGCTCGTAACCTGATATTGTGCTTTTGAGCTTCTTCATTTCTGTCGGTGATCTGCATACAATCCGTCAGAAGCGACTTCTCCTGGCCGCAACCCCTTACTCCTTCCTGACCTTGTAGCTGACCCTCCCTCTGCACCAACCCCATCGCTCTGCACATCCCTTCGCTACCAAGTCACCTGCAACCTTCCAGACATCCTTATACGCCTCACTTGCCTCCTCCCACACCAATTGCTTGTCCTCGCAAACCACCCATGTACCCCCTTTGATGTCTCTACCTTGCCCGTCATCCACCTTCTTGTTCCCATGCCTATCCGCGCGTACAAAGTCTCCTCGAAGCAAGTCATCTGCTCGCCCTTTATACTTCTCCGCCACGTGGGTCGCCGCGTCTGCTCGGGATCTTGCACGACCCGCTCCGTGGGCCAGGCTTAGTGCATTCACGCGCCCGAAATCGTTGGTGGTGCTGAAGGTTGGGTGGAGGATTATGGTTGGTGTAGCCCGGGAGCCTGGCAGAGGGAGAATGTTTAGGGGCTGTCTTGTTGAGGGGTGGTACGTTGGTGCGGCGCCCTTGCGGTGAATGTATGCTGTTTGCTGCTGTTCTTGACCCTCGCTGATGGCGTGAGGGTTTGAGGGAGGCCAGAGCGTCCGTTCAATATTGTTATGCCAGATGTCGACGACTTTGCGTTTTTGGATTTCGGTGTACGAGTGGCAGATTTCGTCTGAAGCTACTGGCTGACCGGGCTCGTTTTTGCCAGGACTCCATGACTCTTGACCTGGTTCCAGGATCGAGAGGAAGCGAAGGGCGATTAGGTCTCTATTCCTCTCGGCCCACTGGCAGGCATGGTCGTGCTCCTGGAGATAGTCTCCTGCTTCCGATTCAGGTATGCTGTCGCGACCATTACCAGTATGTCGCTTGAGTATATCACCACCATATCCACGTGATCCAGAATGAACAAGCAAGATGACATCGTTCTCGGAAAGCTCTGTTGATGATGTCGTTCCGGCCTCTCCATGTCCTGGAGATGATTCCTCTACCACTTGTAGTTCAGCAAAATGGTTTCCAGCACCAATTGTTCCAAGTGAAGCATCCCATTTCTGACCTGCGCCTCCTACCTGACCGAGCCAAGTGACTTGTTCTGCATGCGATCTCCATGGACCCTCCAAGCCTCTCAGCTTCTCCGCAACTTTCCTGCCTTTATCACCCTCCACCTGCGAACGAGATAGACTTGTCTTATACCAAGCCATTCCGCACCCAATATCGCTCCCTATCAAAGGCGGATGAATCCAGCCTTTGGAAACAAGGACACCTCCTATTGGATATTTTGTCCCAGGATGTAAATCTGGCTGAGCAACGGCGTGTAAAATACCTGGTAATGACCTAGCCGTAGTTTCTAGTTGTGTGAGGGATAATGAATCAACTTCTGTCTGCCCATTCAATTGGATGACTGGGCAATCGCGACTGGCACCGCCAGCTTCCCTAGTCCGAGAACTATCTGAAACTTCTGTTCTTGCACCAACATAATCTTCTCCTGTAGAGACTAACAGAGTTGCGTCATTCCTAATGGCATCTTGCCAGTTTTCAGTGGTGACGAGTTCCTGCCCTCCACGTGCAAATATGCGACAAGGTTTCTTCAACCTCAATTTTGTTTGGGCAATCTTAGTCACCAATGAGTGGCACGAAGGCGAGACACAAGGGTCATACGAAATTGAGGCCGGAACCAAAAGGATCGTCTTTTGCGTCTGCTCTGTATTGACAATAACTGTGACTCTTGTTGCAGGCATTGGTCTTTTAGAATAATGCAGAGTTCAATGATGATTGGGTGAAGCAAGCAAAGGTTTCGATTTTCAAGGAACTTAAGCACGGATAAAACATGAAAATTGCTCTAATGACTGACCACTGAACTCGTGACGACCTGCAGCCGGTCGATCTTCATGTAGGCAACATCCTGATGACTCACGGTGAAGAAAATGGGGCACAATGAAACGAAGAACAGGCTACTTTGTTTCGTATCAACATGATACAAATAAGGCCACTGATCGTTTTGTAGGATTTGGTGAATTGATGTCGCAGTCGAGATTGAAGAGACGCATCAAGGTTTGCGTTAGCGCCACAATTTACGATCATAGTAGGGAATCAGTGCCTTCACTCAACATTGGATCGTTGTACGACCGTCACAATGTCATACTTGATGAGTGATGCTGAGAGGCAATCTGGACTTTGCTAGAGGACACAAGCCTTGATCGTGCATATGAACACATTTCATTCCGTCCCAGGTCATTCTTCAGGACAATATATCATAGCAGAAAAAGCATGTATGAAAGAGGTTGCCTGACGCTAGACTACCGTTTAGGTGTGTGCACAGTAACAAAACACCTGAACATCTGCCGAAGCTGTTCCCCGCGCTTTGATGCCAGAGCGAACCCCAGAAAGCGCTTCAATCGGCCGATAAGATGATGGATATTGGAGGCAGTCTGAGTGCTCTTGGACGAATGAGATCTTTTGTGAGTGCGTGACAATAACACAGTTCTTTCTAGTTGTGTCCTGCCTTCCTGAGCGAATTGCTCAACCATTCCAAACCTTCGTAAAGACCATCGCCGGACGTTGCACAAGTTGATTGAATATACTTCTCTAGGTCAGCATCCTAAAATGTGTAGTATCTGAAGACACTTACCCAAGCGCGCTGTCTCAGGCTGTGCAAACCAAGCTTATCGGTGATTTCAGCGGCATTCATGGCATTCTATGAGGCTTGATTAACGAAGAAGTCTTGCAATGGCTATGCTTGATGCTTACGGGTAAATCCTGCTTGTTGGCAAAGACTAGGAGCAATGCATCCCTGAGTTCATCTTCATTTAGCATGCGCTGAAGCTCCTCGCGAGCTTCTACGACACGGTCACGGTCATTGCTGTCAACCACGAAGATGATGCCTTGTGTGTTTTGGAAATAATGCCTCCACAGAGGTCGAATCTTGTCTTGTCCACCAACATCCCATACAGTGAACTGAATATTTTTGTACTCGACTGTTTCCACATTGAAACCTGTGTAGTTGAGGAGTGAGTACGGATGTCGTGCGAACGAAGGATTTTGACGAATACGAACCGATTGTTGGGATTGTCGTCACAATCTCACCAAGCTTCAATTTGTACAGGATGGTCGTTTTCCCGGCAGCGTCAAGGCCTACCATAAGAATGCGCATCTCCTTCTTCCCCCAAAGCTTATCGAAAAGTTTCGAAAATGTGAGACCCATGGTGGCAGATGCGGAGGTGGAGTTAGGCGATGAGGGTTACGTAGCACTACACAGAAGGGTCGATTGATGACACCTATTATATCGCACAATTTTGTCAGTACACACTCACGTTTTGGATGGTCAGATTTCTTCAAATGCGACTGCTGCCAATCCTTGCAAGTAGGGGTAAAGGGTGCTCGTAAGCTGAAAGAGATACCAGGCAATGTGAAGCGGTGCCTTAGCTGGCAGTTTTTGATATAATCGATGAGGTTTGTAGGGATCACTCACTGATCACTCTGTATACGGACAGTTCGTTCGTTATACCGACAGTTAGGACACTCGGAGGCGTCGATGCAAATGGTCGATAAAGGCCACAAAATCTTCCCAATAGATTCTTGGCAGCTGAAAGCGGGCAAAAGTATCGCCGGGTTTGCCGGATATGGTTGACTCTCCCCTAAATTCTCTTTCTCTAGGACGAGGTAGAGAACATTGAATAGCTCTAATTCGAAATGCGAAAGTAGGAACCAAGGCTTTGCTCATAAATAAAGGCATCCCGCTCTAGGCAACATTTTGTGTGATGATGTGAACAACAATGCATCTTTCCTTGTTTGTTCTTCTGGACACGGTACACGTTACGGAGAGTCACTAGGCAACTGCTGTTTGAGATTCAAAGTAAGATTACTATCTGCACCAGCTCTCTCACATTTGAGATTTAGTGAACTATGTGTGTGGAACAGACATATAGCGCTACCGCACAGCTTGGCACCGACACCGTAAATCGCACTCAAGCCATTCGACAATATAAATGAAGGGTATCTTCGCCAATAGCGCAAACGGACCGTATGAAATGATGCCCCACAATCTAAGTCAAAAAAAGACGAATCTTGCAATTGCGTTTCACTTTACGCCTGCAAGATACCTCTTCCCACTGAAACTCACAGCGCTGTAAATGTCCCTATGCGAGGTCCAAAGGGCTCTTCATCTCTTGCGACGTCGTAGTCAGCGCTCTGATAGTCTTCGTTCGCTTCCACTGCGTCGTGGTCTTCCCCAAATACCGCAGCCTCAGCGGCGTCTAAATCATAACTGCCCTTTCGCATTAATGGTGGCGTTGTAGGTCCTTCTTGGTAGTTGTCCCCAAGGCTTGGTTTTTGATGGGGCGTTGAAGGCATCCCCACAGTATGCTGTGCTGAAGAACCTGGTCGTGATCTAGTAGCCTGCAGCTGAGGTGTGGTCCTTAGAGTCGTACTTGGCGGCGTTAGCAGGCCTGAAAGAACGCTCCGCGGCGAGGACAGCTTGGAGGGCGTCTCATTGACCGAACCTTTGGCTAAAGCGCCGAGGTTGCTATAGCCAGAGTCGCGATTCCTCCGCCAATTTGTCCATGCAGTTGCAGCCGCCATTGGCAAGGCCCTTGGGGAGGCTGTTAGGTTGGTGATGTTGGAGAGGGAAGGTAAGGGGATTCCCCCGCTAAAGGCGTGTTCTTTTTCTTGCTGTTCCATCTGCATGTTGGTCTTCAAGCGAATGGCAGCATCGCGAACGGTATTCCGATCGAATGATGGCTGAGAAAGATTTTTAACGATATCCTGCAGATCGTCATTGCGAACGCTGAGAAGTTCCCGAAGCCATGCAACCTCCATTTCAGCTTCCTTCAGCTTGGCGGGCGCGTTGGTGTCAATGTCAGATATTTTGGATTCTAGATCTTCAATTGTAGATTCTCGAGCCTGCAGCTGCTCCTGTAGCACAAGTATGGACTCCCTGAGGGCTTGTGGCGACACTTTTTCAGGAGCACTGGAGACCCCAGTTGCGTCGGCGATCACAGTAGCCACGTTGGCAGCCGGTTTACTTGCTTGTGCTGCTTGTGCCGCTGCTTGTGCTGCCGACTTAGCTATCTCCAATCGCTCCGTGATGTGAGCTACTTTATCCTCTAGATGAGAGGACTTTTCGTTAGCGAGGTTAGCACGGTCATTGAGTAATTCTTCCACCCGCTGCCTTTCTTGCAGAGCACTCTCTAAAGCATATTGGTGCTGACTTCTCGATTGCTCGATAGCCTGCTTGTGAACACGAATATGCTCTTGGAGTATTTTATCATGTTCTTGACTTGTCTGTCGCAACGCCGTCTGGTGTGATTCAGAAGCATCACTTAGCATACTTCCGTACTTGGATTTGATATCGTCCGCTCCATTAGCCGCATCTTCAATGTGTCTTTCCAATCTTGTGATTCTTCCCTGAAGGTCAACTTTAATCGTTTCTACTTCGGTCTTCGCCGCTTTGACATCCGTTTCCATCATAGACCGTATACGGTGTGTCTCCATTATGTGAGACTCTTTAGCGACATTTAGGTCTCGCTGCAAGCGTGCCGCACTATTTTGATGCTCATGACTCTCTGAGCGTGTTTGCTCGACAAGGCGATGGAGATGTGCATTGGCCTTTTGTGTTTGCTCGACGTGTAACCGAGCTTTCATTGATTCTCTTTCCTGTGACTCTAGCCTCTCAATTTCAATCTCAAGTCTCTCGCGCGTCCGTGCTTCAGCCTCAAGTCGCGCTGTGAGTAGGTCGAATTGTTTCCTGTGTTCGTCGGCTTTGTTTTGCCACCGCAATTTGTCAACGGACTCATCTCGAGCTGCTGATGCTATATCTTCTTGCATTTTCGCAAAGCGAGAACGTATATGGTTTTGTTCCTTCTGATTACTATTGATTATGTCTTCGGCTGTTATGAGTTTCCTCTCAAGGTCTTTGTTTTCATGCTTCAGACTGTTAACATCAGCACGCCATTGATCATGTGAGAGCCTATATTCGGCCAAAGTTCCCTCAAGAGCCTTGTTCTTCTCTTCTAAATCTGAAGCATTCCTCTCCAGGCCATCGTGTAAGCCCTCAAGCATTGCCTTGTCTTTTAGGTGATGCTGTCGTTCTTCATGATATTCCTGCAACTTCGCCTCGGTGGCTTCCATTGATTCACGGTGTTGAGCAGCCTCTTGTAGCGCTTGTCTAAACAATCGTTGGTTGTCTGCCAAAGCATCCTCCGTCGCTCTGCGAGCTTTCAACTCATCTTCTGCTCGAGTCTCTGCAATATTGAGCATGCTTTCTAAGCCGGCAATTTGTAGCTGGCTCTTCTCTGCTGCTGCTGCTTGGGTGCTAGAGAGAATAGGGCCAGACTTGCCACGCGTTCCCTTTTGGACGGCTTCTTCAATAGCCTTTTTGAGGTCTGATGATGGACTTGCCGCACGCGGAGTGTGTGAAATGGTTGATTTAATTCCGTTAACCGCAGTCAAGAGCTCTTGAAACTGGGCTACGGATACGGATTTTTGCTGTGCGAGCGCGATCTCGCCTATTGAAGACTTGAGCTGCTCATATTTCCGTTCTCTAAGCGGCGACTTGGGTCTCACTTGAGACGAATGCGCAACATCGTCTTCATCGTCGGCGTCGCTACTGTCTGGTCCAAGAGTTCCCGAGCTACGGGGTCGTCGACCTACTGCTCTGCCTTCTGAGGATTTCGAGAGATGGACGAGTGAGTCTTGTATCTCGCCGAGAACCTTTTCTAAGGGACTTAGTCGCTGGTGGATAATATTGCCGACGAGGTCATCAACTCGTTGGTCGAAAAAGGTAGTCTTTGACTTTAGCTGACTTTCACTGACAGAAGAGAATCCATCATCCCAATGGCTTGGCGGTGAGCTGCCAGGGCTGTTCAGGCGCTGTACTTGGGGCGAGTGTCTCGAGGGTCTATAAGAAGGGCTGTAGCGAGCATTTTCTTCAATCATTCTTACCACAGCACTATCGGCGCTTTCGGTATCGGTTGGCGGGAGGTATTGAAATGGTTCTCGTAGTCTGTTTGGACTGGGAGAAGGCGCATCACTTCGTAACTTGGCAGGTGGTAGCAATTGATGGGAAACAATATCTTGAACCGCTTTTCTGGGGCTAGGCTCAACGCCGTGTCCTGAGCTTGAATATCTTCCTGGACTTGAACCTCGTTCGACGCCAATATCTGAGTCATCGTTCTGATTCAGGCACTTCATCACCTCGTCGAGCTCGTCAAATGGAGGCTCTACATGTCTCATGCCATCTAAGATATCTTGTCGTAATTGACTGCCCTCGCGAATGATTTCATCGCGGTCGTGACCAGAGCTCTTGACTGGGCGATCGTCATATGAGACTGATCTGGACATGCGGGATCTCGGGATACCATGATCCCTACCTTCATGTGGTTCAAGCGAAGACTGCCCGGATTTGGTCGCAAAGCGTGCGGGGAGTTCATCAAAATCGCTTGGATGAGACAGATGACGCGTCCGAGTCCCTGTTTGCGATTGATGCAGTGACTGGGCGCTCCGTGAATGGTGGTTCCCATCATAAAGATTGTCATTCTCTCCTGCTGAGTCCGAAGGGGGAGAGGCGGACATATCGTTCACCAATCCAACAAGCAGACTTGTTGCGGCCTCCGCACTTGTTGGTTTGGCGACTTTGCTTGTCGACTTCTTCATTGGTGATGCAGAAGCGCTGGTTGTTTGCAAGGCGTTTGAAGCAATGTCATTTGTTGGGGTGGCAAATTGAGGTACTTGATCGCTATCGTCTTGGTCACGTCTCATCCGTTTCTGCCGAGCGATAGACTGGGTAATGCGACCATACTCATCTTCGGGGCTCTCGGTTTCGTCGACTCCCTCATCGATGCTTCTGGGCTTCACAATGGGCACTGCCTTCGCAGCATCAGAAGGCTTGACAATATCCGAAAAGTCAACATCGCTGAATATTCGACTCATTTTGGGTGGTTCTGATTTGGATGCACTCGACTCATTGTCTGTCTGATTGCTCGGTGTGAAAGCGGGAGCATCTGGATTGAAGGAGGGAGCCTTTGAGGAGAAGCTGAATTCTCGTGAGCCTGTGCTAGGCTTTATCTTCGCGTCAACCTGCGAGCTGGGCTCATTTCCAAAGCTGAACACTCGAGACGCAACACTGGGCTTTGGGACTATGGGCGTTCCTGGTGTGAAGGCTGGGGCTGCAGCGTTGAGTTTTGGAAGTGGCCGAGTCGCTGAGGCTTTTCTCGTATGAGGCACAGGCACATTCGAAGATTGGAAATCAGACTGCGGCTGTTTGACAGCTTGTTGACTTGATTGAAAGTGAACGACATCGGCACTATCGGGTTGCTTGGGCTCGAGCTTGAATTCTGGAGCATTCACATTCAATTTGGATATGACGAAAGATTGTACTGCATGCTGATCTTCTTGCTTTGTTGAAGCCGTTATAAGCTTCACGTTGCTGATCTCTTTCTGCACATAACTTTTGAAGTCGTCGTCAAATTTTCTGTGGTCGTCAGATGCTGACAGTGCAACTCTCTCACTCGTCAGAGGTTCATCAGATGCACCACTGTGATCATTAGTGTTACCGAGTTGAGCTTCTGCGAGATCAATATCTCGTTGAAGATTTTTGCTCGGGTTTTGACGATGGTTGCGAGGAATTGGAGTGGCTATTCGTTCGTCAAGCTGAGCTTGATCTACATTTAAAGTACTATTGTCTCTTCGGAATGATGTGTTTTGAGGCCTGCCCGTGAGCTGACTTGTGCCTTGTATTTGCCGATGTGGTTGACCAGTCTGCAAAGGAGATGGATGTCGCTGCCCATAAATAGGATCATGTACCTCATTCATCGCTTGCTGGCTGGAATTTGGCAATGACCGCGGAGTCTCGTTCGTCAGCGAAGCATTGAATTGACTTGCCAGCTGCTCATTTATCGACGGTGAACCAATTCTTGAATTCGATGCAGACGACAGATACGCTAGCGGAGATATGTTCCGGTGAGTTGGTGAGAGTGATGATGTAAATTGAGCGTGGTTGTGCATGGCTTTCTCACCGACTGGCATGGCAATCGAATAACGGGGGAAGTGAGAAACGCCCGGTTTACCACCCTGAGCAGAAGCGAGGTGGTAGCCGGGTACGAATGGTTTGGTCAGCCCAGAAGTCGGCTGAAGGGGCGGTGATGTAAGCAGCGCTGAGCTTTGGGAGGATGCTTCCCTACTCATGAGCGAAGGTGCTGGCGATTTCCTTGATGGTGGCTCGTCATCGCTGGAGGTCACGCCCAAATTTCGCAGTCTCTCCTCCTGCAGATTGCGGACGTAAGTGTCCCAAGCCTGCTTATCCGGTATACTTACGCGATATGAATGATTCGAGCATTCGCGCCCATCGTCATCTGGGTCTGGGTGGACAGCCCGGCTTTGACCTTGAGAGACAAGCGTCGGAGTGCCGGACGAGCTGCGATCAAGAGTGAATCCCCGAGTATTGAAACCCTTTTCTTGCCATACTCTCAGCCGCTGTTCAACTTCTTCGTGCTTTAGGTAGCTTGCTCGGTTTGTTCTTTGACCACTCTCATTCTGATGTGGAAGCAAGATGTAACACACCTTGTTGCGCCAAGTTAGTCGCTTCCTTGAATGTTGGAAGGAGGGCTGTATTGTCAGTGATGGACGATTGACAGGATTGATGAGCTCAACGGGCTCTGAAGTAAGCCCATCGCTAAGAGGGCTGCCTGTTGATGCTCTGGTACGCTCCAAAGGCTTGTCATCGGCCTTTCTCGTAGGCGATGATCTCGTGATATTTGGATCAAGAGGTTCTAGCGGATTGGGCATGTCTGTCTCCGATGCCATTCAGACCCTTCAAGACTTGTGTTGCAGCGGTAGATCGCGAGACCCTCGATTGGGATATCCGCGTATCTTTATCAAGGAATCTGTAAGTATCTGGAAGGTGTTGACCCGGTGTTTGAGGTGAAACAGCTATTGCATCCTGAACCTTTATCTATGATCGAGCTTGCATTGTGTGTGACATGTCCCTTGAAGAGATCGGAAGGATGCCTTCAATCTTGTGATTGCCGAGCAGTGGGGTGGAATTCTGCTCTGTACAGGAAGGACTGCTGTTGCGACGACGGTATTGAGAATACTTGCTGCGAATTGGAATTTCCCGCAAGAGCGTGTGGTGGTACAGAGTAAGGTTCTGGAAGGTTTGGGCGCGATCGGTCAACGTTGATAATGAAAGTCGGTGGGTCAGTCGTTCCAATTCAGATCCGAAACAGACTGCAGACACGAGGAAAATATCGCAGAGAATGGACGACACTTCGTGTACAGCTGAGCATCCTGTAAGGAACCAGTATTCGCTATAGCTTTGTGAGCTCGCGCATCATGTCAAAGGCTTTCGCTTTTCAATAATTTCCAGGTTTACCCGTAATGCAGCTTGACTGAACCTGACGCGCTTGCGCTAACCCTTCCGGAGTCGGATCACGTGCGGGCATTAGGATTTAGTTCTAGAAGGCTGGCCTTGGCTGGATGTTTACAGCGCGTTCACCAGCGCTCTCAAAAGGCAATCAGGAATGGCAGGCATGGTCTTTGAAGAGTGACACTTATAGGATTTGTTGTATTAATATGACCACTCATTAAATACCTTTTCTAATCACACTTGTAACGATGAACTTGCGCGGGATGACCGAGACCCAATTCGCTAAATACGGAGTTGTCAGGTCTTGAGCACACCTACCCCAGCCTAAACCGCCCAATGCATGGTACTTTGTGAGACTAGCTTACGGATAGCTGCAGCTGAGGTCCTTGACGATCTGTACTCGGTCTGCATCGAACGCTCCCCAGTGCTTCTCGTCACCTGGTTGGCCATTGAGGCCATTGGAATTTGGCTTCCATGGCTCACCGAATGCCTCGAAATAGAACACATCAAAGTTCCAGTCCAGAGCAGCGCAGACACCCTCTTTGTAGAATTTTTGGGCATTGACAGTACCAGCGACAGCCGTTCCTGAATATTTGTCGTCATGGTAATTGGTACCACCTTGGAAAGTCAGTGATCGATGTACATAGATTGTAAGTTTCACTCACCATCTGTGGGCCAGCCAGTCTCGCCATTCCACAATTCAATTGAATCCGTGGAGCCAGCAACAGATTGGATATGCCCATAGGCTTGTTGAAGGTCGTCGAGGTATGTCGCACTTGCGTTGCTGATATCTTGGGATTGCCAGTAGCCGAAAGCGTTAACAAGCCTGCATGTTTATCAGCATACGAACTTTGTCTGTAGGCACACATTGGGGCTCACAGGAGATTCACACCACCAGTGATCAAATCATCAGCGGTGCCGTCTTGGAATTTGTTCCAGCTGTCTGCTGTGCCAACTTTTTGCTTCAGCTTATATTTCGGGGCTGTGATAGTGTCCTTGAAAGCGTTGATTCTTCTAAGGATGTCCTTGGCTTCGTAACCAGTCCCCGCCTTTTGCTCGTTTCGGTAGAGACCCTCAGACCCGACAGTAAAAGCATAGATGGTGCTGGCAAGGGATCCGTCTTTATCATTGTCGAGGACGTCAGTGATTGCCTTGGTTTCCTTGTTAAATGAGTCGTCGCTGTCACCCCTGCACTGCGAGTCAGCTGGGAGATTCAACCCGACAAAATCTAGAAATCACCATAGGCCAAGAATGACCTTGATGCCAGCTTCCTTGGCTGCCTGCAAGATAGGGAGAGGGACAGTGCAAGGTGCTCCCCCAACATCATCGGCACCATGATCGATGGTCGAATAGGTTCGGACGACTTCTGGGGCAATTTGGTTCGTTTTCTTCAGCTCATTCAGGGCTGCGAAGTCCGCCTTGAATTCATCATAGCCTTTGCAAGAAGAGTCTTGATCATTCAGTCTCATTAGCAACAGGGCTGATGATGAAGAGGTAGTCAATGCAAAACTGACCCTTATTGCGTACACCGATCGCGTATCCCAATCGGCCTTTGGCAGAGACTGCAACGGGGGCAGCTGCTGCGGCGAGCGCGACGGCGGTGGTGAAACGCATTGTAAAAGATCTGAAGGATGCAACGATTAAAAGGGTATCAATCAATAAGGAGCGTGTGAAGTATTAACAATGCGGAAACACCAAACAAATGAGTGTGATGGCGGTCTCTTGAAGGATGAAGATTGAGGAAACGAGAAGAGACGGACAAAGAAAAGGCTCGTTACCCCTGGGCGGGAAAAAGCGCTAGCAGCGACAGCTAATCAGAATCAGCAGCAATCTCAATTTCCAAGGTACCCTGGCCCTAGACAGGGGTCGGCCAATAATAAGCCCCCTATTAAGTTACTAACGCCGTACCTTAGATCTTCACTCTTTCTTCATAGTTCGTACGAGTATTTTACCTTATTAGTCATTACGCGTCCACGTATTGCAGCAAACAGAATGAGGTGCGCTGGCTTTGCTCTCGTGCGAGCATCTGGACATGGAACGAATGGTCGTAACAGGGTACACTACAATTTCCCAACATTAATAGATGTCTCGTCGCAAGGCAAAAAATGTTTAGGGCGGATATATCTTTACGCGTGGCTATCCAAGCCTCCTCAAGCCCAACCCAGACGTCCGTTTTGGACGTTTGCCCGCTGTCAGATATCATCTCGCTGACACCGAACGTACCAGCAGGTCTGGATTCTTCATAATACGAGGGTGTCCAACTCATACGTTTCCGCCTTTGTCTGCTGTTCTTTTCTATTGCTTCCCTCGCCGTTCAGCACCCAAATACTGGCATCACTTTGCCTTTAGATTTTGCTATATTTGACCCATCTGTTGCCACGGCGTCCGGTCAATTGGCTCAGGTAACGGACAGGACAGCTAGATGCAATGCATCAACTTTAATGTTTGGTCCATGTTACCCTTGAAATATTTTGCGCGTAGAGCACATACGAGGAGCCGAGGAAGACTGATCGAAGGAACATCCCCTGAAGCGCGTGAAGACAATGAGCCTCTGGCACTGATCAATCGTAATCTGAGTTGAGCAAGTCTTTTGTAGTCGCAGCGTTCAATTCTACAATTGTAACAAAAGCCATTTCGAACGTGGTTTGTTGTAGTCCTGAGGCAAGAGTTTGCTCTATTTACCAAAGGGCGCCATCGCCAGGGCCGCATTTACATGGAGTCTGTCGACCAGGATCACTCTGAATCCAAGTGGGCTTGGCATAGCAATTAATAGTCGTTCAGTTACCCTTTCTGGTGCATTTCAAAAAGTGTTCTAACCGAGAAGGCGTTCGCCAAGCATATTGTATGTGGTGGCATCCCCTCGGTCCGTTTTTTTCTGCTCCTCAATCAACAGATTTCCAAGTTGAACAATGTCTCAGGATACTTACGCCAAGGTGTTCCATTTGATAGACAGTGCTCACGGCGAAGACCCCAAAAAGGTTACAGTCAATGGGAAGGAGACGCCTTACGAGCTTCTTTATAGTAACAAAATGAGTAATTACCTCGAGAAACGTGATCCGTCAGCGTCGATTGTTTTGCAAGTAGCAATACGTGCTCAGCATCTTCGTCGTTGGGAAGTTCCTCGAGACTCGTATCCTATGACTAAAGTTGGTTACCATGGCTGGCGTACGTTTCTGAAGAAGCGACAGGCGGAACTCGCTCGGCAGATGTGTCTTGATAGCGGATTTCAGGCGGATGAAGCTGACAGAGTGGGTCACTTGATACGCAAAGAAGACTTGAAGCAGGATCAGGAAACGCAGATTCTGGAAGATGTGGCTTGTCTTGTGTTTCTCGACGATCAATTCGAGCAATTCGAGACGCAGCATGATGAAGCTAAGATTATATCTATACTAAGGAAGACTTGGGGCAAAATGACAGAGAGAGGGCATGATCTAGCTTTCGAAATACCCATGAGCGATAGATGCAAAGAATTGGTGACGAAGGCAGTGAGCGGAGATTGAAATTGCCTTAAGAATTTGCGGCTTCTTTGGCATAAGTCATGTTCGCGCTGTTCGTTTGCTCACGAAATTCTGTGATATGATCTGGCACTACGTTTACGCTTCCAGAGCCTCCAGGTACAGGTTCACCAACCATCTCCCACATCGGCACCACTCCCGTCCAGACTCGGCTAGTAACATCCACTCTTTCAGTGTCCTTCTTTTCATCGTGGGGAAGGCCCCTTCGAATCTTTCCACTACCACTCACGACCTGGACCTTCAAAATCGCTGTCGATCCCAACTCAGCGTTGTCAGGTGGGGTTCTCGTTTCTTTCCACCGCCCAGCAATGACAGACTCTGTGACCAGGTTCATGGCCCAAATCTTCTCGTCATGGTCTTCTACGGGCCGTCCATAGCCGAACAGGATAGCGGATCGGTAATTGTAACTGTGAGAGTTAGGTGTCAAGCTGAGAACTATCCCGTCCATCTTTGTGGCGGCAATCGTCAACGGAAGGCCTTTCTCTGGGCTTGATCGAGCTTGCTTCATGAGTTCCGAGCTGATGTAACCATGGAGGTAGCAGTCCTGTGGCTCGCCCAGGTCGGCACTGGGATACGCATAAGAGCCCATGACTCCGATCATTGGCAGTACTGAAGGAAATGGGTGGTCGGGGGACGAAGAACTGAATGAGACATGAAGAACCGGTGTTCTGTTTATGATGCCGTGAATCTCATGCAAATCATAGGTACCTAGTTGCATCAGGATTCGTGGGCAAGTCAACTGCAGCCAAAAATGATATGCCATCTGGAAGACTGAAGAGCTTACCTCGATCGCTCATCCGATGTACTGTGTTGCTCCGAGTCTTTGGATATACTAGATTTCTTCCCATATTGGAAGTCAATAAGAATGAGATCTACGAATGGCTAACAGCAGTCCCTGTGCTGGAGCCTCGTTAATGATTCCACGATCGCTTGCACTCAACCTCCTTTCACCGAAGTAGAAGGATTGATGTTATCGTCCGATCCCCAAAACAGCATACCCTTCCAAGATCTGAACGCCAATCCTCAGCTTCTTCTTGAAAATGGAATGAGCGCGTGCTCAACTTCAATTTTACACTATCTATAATGCGGGAAGCCTTGTGAAGATGATGCGGGGAACGTTGACCAGCCGCTTGATTTCTGCCTTTCCATCTACGCAACCTTTGACATTTTGCGTCCTTTTCGTTCTGCGAACTAAGTATACTTGCTAGCAACCGTGTACTTGGCCGTCTCCTAGTCAAGTTGTGCCAAAGAATGACAGCCAAAGCTTCAAACAAGCCTCGAAGCATGTCACCATCAATCGAATCTCATCTGTACCATTCAGCTAACCACAAATAGGCCTCGAACCCTCTCTGAAGTCCCTCTCAATATCCTCCACCAAGCCCATCAGTAAATCCCATCAGCCTCCCGAATCTTGGGAAGAAGAAGCAGACTCATCTTCATCCACACCCATTACGTCTACCCCTTCCACACCAGTTCAAGACGCTACACCTGGCCCTCCCCCACCCACGCCCATCTCACCCACCCACGGCCGCGGTAAAAGCACTGACTTCGCCTCCTTTCCCCACACCGCCCAATCACCACCACCAAGAAGCTCACCTCGGGATGATCCACGGTCTGATCTTAGAGACACGGAGCGGAGGCCAGAGAAGAGCAGTGCGACGGCAGGAAGAATGATCGCGGGTGCGCTGGGGGTGAAGGGACCGAAAATGACGGAGGAGCAGAGGCAATATGAGAGGGTTGTCAGGGAGAAGGAAAGGAAGAGAGTGGAGAGGGAAAGGGAGGAAGGCAATAGAAGGGAGAAGGAAAAGGAGGAGGCGAAGAGTGCTGTGTGGGATGATTGAGAATGCGAAGAACATGTTTATATCAAGGTTTGCTTGGGAATTCAAAGACTGGGAGACCTGGAAAGTTTTGCCTTGCATGGTGGAAGGATTATCAGCTGGCGTTCTCATGACCTGGGTACTTATACGTTTGAAGGGCATTTGCATAGCACATCAGGAAATCCAGCAGGGGGCATTGCATGCTCACAATGCATTGTCTAAGATACGGTGTAGCTTTTGCAGCGTGAGTCATGATTTGCATCAAGATAGGAGGTAGTACTTGACTAATGTAGTACAATAACACGATTCGAAGAAATCATGGCAACACGTTTGAGTTCGAGACCTTCGCGCTCAGAAAAGGCGAGTCTCTCGTTGAGGCAGAGATTATGTAGTGTCATTCCACATTTCAGCAAGACCATCTATGATCGTCAGGTGGTGTAGTGCAGACGGGAAATGTAGTACTGCAATGATATCAAGTGTGTCTCCTCTGCAATGGATGTGACCTTTTGCGCCCCTTACGCCCGCTGTAAATGCAGCCTCGATAAGCATCATGAGCCATGTCGAAAGAGGAAGAAATTCCTTTCGAAATCTTGGTCTATCGCATGTGTTGACACAATTGTCCCTCGTATTTCATCATGTCCGTGGAATTTGCAGAATGTATCATTTCGTTCAAGACTAGTTTTCGCCGCCAATTTGTTCCTGGTGTACCTCCAGCGTGTCACCGTCGTCCATGTCAAGCTGTTATTTCTTCAGTCAGTGGCTGTCATAACACTACGATGCTGGATGGCAAGGGGCGTACCGAGTGGGGCGTGTCGTTGGCATTTACTCTTGTTCCTTCAAAGAGAAAGCGCACACTCGCCATCGCTTTGCCCTGGCGCTCACAGAAAGCTGTCATGAGTTTATTGAGCTGAGTTGTGCGCTTGATCTTGAAGAAGACTTCGTTGTTGTTATCCGTAACTTTGATGTTGAGATGCTCGGATTTTGGCTGATCCTCTTGGTTTCCAGCAGCACCGGGGGATTGTTCGTTATCTGACATGTTAAAATATTCAAGGCGAGGTTGATCGGTAGAGTGATTTCGCGGCCGATAGTCGCTTAGTGTAAAAGTATTTGCGAGAAGAGGCCTGTAGTTGAAGCGATCAGTATGTGAGAGGGTTGCAAATTATGATCGAGAGAGAAATGTGACTTGTGAAGCAGGGTGTGGCAAAGCACTGACCTAGTGTGATGTCGAAGACTCGGCGAGAAGGGTGGAAAGTTAGAGGGACAAGGAAAGAAGATGGTTTAAATAGTGGTGTTTGCACTAGCGCGGCGTCGAGAGTGTCAATCGGATTTTCTCTTCCCAGGCAGATGTGCGTCATGCCTTTCACTATCTAATGTATAACAACACTCGTACTACTCGCAGCCGGCTTGCCAAAAATGGTGGGTCAACAGTTCAAGACTGACTATAAACCACTTTGATATATGCTCGGGCGCTAATTATTTCATGCAGCCACCTGAAGAAGGGCTTAAATCAGATCCTCCTTGCCATCCTTTGGCTGTAGGTCCTGCTCATCCCATGAACACAAAAGCTTGTTAATCTGTTGTGCTAGTGTGCCATACAAGGTGAGATCCAATGTTTGGTCAATATGGGAATGCTGAGAATCGAAACTCTTGTTTCAGACTGCCTGCAGAAGCATTCTTACAAGGAAGACAAGTGCCAGCAACAAATAGACGATCTCTACGCCTGTTGCAACAAATTCTATGAGCGAGAAGGTGACAACGCCAGCACTTCCAGCTGCCCCAAAGCGACTTTGTTGCGCTTGAAGATGAGGCAGAGAGCCCAAGGTACCTAAGCTTTTGTGCCTCGATAGTCTGAGGGATTGATGAGTTCAAAGAAGGGTATCTTGGTCTGAGAGAATGTGGCCACTGAATGTATCAGACCTTCACACCTTGCGGTCTGGTCTGCTATTAGAATGAGTGCCCATATCGTTCTTCGAAAGTCGTGAGCACGCAAAGAGATCCTTATAGGATCTGGACAGACACTGAAATAGAATCCTTAAGATTGCACGTCTATCCCGAGACTCTAATGACTATCGATTGACATTGAGTAGAAAGAATTCTTCAAAGCCTGGCAAAGATTCTATATAGTGACTCCGCTTAAGTCCGGCGCTAGCGCTAGCACGCACTACAACCATCCCGCAAGCATGAATTGGACTACTCAACCCTGCCATCTCTCACCACCATGGCTCCAAAGAAGGGCAAACAGCCTCAAGTTCAAGAGAACGTATCTCTAGGTCCACAGGTCGCTGAAGGTCTGATAAACCCACCCACTCGAACGTGTCTTCGACACCAACGTTCCTAACATGGAAATCTGTAGGCACACTCGTCTTTGGTGTTTGTCGCATTTTCGCTTCGTTCAATGACACCTTCATCCATGTGACTGATATCAGGTAATTATCGCCGTCCCAACCAGCCTCTGTTGAGCGCTAATAAGACTCGTCACAGCGGCCGCGAAGTGAGTGCGGCGACCCTTTCGAGAACTCGGTTCTGACCGAAAGTAGACACTCTCTCGTGTCACTGGGGGGATGAAAGTGAAAGGTGCGTTTTGAAGACGGCAGGGGTGATACCCATAGCCTTCTCTAGCATCTGCTGAATGATCGAAGCCGATCGTGACGAATCCTCCCCATACGCGGCTATGTTGGCAGCACAAGACGCAGCAGCTAGGTGCAAAGAGCTCGGAATCACAGCGTTGCATGTCAGGATCAGGGCGACAGGAGGTTCGTTGAATTCATCTCATTGAAGTCATGGCAATTGACCGCCCGCAGGAAACGGCACGAAGACTCCTGGTCCAGGTGCTCAGTCGGCTTTACGTGCCTTAGCGCGTGCAGGTATGAGGATTGGAAGGATTGAAGATGTGACACCTACTCCGTCAGACTCAACCAGGCGAAAGGGAGGTCGTCGTGGTCGTCGTCTATGATTTGCACTACGGATGGATTTCAACTCGATTTTGCTACCTAGCGCCATCATGAAGACCATACACAAGCCAGAAGTCGCAATCCCGAATCGTCGAATGGACACTTTAGATATGGACAGCTCAAGCGTACGGAGCACTCGGCCAAGTCGAGGCAGGTAGTTTCAAAATAAATGGTCAATCAGGCTGTGAAAGGCGCTCTGAACTCATGCCCAATCAAAAGCTGCTTTTGCTTGTTCATTCAGAATGCTTGCCGATCAGGTCTTTGATCAGTAGTAGCAGATGCATACCCACAGGACGGCTCTGAATTTGCCCTGCCAAGTGCATATGAACGACGCCAAATGAAAGGAAGACCAAAACACAAGGCAAAGACTGTTCAGTATTGAAGAGTGTTCTCGCCATTCTTTAACTTTCCTTCTATGATTACCATGCCGATACCGGTATAAATACTTTAGAAATAGTGTCCTGAGAAGGTCCTTGTGGCTGGTTTATGTGCTGGAAGTGAGTATTTTACGTCGTACCGTACGTACCGTATGTAAACAGTATATGTACCGCCATCTTGCCGCGCTAAATTTCGATCGAAATAAACATCTTTTGCATTGTGCAACCTTTCACATCATCCTTAAGAAACGCGCCATGACACGATGATACCGGTCGGTAAAGAATTATGAGTTGACATGAGGGCTCACGATTGCCAATGCAGCTTCCAACGTGCCTCGGGTCCCCTCACATAATCCAACATGCCTCCCAGACGAATCCAGCAAGAGGAGAGCTGGAATAGCTTGCATCGCTCGGAAGCTTCAGGTGACGTTTCGAACGATGAGTTCGCATATTCAGAGGATGTCAGCATGCCCGATGAAGAAGATAATTCTCCTGGTGCCCAGGATTATACTGCTACTGGACTACCTTCTCCACCTACTGCTGGCGATATTCAACGAGCTCTGCATCCCTTGCAAACAACTGCCGATCGAGTTGGGAAGCAGGTTGAAGAATTCGCTGAGGAGCTCGACCGCCTGAGTTGGGCAAGGAGCGAGAGCAGGAAAGAAAAGGGCTGTCGGCATGTTTTGCCCCAAGTACAAGCCTACCAGAAGATTGCAGGCGACACGGCCAGACAATTGCAGACCCTACACGGCCCATCAAAACGTAGACGTCTTTCATCTCAATCGAAAAGACAATCTCAAATGCGAGATGCTACACCGACTTCGAGACGTCACAATACTCGTACCGAGGCTGCATTAGACCGAAACCTAACCAATGTTGACGACCTAATCAGGTGGGAGCAGGAAGAGCAAACATGGCATCTACTAGGCTCTATCCTCCATGTCCAATACCCTGTCGCAGATTCGGAAGGGGCTGAGCTTGAGGGTCTTGCTCCGCAGAGACCTGTGCACAACGACAATCTCCACCACCTGTCTTCGGAGAAAGAGGTGTGGGGGAACTTTCTCGCTACTGACGATCTAGCTTGGGAGCGCCATACAGTGGTAGCATGGCTCCAAAGGACAGCTGATCACACAAGACCTGATATTGAGCAGTTGGTGCACGAGTTAGAGACAGCTGCAGATAGGGGCTCCGGCATAGTAGCTCACAGTTGGTTGTACACTAGGGAGGCAATAAAAAAGCAGAGGCGTCTGCGCTCCTGGCCGCGGGCTTTCGAGCCCAGCGATCCTGGGCTTACCTCGTTACTCAATGCTTCCAAAACCGAACCACTTGTCACTCAACTAGACCCCGACGCAATAACTCGACAACAGCGGTCGTTGGAAAAGCAAGATCTCGCTTTTGAGAGAGCTATGTGGCTCGCTTGCTGGGAGATGCTCCGTCGAGGTTCCTCATGGCAGACAATCAAGGATTGGTGCAATGATCGAGCGGAGTATTGGAGGTCAGCAGCTATGCATGGTGAATTGAGACTGCACCCTTCGAGTGACGCTGACTGGAGCTCACAACTATTGTGGCGGAAAAGCTGTGCTGTGGCCTCTATGGGCAATAGGATTGATGATTACGAAAAAGCAGTATACGGAGTCTTTGGTGGTTATCTAGCGGGTGTGCAACAAGTCAGTCACAGCTGGGATGACGAGCTCTTTGCCCACTACAATTCTTATCTGGTCAACGCATTCGAGCTGTATACCAAGACAAAGTTTGCAGATAAGATACCTGCGCATCTCAGAGAAAACCAGGGAATCTTTGCTGTATCTCCATTTGCTGGTCAGCGTGCTTTGTCCGGAAACCAGCTCGTGGAGAAGTTGAGGCTCAATGAAGGCACAAAGACCGAAGCGAGAGGGCTTCATAAGATGCTGCAAGGGAGTCTTATCGCAAAGAATTTCAATGAATTTGTCTTCAAGCATGGAGTAAGGCTGTGTCAAGCTGCTAATGCTTCGGGCAAATCAAAGATTCTGGAGCCAATGGCTGACACGCTCATTGATGGTAGCTTCACAGCATGTGTTACAATGCAAGACTATGACATGCTTCGACTTATCACACATATCATCTTGATCTATCAAGAACTTGGATTTGACTTCGGCGAAGGAGATAGACGCTTTGCGACTGAGAGCTTTATCGTAGCTTATGTGGACTATCTGAGCAAGGCTGGCAAACTGCAGCTCCTACCATTGTATGCATCACGCCTATCGCAAGACAGAGCTGTGGTCTGTCTAGGAAGGCAACTTCCTTCAATTCAAGCTGATGAAGATCGCCGTACAATGATGGCTTTGATGAAACAATATAAAATAGACATACCGAGAGTTCTCTATGTCTCAACTACTCTGATGCTTGAGGATGCACCAGATCACCCTGTTGACGAATTCAACACCTTCAAATATCCGGCTCTTGAAATTCTGGAGCCTGCTGGTAATAGCGAGACCCTGCTCCGTGCTATCGCTGGCGGCTTCCTTAGCGATCAAGTCACTGATGATCAAATGGATCTGATCCACGGATTTGAATGGTACATGCTGCTTGAGGGACACTGGCAACGAACTATGGCTATCGGGCTTATGATTTACAAATACTTTCTTCGTGGTAAAAATCTTGCGGCGGCCCGGCAACTGTCGCAGGCAGTACCGTTCTCGCATATCTCTTTGACAAAAAGCGTTGCTATGCTTGGTGAAGTAGTTGACATCTGCCAGAGCCCAATATCTGACGATGAAGAAGATGGTCCTCTTGAATCGAGTAGTGGGGCAGGATCAAGAAAGAAACGAGCTCAACGGAGGGAACCAAGTGAGACCAAGGCTTTGAACAAAAAGGTCGAACGTGAAGTACTTCTAAGAGAGTCCGCTACGTTCAGAGGCATGGAACATCTGTTTGTAGCGTTAAATGCAATGGAACAATGGAGGGCGCATGCGGATCAAGTCGTCCAGACTTCCCAGTAGGTTCCTAAGTTTATAGGAGGTCTCCACAATGCTAATCCGAGTCTTCTTAGTCAAACGACGGGACCAGCGTTGAAGCAACTGATCGGGCCCTTCAAGATCGCCTTCAAGCATGTTGAAGACGCCATGCAGCCATTGCTGAGGGGTTGGTTGCAAGAACCCAAGACTGGTAAGTCAACTGACTTGTTAACAATGATGTGAATGCTGACACCTGTACGTAGAAAAGGAAGCGCAAGAGCTGAAAAACATCCGCCTCGCTTGTCTACCAGAAACGATCTTAGCGTACAACAGCATCCTCAACTTCAGCTCTCATTTTGCTGGTCGCGAGATCTTGAAGACTAGCATGGATTTGGCGGTCTTGGTTGCAGAAGAGAATTCGGATCTGGCAGCATGCTTCAAGGAAACTGGAAGGATGCCTGAGCTAGTTGATTCATTTGCAGTGGTAGCCAAGAGCATGATTGTAGCAGAGTCCAAGAAGCCAGGAGAGAAGCACAGGGATGGGAAAAGTCTAGGACTGTGGTCTGCAAAGGTATCAACAGCGGTGGGATCTTGAGTCACCCTCTGATGGGCTTCGATACAACATCGGCTTCCTATTTCCAAACGAAAGATTGCACGACCCTGAGAGTGAGTGTTAGAGATCGAAGGCTACTTGAGAGATGCTGCATTTGATGACAAGCACACTGTGCGCAGCAAAGTGAAGCAGGGACGTTCACAGGAGGAGAAAGTGCCATCCCCACATGTTGCAAGACCAGCCTTGCTAGAGGGAGATTGGCCGCAAAACACATTGAGCTATATGATCTGGATCACAGAGTCTGATGAGACGTCAATAAAGTTCCCAAGCAAGAACATTTGTCTCACGCACCACGAGAGTTTTCATGAATGGCCCGCGTGTCTTAGAAAATTGGCATCCGCCAAGTTGTATATAGAACGGAGAGGCCTGCCAAGTATGATCCACTTCCAAATGAGTACAGATCTGAGCGAAAAGGGTTTAGTTGTGCTTGTTTTTGCCAGTGAATGTATTCATCTCCATCGATATTCGCCCATAGACCGCCGCATACCGTAGACGTCACCACTTCCGCCCTATAAGATGAAGATCAATATGGCTAGCGACTGCGAGGAAATTAAAAGCTGCTCGGCACGACTTGGCAGCAAGCAGCTGAACCGAGCTGAGCTGAAAACAAGCGTGGCTGCTATCATGCAGACTTTATATAACAAGTGCATGTGCCTCTCGCAACTGAACGACTCCTGACACTGCTCATGTTCTTCCAATCTTGATGCAATCATCCACCACTGACTCTGAGTCGCCACGAGCCTCAAGGCGGATGAAGCGTCCCTAAGGTTCGCGTGTTTAGTCTCCGAGAAGGATGGGAGGCCTTGGGCCTCGTTCTGGGGCAGCTAATTCGCTATCGCGCTCGAAGTCTTGGCAAGAATTTGGGGCTGTGCACTGCGCCAAGGCAAAGCAAAACCTCACGGTCTAAACAAGTAACGCACTCCATATGTCAAACCCTCTGCTAGTTCCCTAGCATTACCGTCGGACTACATTTCGTCGGGCGCCTACTCCTACCCCCCCAATACCGTCGCCACCCATGATGGAGATCCGTTGACTTCTCTCCACTGATGGCATCGCTGAGGCAGTCCACCATAGCTTGTGTGAAGCAACCCCGTCCAACTACCCGTGTTCATCGCCCAGAGGACAGGAGGGGGATCTCTTTGAGAGGCAAACCGGATTGGTTTTGCGGTGTGCAAGTATTCTGTGGCTGAAGTTTTACGTATGTCAACAGGGTACCCATGAGTCGTGGGCTGCTTTCTTTGTCTGCATGCGTAGCAGAATTGGCACTGACCGGAACTTCATTCAGGGCAAGCGACAGCGTGGATAGATTTAGATCCTCACTCGCTCCTTCCCTGCTTCTTTGATCACCTACTCGCAAGACCAACACCGTACATTTGCACGCTGTCAACCAACCTTTACTATCATTAATCGTACATCCTACTCCGTCTATACAGCTAGCCTGTAGTTTTAACCATCCATGCCCAAACGAGGCCGCCGTGTATTGGGCTTTCTGGAGCTAGGTTAGGAAGGATATCATGACTGACGTGGTGGCGGATGGCTCTTCGACAACCGGCGCAACGCACGCTGCTCGCAGGCAACGAGCACCTACTATCACAATCAATACTTCTCCGGTACGGATCTATCCATCCTCTGTTATCAAACTCACGTCGACTTGGTACTGATTCAGTGTTGTATATTCAGGGTGATCAGAATGAAGAGCGAGATGAACCTGCTCCACTTCCAAGCGAATCAAACACACCGACGCTAAAAGCTTCACATTCCTTCGATGCTCACCGCCCCGTCTCTCCACACAATGTATCCTCCCCATCTTCCAAGCGGAGCGACCTGCAGCCTCATCATTTCCTTTCAGTGCCGAGCACACGTTCTCGCGGGAATTCTGTTGATTCAGAAGAAGGTGGTCAATCGGTTGGTGGCGAAACTCTCGACAGCGCTTTTGCCTCCATGGCAGGATCCAGCACGGCACATAGCAATAACGATAATATAATGCAAGATGAAGAGGCGCTAAAGCCTGATCCGCGCAACAAAAGTGATTTTGAAGTGGAAAACAACAAATTCGCTTTCAGCCCTGGTCAGATGAACAAACTGTTGAATCCTAAGAGTCTGGCGGCTTTCCATGCGCTAGGGGGCCTGAAAGGTCTTGAGAAGGGTCTACGTGCCGACCGAAATACGGGGCTGTCATTGGAGGAGAAAGATTTAGATGGTACCATTTCATTCGAGCAGGCGGTGGCCGCTGCCAAAGATCAAGATCCCGAAGATTTTGAACCGGTAGTCGCAAGGCGTACTACTACACTTGCTTCGAAGATATCCGAAGACTCCTTCATAGATCGAAAGCGAATCTTCAAGGATAATCGACTTCCTGAGAAGAAAGCCAAAAGTATATGGCAGCTTGCCTGGATTGCATACAACGACAAAGTCCTAATCTTGTTGAGCGTTGCGGCGGTCATCTCCTTAGCACTCGGTATCTACCAGTCGGTGAACCCTACCGGCAACGAGGCCCGCGTACAATGGGTAGAAGGCGTGGCGATCATGGTGGCCATTGCGATAGTCGTGGTTGTTGGGGCTGCGAATGATTGGCAGAAAGAGCGTCAATTTGTGAAGCTCAACAAGAAAAAGGACGACCGCAACATCAAAGTGGTTCGCTCAGGAAAGTCACGCGAGATTTCGGTACACGATGTACTGGTCGGAGACGTTATACACCTGGAGCCGGGTGATATGATACCCGTCGACGGTATATTTATTTCTGGGCACAACCTCAAGTGTGACGAATCTTCTGCGACTGGTGAGTCGGATTTACTCCGCAAACAAGCAGGAGATGAAGTCTATACCGCGATAGAAGCACATCACAGCGTCTCTAAGATGGATCCTTTCATCATCTCAGGAGCAAAAGTATCAGAGGGTATCGGGACCTTCCTTGTCACTTCTGTCGGAGTCAACTCAAGCTACGGCAAAACTATGATGTCTCTACGGGAGGACTCGCAAACGACCCCTCTCCAGTCTAAGCTCAACGTCCTTGCTGAATACATCGCCAAATTAGGTTTGGCTGCGGGTCTCATTCTTTTTGTAGCCACCTTCATCAAATTCGTGGTTGCTATCACCGGTAAGGATAAGCATCTAAGTCCCGATGCCAAGGGACAGCAGTTCCTCCAGGTCTTCATCGTTGCTGTGACGGTGATCGTCGTAGCTGTTCCAGAAGGCTTACCCCTTGCCGTGACACTAGCACTCGCTTTTGCCACAACACGAATGCTGAAAGATAACAATCTTGTTCGTCTGCTCCAGGCATGCGAGACCATGGGTAACGCAACAACTGTTTGCTCCGACAAAACGGGCACATTGACTCAGAACAGAATGTCCACGGTGGCAGGCATATTGGGCGCAGTCCTGCGTTTTGGCGACAAAAGAACATCAGATACCTCAGCATCGACTTCACCAGATTCTCCTGCGAAAGGAAAGGGATCGCTCCTCGAAATGGGCGGCCAGGATAGGTCAGCCAACGATTTCGTGTCTGCCCTGGCCAACGACGTTAAGCTGACGCTAAGACAATCCATATCCGTTAATTCAACCGCCTTTGAGGGCGAGGATGAGGGAGGACAGACACAATTCATCGGTTCCAAAACCGAAACAGCTTTGCTAAATTTCGCTCGTGACTACCTTGCAATGACTTCTGTGAGCGAGGACAGATCCGAGGCAGATGTGGTTCAGATGATTCCATTCGACTCTGGCAGAAAATGCATGGCCGTAGTCATCCGAATCAATGAAAAATGCTACAGGATGCTCGTTAAAGGCGCCTCGGAAATCTTGCTAGCCCGATGCTCGCGAATGCTTTCAGATCCTACCAGAAACCTTTCAGATGCAAACATTACTCACGACCAGATTCAGGCTCTTGAAGACGTAATTGAACAGTATGCATCCAGATCTCTGCGGACCATTGGTATGGTATACAGAGACTTTGAGCATTGGCCTCCAAAAGGAGTCCCCACTCAGGAGGATGACCCTAAGCTGGCTGTATTTGACAAAGTCTTTAAAGACATGACCTTCCTTGGTGTTGTTGGTATTCAGGATCCACTGCGCGATGGAGCTGCTGATGCTGTTCGTGCATGTCAACATGCCGGTGTTTTTGTTCGAATGGTGACTGGTGACAACCTTCTGACCGCAAAGGCCATTGCTCAGGAGTGTGGAATACATACTCCAGGCGGTTTAGTCATGGAAGGGCCAACCTTCAGGAGGTTTGCTCCCGATCGAAAGCAAATGTACCAGATGGTCCCGAAGCTGCAGGTACTCGCAAGATCGAGCCCCGATGACAAAAAATTGCTTGTGGAGATTCTAAGAGAGATGGGAGAGACCGTAGCTGTTACTGGTGATGGTACGAACGACGCACCAGCCTTGAAAAAGGCGGATGTTGGGTTTTCCATGGGTATCGCAGGGACTGAAGTGGCAAAAGAGGCTTCTGCAATTATCCTTATGGACGACAACTTTGCCTCTATTGTGAAAGCCATCATGTGGGGAAGGGCTGTCAATGACTCAGTCAAGAAATTCCTACAGGTTTGTCCCTCAACTTGGCAGACGATTCAAGCTTACATTTCATAGTTTCAAATTACTGTCAACATCACTGCAGTTCTCCTGACCTTCATATCTGCAGTTGCAAGTGATTCGGAGAGCTCTGTCTTGACTGCTGTTCAGCTTCTATGGGTCAATCTAATCATGGATACCTTCGCAGCACTAGCTCTTGCGACTGACCCTCCCACACCTAGCATCCTTAATAGGCCACCAGAGCCGAAGTCTGCCCCTTTAATTACGCTTAACATGTGGAAGATGATCATAACGCAGTCCATCTTTCAGCTCGTTGTCACATTGATCCTAAATTTTGGGGGCAAGACTATATTCTCTTATCAGACCCAAAGAGAGCAAGCTCAGCTGAAAACCGTCATCTTCAACACCTTCGTCTGGATGCAAATCTTCAACCAATATAACAATAGGCGGCTGGATAACAAGTTGAACATCTTTGAGGGAATTACTCACAACTACTTCTTCATCGGCATACAATTCATCATCGTAGCAGGCCAGATAATGATAGTATTTGTGGGTGGTGCGGCTTTCTCGGTTCACCGACTCAACGGGCCCCAATGGGCTTATTCGGTGATCCTCGGCCTTCTCTCTATTCCTGTGGCTGTCATGGTACGCCTCATACCCGATGAGCTGATACGGAAGTGCATTCCATCTTGGTTCGCCGAGAGGGCAAAACCCAAGTTAATGATCACGGACGAAGAACGGCAATTTGAGTGGAACCCGGGACTAGAAAAGATCAAAGAAGAGTTGACATTTTTGAGAATGCTTCGTGGAGGTCGTCTGACTGTTCTACGTTACAAGCTCTCACACCCTCGCGATTATCTCCTACCATCTTCGCGTACTGGCTCCTCTCACTCACGCTCACGAACAAATTCTTTACCACAAACCCCTTCTGGGGAGTTAGGCGGCAGCGAGACTGCCAGTCAGAAGGCGCCACCAACTCCCGAATCACGACGATCCACAACGACTCGACGTGTAGGACGATCTCGCTCTACCTCCGCTTTCGGCCCTGCCGCGGCTATGGCCGGTGTTGTCGCTGGTAGTATTGCGGGCTGGTCACCAATTGGACGACGAGAAGAGGACAACTCAGCTAGCTTTACCCAAACAGATGGGCGGTCTCAGCTGGAAAATATGGAGGGCGTAGAGGTCCATCCCGGCACGAGTCAACAGGACCCGGTAGTCTTGCAGCACCCGGATCAAGCGAGCGGACCTCCAAGTCAGGTACCGGAAATATCGCCTGCTCCCCCTTCTGGGACTTTCCTAAAGCCACCAAAAAGCGACTGAGGCGTGTAATGGATCCCCTTTTCACTTCTGACTGTCCTGTCTTATCAACTAAATTTGCGGTACAGTAGCGATTCGCTCTGACCTAGATAATCATGTACTAGCATACACGGGCGCATTTGGCGCTGATTTGGCTTAAAAGCAACAGCGCAATCGGATCACGATTCTTATGGGTAGCGGTCGGCGTACTTTCGGCACTTGCATCTCTGCTTGTGATTTCTGGGAAACATCGGATTTGTTTTTGCATGGTTAGCGAAACCACAGAATGTGGGTCGACGGCTCTACTTGAAAGGGACGCAGAGGGAGAATGTATATACTGGAGTGGGCAGAGGGAAAAAAGAGCTTTGTAACATATCTGGTAGCGAGAACATTCCATGAAAGCTTTCTCTCAACACCTTGTTCACATTTGTTTTGTGTTCTGTTGGAAACCTTGGCTGCTATGATGTACTAATAATTTCTTCGAGAATATCTTTACAAACAATCAGATCCTTGATGACTTAAGCAATCATAAGGGCTCAAACCTTTGCAACGCACAAGATAGTGCGCTCTTGAATCCTTGAGTCTGGTTTTTTAAAGCTGTGCACCTCTGGCTCTTTCACCTAGATCTTTGTCTAGATCAGGCTATGAAAATTTGGTGGATTCATCCTCAGGAATAATGAAATATTGATAGAAAAAGGCATGCAGTCAAAAGAGGAAAGAGGGCGAGATTCGGGTAGGCATGATGGAATTACCCAGATCGAGTTTCCTGAGCTCTCCTATGAAATCTTCCACGCTGGATAATCTCCTCTTGACATATGGTACACCGGTCGCTAGGCTTTTCACGTCGCGAGTTTCAAGACCTGATGGACCGCCAAATTGTCCGAAAACTCGATTTGCGATTAAGCCTTCTAGTCTATCGATCAATAATGAGATCTGCCTGTTTTAAATCAAAGCATCGTTTTCGTCACCTTGACTGCTAGTTTCGCTTCCTGACGCAGAGTCTTCGGTTGGTGAAATCCACGGCGCACACAGATTCAGCGATGCAGCATCGGATACAAGATCCAGAATATCCTCGATGATCGAGTAAATTGCTTGGTCGACTTCCCTTGAAGATGGCTCACGAGGCAAGGCCCAAAGACCAGAGCGCAACGAAGGCAGAACACTGCAGACATGCCTCCCAACGTGTTCGTATTTACTCTTTAACATCTGAGCATGGCTTGAGACCTGCTTTCCCGGCATAAGAACTTGACCAGGCATCCAAAGTGCCACTTATCCATTCAGACCTATTCCTTCATCTCTCAATCTTGTTGAACCGAAGCCTTTAATTCAATAACCTGCGTGTACAATTGTAATGGCTTCATGGCAGCCGTGTTAGTCACGTTCCTTAAAAGGGGGTACAAATAGAAAGCTTACCGCGGTGGAAAGACTGCTCAGCAGACGTGGTCCAAATACGAGTTCAATCTCTAGCTCTGACCTCAAGCTGTTTTCAGCGATACAGTCGATATGCTAAACAAGACCCGCGTTTAGCCCATCGCTCGAGCCGAGCAAGCTCCCCGTCCGCGTCATGGAAAGGAGAAAGCTCACGATCTGCCTCAGGGAACCCCCTTGTCGCACGACGCGAAGACGAAGTGCGTCGTCACAATGAGGAGTAGTAAATGAGCAGATCCTGGATTTCAACACAATCGGAAGAGCTTGGATTCGTTCATCAAGAGAAGCCATGATGAGATTGGGGACGAAGGGGCGTCACTGTCGCAGTAATAAGGATAAGAGCCCCTTGAGCCCCTGGAAAGACTGCTGCAAGGCATGGGCCGATGACATATGTCTAACTTTGAACGAGGAATGCCTTGCATCTGTAGGGCAGATAGCGGCTTGGATGATACAGCCGAGTCAACGAGTTCGACCGGTCTATGTATTTGGATAAGCATATGTCATATCTTCATGTGAATCCAATGTGTTCCTGAACCCCATCCTCTCCTGCCTGTCCGCCTATTGAGTGAGACTCGGAGCGATATCCAAACATGGTACGAGGCTGATAAGGCTAGACCCCTGGATATGCGGTGAGCGGCAAATGCCAGCAATAGTGGCAAATTGCGATTGCGATTGATCAATTAATCAAAGTGCGCGACCGGCCATTGGGCTGCATTGGTTTAGAACGCCAGCTGATATTCCAGCTGTCAGAGTGTTCATTGGGAGGAACATCTAACCGCCAAACTTTGCAGATAGATCACCTCCTTGGGCCCAGCTTGATCCGTGAATCCCTGCACATGCGACAAGGTAGACAATTCTGTAAATCGTGTCTTGGCCAATATTGTATGTGTGGGTAGCTCCTTCTACCACAACAAGACAGACGCTACCTAGTATGACGATACTTCGCCACTAGTCATTAGTGAGCAGCCGGATAGCCTATGTGACCCAATCATTCAACAATGCATCAGACGTCAATGGGTCAGATATGCAGATCCTAGTCGCAAGGGCGAGTCTAGAAGACATGGCGAGGGGAGCGAAAGAAGGCTAAATGGCCCGAGACTGGGTGAAATCGAGAGGGCGGTTGCGGTAGGGCGGAGTAGATGACAAGCTGGCAAGGTTGAGCGTGGGGATCGGTGTCTGACAGCTTCTCTCCATTCGGTTGGAGTCGTAGCCACCGAGTGGCAATTGAGACTCAGAGACCAGGGCTTCGAAGGCTAGTTCGACCTTGGGACTAATTCAGTGCGCGCCCCGCGTCTTTTGCCTGAAATTCAATACCGGTAGCCTTCTTTTCTCAGAGATGATGGCGGCAGCCGTACGCCCCGATAGTGAAAGCAGGAACGGAATAGAGTTTCCAGAGACCAACATCCATGTCAGACCATGCCTTAGCCTGCACACCGATCACGAAAGCTAGAAGCCTCCAGTATCAAGATCAACTCTGATCCTGTCAGGCTAGGGAGTAGGGACAGCGGGGAAGTTCGCCACACCCGACTCAGTCACACATGTTTCGCGCGCAGCTGAATCTGAGACTGCCTTGATTGGTTCACAGATGAGGTCAAAACTCCTGCGAGGCCTGTTATCCCTCAAGCGTACGATTAAATGTGTCGCTGGGGATCCGACCGTGGTGCTGAAGGCAATATGCCTCAAAGCAGAGTCCAATGGAAAACATCCTGGGCATTAAATGCTTTCACCAAGAATGCCTCTAACCCACAATCGAACGATGTTGATGGGTTTGCGGGACTACAGGCCCCGCTTGGCTTGTCAATGCTTCGCCACAGATGAAGACGCCGGTCTACTGGCCTTCTGGACGAGCCCACCTCCGCCATCCCCGAATTTTGATCTTTTGCGGTATTTATTGGGTTTCATCATCTAAGCCTCGTCCAGTCGGTACTCAGGCCAGCCTCCCTCCATGCATATCGACGGCCCGTTCCATACGCCATTCCTAGGACTGTGCGCTCATTGCGAGTCCCCCCTGTCTTGCATTGGCCCTGTGCTGCTGGCCCTGTGCTGCTAGCCCTGGATGAACTGCACGAAGGTTGTTTCTGGTGCGGCAACACTCTAGACCATCTACCTCATTGCCCAATCACGGGTGTCAGGTATGAACTTGATACAAAAGAAATCAAATAGGCAGGTAGGTACCTACATACAATGATTCTCGATCATGTGGGATGATCGAAGTTTAGAGATGGCAGGATTAGGCCGATGTTGCTCGAGCAGCTCACCGTACTAGCCCTCAAACTGCAGAGGCTCTTTCATAAATAAAGCTAGGTAGCAATCGTCTTTTTTGAATTTCGGGCTTCCTTGCTCAGCGTCTTGTTCTCTGAGCATACCAAATCCCACAGACCACTGATTTGATAAGCCGCAAGATACGCGATTTGCTTTTCAAAGCCAAGCCTGGGGCGCTCGTCTCTTAGTACACTATGCCGTAAGCATTCCCTGACTTGTGTTCCTGCCAGCGGTACTAGCATCAAATCCCCAGTATTGTCGTTCGTTATAGCCCTTGAATAACAGAACCATGCCCACCACCGCCCTTATCTCACTATGTTGTTGAATCTTCTGATCGCAGTCGCATTTCCGCAAAAGAAGAAGTGTGTGTCTTGTCCACTATGACTCAAAAAACCGATTTGAAGTCGGTAGAGTGCTCATATGATTGATTCAAGAGAGACTTGCAGGTCTGCTGACATACGGTCAGTTCGTCAAACAGGAGCTTTTCCCAAGACCATCATCTAGACAAAGATAGGCAGTCAGTGGAACCACAGCAGTATGCCGACCGCGGACTGATTGATGGTAGCATCGCTTATCACAAGGCGACTAGCGATGTCCACAAAAGCAATCCAAGAGGCTCAACGCCGGTTCCAGATTGGCTTCGTGAATGGGAGGCCAAGTGGGATCGCATCACCGATGAGAACCAATCGCAAAAGAGAGGTCCACATGATAAGATCTTGTTGTACATTCAGAACACTAATACAAAAAAGGAAAGCCAAACCTGTGACTGCGGCAAAGGCTTGCTTATGATGCGAGCCGGAATGACACACAATAGAAGCCTTGAAGGCATCAACTACTTCGGGCGTGGGTGCTGAGGCAGGTGATGTGCACGTAATTCCAAATCAAGAAAGACTTCTCAGAAAGATTGATCGACGAGGTACAACACTGGCTAGGCTCGTTCGAGGCCTGTGTTACAAATCTGAAAGCAGCTTTTTCTGGTTACGATCACTTGGTACACCAATATATGACATTGAATGAACGGCGCGACTCAGCCAACTTACGTATTCCAAATACGAGTCCTGATGCTCTTTGATTGAAAAGCAGTCCTCCTTTTAAACTTTCTGGCTTCTTCTTGCGAGGCTATTGAATCGACGGATTCAGCAACGATTCAGAGCGTTGATTAGTGGTCCTTTGGCTAGCGTTGTCAATTTAGTATTGCCGAGAACGATGCATCACAGAGGATAAGCCCCTAGTCTAGGACCCCAGAATATCCTTGGACATCTTAGACGAGGATACACGAGTCGGCCATCTGTCGATCCTATTTAGCTTGCATGCATCTGAGAACCCAGTTAAGGTCCCAGCGGGCGGGCTTCCCTCAGACCCTTGGAAGCTCTTGTCAGAAGCGAAAGCGCTGCCGAGTACTCGAAGAAGGACGGTAGGACGCCATCTTGGACCCGTGCTCATGTCGGATAAAGTTTGTTCGATTGAAGGATGTTCCCAAGACAGCCTGCTGCAAGGTAACAAGAGGAAGCGCAGGTGAAGTTGATCGGCGATTGGGTCATGGTAAAGAATGATTGCATCAGCTAGGGGGCGAGACTAGAGTAGCGTCCGGGAGATAGCAAACCCAGCAGGCTGGTTCGGTTGCGAGTCGACCGTTTAGCTAGCTGCATGCAAGAGCGGTTTGGAGTTTGATGGGGGTTTGAACGGCTGAAGAAGTTGGGGCCGGGACAATATTTCTTCGTGGCAAGCGTCTTTTGACCGTCGTTTCGAAGCATGCACACTAAGAAGGGTGAAGGAGCTGCACATCTCCAGCTAGGTAGGTGGAAAGCTTTGACTGCCGTGTATGCGTCTGTCGTTCGGATGTGTGGAGGTGGCGCACGTAGTCTTCTCTTGGGGCAGACCAACAGCGGATGAGAAGGTGGGCACTGGTGGGCAAGCCTGGTTTACCATGTTTACCTTGTCAAGCTTGGTTAGTGACTGGCCGGCTAGAGCCGTTGTTACCAGACTGCTGGGTACGGGGCTGGATCTGCCGGTGGATGCGAATCCGAGGGCATGGTAACCTTAGGCTCTCCCGTCGCCCCGGACTGCCCTGTCTGCCCTGTCCGAGTCTCCACTCCCTGTCAAGCTCCCGCCAGATGGATCGCTACCTTAGCCCATCTGGTAGTAATTAGTCATCCGACTCCCCATCTCGTGACATCTACCTATTTATCTATCGTAAAGTTCGACGATGTGAATTGGCGGAGATCTTGCCTCAGTGGTCCCTAGCTCCGCGTTTCGCAGTAAGTTGATCGTGCATCTTGGAAGGGTAGAGCACATCTAGATACCCGGAGCAGACATGCCTTTTTGGATGATCAGGGTCATGCAGTACACGTCGGGGATGTAACGTCCACGGTAAGGCTGCAGCTCATTGTAATCTTGCCCACAAATGGCGCTGGACTGTGCATTATACGTAAAGGGATGTTGGCTATCTCTTGTGGGAATGTTTCCAGTGTTGATCTTGTCCGAGTGAGAGGCGCTTTAGCCGGCGAGGACTGGGCATGATCATTGGTCAATCGACATACCTCCAACAACCCGCTAGAGAGCATTTCAGGGCTTTTAAGCTGGACCAGCGCATGGAGACCCACCCAATGCCGTTTTGTACCATTGGAAGCGTCATGTATATGGAAGGGCCCCGTCGGACGACCTGCAATTTCGATCGTTGGAGAAAGTTCAAAAGCACGCTGCTGAAGACACAAACAAACGACGATATTTGAGACGCTGGTGCTGTCCCGACGACTATGTCGTAAGACTTTGGAAAACCATCCACCAAGATATGCTAATCGTCATGACCAGGAAGGCTAAAGACAAGGAACACCCAACACCGGAGGGTGGCAATAATGCTTCGAAAGAAGTACTCATCACTCTTCGTACGTCCACGAACTGTTGCCGGGAAGCGCCTCCTATCTCGACTGCCTCGACGCTGCAGCAAACAATAAGCCTCGAGGAACCAAGTCTGTAAGAGAATGGCTTGAAGAGTGGGATGAGTCCTGGCGTGAGATGAGCGAAGAGACTCCAGAGGAGAGTAAGCGGAAGTCCTCGACGTGTCCAAAGGATTCGCTAACGTAAGGCAGATACTTCGAAGGATTGAGAGAATTGTGATCAAGCGCTTCAACTTGGCTCTGTTCTTGATAGCCTCACTCTACTAGAGAACCGTTGGACATGCGTGAGCCCGTGAATGCACACTCCAATACTGTCCTGTGCTGCGATCGAAGGGTCGTTGGTCTTCAACAAGTCGAAGTCCCTCAGTCCAGATAGCTCTTAAGCATTACTTTTAGTCACTCAGATAAGCATATCTTGATTGACAAGCCCTACACAGCTTTAAATGCGTGTAATCGATTGACTGTTTGGCTTCTGCAGGAACGGCCACGTCACAGCCACGATAACAGATTTTGGATTTACGTAAAAGCAGAGCCCGTGCGTAATGGAAAGATGAAGCAAGTTTGACATTAGTAGATTGTGTCCTTCAGAACAAGATCGCTTCATACGCCTGCTGAGCTCTCGATGCAGCTCATCACCAGAGTCAATCGTCGCCGACAGACGGGAGAGGTAGGCTTCGGCTACTTGCGGGTTGCTTTCGTCCGATGTGGAAGATGGGCAACAAACTGGACTAGAATTGTATCTATGAAGGACTAGTTGGCTTGCCCGTCAAGATCTCCTCAGTTGTCGCAGCCCACACGTGTTGAGTCCTTTGGAAGGCAGCAAGATCGAACACTCGACTGGTGACTAGAGGTTACCGAGCCTTGAGTATAATCACCAATCGGGTTCGTATCAATACGGTGTAGTTTCGTAATGGTTATCGTAATCGCGAAAACCCGGGAAGAATCCCATGGGTACGAGGACGGTGTTTGTCGACCAATAATGTAGACTCCTCTCTTCGAGTCCGGTGGTGTCTGCCGAATCTGAAGTCGAATGCTGGTCTTTGATATATTTTTACCTTCTTGCCCATAGGTCGGGAGAGCGTTTGAGTAAGGTGTAGAGGTATTTCGCTCGTTTGTATGATGAATTTGCTTCTTCATGCGTGCCTATCTTGCAGCCAGGTTGATCTCCGAGGCGGTCACAGCAGTCCCAGGCGAAACCCTCTGGAAATTCATCTCCGAGATCTTCGATACGACCGTGGCAATCCTCGTCGTGATCTGCCCAGAAGTCTCCGTCCCAATCAACTTCTTTTTCACCTACGAGAACGTCAGATCGAATACTCAACTTTCCCACTTTAGAGACGGTTGACCTGGATGCCATCGACAATCATATTTTCCATTCGCCGTCACATCGAACTCTTCGTCACAGTTGTCACAGGTAACATATCTAGGGCGAGGCCTCTTCATTGAGCTAACGTCCTGAAGCAACCGTGGCAGATGAGGCTGGCTCTCAAGGTCTTGTCTCCCCTCGCTTTCCTCTTCATCGTCACTACCGGTGAGGAACCCATCGCTGTTACAATTCCTCTCTATCTGGACGTGTCTTGCGTCTGCGTCGTCTGCCAGTAATAGACTTTGGGCTAAGGCTTGAGTCTGCTTTGATGCACGACAAACAGCTCGAAGTGTCGCACGAAGGCGATCTGAGTTGGCATCTGCAATTGCAACTTCCAAGGTCTTCGCTATGGTGGAAGTTGGAAGGTCAATGAAGGGCTGCCTCACCTCGGGAGCTATGTCCGGTGGGTCGGAAGCTGTCAAATCTATTACGTTCCTGACCATTGTTATGCCAGTAGTAGATTCTGTAAACTATCCAAAGACGTTGGAACCATATTGAGCCGTCGGACAAGCCCCTGAAGGCCCAGGCCTAAGGTACCTTAGCGGTCAGCCACAGTGCGGGCGGGAAGGTAGGGTTGAGCCTTACACTAGGATACCTTATACCCGCACCCAAGAGTGATTCTTCCTTGCTCATCCATTCCGCGACGACTGCTGATCCATAGACTTGGAGTATCTATCGATGCCCAAGAAGCTCGCTTTCGCGGTAGCCTACGGACAGACTGACAATGGCGGCCAGCGTCAGCGAACTGCGTCCGACGCTTGATGCTCAAGATTTCGGTATCCCACCATATGCTCTCGTGCTTCTGTTATTTGCATACTTGCTAGTGGTAGCGCTCGTTCGCTACCAACGCTTGCGAGAGACTGTTAAGAGACTTTCATACGGCAGTCGCGAATCCCTCACTTCAATGACGCTTGAGGACGCGTTCTACATTCAGCTAGACCTCGCCGAACTTGAATTTCCTTTCACGTTCCACAAGGCCCTGCAATTTGCCCTGTTTCGCACGTATGGTATCCCTTCAATTTCAAAGCTACTTGTACAGACGTCTCAACTCTCGAATCCCTTATTGTCACCGAAGCGATATGTTGATACCGAGGTGTTAGTTTCAGAATTCTATGGATATCATCCTCAGAGTGACAGGGCTATCGAAGCCATCAGTCGCATGAATTTCATCCACTCAACTTATCGGAAGGCTGGAAAGATCAGCAACAATGACCTGCTCTACACATTATCGCTTTTTGCTTTGGAGCCGATACGATGGATAAATCGATATGAATGGCGCCAGCTTGAAAGCTTCGAGAAGAATGCTATCGGTGTATTTGCCAAGGCCTTGGGCGACGCAATGTCTATCGAATACGAAGGCTGCTTGAAGAGTGCTAAAGAAGGATGGGCAGATGGGCTGCAGTGGCTTGACGAGGTGGAGGCGTGGGCTGAAGAGTACGAGAAAGCGAAGATGGTACCAGATGTCAATAATTTCGATACAGCAGAGCAAACAGTGGGCATACTGCTTTGGTATGTGCCAGGCTGGGCCAAGGGGTTCGGGAAGAAGCTTGTCTGTACGCTTATGGATGACAGGCTGAGGACTGCCATGGTGTGAGTTGTTTGTCATCTGTCCAAGCACCAAGAGAGCAATTTGCTCACGTGCTCTCGCTAACATAGGTACGATCGACCTTCCAAGCCTTTCTACGTCTCTACGTCCCTTCTTCTCTCTCTTCGCAAAGTTGCGCTGCGACATCTCTTTCTGCCACGACCAAACTTTCTACGCAAACATAACACACCTTACAAGCCCAGCACAGAGGACGGTAGATATAACTTCAACCTCATGGAGACTGCCCCATTCTACGTTAAGCCAACCTTGTTGGGACGATACGGCCCTCTCGCTTGGGTGAGCCGCATATTGGGGTTACCTTTGCCAGGTGATGAAGGAGATAGATATTGGCCGAAAGGATACAAGATTGATGAGGTCGGGCCGGAGAGTATGAGGGGAAAAGGCGGAGGTTATGCTAGAGAATCAAAGGAGAGGGTGGTTCGGATGCGGATGAGTGGATGTCCATTTGCGAGAACGACATCCGGATGAATAACGACTCTCGATGACTTAAGTTGACTTGATCAGATCCTGCGGACACCTCTTTCGGTGGAGCATACGGTGTTCTACACCCAGTAAAGCTAGCATTCGAAGGCCTTGCTTCTTGCTAGCTCATCTATTAAGCACACGAGCCTTTGCTGTCATAGCCCTAACTTTAGGGTACGAACAATTGTACTTATGCTGAGGCTGGCTCAGCGTGAACACAACTCGAAACAAGGGTGGACAGTGCATGTATTAACCTATCCGATCATCTTATCGAGGTTTCGGATCGCTCAGAGTACCTGGCAAAATCACATCATTCATGTCTGATCCCCTGCGAAAGATGTTGTGGCGACCATTGCATATGAGTGGATGCGTCTATATCTTACTGCCACCAGCTGCCTTGTGTCTTTTGAAAGTACGATTTTCAACTCCAACAAAGGCGTGTCAAATTAGCCTGCAAGCAAATGAACCAACCAGTCAAACATTACAGATAATCAATGCCCTCTCGAGCAACGAATTTTCTCGTCTATCATATGTCCACTGCTGTAAGGTGTCAGGCAGCACTTCTACCGAGTAGACCTTCGAATGGCCTCAGTCCTATGGTCCCTTCTGTTGGCTTGTCTGGCTTTCCCTTCAAATAATTACCTGCCACCCACCCTTGCACTTTGACATTACTGGGCATTCTCCACTGAACCTCGTCTCCACTAAAGTTCAGCACGATCACCCAAGTCCCTGATTCTTTTCCCACTTTGAGGTACGCGAACACATCATCACCCTCGGCATTATCCACTGACTGAAACTCACCGTGGACAAAAGCGTCGGCATGTGCCTTCCGATTCGAAAGCCCTCGCTGCCAGTACTGCCATATGCTCAGATCGTCGTCACTGTTGGAATTCGTCTGCACGTCAACGTTGAATGTCACATAGTCATCCATTACGCGCATCCAGGGCTTCACATCTTTGCCACAAAACCCCCCATGAGGAGAACCATCCCAATGCATCGGCGTCCTTGCATGGTCTCTAGCCTTCTTATCTAACACCCCCTAGCTTTCCTCAACGCTTCTTCATCATTCTTATGCAATTCCAGTGTCTTCTTCCAAAAATTGATAGACTCAATATCCTTGAACTCGCTCACATCCCAATACTTCGGCATGTTCCTCACACCGATCTCCTCCCCTTGATACACGAAAATGGTTCCGCTCAACGTTGTTTGCATGAGCGCCAACAACTTCGCCCCCTTCTCCCTCCATTCGTCACTGTCATCACAATACCTCGACACGCTCCTCGGATTATCATGATTCTCAATGAACACACTATTCCACCCATCCCTCTCCCACATGACTCTTTGCCACTTCACCACATCCTTCACCCAGTCCCCCGTCTTAAAGGGCCTCAACGCCAGTCTCCCCTCCCCAGGCACGAAGTCCACATCCACCACATCAAAGATGAAAATCATGCTCAACTCGCCATCTCCTTGATGCACGGTCTTCAAAACCTCATCCGGATCACTGACGCCCGGCATCTCGCCCACAGTGACCGCCTTATATGGCGCCAAGACTTCCCTCTTCACCTCCCTCAGAAATTCATGCATTCGTGGCCCGTTAGTATACCATTTGCTTCCAGGATGATACTTCGCCTTTCCACCATCATTCGTTACGGGTGCATCAGGGAAGCGTTGATCCTTGCTAATAAGATTGATGACATCCATCCGATACCCGCATACGCCTTTGTCTAGCCAGAAGCGCATCGCATCGTGTACAGCAGCGCGCACTTCGGGGGTTTCCCAATTCAGATCTGGCTGCTCAGGCGTGAAGAGGCTAAGATAGAATTGCTTCGATTCTGGATCGTACGTCCAGGCGCTGTTAGCGTCGCCGAGCAGCTGGCACCAGTTGTTTGGTGGGAGGGGGTCGCCGTTGGAGTCGCTGCCGGCTGGGTCTTTCCAGATGTACCAGGAGCGTTTGGGACTGGACTTCGAAGAGATCGAGTCTACGAACCAGGCATGCTGTGATTTAATGAATCAATAGTCTGGAGGAGGTTAAAGTGGGAATACCTCATTGGACGTGTGATTGACTACGAGGTCCATCATCAGCTTCATGTCGCGTTTCTTTAGCTCGGCAACCAACACATCGATATCTTCATTGGTACCGTAGATAGGATCAATAAGTTTGTAATCGGCGATATCGTAGCCCATATCCGCTTGAGGGGATTTGTAGACTACATCAAGCGAATTTCAGTTCAGGGAACCAAAATCACGAAGAACAGTTCGAAAAGAAAGGAGAGCAAGGGAGAGCTGGGCGAAAGGTATGCATCTTGATCATACTTGGTGATATCCATAATATGTCTACCCCGAGGTTCTTCAGATAGTCAACTTTGGAGATGATTCCTGGCAAATCGCCCCAACCATCTCCATTCGTGTCTTTGAACGAAGAAGGGTAGATCTGGATACATGCAAATCAGGTCTCCGCTTCCAATGAGGAGTGTTGGGGTGGAAGCATTGGTATACCTGGTAAATCACCGCTGCCTTCCACCATGTATCAGACATGTTGCACAGCTTTTCCGCAGCATAGGTTACTAGATATGCGCGTTCTCAATTGATCCACTTTCACATGAATTGAAAGCTTCGACCTTCAAGTGTTGTGCTCCAACAGGCGCTTTAAGATACAACGTTTGGGAAGGAGAAGCCATATGTACCAGCCCTTACCCCACTATTACCGAGTACCCCACTCTTTTTGAGCGTTACAGCCGTCGGCAGCGGCACGTCCCCCCCAGCCGCTCCACGTGGGCAGCATCCGAACCAGGAACACAGAGCGGAACTTGTTGGTAGGCTTCGAGTATCGACAGCTTCGATTTCCGATCTCTCGATTTAAAAATAAATGAAGCTCGCTGCTAAAAGCCTCATATAGGCTCCACGCGCCAAATCTAGCGTTGATGTAGCCTCTACAAAGTCTCTAGCAATTGAAGGACTGTTGACTTCAGACTTGCAACTGGCACGTCTTCGTCGAAAGTCGTCGGTCTCCGGCAACGGACAAGACATTTCTTAGGGGTATCAAGCCATGACTGTCCAATTCTCACGATGACAGGATAACCGATCAGCTCTGCGTCTTTCATCTTTGAGCCGGGAGACGCATCGCGATCGTCAATCACGCAATCAATGGAAGATTCGCTCTGCTGGAGAGCGTCGTATACTTCGCGCGCCTGTTCTTTCCAAGAGCGTTCTGCGATAATCACTACCTCGAAAGGTGCCATTTTCCGTGGCCAATTGAGACCTTTCTCATCCTTGAAGACGTCCGCGGCAGATGCTACAATGCGAGAAATTCCGATCCCATGGCAGCCCATTTGCAAAGGTACTTCCGAAGCTTCGACTTGACTCGATGGCTGACGCAATCCAGCGTTGGGGAGGGAGACTGTGGCATCTAAAGTGGAGCTGTATCGTGTACCGAGGAAGAAGGTATGTCCCAATTCGATGCAGTCCTGGACTTGCAGTCGGCCATATTCGCAATGCTCGGTTGGACATTTGTCTCCATTATCGATTCTGACAAGATCCAGGGTGGATTTCTCTACTGTTGCGCTGATTTGCATTCCGTTGATGGAGACAAACTCGGATTCAGACGAGTCATATCTGATCATCTTGTCTAAGATGAAGGTAACATTTAAGTTCTGGCCCATATTCCCGTTGGATTGAAGCATCAAAAGCTGATTTCGAAAGCTGTCTAATGCGTTCTCAACCCCAGCGTCCAATTTATCTAGTTGAGGAATCCTCTTCAATTGATGGAGATTGATCGAGCTGCTTTCTTGACCACTCCGAAAAGGGGTGATGACTACGATAAGCTTCTGCTTGTCGCTTGTCATGTAGAAATCACGGCGTAGACCGCTATCCTGACAACTTGGAAAGGACAGAAGTTCAGACATTGAGGTATAAGGCAACGATATGGTGTTGCCCAAGCCATCGTCTCCACGTACGGCAAGCTCTTCGTTTGCCGAATAACCGCAGCTTCCATCACAAGTAAAGACGCGGTCTTCACCCTTCTTGGATGGCACATGGTATTCATGACTAAGAGTTCCACCCATAGCCCCAGATGATGCGTCTGCGGTTAGCCAAGGGATCCGGAGGTCGTCAAAGAAAGCTGCATAAGCTTGTCTCACCATTTCGTAGGTCTTATGTGCATGATCGAGCGACGAGTCGAAGGTGTACAGGTCTTTCATCAGAAATTCCCTTGCCCGTAAGAGGCTTTCTCGTGGTCGTTTTTCATCGCGATATTTACGCGCTTTAATTAATCAGCCTAGCAAACGCGGTCTAGGAGCGTAAAACTTGCAAACTTGATATAGACGGAGAGGTAGATCTCGATACGAGTTAACAAGCCCTTTGACTACAGTCGTGATTTCTTCTTCATGTGTTGGTGATAACAGAAATTGCGCATCTTTACGGTCACGTAATTGGAACAGCTGCAAATCATGTTTTAATGAATACAGCCAGTTTCAATTTTGGAAGTCCATACCTCCGACTGAATCTTTTTAAAGCGACCAGTTTTGTTCCAAAGCTCGGGAGATGAGAGACTTGAGAGGGATAATTTCGAAGCTCCTTTCAGGGCGTAAGCAACAACCAGGCTTTCAGGATAGGCAAGGCCCACCAATGGACCTCATATGTTTATCAATAAGATTTTCCAATTTTGTCTGCATACGAAGCCCCAGGGGCAGCAGATGGAAAATTCCTGCATATGGCTCAATCAAAAAATCAGCGCAGGCTTGCGATTCGGAATCCAAGGCGACTAACAGAAGTGTAAAAGCCGCACCGTTGAAGCAATTCACTGGAGTCGGCTTATGCCTTGTTAATTGATAGAAGATATTGTACAAGTCCATGTGAACTGACCTTGCGCGACGCTGACAGGCTTTCGAGCAGCGATCGAGGGTATCCAGAAATTTGAAAGCCTTTGTCTGCCATCCTCTAAGGGAGGTGAGTCGAGGCTCGGCGAGTCCCCGCTCACGGACGGCGCCTTTGGCGTGTAAGTTTGCGTGCTATTTTCGGTGTTTAGCACAACTGTCGTTGTCAAAGTGGCTGCATCTCTGTGGGAGAGCTTGAATCTGCTTGATTGTCTATATCGCAAGAGGTTGCATCTTTGCCACCACAACGAGCCTCGTATGGAGGCATGGCAACCGCGTATATATGAACGCATCCAAAACTGTGGCACATGCGCTACGAGACAACTCGGCGGGCCACGGGTTACATTATTGTCGGGCAGTGGTACACACAAAAATCTCGATAACTCCTAATTAGTCGCAAGCTAGCATTCCACTTGAGACTAATGTTTAACAGCTCGCAAAAGTTCAAAAGCTTTCCTATGTTGCGAAAGAACGGAAATATTCCGCGGCGTTGCCTCGCCAGCCAGTCCCATTTAGGCAATAAGCAAATACCCACCGTGCCCCCAATTCTACATTACAATATACAGTTCTGATTCGCAATCGTGGGCGTATTATTTCAACTTCTATTCCGAGTGAATCCACGATCACACCTAAGGTCATATCACAGGCACCAGCGAAATATTGGAAACAAATAACATCGACTTACAGCATGCTTCACTTTACGATTGCTCTCCTTGGCTTACACTGTGCGATTTCAACCGGGGAATACGCGCCTTTTTCATCTCCTTACACTAGGGATTCATCTCTCCTCCAAATCCTCGCCCGTTCAGACAAATGCGCAACATCTTGCGAGTCAATGGGTTCGAACATGTGCTGCGGGAAGAAAGCAACCTGTGCGCTAGATGGAGCCGGTAATGTAGCATGTTGCCCCCACAATGCAGTCTGTACTGGCACAGTAGCAGCAGGAACGAAACCTACCGATGTGCCCTCGGCGCAAGGAGCTTCGTCACTACCCGCCCCTGGATCTGGTATTTCACATGCAATCAGCGGGACGAGCACGATCTCAAATCAATACTATCCCTTTCCTGTCATGGCGACCACATATGCAGATGCTGCAGATTGCTCGACATCTTTCTCGAGCTGTCAGGCGGAATCGGCGAAGTGTACAGGATTTGTTGAGGGGGGAGGATATGGAGTCACTGTCTCGGGTCAACAGGGACAGATCACGCAGCAAGCAGCCATGCCCGCATCATCTGCAGAGTCGATATGTTCAAGCCTGAGTCAGGAGGCATGTCATGGGCTACAAGTGTCGCAGTGTTCCACATTGGAAGGTGCAAAGCCGACAAGCGGTGGAAATACATTCAATGCGGGTGATCAGCCGAATTCAGGCGCACTACCAACAAGATGTAAAGCGATGTACGGGATAGGAGTTGGTGTGGCCGTTGGATTGGCAGGTCGGGTTATGGTGTAATGGAACGGAGGATCGGTTCTCGTCAACTTAAGCATGGAGTTGGTTTAGGACAGGATTGAATACTTTTCGGCGTGTATGCTTGAGCAAAAGCCGACAAAGATATGAATGATAATGCGTACACGGTAGGCGATGAGTAAGCGATGCCGCCATGGTACGTTAGAAGGTACGTTAATTAGTCTGTGTGATGCATACGTGCATACACAAGCAAAACGCAGACTTGATAACATCTCTCCCATTTAAAGACAAGACAGCATGAAGATGAGCCGTAAATAAGGAGGAACTCAGAAGAGACTGAAGCGTTAACGCCCCAAAAAGAAAAACAATAAAGCAAACTAATTTCGAACCTTGGTTCTAAGGTCTTTTTCGGGTCCCCTCTCTCATTTGGCGAATAATCTAGAGTCAGCCGCAGCCATACTTGTTAGCAACAATAATCTTTAAAACTGCTCTCTGATCCTGTTCCCTATGTTGAAAAAAAAATTGCAATTCATTTGCTGCTGCAATGTCTTGTTACCTGCGCTTCATGTCCGTGTTCCCCTGTTGCGGTGGCTGCTTGGGGGATGCTGGAATGGGAGGGGAGGGAGATAAAACACTAGAGTAGACTGGAATGGGTCACTGAGAAAGAAGATGTGGAGGGTTTCGAAGCAAGGGGGATTCTTGTCAAGCGGAGAGGGAAGTGCACGAGATTGAAGCGGGGGATTTGGCGGGTGATAGATCTTTCTAGGATGCGGTGAAAAGAGTGAGATGCTTAGATTCGGGATACGATTCTCACTCGGACTGCAACTTGGTGAGAGGTTTGCAGAGAATGAGGATGTTGCTAGTCATTTCTTTTTATTTCGCTTTTGCGGAGGCTGGTTCTAAGGCGGCCTTCCTTCTTGAGATCAAGAAGGAATGATGAGAGATCGCGCTTCCATGCACTGGAAAAAAGAGATGGAAAATTTCATCATTACATTTGCTAGGTGCTCTTACATACAATCGTGGGCAATGAATTGCCAGACCACCGCTTAGAGTCGGTGAAGGAGCGAAATTGAGTAGAACAAGATATCTTGCAAGATTTTTAGCGTCACTACTCACTTGATAACTTCACGCCAATGAACGACTTGATCTCTGAAGTCGTAATCAAGTGTAAGTTCCGTCTTACGGAAGGGTGAATTTCTCACTAACAAGACCGACAATATTAGCGAAGCCAACATCTTGAGCTGGCACGACCTTGAAAATTCTGCTGCTATTGTCCCAAGTAGCGTTATGGTTATTGTTCTCGGTGCTTTTGCTCCCGCTGGCTCCGACGTTGACGAGAATACCGAAAACGCTGATGCTGCCACCGCCGCTAGTCGTCTCTTTCAGTTTGGTGTCGATGTTGTTGGCGGTGGATGAGCCGCCGGTAACTTCGTAGCCGAGACCTGTAGCAATGATGAGTTAGGTTGGGAGACTCGAGCGAGAGTCTTGGTTTCTTTGGGAGCCTTGGCTTGGAGTTCGTGTTTTGAGGCGTCGACGTTCCTGTGGAACAAAATCAGTGAATCATGTTGAGATGAACGAAAGGAGCGATTGTTATGTTGTGTGACATACCATACTCCTGGGTTGATTGTGATGGCCTGTACGTTGTCATAGGTGATGTTAACGCGCGAAAATGTTGGCCCTGGAATCTTCTTGCTCAATTGAACCTTTTGGAAAATCTCAGCATCGCTGAGTACGTTGCCTGATGCGGCATGGAAGTTGTAGCTGAGTTATGTCAGTTTCATTCACTTTGCTGAGATATTTGGGACATTCCATACCCGGGCCAGTCAGCTAGCTCGTCTTGACCTTTCTGGATCGCGGCTTTGTCATTGCCAATTTGGGCAGCCAGTGGACTGTTGATCTGAGAAACTGAGACTGGTACATTTAGATGGTGGCACCGATACTGTCGAGGTGTTGTTTTGCCGCACTGAAGCATGGAGCTTGGCCAGTCATGACATATTGATAAAATCCCGGATTTGGGGTCAAGCCCACTTCGTCGTCATTATCAAACTGCTTCTTGGCTAGAGTTTGTTGCGTGTTGCATTTGGCCTGGATAGCCATTTGTTGATTAGTGGCATCTAGCAGTGCCGCATCCATGGCTGCGCTCGGCCTGCCTCCCTACAACCATTTAGTCAAGCTTTGAGGAGACAAATGCATCGTACCAGGTCGACGAAGGACAGGTATCTTAGGCCAACGGTAAGCAGAGTCAACAGAGCTCAAGAGTGAGACTCACATTTTCAGAGCGTCCACGTATCCATGAAGGGCGGAGGGATTGTAAAAGAGATTGTCGGTTGCAAAAAGGTTGTGGCCGATGTCGTATAAGCCTTGATAGGTGTACTCATTTGGATTACTGCCCCCTGCCAGAGGACCTTTCTGTGCTTCATTCGCTAGGAAGAATGCCCCTAATGGCCCAAAGTTGGCGCCAGCATTGTCTTTGATGGCCTGGCCATAGTAAAGCCAAAACAGTCAGTTGGTCTTTTCGGATGACATGTTAAAGTATCTTTAATAGGAAAAGTACAATGATTTTGCCGGTTTGACGTCTGAGATGAGGGCTTAGATTGCGGCCTATGAAAAGGAAAAAGAATTCTCCAAGGGGACGGCGACCGACTTACATTCTATCTAGGCTACATGGTGGAAAGCCATCGGATTCTGCCTCAGGAATAAATTCACCGGCTCAGGTAGTCTATCTGACGATAACCGGGCATTGTTCATTAGGGAGCCCGACCAATCTGGAATACCAGATGGGACATCATGGCCCCAGGAAGTCACAAACTTTCAGCTTTTTCTCAATGCCGATACCATGCAACGCATCAATCGACCCACGTTCTCCTTAAGCGGAAGCTCATACTTCGAATTTCTCATTCTGTACCAAGATCATTTTCTCTAATTGACGAAAGTTCTTGGCTAATGGTCATAGGTACCTGAAAAATGCTGGAAAGGTATGTTGACTCAACAAAAGCCGAACATGGAGAAGACCATGCTCATTCAAATCAGAAACATGAGTCAGCGGATCTTATCCAAGCTCGTCAGGCTCTAATTGAAGCGAAGTTCATTAAAGATGAGATACGGGAAGAATACCGAGCTGCATATGCCGGAAAAAAGCCAAGCAAGTCTTTGATCACGTACATCGACGGCAATGAAGACTGAAACTCGGCTTGGGAAGTAGAGGAGACCGCTGAGTAAACCTTTTCCCACATCCGCGAACCAGAATTGAGCACTGCGTCTGCGCTACTTGACACCCTCAGGTTGGCAAACATGCGATTGAAACCGCAAATCGGGTGAGCTCCTCTTTGCCTCTCATTGCCTCTCGTAATGGCCCGTTCTCACATGAATCAGCAATAATATGCCAGTCATTGCAATCGACAAAGATTGGCTTCAATCATTGAAGCTCAATCCTAGCTCGAATGCCGACGACCTCGTTGATCCCAAAGCCATCTTCTACCGCCCTCTTTATAGCCTCCCGACCTACGAGATTACTTCTGATTACTGGGTCAAGTCCTACGCTGCCTTAGGCAAGGAACGCGACGGACCTTGGACCGTCCCTCTCGCCGGCATCTGGGACCGCTCCTGGTCCGATCTCGGTCATCCCTTACTCGACCAAGTCAAGCCACAAGAAGCTTTCACAGCCCAGCAAAAGACGTTCATCAACTCCCTCACTACCACCCTCACCTTCCTGCAATCGCCCTACTCCGGTACCATCAGCCCCGGATCCTGGAATGTGACGGATCAACGGGCGCGTTTCCCGTTGCAGGACTTCAAACCTATTTCTGGCGTGGGGTGTTGAGATCGAATTGACGGTGCCGGAGACGATATTGATTGATGCCTTGCAACAAAGAATGTAACGTTGGCGGCAATGGACTTGCCGCTTAAGGGTGTAACGGGCAATGGCAACAAATTGACTTTCAGAGCGGGAGGGTAAGGCATTGCTGTTCTCGGGGGAGCGCTGGCGGATGTGATTTGATGAGTGGAAGGAAGAGGAGTTGGGGTTTGGACAGGGTTAATCTTCTATGCCAACAAGTGAGACGGCGACGATGCGATTGTAATGTACGGTCGGAAAGGTTCAAGATGGTTCAAAGTAGCCATAGCACACTGTACATACCCGATTCAAATGAAGCTCGACGTATGCGCAGAGCTAGAAGCCAAACGACTGCGGACGGATATCCTATCGCAAAAGTAATGAATCTGATTGGCTTTCCAGACTGCCCGGACCGTATAGGCCGCAGCCAAGATTGCGCATTGATGGTGGAAAGTACGCATCACCCGGGCGACAGCATATTTCAAATCATGGATGCGCATTTCTTAGATTGGGCCATATCAGGGGGGGACCATAGGGTCTAACTTGATTTGTCCGAAAGGCTGGACCCCCTGCCAACCCCGCTAAACTATTTACCGGGTCCACATCCCAAAGTGGGGCACGTTGAAACCCAAACCGGCGACGACGAGATCAATTGAGGCGGTCAACCAGATCGCTTCAAGAAGGCATCGTCATCGGTTCCAGCCTTCAAATTCTCCGACCCAGATTTTTTCGGAACAGTCTGGTGCAATTTGGTTGGTCGCGAACCATCGGTCAAAAAACGAGGGGGCAGGGGAGGTTGGGAAAATTAATTTGGCGGGTTGATAGGAACGTGCTCGCAAGACAATGCCCTTCCCATTAGCATACTCACCCATCTATACCCATTGTCACTCGTTTGAACTGCCTATTTTCTAACATACCGAAAGCAATTGAGGAATTTGCGACCGCGCACGTCCATAGTAACCGCTTCGCAGCCATCAATACTGGACATTCCCAACGAAGAATGCGGCTCTCTCAGCCACCAAGCCTCATCTCCCTTCTTTTCACCCTCCTCTCCACAACTCACATATCAGAATGTCGACCGAAGATAACAGACCAACTCAAGGAACTGCTCGAGTCAAGATATCACTACCTCACAGAACGTGATTGCACACCATGTGGTTGGGCACCACAGGGAGGGACTGCCCCACTCTGCTGCGCTGCAGGGCAAACATGCAGTACCAATCAATTGAATCAAGCCGTATGCAATGACGGAGGTGGAGGAGGAACCGGCAACAACATTCAAGCACAGCAACAAAGTCCCTCACAAGTTCAAGATGCAGCAGGATGGGAATTCTTTACCACCACAACTGTCGGGACTGGCTATGTCACAAGCACCATCACTTACAGCTCGTACTTCGGTGCCGCAACCTCAGCAGCCGCGCAAACATCATGCAGCGGCCAGATGGGAGAGACACCGTGTGGAGGAATGTGCTGCGCAACCGGGACATACTGTGTCTACGCTGGCAAATGCGCCGCGAGTAACGGTGGTGGCGACAGCAGTAGCTCTGTGCTCGGCCAGATCTTTACGCCAGCAGCTACTCAATCAGCCCCATCGCGACCGACAAGCAACACTGCAACAACCGTCACGTCAACTGGGTCCGCGACGACTACCGTACCGTTCTCAACCGCGACCTCAGCGACAGCCACGGCAGCAGGAAGCTCGGACGGGATGACTTCATCCAGCAATAACGGCCTCAGCCCTGGTGCGATCGCGGGTATCGTCATTGGCGTTATCGCTGCCATCATATTTCTGCTCTTATTGATACTCTGTTGCTGTGCTGGTGCCGGATTGGATGCATGTCTCACTTTCTTTGGTCTCCGCAACAGGAGGCGGAAGACAGAGACTACGGTCATCGAAGAGCACCGACATCATCATGGTGCTAGTGGCGGACGGAGAAGGTGGTTTGGACTGGCCCCGGCGAGAGCCGATACCGTCACTGTCAAGAAGAAGAAGAGTGGCGGATTCTGGGGTCCGACTGCCGTGGTGGGAGGGCTGACCACCCTGGCAGTGGTGCTTGGATTGAAGAGGAGAAGAGATAAGAAAACCGAGAAGAGTGATTATGGAGCTGGTAGTAGCTATTACTCTGACTATTCATATGACTACAGTGAGTCTACCAAGTAGCCTCATCTTGCACGCTGAAAACGCTAACCATTTGGCAGGTAGCGAATCTTCAAGATCAGACGATCGATATACGCGGCGGTCAGGAAGATCTGCTTCAAGGCGATAGCGAATTACTGAATTACAGCGTTTAACGATGTTTTCGAGCGATGATTGTGCATTTAGCGAGACGGGTCAGGATCATGATATCCGGACAATGGTATGGCGAAGATTGTATTTTCCGTGTAACACGTTATGCTGGTCATCAATTTACTGTAGACAGAAGACTGAAACTTAGCCAATGGCACATAATCATACCTTCGTATGTACGAAACTTCATCCTTCCAGCCGATTCCGAGAAGTAACCCCCATTGAGTGCGTCGCACTTAGTCGGGCTTGTCCACGGAAGTGAGATGCATTTAGCAGTGAGAAAAATCAAGGCTTTCAAAGACCAGTCTGTGTTGAAGAATTGATCCAAATATCATCCATCCCAACTTGGGATTCTGCCAAATGCAAGGGATACTTGCCGTTCTTCGTTGCCAAGAAAACAAAGTTGTATCTGGTAGTCCTACTTCTTCACGAAGGAAATCTTAATTCTAGACTATTGATCTGGCCAAGAGTCAACCAGGTAGGGGATTTGAATGCAAAAACCAAATGAGAAGCTGCAAGCTATAGAGTTAGTATTTTTCGATCTATTACAATATGAACTTGATTCTTCGTAATTCGTCTAGGGTGATGGTCATATCCTGTTCGCATGTCGAAGAATAGCAATGATTCTCTAAGGCTTCTTCCAGAACTTTAATCAAGGGGCTCTCTGAATCACCAATCGCTATCGACGCTGCGAGAGCCCGTTCAAACCAAGGTGCGGCTTTGAACCAGTGTTTCTGGCTCTGATACAGCTTGCCAATATGAATGAAAATTCGGATGATGACTGCGTGATCCTCTTGAAATGCATCCTCCGCATTTTGCGCGATGCTCTGAAACAGGTCCTCGGCAACTTCTTCATCGTTGCATTCCAAATGTAGTTTTCCAACCTCGAGGCATGCCCGAATCAGCCTTTCGGTCTTTTCGATACCTGGTTCAAATGACTTGTGAACGGCTGTCCAAGCCTCTTTTAGTGCTGTAGAGCATTTCTCAAGAGAGTTTTGCTTCCGATAAAGATTGATCAATGTACACCTAGCTCGCAATATCTCCAAGCTGAGACGCTGCCAATGAGTCTCGCACTCGCCGATAAGATGAAGTAGATTTTCTTCCGTCGAGACATCTCCCGCTTGGAGCCCCGTGTTTGATAGACTCATTTGCACATCAAAGCGCAGTGGGTCAACAATCTCTGCTAAGGTCTGCGGCGCTTGCCGTGATCCAGGACGCTCTGAATTTGTTCCTAGTACGGCTATGGATGGCTCCCTGTGTCGAGTGGTACCAAACTGCACCGGCATTTCTCTATCCACGTTGGCCTGACACTTGTCATCCCAGGTATCGAGGACCCGATACAGAAGTGAAAGGGCCTCATCACTGCGAGACCAAATACGATATAGCTTTGAAACATGAAGGAGATGTCTCATGGTGTTTTCATGAACAGTGCCCCAACGGCGAACGTGTTTCTCAGTCACCCAACGCAGAACCCGATCGGCGTCATCCATACGATCATGGTTGGCATAGAAAGTAGCCAGTCGGTACGCCAAAGCAGTTGTTTGCTTGTGTGTAGCTGAGAGGATACGTTCGAGGCCAGCCAGTGCCTCACGGTACCGTTGTTCAGCGGCGTACACATCTTCCTCACGCTCAAGTCGATTAGCCTCGCGCTCCATACTCTCAAAATGTGTGAGCGTGTAGTTTTGAAACGTTGACGGAAAGAACTGATCTTGAGATTGGCATGGAGAAGGCGCCGGAGTCCACTTTGGAACAGTATCCCTACTTTGCCTAGGGGTTCTTGCTGATGGTGGAGATAGCGCCATGTCGCCCGGAGTTTGGTAGATTACATTTTGCGGTGTGGGAGCGCCTATCAAGGACTTTAGACATGGCTGCAAAGACAGAAACAATCTTACCGAGGTCAGCATTCTCGCCCGTCCCGAGATTTGCCCTAGAAGACCGCTTTTGAACATCGTCTTGAGTGAGTACGAGAGCCCCGTATTCAAAAAGCGTTCTTTTGCCCTGCGGGTGTTGTGTATCTGCGGCACTCCTTTGCTCAGCTTTGTGAAGCATCCACTGAAGCACTTCCTTTGGCACATATTTGAAGAATCGCCACTCATTCAATTTTTCTTTAAATTTTTTCACCCTAATGCAAACCTTAGCATGCTACTCACAAGATGCTCCGATGGACATACGGAGGATTGAATCCGTGAAGCGAAGACATCTTCTTTGTTACATCCTCAAGGGGTAAGTCCTGATCAATGTAGAGCTTCTTGATCTCCGAGCGATGGCGCTCCCAGTCACGCGCAGGATATTGCCGGCGTTGTGATGCTCGTTTACGTTTTCGCAGCGGCTGTGGCTGGTGATCTATTGCTGTAGCTTGAGGCTTCTCAGAAGTTGATTCGTAGCGGTCTGGCAATGGGAGGACTCGCTGACTGGCTGTTATAGAAGGACCTGCAGGAGGCACAAGGAATGGTGACCCATCGGAGAAGGCCGTCGTCAGATTTGGGATGAGAGAAGGAAGGGTTTGAGCAGATTGGGATGAGTTCGCCTGGTAAGAAGTGGTGGGATTGTGCTGACCGGCGCCATCTACCCACGACGCTGAGCTAACACTTGGTGTGAAAACGGTCTGTGAAGGCCACATTCGGAATGAACGGACTCTGTAGAGTTACTGTACAGCTAGCTAGCCATAAAGAGTCATAATTCCCATTCAGCAAGGTGGTTTTCACTAGCAGACAAACTCACGACAGAACATGCAAGGCTGTTCATCATCGCGAATCGAATAAGTGCCTGATGATGTGCTGTAGGACCACAGTAGAGGCACGGGTGAGAAACGTAAATGACTCTCAAATGCTATAATGTTGCGAGGTCGAGTACAAGGTGTGCCCTTTAGATTCCAAAGGCAACCACCGTCCAGCGGACCCGATCCTGCATCGACACGGCTTGGTAGCTGGTAGGCGTTCCTGACAAAATCCCAAAAATATAAGGTCGGCTTAGTTCTAGCGCGAAGATCGGGGCTGACGCATCAGGCCCGAAGCTTCATCCCCCAATCCCAGAAATCCTACGTTGCGCAAAGGATTCTCTGAAAGGTTCTCCAAAAGGTTCTCCAAAAGGTTCTCCCAAATTCCCTCTGTGTGGATTACTTTGCCGGCCACGTTAGTCGGAGTGGAACAGGCTAGTGTCCTCATAATGACACCTCCCAATGTCGATGGTAAGACGAGTTGATCCATCAGTTGCCCTCATTTCCTGATCTGCCTTGCCGGGTGAAGAACAAAAGGTGCTCCGAAAATGCGCATTTAGGCCTTGCAGAAAGGGGTTTCCGTCCTCTACCAGACGTGGGTCCTAGGACTCCAACAATGAAGCGCAGAACGAATGTTGTTTCATGGATCGGGCCAATGCCTGTGCAGCTTCGTGGGGAAAATGAGCATCCACGTAACTACGCCCATACCTTTACTGGCACCACATTGGCCCCACACGAAAGATCACAAAAGATCCGTCAAGGATATCAATACCTTAGCGGCTTTACCCATGGTGTGCTGCCCCATAATGAATCCAAGTAGACATGTCCCAAGTCCAAGGATGGGTTATACCAGCACCATTGTGCTCGGTGAATGCAAAAGTTCACACTAATACCCAAAATGCTCTTTCTCAATTTGCGTCGTATATAAAGCAACGCGACGTCCTTCAGCAATTTTTCATTTCAAAAGAGCGAGAGAGAGTGGGAGAGCCAGAGTCAATCAACACATTGACAACAACATTATCACTTGTACAATATATTGGGGAATTGTAAAGTATGATGTTTTTGATTCTTGTTATTGTCTTTTTTTAACGGTCGCCAGCTTATCAAAATGCCGACACACAAAGTAGCGAGCACCCCGTGCTCTTCAAAGCCGCTAAATACTGGCGGGGGTTTGATATCTCATGAGAATACGGTCTGTATTTGCTCGGAAACCTTCCTTGGTTCGTTTAAAGTGGCCGAGATTGACCAGTGCCTAGAAAATGCACACTCAGACAGAAAATCAAAGTAATGATAAATATATACAAGTACAACGCCATTGGACTGAGCGCAATGAAGCTGGACGGAGCACTGGCCAGAAATCGAACGCTGAGCAGACAGCAGATTCATCAAAGCTCATGCTGCAGCGATGGCAGCAGGAGTCAATGCGTGATCAGCCATACCATAACCTTGACGCTGTGAAAGAGCGGATGGACCAGAGAACTTTACATCAAGCTCTTGAGCAGATTAATGAAACTTCTAGCATTGAGGCCTTTGATGGTAGATCCCATTAGTCATGCTCTCCTGTTCATTTTTTCGGAAAAGGTGTGAAAGACATAGGCATGGAGACTATCAATATCACTCTGACTTCTTGAAAATTGATCAAGACTTTTGGGACTAGGCTGAAATAGAATATCTATGTAGAACCATGGAAGGAGAGCTCCAGGTACATCTCGGGTCAAGAAGGCGAAAGGGGATGTTGTTCCGGCGTTAGCGTTTTGCCTTAAATTGTTGCATTGGGACATCTCAAGGTGGAGGATGTCAGTGCCTCTGTCAGCTCGTCTGCCTTGTAGCAGAAAACTATTAGCATGACCCTACCCGCCTTAGCCTTGCCTCCTTCAGCCTGCTTCCCTGATTCTTGTCTCATTTCCCTGATCGTTCTCATCTCAGCCTTTTCCTTTCAACTCCTCCACCTGTTCCATCTCTCGCCTCTCTCTTCATACACTAGGGTCCTTTTCGTTCCCATTCGCTTGTCTCATTGTGTTCTTTTGGGTGGTAACACCAAAGCTCAACCTCTACCCTGGAATTTTCATTTGAAGACCCCCATATTTGCACTTTCCACCTATGATCGATAAAAATATTTCTTGAGTACTCAAATAACGATACGTTCCCCCAATTCTGCTTGCCAGAATGGCTTCTCGCGGGTTTAGAGATTTTGACGAAGTAGATCCATTCTCCAATGACATTTCGAATCAAGGAACACTGAATGAAAGTGGTCTGAAATGTGAATTGAAAACGTTTGAATCACGCTTCAATTCGAAAGGAGAAAAAGTCGTGCTTAGTGTAGGATCGAGGAAACACTTGGAGATTCCAGAGGACAGGGCGCATGATTCTGCTCTAGTTTTGACAAGGTTTTACAACAAAGACAAGGAACTCGATGGTACAACGTTGGAGATTCGCTCACCTTATATCAAGCGCGCATTCAAGGAAGTTGCCCCTGAATATAAGGAGTTAAATGTCCAGGCTAAGCATATTTTTTTGGTCAATGATGCACGGTACTTATTTTACTATCGGAAAGAGCTCCAAGAATATGGTCGCAAATTGAACGATCAAACAGCTATTGAACACCTCATGTTCGCTCTCACTTACATGTATCGGAAATTGGAACGCGAACTTCACACTTACTACAATTTTGTCGAAGCCCCTTCTTCTCTCCCAAGCATTGATTTTGTAAGCTTGTGGATGGTGTTTAGACCTGGGAGCTACATGTACCTGAAAGTCGCCGAGACGGAAAGAGTCCTCAAAATTGTTGAGATCAATAAAAGGGAACGCGCATTCGATAAACCTAGATGGGTTGTCAAAGGACAACTTATAACCTACAATGGGCTAAATTTTGGTTACATTACGGAGAATCAAACTATCCGGTCATACGATGGCTATAAACCGTTAACGGATTTGCCCGTCAAGCCCCTAGATTTTCTTGTGGACAGAGAACTTATCACTCAGAGAATGGTTGAAAGAGGCAAGAAATATACTAGCTTGCATGGGACTCATCATTGCGAGTATGACGGTACTGCAGAGGCCCTAGCACCCGAGAGGAGAATCACATTTGAGGGCGAAGAAGACGAGTTCCCTCTGCAAACTACGACAGTAAGTATACAAGGTATCCACGTAATCAGCCAAGCTGAGTTGACTAGGTCAGAGGCAGAATCATGATTGATGGAAAGAGATTCTATGAATCTGCGCCATCCCATGAACCCTATTACGAGGGTAAAACTATTAGTGTAGAAAACGAAGAACACCTGAATCTTGGGAACGACGACTACCTGATTTGCAGTTTTTTCATCCCAGGATTCGCACTTGTGGACAAGAGGTGGTGCTTTTTCAATGTTGACTTGGTCAAGGACGCTGAATATAATTTGGCAGCGTTCGAAAGCTTGATGCTAGACAAAAGTTACAAGCAAATGATATTCTCACTCGTCAATGTACACACCATCCTAGGATTGTCATTTGACGATGTGATTAAAGGGAAAGGGAAGGGTCTGATCTTCTTGCTCCATGGTGTCCCAGGCGTTGGCAAGTCACTTACTGCAGGTACGAAAGCAAAACGAAGAAGCATATTTTCTCATGGGTTCCGATGCTAACGGCTGGATAGAAAGCGTCGCAGATTTCTGCAAGCGTCCTTTGTATACAATAACTGCTGGCGATATTGGAGCTTCGTCGCATACGGTAGAGCTGGGCTTGGGGAAAGCGCTTCGCTTGGCCGAGAGTTGGAACGCTATAGTCCTGATTGACGAGGCCGATGTTTTTCTCGAGCAGCGTCAAACAAGCGATCTTACAAGAAATGGCCTTGTATCAGGTACTGTCTGGGCCATGACTATCACCGTTGAATTAATGTGAACTGACGCTCTATTAGTGTTCTTGCGGATCATTGAATATTATCAGGGGATTATGTTCCTAACCACTAACCGTATAGTATCATTTGACGAAGCCTTTAAATCGCGCATTCACCTTGCGATAAACTATCCCGCTCTCTCTCCAGCTTTCCGCAAGAGCTTGTGGAAGACATTTTTGCGCAAGGTTTCACCAGACTCAAAGCTCGATTGGCTGAGTCCGGCAAATCTAGAGCAGCTAGCACACGAGAATCTAAACGGGAGACAAATCAAGAACACCGCGAGGACAGCTTATGCGCTAGCTGTGGGTGAGCAGTCACCCATAAAACTTCAACACATTGAAACGGCCTTGAAAGCTATTCAGGCGTTTGAGTCAGATCTTGCAGGAGACATCATGCAAGACTAGAGTCAACAGACGAGATGCAAGTTGCAGAAAGGGAAAAGTATGACAGGTAGATGTTTCTAAATTCACATTTGCCGCAACACAGGGAGAAGTTGTAGGCACTTCTTCAAAGAGAATAAGTCTGTTTCCAAACCGTTGATCGGGTCAAAGGGATGAAATAATTATTGTTTTCGTTGGCTACAGCCACTGTAGTCAGAAAATGTAGTCGTCCAAATGCCACCAATGCTGAGGAATTCATCCCTAAGTACCATAACAGGTAACCCGAGGTTAGCCTAGTATTGCCAAGCCCGAAACCCTCGACTCCCGCCAACCCTCAAGTTCAATCCAAGCAATACCCACCCTCACCACCACCAAGGCGCAATGCCTCCCCTCCGCCCTCTTACCCTTCGTTCTCAGATCACGCAACATTCCCACCCCACTACATCTCATCATTTCACTGCCGCCCTCTCAACCCACGCCTCCCGCGCAACTCCCTCCAAACCAACGAATTACCCCCCCCCAACAACCACCCACCTCCGCACATTCAAATCAAGTACCCCGACCCGCTCATCCAGCGGCAATGGCCACGAATCTCACTATGATCCCCCGGGCGGCTGGCTGTTCGGCGTGAAGCCGGGTCAAAAGGAGGAGAAGGAGGGGTGGGAGACGATCTGGGTGTGGGGATACTGGGGAAGTCTGGTGCTCGCGGGGATTGCTTATGCCTTTAAACCTGATACTTCGTACGTATTCCACTGCTCTACCCGGTCGGTGTTGTTGGTACCCCGGATTGGCGTGGGGTTTTGTAGGGGAGCGAAAGGGGGGGCGGGGGGTGAGAGATCAGAGATAAGAGTCAGAGGCAGCAGAGAGGGGATGTGCTAGGGGAGAGGGGGAAAATGGGTTGATTGATTGACCAATCATTCTGTGGCAGCCGAATTTGTAGGAATGTGCTAACGTCTTGGAAATACAGGATACAAGCATGGGCGCTTGAGGAAGCGACGAGAAGATTAGAAAAGGAAGGGATATTGGAGGATCCGTTTCCAGATGCCGAGGGGCCCGACACCAAATCGAATGGGGAGGAGTATTGAGTATCACGCGTCTAGATGATGCTAACCATTGCTATGGGCGGGTTTCTTTTCGAAGATAAGACATCGAACATTGGTGGTAGGGTGGAGGGACGTTGAATTGTATATAGGTCTAGGTGCTTTGCAGTCATCGTTACGTCGATACTGAGAAAACGTCAAAATGGATTTGCGCAACTTTTTTTCGATTGCAACAACTTTTACACGCTTAAAGATGCAGGCTTTTCTCCTTCCGTCAAAGATCTGAGTCTGAGGTACCTTGGTACCTACCCCTGCTTTAACCATATTTCATACAACTTTCCAATTGTGCTACGCAACGATGTCCTCGTCAATTGCAATCAATTGCTGAAGCGGTCTCGGTTTCTGTTCTATGCACTTTTTAGTCTACACAATATGCTATATTTTCGGTGAAGAGTAAAATGTTCCTCCTAACATCGTTCATACAACCACAGCTGTCGCACTCTATAAGGTCTCATCCGTCTGGGCGCAGTACAGGGCATCTTCTTGACGATGGTCAACCACTCCAAATGCAAAAAAGCCTCAATGCGTTAGCAGATCTTTGACGCTCAAACCCTTCTTCACCTTCGTTGGCGAAGGAAGGTGTCTTCGATCATTTGTCAGCATTAGCAGGGCCGCGGTAGCTTCCTCGTCTTGTTCGCTATTTGGCACAATTGTAGGCGACGTTACTAACGAAGCTGAAGAGTACGCAGAAGTTGAATGTTGGCTTTGTAGACGGCGATGTGGTCCGAAGAGTGGAGACGGTAGAGATGACATAGAGGATGTATAAGATGATCGATGTCGTTGGGTCTGATTACTGTCGTCCGGTGAATTGATGCTGGATTGTGGAGTATACATTGCTGTGGGTTGGATGTTTGAGGGCTCCGTTGGGATTACGTTGTGGTGGTTTACGCCTTCCATCGGTCCGCTCTCCTTACCGACTGCATTCGTTGGCTCCTCGTCCTCTTCTTCATCGTCTGAAGAATCTGTCGCATCATGATCGTCACGAAGGGATGGGGCTTGCGGTTGAACGAGAGGAGTCGAGAGAGCGTTGTTGGCGGCCTTGAGGTCTGTGATACAAGCCTCGAGATAGCGTAGGTAATCAATGCTTGCCTGATAGCATGTTAGCAGGTCGTGGTACTGTTTTGCCTAGCGTACACGCACCTGCAAAATAGCGAGTTTGTGCATGTCTTGTCCGGAGCAAGCTGGGATCATGTCCTTCAAAGTTCCGAACTCTTCATTCATCTTGCTTCTTCGGCGACGTTCGATCACACTGTGTGCAGTCTTCCTCGCAATCTTTCTGCCCGCTGCAGATGTTGAGCTAGGCTGCTTCTTGGGCGCTGTCGCGGCTCCCGAGCTTGTTCTTCCCCGTTTGCTTGATGCCTTGGGGAAAGACTGCCTCGCCGGTATCTCGTCATCCTTAGGCAAAGATTTTGGTGTCATCTGAATGATCGTTCGTGAGCGTGTGGGTGGAGGTGGTAGTGAGTATGCCGAAGCACCAGCTGGTTGAATTGGGCGATGGCCGGAAGCATTCGGAGTGCTGTTTTGCAGAGATGTCAAGGCTGGCGGAGGAAGGTCAAACAATTGGTTAGGAGGCGGCTTGTGGGCATCATTCTTGCCAGTGATATCTGTAGATGTTGCAGGGGTAGGTGGCATATCAGGACGCGGCATATTGAGAATCCTCAACCGACGAGGCAGAAAGCAAGGGAAGGCAGTGTGCGAGTGCTCGTGGGTCTAAACGGAATTCTTTGCAAGGAAGAACAGACACCCGAAGACTGGGCAATGGAACAAAGCGTGGAGAAGAAGAAGAAGAGCCTCAAGGACGTCTGCAAAAAGCGCGGGGGTGAATATTGAAGATCATTTGGGAAGCACGTGCGTGTTTCTGTGGTTTCTTAGCATTGCCATTGGTGGCACAATTCCCGCTGTTCTCAACCCCGAACTCAATGGAAACCACCGCCCGATAGCCCTTGGCCGGGGCGCTCCATCCGCAATGTGGACACTAGAGAGTTCAATCTGGATTGGAAAGTGAAGTGGATGCAAAGGCGAGCCTTGGGCAGAAAGAAGGCTGGAACTGATGATAAAATACGACGCTAGGCTGACCTTCAAACAATGCGCCGTATTGAAACCAATGGACCCCTGCCTCACCCGCTATTAGTTAGAGTCCTTCAAGCGCCTTGCACCACTTCCCTTTCATCACCGAGCGCTCTCAATGAGCCGAACGATCACGTCGACTTCGACTCTGACCTCGACACTCGGTGGCTCTAAATATGGGAAGCTTTCATCGACCAGTCACAGCGAAGCCATGGACGTCGATACACGCCCGGCGGCCGCGAACGACCCGAACAATGCCATGACCACCAAGAGTCCCATTCAAATTACATCTCAACCACCTCCATCTCAGCATACGCCAGACGCTCCATCTACCAAAGACGACTTGCCTGCCTCTGGACCAATACAGCCAGTTCAAGACCAACCGAGGCAGAATGATGAAACGAAGGCAGACTTGCCAGCTTTGGCGGCCGCGCAAGGTCCGAATGGTAAGACATTCATTTGTTCTGACCTTATAAGTCACATTCTGAGTGAGCTTCTGTTGACGCGAAGTTGGAGCCATGTCAGCCCGGCGGCCCGCTCAGACATCTCATCTCTCCATGAATCTCCTTTCAGTCTTTGACCTCGACCCGCTTGTCGCAACCGTCGCACGCTTCGATGCTGTTACAGGCGAGAAGATCAACAAGATGCGCAAGTCCTATGAGGGCCAAGCAAAATCGTTGGGTCTGGCTGGGAAGAATAAGTCCATCAGACACGAGGATGCAGTCGCCAGTGGTGGAGGTAAGATGACGAGTCTGAAGGACTTGTCAAGCTGGCCGGATGAAGAGTGGTACAACCAGAAGGTGTTTGGAAAAGATATTAAGAAAGGCTTACCAGAGAGTATCACGTCGAAGCTAGATGCAGCATTTACTATCAATCAGGGTGCTGTGCCGGATGATAAGACTTGGAAGGAGATCCTCGGTATCGAGACACCTAATCCGGCAAACGCCAATCTTCAGAAAGAAGCGAAGATAAACGGAAAGACTGCTGCCCCATCGGGCAAAGCAGTAAACGCAGAACATGCAGGTGCGAATGAACACATACGTGCAAGGCGCAGTACGAAGAAGAGGCGATATGATGACGATAGCTATGAAGGCTACAACGAAACATTCAAGGACGACGAGATGGATCGTGAGGGCGGCTACGAATCCGCCGAGACCGGCGTAAGCAAGAATAGTCGCGGCAGTAGAGGGGAAAAGAACAAGCGCAGAAAGACGAACGAACATGGCAAAGGAGGCGGGAATTCGAGAACTGGCAGTTTCGCCTCAATTTATGGGAGGTGAAAGGTCACGTTCTAGCGTCCATTTCAGTTGGAAATGGTCCACGATGTACTACGACCAAGGGGTGTCATCGCCTGCTGCAAGCTCTGGCTTGTTCTGCGACTGCCACATTGCACATTGCCTATACACCCGAAGAGGCGACTGAAAGTCGCCGCGGATGATCCAAAGGCACCGTACAACTGCCACACGACGCGAAATGCCTCGTCCTAATAGACGCGAGAGTGCGCATGGCAAGCTTGCAGCATTCTTACAGCGCGAGGAATGGCGAATATCGTGGCGAGATTTGAGAGACAGGCATCTCACGCGATATGATGATATGAATACGCGAGGCGAAAGCACTCAAGGTGCAGGCACGGCCAGCTGCGGGATTGGTAGCTAAAGGCTATGACCTTTTTCGGTTTTGGTTTCCCCGGCATCAGCATGATATTGAAGACTGTAAGAAAGGTCACTTTTGCAGGTGATACTTAGAATTGACGGACAATAAATGCCGAGTGGAGCTTGGAGTGGTCATTCATAAAGCATAGGCGTCAAGTCTTCCGTTCATCATTCTCTCGTTATTACTATACCTATGCATACTGTCCACCCGCTTTCCATCAATGCAATGTATTCGCAGCGCTGAAGCTCGTGTTCAATGCTCCAACCGCATTTATGAAAGAGATGAATTTCACAACGAAATGCCGCCATGCTAGTATCCCATGAAGACAACGCCCAAAATAGGTATATAGGTATCTACTGCTCTTCCAGCACTCATCTATCATCCAACGCCGGCCGTCCCAGTCCCCGCACCGCTGGCTCCATTGGCCACAGCAACTGACCCTTCCCCAGCGTTGCCTCTTCTTCGCGTCCGCACGGCAGCTTTCTTCCTGCGCCCAATCCCTGCCGATGGATCTACCGCTCCGTTCACATTTCCGCCGCCTTCTCCTCCGTCATGCCCGTCATCGTCCGGATCCCCGTACATTTCCACGTACTTTCTCCGCTCGTCTAGCTCGTTCATGTCTCTTGGTCGCGAACGAAGCCATTTCATTCGAGGGCCTGTGAGCGCGTGTTCAGAGACTCGGAAGCCGTAAATGCGGGGTTCGTAGATTTTGCCCTTACCAAGACCAGGGGCTACATTTGTTGTGGCAACACCGTTGAGGGTGGGTGGCTGAGGGGGTAGAGGCTGTTCTTCGCTTGTAAGGTTGGTGGTTGTGTTTTGGAGCAAGGAGTTTGGTGGCGCGGTGGCGGTAGTTGGAGTCGTCGTGAGGGAGGACGAGCGTGAATGTTTGTGATTGTTCTGTTCTACAGCAGGCTGATGATTGGTGTCGCCGGGAAGAGCAAAAGCGGAGTGGGTTGTCGACAGACCTAAAGAGTCTTCTTTCTGGGAGAGATCAAAGTCGGGGAAGGTCATGAAGAAGAGGCAGCCGAAGGTCGTTCCGAAGAATGCGCCGTCCACAGATTGAAAACGACTGTTCGGTGGTGTGTAGACATCAAGACAACTTGGACAAAACAGTTTTACTGTTTCTCGACCCGGTATGTCGGAGCATCCTACCGGTAGCACGCGAGCCTGGTTACAAAAGACTCGAGGGCAGTAGCCGAAGTGTTGGGCCTCATACTTGTCTGCCATAATCTGCATTCCCTGCCGGGAGGTAATGAAGCGCTGGTGTATCAACCCATATAGAAGCTCTGCTGATGACTCGATAACCGATAGGTCGTTAGCCAGGCGATTTATCCTTCGTTCATGCCGAGACGTTGCAAACGAAGATCTTATCCTGTTTCCATTCTCGTCTCTCATAGCGATATCGTCATCGTCGTCTTCCTCTTCCTCTTCTTCCTCCTCGTCCTCCTCGTCATCGTCATCTTCTGGCTCCACGTCTAAAATCATCTCTAGAGCCTCTTTATACATGGGAACCTGATTTTGTAGGCCTGTAAGATTAAAGTCATCTTCTATGAAATCCTCCGTCACTTCCGCAAAATACTCGTGACCAAGCAGTGAACAGAAAGAGGAGATCCAAGAGTCGCTTGCGCCAGAAGAAGTAGACATGGTTGGGTCTTCGGTCGTCTGGCTGAAGGAGCCAGTCGACGTGGAGGGTGACGAAGAAGCGAGGTGGAAAGCACCAAGCTGCCCAGAGATGTCGTTAGGAGACACCTTGAAGGGTAATGGCGCAATCAGGCACAAACCGCTCAAGCCGACCGAAGTCACCTATCACTATTTACCAGAGTATTGCGGCTCTTCGGTGTTGTGCAGGAAGCTGTCAGCCGTTTGGTAGACAAGACGCCTAACGTGATTGGGTTGATTGGTCGCAGCCGTGTCATGCTCATTGGAAAGTCTTATGTCGTACGACTGGGGAGCTGTTCTGCTGGCGCCGTCACGACTAGAAGTAATAGGTGTCAAGGAAGTCTATTGAGGAGCCTTGTCGCTGTAGGTTCTGACTTTCACGAGTGTTATTGTCTGGGCAGACGTCAGATGCAGTAGACTTCACAAAAATCATCGAAAGCTTGACTGGCGTTTGCTGGTGTTCCTGATACCGTATCCTTGCATATTGTTCGAAGGATTGTAGTTGGTAGATCTGTACTTGAATTGATAGTGGGGTCCAGGAACGGGCTAGACTACACACCACGGAAAGCTACATCGCAGGTACGGCCTCGGGCAAGTTGAATGCTAAGGAATGATGACCGTCAGTACACAGGTAGCTTTCGGCTTAAATTTGATGCACACGACAGCCTTCAAATACTGGTGGAATTGAGAAAGCATGATATGGTTACGTATGAGACAGTGCGATCTGATGATCATCTCTAAAACAGATCCTTCATAATCTTCGAAAGCTCCCCCTGTGTTCCGTACATCGCACCTAAACCCTCTGTAGCTTGTGATCTGTCACCCAAGGGCATAGCATACGCATTGGGCGCAGACCCTTCCATTCCTTGGGCGCCGCTCGTGGGCGCATTGCCATATCCTTTGGCTGCTTCAAATAGATTCATGAGTTCATTGCTCATTTGTTGGCCATTGATGGAACTGCTTGCATTGGCTGTTCCTGAAGTATGGCCTGCAGATGCATAGGCCGCCGCCTGGTCTACTTGCTGACCGGCAAGGTCAGCCAGGCCTAGAGCAGCCGTAGAATGAGCGTCATTAGGAGTAGTCGATTGCGCTTGTCGACTGATCAACCCTAGCTTTGGGGCGTACGCTTTCAGGCTACTGATCATTTTCCAGATGTTTTGAGCTACAAGAGAGTTGTTGCTGAAACCCCTGACTAGGTCAACAGCCAAGTAAAACTCGTCTCGTACTTGGTGACTAAACTCCACAGGGGCATGGCAAACGGCGAGGAATAAGACTGCAATCGCAGATGCTAGGAAGTAATTGAAGCACACTTGCTGTGTGCTGTAGATGTCTGTTGTTTCGTTCAGACGTGTTAAGACTTGGACAGTCTCCTTTGCAACGTCTACCCCTGTCTGTGCAAATTGCCGGTTCTCCACAATCGTCGTCGCAGAACGGAGAACGGGCCTGTATATCAAGGTTCGCAACTGGTTTGTCCGGAAGTAAAGAATAATGTGAAGCCGTTGTTGTCCCCGAGTGACACCAGACGGAGGCTGATAGCTCTTGGACGACGGATCGAATCGTAAAGATTCCGGGATATTTCGATGCCATTTTAGCACTTCGTAATCGAGGTAATTAATGTTGTCTCTATCAATGTCGAGTGGGCCGCTATCCAGATTGGGTGTCGTTCTCTGTACTTTGGCTGCAATGCGACTGTATGCAATCATCGCTGTGAGGTATGGTGTCGAATCATCCTGATCAATCAGCATGACCTCCCCCCGAACGACTTGCTACTTACAGGCTCTGGGAAATCATGATCAATATCGGCATCCTGCATAGAGAAGGGCATGCCGGCGCCGATGCTCCATCTGCGGTCGAGTACAAATATCGACCAGAAGAGTCTGACTGCCCACTGGCGTTGTGTGTCATCTGGGAAAAGCTCGATCAATCTCTTGCTGCGATTTATGCCCATTTCATTGCATAAGCGGCAGGCGACACCAATCCAACGATAAGCTTGAACTTCTTCATCTACTTGAAAGTGATACTCGGCCTGTTACGCGTCAATTCTCGTTTGGACAATCCTAAAATCCTGTTCACTTACCAGAATTACTAAGAGAATGAGACCTTTGATGTCTACTGCGCTCACCGACAGGATATTCTGGTAAGCTGCTTGGCAGCTTTCGAAGATAGCTCGGCCCCGGGTGCTTTCACCACGACCTTCAGCCATCAGCCCAGATGCAAGCACCATTCTCAAGATGTTGATATCACTGCCTTCTAGTCTGTCTGCACCTGGAAGGTCTGATTGCATGAGATTTGTCCTACGTGCACTTTCAATAAAATCGAACACCATGTCTGCCTCGAGAATGATTTGGTTGATATCGAGCATCGGATACATCATGCCAATCTCTTCATCGTATATCCTACAAAGCCTGATTGCGTCGTCTTTCGAAAGTTGCCACAAAGGATCTTTATGCGGACTGTTGATCATCGCAGCAACAGGAGCTTGCTGTTGGTGCGATTCTAGGCCCAGAGCAGGATCTATGTCACCCGTTGTTGAGTCATCTTGAATCTCGGGCTGGGTTATGCCCATGGTCTGCAGACTAGACTTAGCCACATCTAGATTGAAGGCTGCACTAGTCGGACCTTGAAATTGAGGATGGCTTGCTCTCGACTGCGAGGGTGACAGTGTAGAGCGATAAGCTGCCGCTGGTTCGACTTGGTTCAGGGGCGTTTGCACAGGGTAAGATGAAAGAGTATTTCGAAGGTCATGATAAAGACCATAGATGTTATTGACTTGTTGTCGAAGGGCTTCGATCTGATCGCTCATGTCCTTAAATTCCCTGGCGGAGCCATTCAGTAAATGTGATAGAGAAGTGTATATGACAATGGACCTACTGCGAATCCTTGAAGGTGGAGCTGCAGCAATTGGGGGCATAGACGCATTCCAACGACAGGTTTCCGCATCTTTGACATGGGTTCTGGCCGTTGCATTTGATTTTTCGTCTTTTACATTCATTGCTGGACAAACGCGACAATCATCAGCGTATGTAACATATATCGGGATCAAAGATAGTTCACCAAGCGATACTGATGTATCTGTTTCGTTTGGATCTCTGTTGGGGGTAGGATTCTCATTGTCGTCTCCTTTCCGTTTATTGTTTTGGTCATCCAGCGGCGGCGGGGCTTGCACCGGTCCAGAGAAATATGGGCTGCCATGCTGTTGCTGAGTATTCATGAAGGGCAAAGTCGTCGATGCCGGGAGAATAAAAAAGGTGACGGCCAATTTTCCGCTCTCTTGGAGGAGGCGCTGGAAGGTGGAAATAATGGCAGGATCCATTTGAAAAGTGCCAAGCCTCGAAACGCTAACGATATGTGCTACTATTGAACTCCCTATTACTACCAATATATGGACTCTACTTGATATACCGTCTTCCATTGTCATCCTACGGGTTTTCCATCCGTGCCTACTGGTTTTGTATTGGGGCACGCAAGTGTCATACTAACAGAACCTCATTACCGGATGCAACAGCTCTATAGCACGACCACTGTGAAATTTACCTGTTATTGTGACTTCAGATCCACCTATTGGCATGATTTGGCGTCATCTTATCATATTAGCTTGTATACTGTGTCTTTGCTGAACTCAGACTCTAGTCCCGGCCATTTCATGTCTTCTGGGTGTCACATCTACCAGCACAAGTCTCACACGTTGTTATTGTATTTTCAGGCGAATCACATATTGTGAATTACACACATTTTGTTTGCCTTTGCTTAATCTTTCAGCCAGGATTGCTACCCTGCAAATCGTTCCTCACTTTGTCATTTTGTCCACATTGAGAATGCGGAGCTGCCTGTTAGTCGCCTTCTCGCATAGCCTGCGTGGCACGCTTTGTTCCCAAGACTACATGTAAAACTTTTCAAAATTCTGACGTGGCCTTTCACGTTGTGTAAGAAAAATCTCCAAGATATAAGGAAATTGTCATTTGCAACAATCTGAGTTCACGCATCTGTCACTTTGGAACCTTTCTATCAGAAACTTCACTTCCCAGGTCGGCCTCACCTGTCAAAAGTGACTATTCAGTGCAGGGCAAGAAGCACAAGCAAGAATTCCCCTTTCACGCACCACCAAATTTCGAACAGCAGGAAGATGGCCCCACATACCGAGTCGATTGAGTCGAACCAAGAAAAGGCAAAAGAAGACCATCAGGAGTCCGAAGCGACGGAAGTTCCAGTTGACCTGAGTAGTCGTCTACCACCAACAACGATAAGCCACAGCGGCAGCGATTTCTATCGCTCAATCGATGCCCGACTCAAAAAATCGCGGGACGATAAGAACAGTGCGTAGTCCTCTTCATTGCATCCTCTACCTGGTTCATTGTTTCTTGACTCACAGACAACAGTCTTACAACTCTCCGGCTCCGACCTAGAATGCCACTATAACATTTTGCACGATGCTCTACGTTCGTTGTTGCCCGCGGACGACCAAGAAATAATCAACGGTCTGGAAGTCTGTCACGAATTGATGGGGTATCTCATCAAAAAGGCTTCCAAGCATGATATGTACGACATTGCCACGCGCAAGCATATGCAAGATGAGTTCGACAGGAAACTGATGGAGCAGAAGAAGCTCTATGAGCGCCAGCTTGAGACCATGCAGGATCAACTCGAACACTGGCATGAGAAGTGCGACAAAATGGAGCTCCAAAAAGGAGCTTCTACTAAGTCGAAGAAGTGAACTTCATCCTCTACATGAGCGAGCATCTCCCGGCGCTGTCGGCTGGTGCCTTTTTTGCCACGATGGAGTGGATGATGAGCGAGAAATCACCACCCTGATTTCCATAATAGCTAGTCATAGGCAATGAGATCAGTATGCCAAAGAATGCATAGATAGTATGCACCTACCTTCTCATCATTAATCCCACCCTCCTAATCCTCTCCTTCTTCAAAGTCCCAGGATCCTCCACTGCCTTCCCTCTGTAAGTGGCCTTGAAACCATTCCACGGCAGCCAGACGAACACGTTATCACCCTCGTCCATGACTTCCTCATTCTCCTTTTCACTATGTTGAGCGGGCTCATTATCAGTCCTACCATGAGCCCGAAATGTGGCCTCCCAACTCATCCCCGCCCTCCCCCTCCCATTCTGTGTCTTTTCTTTCTCCACCTCATCCTTCAATATAAACGTATACATGTCGCCATCACCACCCTTGTCCACCTTCACTTCGATCCCATCATAAGTGGTCAGGTCCCAATACCTATCATCTGCGCTGTTCCCGTTTTCTTCTTCATTCGGATTGCTATTACGGGAGGAATCGTGCGTCGGAGGGGCGATGACAGGACTGAATTGACTTGCAAACCCTGCACCACCTAATGTATCATAGTCCAAATGACCATGGAAACGGGCGCTGTTGATTGACGGGATGGGCGAGAGGTAGGACTGTGAGGCGCCGCCACGGACGCGGTCGTCTTTTGTTTGCCAGGCTGGAGGCGTGAAGGGTCTGCTGATGTAAGAAGCTATTCATAGATGGAGAAAGCTATTGGGGCGTACTTTGTTGATCCAAAGAGAATGGGAGCTTGTGATGTGGAAGGTGAGAACATTTTGGGGGGCGGAAGGGTTAGTTCTACCGTCAAAAGTCGCAAGAATTGCTAAATGGGGGAATATTATACGACAAGATGCTGTGTGTTGAACCAATATTTAACTATACATGCATGCACAAATTAGATGGTTTTCTATCTCTCCTCCCATGCTTCACCATTCGAGCGCCGCCTCCACCCCCTCACTCCACAAGCTTGAGACCGCTCAACAGTAATCGTTTGAGGAGTCTCTTCGCTATATGTGGTATTGCCACGAGTCCCGCAACAGGGTTTCGTCGTATCGAATATGCTCCAACGATGATGGCAGCAAAGGTGAGCAGCCCCACAAGACTCCTTACCTTTCGGCGTCTGATACCTTTCCTCGTATATTCGATGTGCCAATCGCTCCACTTTGGAAACATGCAGCGGATGCCGAAGTCTATCTGCGAGTACCTAATGAATGAATGTTAGCTTGAACCAATTCAGTGAGCATTTGTGAACCATACGGATAGGTTGTCGCATTCCATCCATTTGACGTTCTATACCAACTATTGCACCCATCCCCGAAAACGGTCAATTTCAATTTCTCCTGCATCTCCTTAGCCCAAGCAATCTCCTTTTCCTTCTTGACCTCAAAGACATTCACTTCACCGCGCAGGAGATATCGAACAAATTTGAGCGTATATTCGACCATGTTCTCGCTTGCTAGAATGACACTATTGTGTCCTGTAGCGGTATTCGGCCCAAAGATGATAAAAAAGTTGGGGAAACCGTCGATGGCATTGCCCATGTACGCTTGTGGTCCTCCACGCTGATCCCAAACTTCTTGCAGCTCCGTACCATCCCTACCAATGATTTTCGTCGGGGCGAGCCAGGTTTCTATTTCAAAGCCGTTCGCTAACAGAATGACGTCCGCAGAGATTGTTTCTTCGCTTGTTTCTAATTCACCATCTTCTATATCCTTGGTCGGATATATGCCTTTAGAACCAACGATCACGCCCCGTGGTTCAATAGACTTCAACGGCTTTGTTGTGAGCTCGATCTTGGGATCTTGAAGACTCTTCAGCCAAAAAGCATCATAAATTAGTCTTTTGCAAGCAGAATCATAGTCAGGAGTCAATATGCTCCAGTACTTCTGAGGCGCGGTCATCCTCATATGCTGCAAAAGCCGTTCTTCGCGCACTTTCCTTTTGGCCTTGGATCTGGGCGTCTGCAGAAAATAGTCGAACCATTGCTTTTCGGAGAGGAAGAAGATCAAGGTTCTCAGAGACCGGGCAAGAATTGGGAAATTCGTAAACCACCACGGGCTTTTTTCATGCCACCATTTTTCCCCTCCGGGAGCGACTGGCCTAGGTACAACCCAAGGAGGAGATCTCATAATTTGAGTGACGGATTTGGCATTGTAAGGCTCTTGAGTAATTCTTGGAACGACTTGAGCTGCACTACATCCACTTCCAACCACAACAACATCTTTGTCCTTCAGGTTTACACTGGGATCCCAACGGGCAGTGTGACAGAATTTGCCTTCGAACCTATCCAAGCCACTGATTTTGGTGGGCCACGGATTGGGTTCCACGAAACCTCCGGCACAACTACAGATAATCTTTGCACGAACTTTCTCCTCTCCAACGATGACAGCTTTACGGCCCTTGGCTTGCATCCGATCACTTCTTTCCTTCCGACTGAGATCACCAGTGCCGGGAACGAGATAGCAGAGGGTGGCCTCCCATAGTTTTTCATTCTCAAGCCATCGAATTTCTGTCACATCGGTGTTGCATTGGACGTTGTTCAAAATTCGGTATTTTGCACAAACGTCGTGGAAATACTGCAAGATCTCCGGACCCTCTGGATGAAATGACTGCCAGGCATTGTTCGGACAGAAAGAGAAACTATAGAAGATAGCTGGCCTAGATTGACGATTCAATACATTCGACAAAATTCACAGGTGGAGAGACACGTACACGTCACAAGCCACACCTGGATATCTATTGATCCACCAAGTGCCCCCTATCCCTGACTGTCTTTCAAAAACCCGGAACTGGTCGAGCCCGAGTACCTCTTTCAAGCGGCATGCCATAGCAATGCCGGACTCACCAGCGCCCATGATGAGCACAGGGTAGTATGTGTAGGCATCTTTTCCGTAACCATTGACGCGATGAATTGTATTAGGCTTGATGTCCATAGCAAGGAGGAGTCGATCGCATAAGGCTAGGTCAACCTAAGAACCTTTGCGCTGCAGCTGGACGATAGATGAGCTCGCAATCGTGAACGCAAGTGTACTCGAGTAGGAGCGCACTACCCGACGTAATGAGGGGTAAACGTGTGGCTCCTCGTCATTTCGTTTGGACGGTGCACAGATATCGCCATTATCGAGAGATTCGATATGATAGTGACACCTACACCCGTTCCTTACGGGGACAATCCTTCCGTCGTCCCACATAAAGGTTCGAGCTGAGCAATGAGAATCACCAATCATTGATCGGCTACCCCTGAAGCCTACTTGCAAAACTTGATATCGTGGGTCGGGAGAACCTTCTTCCTAGCGCCTCAACCGGCCCTACGATCGCGCGATCTCGGGTTGAGGGCGTGGTCCGATCTTTTACTCTCGGTCTATGCCAATCCAGCTCTAGCGCCCCTGCAACCATCACCAGATTGTCAACAACGGGGCTGTAGGAGATGGTACGAGCCTCGAAAGGTACCAAGACCACTTGAAATGCATCTGAGTGGTTCGTAGTAAGTCCACATGGCTGCACTGCATGCGCCACCATATCTTGATGGAGCAATCAACGTGCGTACCAAGTCATTTCTCTGGACGCAGTCGCTAGCATCCGGATCTGTCAAACCTATCGTTGCAGCAGGTCTTCATGTACGTATTCTGCTGCAAGGTAAAATCGACTCACGAGCTTCGTTCGCGTTTCTTCCTGTCATTTTTAGCACATGGCTTTGACCATTTCAGCCTTGCCCAGCTCCCAGCTTGCCCTCTGATATTCATTGCTAGTGGGTTCTCTTTTTTTCAAAAATGCAAGATTCCTGCCCTCTTACTTGCACGGCGCTCAAAGCCTCGCCGTCGCCGCTGCCGCTGCTGCTAAAAGACTGGGACTATGGACGAGGAAGTGCTCCAGCACCGGGCAGCGAAAAGCAGACCAAGAAAACATATCGGTATGATACCCCTTCATCTCTTGCGATAGTAGTCACTTTGGCTAATGTGACCAAGAATACGGTAATCTGCGGCGCGGTGAGCACCAAAGTTACTACAGACCGCTAATCCACCGGACTTTCTCCCTCTGCTTCATTCTTGTCGTCGCTCTCGCTTTCATTGCCTTGATCGAATACGCTCTTCGAGTGCTCCCTCATCACACCCTTTCTTTGGGAAGCTCGTATGGCCAAGCCAAAAAGCGCGATCTACTTCACAATCGACATTCTAAAGACTTTTACCAAGCCGCGAGTCCTGCTGGCTGGGTACCCTCTCCGATTATTGCCACCAGCAGCTTGAGTAATGCAGATCGTGCGGCAAGTCCTACGCTCCTTCCACAGCCTGTATTACAACGTCGCTCCACGCCGGCGCACTTTAGTAATGGCACGAACAATTGTCAGCCCGTCACGGTCACCCAGGAGCTTACGTTGATGAATTTTTTCAATTTTACAACCAATCCAAATGTATCCACTGCAGACAGTCACCTGCTGTCAGCCACGTTTGCTTTTGCGAAGATATTAACAGGCTCAGCGCCTGCGCCCACACAGGCGGCCCCAGCTGATCTTCAAGCGAGTTCCTGTCCATCTAACAGCACAGTCACTCAAACCACTACAAAGACGACGAGCACCAGTACCTTCCTTGACCCTACAGTCCAAACAGATTTGCCTCTTTCAGCCGTTACGTCAGGGAAGAGCAAAGGAGGAAATGAAGGGTCTAACGGAGGAAGCCGAGATACCGATCGCAGTGGTGGAGGCGACCATGCTGGAGACAATAATGGAGGAGATGGCAATCACAGTGGAGATGGTAAAAGTGGCGGGGAAAATGGAAAAGGAGGGAATGAAGCTGATAACCACGGTGGAGGTGGGGCTGGCACCAGTCATGACGGTGGTGATGATAGTGGGGGAAATAGTAGTAATGGTGGAGATCACGGCGGAAATGGGAGTGAGAACAATCACGACGGCGGAGGAGATCACGGGAGTGGAGGAGATCATGCAAATGGAGGAGGGGATCATGGGGGAGGCACGGGTGGAAACGGCAACGATGGAGGCAATCACAAAGGCGGAAGTGACAGTACTGGTGGGAATTCAAATGAAGGAGGAGGTGACAATGATCATGGCGGGGCAAATGGTGGCATTGGTGGAGATAACCAAGATGGAGGAGCTGGGAGTAGTGGCAACGGAGAAAGTGGTGGTGGTAACAATAATAGTCATGGTGGTGGGAACAATGGCCATGGCAGTGGCAATGGTTCAACTGGGCAAGAAGGAGACGAGCCAGAAGGGCACGAGAACGGAGCTGACGCAAAGTCCGATGGGGGTAGGCATGGCGGTACTGCCGACGACGGTGGCACTCCTGCCGATGGCGAGTCCGATGGTTCCGAAAACGATCAAGATGCGGACGATTCATCAACGGACGGTGGCTCCCGCAGCGGCAATAAGGAAGGAACAGGGAACGGAGCAGATGGGACGAACTCAGCAGACTCAGCCAATGGGAGCGAGGAGACTTCAGGCTCAACTGGAGGTGGCCGAAAGAAATCTCCAAAGAATGGTGCATCTCAGGGAAGTGAGGATACAGAGTCGGGCGCGCAAGACGTTTATACGACAACCATATCTGGTCATCAAGTGGTTATAACACCTACTCCAACGAGGCACAGCAAAGGCCAAAAAGACACGGCATCTGACGATATCATCGTAGCATCGGTGAAAGGAGGATCAAGGCTGACAACTCTCACGCTCCCAAGGGGCTCTCATTCAGCGACACAAAGCCTACATAGCCAGTCTGAAACAACTAATAGCCCCCAGAGTGGGACGCCCTTTACATACACTGAGTCAAACAAGCCACTGACATTCATCAAATCGCCAATCAACTATTTCTACGGCATCTACTTTCCGGTCTTACTTGCTGTGGCATTCCAGATGCTAGCGTATTATCTGTATACAGCGACGAAGATGATGGAGCCCTTTGCCATGCTCAGCAAATCGAACGAGGGTATATCCGCCAAAGAGTTCTTGTTCATCGGTTTCCTTGCGGGGAATGACAGCATCGAACCATTCACGGCAATGGTCTCTTCTAACCATAGGCTTCTACTTTTTGTTTCCTTGTTCTATGTTGCGGCTCAGCTTTTGTCGCCTTTGAGCTCAGAAATGCTAGGTATCTATCCCGGGTATATCAAAAATAATGAAGAAACGGTCACGGCTGGTGCTTGTAAGTCTATCCTCCCGTCAGTGTGCAATAACCACAAGCTCACGCTTTCCTAGCGCTCTGGATACACGCACAAATCGCCCGTCTTATGCAAGCTTTCCTTTCACTCATTTGCATACTGGTCATTGCCATATGGATTTTCCTCCGCCGATACCAAAGTAAGCTCTACAGTGATCCGACGAGCATAGACGGCTTTGCATCTTTAATGAACCATCCTGACACAGCACGCTTTTTCAACTCGATCGATTTGGGCACCCCCAAGGAAGAGATACTTGAAAAACTTGCCGGTTCTCGCTGGCGCCTTGGTTGGTATGCGACGGAAACGACTGAACGCTTTGGCATTATCGCCTCAGCTGTGAACCATTCTAAAGATCCTTTTACTTTCTACCCTCCATCTAGACCCTCCAGCCCTCCAAATTGGTCGACTTCATCTCCGCATTCTCCAGATCATCCGCAAACCCCCATGGAATCTACCAATTTGCTAACGACGCCCCCTTACCGATCAAAACTCCGCACACAATTCGCTCTCAATGCTCTGTTTGCCAGCCTCCTATCTGCATTATTCAGCGTCATCCTCGCTTACGACCTTACGACTTCGAATACTGGCTTCAAACGCTTCATGAGCGCTGGCAACTTCGGACCACGCTTCCTGCTCACGACCGCTGGTATCCTCCTTAAAGGTCAGTGGGCACGACTGGAACGAAGAAGTGTCGTCTCGAAACCTTTCGAGCGTGCCGAGAGGGGAAGTCGAAGAGACTATCTTGGCAACGATGGTGAGCAAAGCGATATCCGCCGCCACAACGAAGCCGTTCTGGCGCCTCGCACGCTCATCCCCCTCACCACACTTCTGTCATTCTTCTGGCGACCTAGCTACGACTTTGTGGCGACGGCTCTATTGGCATTCACTGCTATCATCGCCGAAGCTCTCGTGATCGTCCTTCCTGGCGTTCCGTTCGACTCGGGGCAGCTAGAAGTCGCATCCTACGTATCACGATATGTGTCGCTTGCTCTATTGGGTTTCATGCTGGCCGTTTTAGGCGGCTATTGGGCCATCCGTTTGCTAAGGTGGCGGCATGGAATCAAAATGGAAAGGTCCCCAAACACGGTGGGTACGATGATGGCTCTACTTGCTGGGACGGAGTTGGTAGAGAGATTGGCGATGGAGAGGAACTTGGGATATACAAATGGAAGGCAAGAAGAAGAGGAAAAATGCTGGGATGAGAGGGAGATTAGATTATTCCGGAGGAGGAGAGGGAGGGAGGTTCAGGAAGGGTCTGCACCAGATAGATGGGTTGTTGACTTTGAGTAATACTTCAACAGAGTTGAGATGTTTTGAACAAAATCATTGAGCAGGGCTGTTTAAACAACATAGCCATTTGCCAGACAGGATTTTGAGTCCGCATTTTTAGCATTTGGGTTGAAGATATACGATTTCCTTTCAGATCCGACATGTGGTAGAGGAAGACATGCGAGGCCAAGAAAAGCGTTACGCTTGCCAGCGCCGAATCCGAACGGGGGAAATGTCTTTTAGGGCTTTCGCCTAGGCCCTTAGAGCTCAGGCAGTAGACTTTCGCGCGGCTTAGTCCTCTGGTCGATGACAAGACATCTCTTCTAGCAGTCATGTCAAGACCTTGATGCAACAAGTCGCTTTTCAGCCTCGAAAAGCTATCCTGCCTCTTCTTTCTAGGCTTTACTCTATTCAGACCCCACAATGGCAGCCTCTTCCTCACCTCCCCGACTCCTCCCTCACCACCTTCAGTTCCCTCGCCTTCACACCCTTACAACCCTACCTCTTTCCCCGCTCAACTTTCGCCTCTCTCCCTGCGATTGAGAGATGGTTCTCGCCCCTACCCTCGCCTCCAAACGCTCGCACCCTGAATCAGGAATATCTCAAACCCCACGGCAACACCTTCTTGACCCTTGAATACACCCACCACGCCCCCTCTCAACCCCTCCAATTCCACCGCGGCAACGCCCCTCTCTCCCTCTTTCTAGCCTACGCCTCCCTCTCCTTCTCTGTGAACAACCCTGCTGCGCAGAGTTCGCGGATCTATGTCGCCCAATCGCCACTGTCTCCACTTCCTCTGAGTCTGAAGGAGGATCTCCCGACGCCAGAACTTGTGTTGAAAGCTGGGAAGGGGGACGTATATGATAGTAGTTTGTGGATGGGGATACCGCCAACGTATACGCCATTGCATAAGGACCCAAATCATAATGTGTTTGTGCAGTTGGCGGGACGGAAGGTAGTCAGGCTGATGGAGCCGGAGAAGGGGAGGAGTATCCTTGCGGGTGTGAGGAAGGTGGTGGGGGAAAGGGGAGAAGGTGGAAGGGGGGATGCAGTGAGGGGTGAGGAAATGATGGCTGGGAAAGAGAGAGAGGTGCTGGAGGAGGTTGTTTGGGGGAAGGGTGATGAAGAAAATGTGGAAGGGGGTTGGGAGGTAGAGGTTGAGAGCGGTGATGGGCTCTTCATACCATCGGGTTGGTGGCATAGTGTGAGAGGTGTTGGAGACGGAGTAACGGGGAGCGTGAATTGGTGGTTCAGATGAAACACATACGCGAGGACGGCTAGATCGTCTGAAGACATGAGAGTGAGAGAGAGAGTTGCTTATATACTTCGTTGGTGCTTGCTGCGTCAAATGCCTCTGAGACCCGTAAGAAAATACCCTTTCGCTGGCCTTTTTCCTCTCAAACCTGCCACTTTCTTCCGATAAAGCTTCGGTTGATCCAGGAATTTTTCCATAGGTATCTCACTGATGTGCTCTCTCCTCCAGGTGAATTGCTGGCCTTCTTCTAACCTGACCATGGGCATTATGCGGTATGTCATTTCTGTAGTACCCCAGAACGTTCCGTCTTTAATCTTGGTGATGCGGAAATAGATTGCTTCCGTGCAATTGATCTCATCGTCTCTGACTGCAAGGCGCACGACGCAGGATGGGAAGAGATGGTCAATACAGGCTTTAGGGATGATACGCCCTTGCCAGTCCGTGACATCGTCTTGGGGGAGGGCAGAGATTGTATGAGAAGGCATGGTCTCGGTCTTCTGGGGTAGATTTCAGACGGTGAATTGTCTCAACTTCGTGATGGCATTCCTCCTTCGGGGCTCAGAGGACAGGGTGGTGTAAATGATTTGTGAGTCATCTGGATCTGAAGCCATGATCAAGTTGCTAGCCGAGGGACGGATGGAGAAATGTTGGTTTTGTGCGCTTGTGCGTTTGAAATCGGTTCACTGGCGCTCTAAAGCTATCGTTCCTATGATTAATACGGGTTCTTGTGTTTTGAATATAGTAGAAATGCCGGCTCGAATATTGAACATACGGCTACCACTCTTGCCTTTCATGCTAGAACAGATGCTCGTAGAATGCGAATCGAGAAAGCTACGCTGCACTACGGCCTGGGACTGTTCAAGCTAAGAGGGGAACAATTTGTGCAGAGCATGAACGGTAGCAATTGCGCGAATTTGAGTGATAACAGATTACCAAATGCAGTAGAGCGTCTCTACTTTGCCTCAGGACATTGCAGAACGAAACGAGGCATTGAATCACCAGTCGCCATACATAGTTCACCGCATTTGAGATTTGTGGCGGCTAATCATCGGACTTCAAAAGATGGAGGATGACTCAAGGCATCACCGTCCCCACCGCTCTGTGGAACCAACGTTGTAGCCTGTCAGCCTATTCAGGCATCCATTTACTTTGCTTTGCCAGATGAAGTGTGGAAGGACAACGAAGCAAAGTCTGCTGTTGCATGGCGATTGCAGCGTTCCTCCTCTCTCGGCCGTACAGTGCATTACATCGCATGTCTGGGCAATCTCTTTCATGTAGCTACCGCAGCCTTAAAACGTCACTTATTCTTCACCAGATCAAATCAGGAGACGCGTAGCATTTAGGGCAATCTTACAGGCGCTTGGTGGTGCAGGTCGGGTCCATAGGGCCAGACATTACTTTCAGCTCGCATGAGAGCTATGATAGAACTACCTTAGCTTCTACATACCACTAGGAGACGGCCCCACTGCACGGCGCATGCTTCCATTCCCACACAACAATCATCCCACCACTACTACCTATGTGCTGACCCATTTCTCAGCAATCCTTCACTCTTCCGCCACTTTCGTTGCGTTGCCCCCGCAATAGCTGGCATCTCTGTACTTCATAAACCTCGATGCGTGACATTCTCGCTAACTGTCCTACTTGAAATCGTGCCTTCCCCACGTACATTGCGCAACCATGGAGTGGCCCGAGTATCAGGTCGACAATCCTGTCTACCTCCAAGCCGTACGACCTGGACGTGGTCGTCCCCGCCTCAACTCGGAACACCCTAGTCGCCAACCATTCTATGTCCAAGACCAGCATGGCATGCTTGTTCCTGCGGCCCCGGCAGGTGCCCAACCTGTATATCGCTCTGCCTCCACAAGTCATCATCGCCCAGCTTCAGTAGTCATACATAACAAAACCTACGGCGATCACTCACCTGTCCGCGGGCGGCGTGGTTCTCATGGCCAAGAGTACGAGTACGACGAGTATAGCGACTACAGCGAGAATACCCATTCCCATAGCCATAGCCCACGGAGACACCGATCGCACAGTCATCACCACCACTATGAAAGCCGGAGCCCAAGTCCTCGCTATGTTGACCCCAAACTCGAAGAGCGTATGAAGAGGTTGGAGGTGCTAGAGAAAGCAGAGGAAGAGAAAGCCCAACGAAAGGCGATTGAAGATGCGAAGAAGATTGAAGATATAGAGAAGAAGGAGAAGGAGAAGAAGGCCCGCGAGAGGTATCAGGAGGAGCAAATGATCGAGGCCGAGAAGAAGCGACAGAAAGAAGTGGACGACAAGAAGCGCAGAGAGGAATATATCAAAGAATACAATCGTGAGCAAGACGAGAAGAAAAAGAAGGAGGAAAAGAAAAAGAAAGAAGACGAAGAGCAGTGGCGCGAGATGACGATATCAAAATTTAGGGCAGCAGGATATACTGAAGAGAGTATCGAGAAGATGATCACGAAGGCCGACAAGAAAAAGGACAAGGAAAAAAGCGCCCACAAAGACAGCGGGAAGCAATTGATGCGCCCAACATATATCAAGGTCAATAGGAAATATATGAGTACGGAAACTTTGGATGAATATGAATTACCATGGGAGTGGGCAGAGGTGAGTCGCGATCTGATGATACACTTACCCACGCAGAAAGCTGATATACATGATCTGCAGGACATGGAATATATCATCATCAAACGTTGGATCAACGAGCATGATCAAGAGCAACTGTTCAAGCACACTGCCAAGTTGCGTGACAAACACCGGAGAAAGAAGATCGAGGATACGGCCGTCGAGCTGAGGAAGGAGAACGGCAAGCTGCAATTGGTCGAGAAAAGAAATCATTCCAAGGGCAGATCCAGGTCGAGGTCGAGGACGTGGCTTTTCACTTGATGACAATGACGGTCGATCAATGTTGACAAGTTGACGAAGACATGCATGTGCACTCCTCTTCTCTGTATAATCTTGAGTGCTGCTTTTCGAGATTTGTGAGCTTCCATGCAATGCCCTTATGATAGCCGGGAGTCAGTTAGGAATGTATCTTTCTTTACACGCTTTGCCAACTTTTGAACCCTCATTGGCAAGGAGAAAACCAATGCTCATCCAAATTCACAATAGCCCTCTTCTCGACATCCTTCAACTCCTCCAGTCCACGTCCGCGCCACAGGCTTGGGCTCTAGCCTAGCTTGTTACTCCTCTCTGGCTCAATAGAGTTACTCTGATGACGTATGGGAATATAGACATGTGTTCAGAAAGAAGTCCAGTTTCGGGTTGAGGCGCGCTACACTGTGGGACGCATCGATTCATTGTTAGTCAGGTCCCACTCGCTCTCTGCCCATCGTCGACTCACGAATGCCAACGTGGCATCTTCTGCTGTGACTCGTCGAGAGGTGAATGCTCGAAGCATGTGAAGGAGTATTTCGAGTGGGAGGCGACTATGTAGTCGTTTGCCTCATGGGTAATTAGGCCTCAATCATGGGGAACATGGTCAGCAAGATGTTGCGACGGGTGGAACAGCTTTTGATCCATGGCGTGGCGTTGGGAGTGGTTAAGCAGACTGGGCTGACGATTGTTCTTGTTGATAACGCCAGCCGGCTGAGAGTCTGCAATGATTCAAAATGAGTGAGTCGGTGCACTTCGAAACACGAAGTTCTAAATTGGTCCAAGGCGAACTTGCGTAGGTCGCGTTTGTAGTCCGCCTCGGCAGGGCGGCGTAGATACCCGGATGCCGCAAGCATCAAATTAGCATCTAACCTGAGATATGCATGACCAATTCTCCCCCAATATGGAAGAAATCTCTTGAGAGTGAAATACGCAAGGCATGTGTGGGAGTGACTCTCGTCCCTACGTTTGCGTCGACAAATTAAAATTATAATTCCAGGCCGTTGAACCACAAGGCTTATTAAAGCCTTCACAGGCCACCTTTCATAAAGGGCCCAACGAAAAGGATGGGCTCTCATATTGTGTCTGCAAATACCTCGGAGCTACAATTATTCAAGACTGGACTCTGATATGGCATCTAACCCATCACAAGCTCAAAAATCAAGATGGGGGAACTTCCTCTCCAGTGTGGAGTCCAGGCTGGACACGATACTGACCGAGGACGATCCCAAGGCGCAGACAAAGCCGGATGCAACGATCACAGAGCAACCCGGCAAAAAGGAAACTATGGCAATACCTGCAAGGCCAAACAGCCCCGCAAAGCCCGCGTCCTCGAACCGAGCCCAGGAGAGATTGAACGAGAAGCTGGCCCGAGCGATGGCGAATAAAAACATAGCTAAGAAGGGAGACGGAAGCGTACTGTCTTCAGGCGTGCCTTCTAGGACGGCAAGCCCAGCGAATGTGGAGAGCTCAAGAAGCAGTGTCGAGGTGCAGAGAGAAGAAGATGGGATCAAAGACAGCCGGAAGGACGAAATACCAATGAATATGGAGCAAGAAGCGACGTCTGGTGCCCAAAACGACGAGAGGAAAGATACCAACGAAGCCTCTGCATCAATTTCGGTCACAGCCGGTCCAGACGAGACCAAGGTGAATGGTTCCAATGAAGATCTCCACCCACCACGCTCTTCTACTGAATCTCGAGAGCCAAAATCTAGAAGGCAGTCGCCTGACATGAAGGATATAATTATGCTGGATGAGTCAAAAGTGCCTCATCTCAACGGACGTATCAGTTCTGTAGATCTGCACATACCTGAAGGGTACGAGCGGTCAATTCAACAAATACAATCCGACAACGAAGAAGCGGAAATTAGGAGACAAGAAGAGGCACAAGAGTATCTGGAAAAGATTGATACTTTGCAGGCTAAGCTTCAGTATCTTACAAAAGAGGCTTCGGAGGCTGCACGAGCAGCTTCGTCAAACGCCGAGACTGGTAGTCATGAACAAAAGCTAGCAGCCAAGGATGAGAAAATTGCTCTTTTGATGGAGGAAGGCCAAAAACTGTCTCAAACCGAATTGAAACATATGACAGTGATCAAAAAGCTACGAGCTAAGTCAGCAGAGGACGATAAATCTGTCGTCACATCGAAGCAACGAGTTGAGAGGCAGGACCAAGTCGCTCGGGAGGCCCAAGAAAGAGCTAAACGCGCAGAGGCTAGCGAGAAGTCGATTGCAGAAAAATTGAAAGGTCAATCTAAGCTTGAGAAAGACCTCAATTCTCTCCGGTCTGACCGCGATACCAAAGACTTGCTGATTAGGGACCTACAAATGCAGCTATCTGAGGCAACATCCGCCGCGAAGGAAGCTGAAGAGACATTTCGAGCCGAAGCACTGGAGACGCAACGAAAGCTGGCAGCAGATCTCTCAGAGGAAATCTCAAACATCAAGCATGAAAAGGAGCTCACCGAAAAGGAGCACCAAAATGTCTTACGAGGGATCAAAGACAAAGGAGAGCGGGAGAAAGAACGAGCCAGGGTGGCAGAGATTGAGCGGCAGGGCGAGCTGAATACTCTTGAAAGCAGATTAGAAGCATACCGTTCTCGCGCAGAAGAAGCATCCGCTGGACAAGGTGGAGATGTGCAAGCCAAATTGCTGAGGCAGATTGAGACGCTACAAAACCAGTACGCGGTAGCTAGCGAGAATTGGCAAGGTATTGAGGGATCGCTTTTGTCAAGAGTAACAACTCTGGAGAAAGAACGGGATGAGATTGCAAGGAGGGAAACCGACATAAGGCGTAAAGCTCGCGAGAATGTAAGTTTGTTCACTTCCCAGGTAAAGCAGTCCTAATAAAAATTAGAACTCAAAGTCGAGGCGAATGGAGGAAGAACTCGAGAGGGTTACTTGCACGAGTCAAGATCTTGACTCCGAGCGAGCGATTCTGACATCTCAACTCAACCTCCTCAGAGATCAGCTCAACAAAGCTGAGTCCGACGTAAATTCAACTCGAATCGAACTCAAGGCCGAGCGTGAATCTTGGGAAACACGTCAAACCCAGCGTCTTGAAGAGGAAAGACTCAGAATTCGAGATGAATTCTCCAGGTCGGTCCCCGGAAATCTTTACACCCACATCCGAAACGAATCCCCAATCGTCCCAAACCGCCCCCGTAAATCTTCTAACGCAGCCGACCGCTCAAGCCCTCACAGTCGCCGCGTCTCTAGCTATCAAGGCCTTGGCCTCTCTGGCACAAGCTATTCCCCCAATGAACGTCCTATAAGCCGCCGTTCCTCCACTCAGCCCACGTTTGAAGGCGCAGAATTCAGATTCGCTCCCACCTCCCGGGGCCTCGACCGCGTGGATTCGATGTCGACGGTCCCAGACATCTCAATTAATAACGGCATTCCAGAAACGCCTTCGGTAGATTACGATGCACAGAATGTTGGTGCAGATGATGACTTCTTCGCTGGTGTCCATACGCCCGCCACGCCACCCGAGCGAACGGTGCATGACCTTGTCTCGATCTCAACTGCTGGTGCTGGTCCTTCTGTGCAATTAGTCGAACGCATGTCCGCCGCCGTGCGCCGATTAGAGAGCGAGAAAGCAGTGCTTAAGGACGAACTAGCGCGACTGGCGCAGCAAAGAGATGAGGCGAGAGAGCAAGTAGTGGAGTTGATGCAAGACAATGCCGGAAAGAAGGCTGTAGATGAGAGGGTCAAGGTGTTGGAGAGGGATTTTGGGGATATCAAAGCGAGGCATGACACTACCTTAGAGATGTTAGGGGAGAAGAGTGAAAGGGTCGAGGAGTTGAAGGCTGACATTGTGGATTTGAAAATTTTGCTAAGAGAGATGGTTGAAGAGAGGGTTAAATGATTTTTTAAACGTGGTTGAGGTTTTTGATAGGGTTGAAGTCTTCATTCATGATATCGTTACATCAATATCTTCTCGCTCAGCCGTTCTCAAGACGTATTGCCGTACCTGGGTTGCATAAATGATCAGTCGGATTCTGACAAAGTCTACGCATTATTCATGGACACATACACTTTTATCTGGCGCCAAATCAATAGCTAGATACCCATCGAGATCCCTCTTATCAGATTCTGCGCTCTCCCTCAGCAGTGTCATAGCAGCTTCTCCGTGGCCTTCTGATATTGCTTTGAAACACCTTGTCAGCTACTGACATCCCATGAAGCACGTCTGATCTCGTAATTAACAATTTCAGACCATACGAAGCGCTACTCACCATGATGTAGCGGGCTCAATCCAGCGACGTCAGTCGCATTTACAGGACTCCGATTTGCAACCATCAATTCGATGAGGGGCACACTACCAATCGCAGCGGCTCTATGAAGAGGCAATTGCCCCCTTTTGTCTTTCACACGAGCAGAGGCACCATGCGACAGTAGCAGCCGGGCGATCGAGAGGTTTGATTTGGAGCTGGTGAGGTGGAGTGCTGTCTTGATTGAAAAGACTTCTGTTAGAAGCAGATACTTAACGCTTGTTTCATTGGTGCGAGACGCACAAGTTGTTTTGAAAAGCGGCTTGAGGCAGATGAAAGGGACACAAAGGAGGAGATGGGGGGGATTACTTGACCGCTATTGTTGAGTATGGTAGCATCAGCCCCTTTTCCAAGGAGCAATTTGACTAGTCCGTCTTCTTCCTTCAGGGAAGAAGCTATCATCAACGGCGTCCAGCCGGAGGCATCCTAGAAGCATCTCAACCAGATTTAGGAAATTGACCACACATCACAAACGCACCTGAACATCAGGATCAAAGCCCCTTTGGGAGATCAGTATCTCAACTATAGGGCGGTGATTGTACGAGCAAGCCCAGTGAATGGGTAATCGGTCATCTTCATCACGACGTTGAACAAGCTTGGGGTTTGCCTCTCAATCGTCAACTTTCATCAAGAAAGACTGAAAAGGATATGCAAACGTTGAGCAAGGCTTCTACAGCAGCAGCTAAGGCGTTTCTCAGTCAGAACATTGGGAACGAGCAGCTGACACAGGTCTTACTTCGTCCTTCTCGCGCGGCCTCGTGTATAGCATATTTGTTCTCCTGTTCGGCCATACCTACCACAAGATGGAAGAAAACTTGAGACCAGCTCTTGAGGGTATGAAGGAAGATTATTAGGTCCCATCATAGCCGCTATTGAAGCCCTACTGCGCTAAGCCTAATACAGTAACACCGTCAGTTGATGGTGGGAGGACAAGACGGTCGAAGAAGTCTCCTAGAAAAGAACCCTTCACAGACAATATCAAAGGCATTGCTCGTATGGTATATTTTAGAAGGCTTCACGTACCCACACACTAAAGTGTCATTTATACCTTCCTAGGAGGGCGACGAGTTCGCCCGCGATGGTCACTAAAGGTTTATTCTATGTGGAATAGTCTGATCGTAACAGTGTTTTTCTCGAACAGTATATGAGTGCTATGAATTCAACATGATCGCTATAGATCGTACGCCTAGGAAAGCAATGGTCTATCCCAATAAAAGTAACAAAATACAAACCCCACGTAAAGAAAACCTTTGACTCTGAAATACTCCTTGTTACGTCTGACCCCGGCTTGGCTTAGGACAGTCCATCTAGGCTGTCAGCAGAAGCGCCCCCCAGTCAGGACCACGCGAGCAATCGGAAAGCACGTTCAAGTAGCCCTTTGGGTTTTGGGGTTTCCGAGAATGGTCGGCGTCGCTTTGGTCCAGGTAGTCCTTTGGGTTTCTCTTGGGGGTATTCTAGTAGCGTTTCCGAGAATGGTCGGCATCGCTTTGGTCCAAGCAGTACCGGTCTTGATCGGGATTCTAGGTCACTTAAAATGTGGAGCGCGGCGGCCTTACTGTTGTCATATCTTTGTATTGCTGAATTGCATCTCAATTGCCAATTCCAAATATTATCTCGCAAGTGAAGCTCGCGGCGCTCTTCGCGGTCTCTGACCTCTCTGGAAGGATTCTCGGTCCATTTGGTCGTGACCAGTGTGAGCTTTGCAATACCATTCGAGCCCAGCAAGTGCTCGATCATATCGGCAGTCGTGTCCATAGCCTTATCAAGTCAGCATGTGTGCTATACACACCTAAGCAGATGATACTTACCTTAAGCACAGTCCCATACGCACGTGGCTGACTGATGTCATACATGAAAATGAGGCCCATTAAAAGCTTGTCGCGCTTCTTGAGCCTATCAAGCTGATTGTGTATTGTTTGCATGATTTCCACGTCCGTTCGCGTTCTGTTACTCTCATCGATCCCCGGCGTATCGATCAGGTATCCGTCTTGGGACTTGGAAGCGAACCTATAAATTTGCGAGTTCACAGTTTCTAGCCTCAGTGTAAGTATAAGCGTAATCGAATGCTTTGAGTGGAGTCAACACTCACCTGAGACCAAAGTTTCGCCGATGACAGGCTGTTCACCAGACATAAAGTTGAGGCCGCCCGCTGTCTTGATGAAAGAACTCTTGCCGACTCCAGTCGCTCCTATGACTGCAAAAATTGGTAGATTACCGTCGAGCTGTGGCTGCATTCTGAAGGTCTGTAGCAGCTTTGCGTTCGACAAAGCTCCAGTAAGTTGAAGAAAGATCATAAGCAATCCGACCACCAAGGGAAACACCACGATCCATGCAAGCCATCTGTCGGTACTTTGGATATGTAGTAGAATCTGCATCTTATCCAGGAAATCATTCATCTTATGTAAGAAATCCTTCATCCAGACCAGTGAGTAATTCCAAAGACCTATTCCAAATTTAGCGAGCTCTAAAGCGCTGGACCATTCCAGCAAGTATTTTCAATTTCAAACATACTAGCATTCGCCAACTCTTTGGCGCACCCTTGTATCTCGTTCGTCTGCTTTGTCTGATTTATCCAGATCCTGATTTTTGCTCCGATGATACTCATCTGGTTATGATCGTCCAGCGATGCCTTCTCGAGACCGTGATGTACGTTGAAACGGAATGCGCGCCCAGATTTGAATAGTTCGGAGTGGTCTTTCTCGAAGTCTTCTGCGGTCCGCTCTGTTTCTGTTACCAAGCTGAGCATTCTCTCGCGAATCAATTCCCAAACGTTGTCGCTGAATTCACCTGGAATATTCCCGGTGCCGATGGAAACGAAACATTTCAAACGAGACTCAGCATCGGCAGGCGTTTCACCGTAGATTTTTCGAATCTCTCTGAAGGCTTCATTAGCAGGATTATTGGCGCCCAGAGCACCGTCAACAAAGACCTGGCCATCGATTTCCACTTCATCGAAAAAGGTTGTCGCTGCGGACGTTGCAAGCGCAGCTTCGACGATAGTGGGGCTGGCTATGCCGTCAAGTTCTTTTGAGTGATAGGACCTCAATAGCGTAGTTTTGTTCATATGAGTCTTGGAAGTCGCGCAAACGAAACTTATGAAAAGTGATTAATGAGATTCGCTCCACTGGATTGCAGTTTACTTACACTTTGCAAGTACTACCGAGAGATTGGTCGTATAGGAGAGCTGTCTTTGGGTCTTCGCCGTCCAATCGCTGTCCCACGATACGTAAAATCTGGCTCTCTAACTTTGCGCTGTTGAACCTCGGTTTGACTGTTCCGGATATCAATGTAGTAGCTCTGCCTATTAAGCTTTCGGAATCGTTGAAGACTTCTTTAGAAAGCTGCTCATACGCCAGAATACATTCTTCAGCGTCCATGCGCAGACGACCAAGCATGATAGCAATAAGCCTAAGTATACATAAGTACCTGAGGCGCAAGTAGCAAGCTCACACATACCCTCCGGTACCAGTACCGGCGATAATATGAAAGATTTGGTAGGGTTTGACCCTGCTGAGACCTTGTTCTGCGCGAAGGCTATTGACGCTATTCATTAACGCTTTCAATATATGAAGGGTCGAGAGGCCGCGCACTCCGCCACCATCTAGTTAACGTTAGTACAAGTAGCAAATTGAAAATTGATTAACCAAACCTAGAGTAAGGACGGATATCCCCGACTGATGGTGTTCCTGCTGCGCCATTGGACGAAGATGCTTCATCTTTTCGAGATCTGTTCGTTCTTTTGACTACGAAATGATGAAGAGAATTGTTGTGAACAGCAGAGAGAGGGAAAAGAAGGAGTTTTTATAACAACGACACCTGGGATGCAGAGTGGTATTAGGACGTCGAGTTTCAGATCAATCGATGATGTGTAAGTATAAATATCACAGGAAAGGCTGGCCCCCACACCAACGAATGTGCTCTCTTCCCACCATTGTTATTGCATGATAACCTGTTGATCAGAAGGCCTTGCACCATCACTAGCACTGAGAAGTGAACTAAGAGAGTTACACCGGCGGCAAGATTTAGCAATCGGACCTACGGTGTATGGACGATTGGAAGGTGGTCTTTGGCCCCAGCATCAAGCGCACACAGAACACTAGCGGATGTAGCTTGCGACTCGTCTACCGCCATCAATTTGAGCCATGGAACCTATGAGGGTACGAAGCATTATCGACTTTCGTTTCATGGCGATGTTTTGGGGTGGTGGCTCCTTCTGGCTGGCCACATTGGAATGGATACAACAAATCGTCAGGATATAGGCCTGAAACACTGGGATGAAACATGATCTGACGCACGACGATCTTGCTATTTCAGGCGAAGATAGACTGTTGTTGAGATCAGTGCATGTCTTGACATTGAATGAAAGGTTTTTAAACCCAAGTCAGAGAATTGGGGCCAGCGCATAATTCCGAAGGCAAAGCCTTACCTTACTCCTGCCACGGCTCTCCCCAATAGCAGCCGGGATGTTGTAGAGGTTTGGCCCTCAGAATTTTCACCCGAATAGGCATTAGAGGTCCTAGCGCCTGACTAGGGCAAGGCTGAGGAGCAGCCGAGTTCAAGCGTAGTCACGTAGAACTAAGGATTCTATTAGCCGTAGGAATTCTTATACATTTATGATGATAAGATGCCAAGGCTTGTAAGCATTGTAAACAATATAATCGTTAATGTCAGAATTTCTTTTTGTTAATCATTTGAAATCGTAGAGGTTCCTAAGGTTCCGTAATAAGGCACATACCTTCCGCGGTCCGCCCCTGGCTCCCGCGCTGGATCCCAGGGCTTTGGCACCGGGTGTGCCCTCCAAAACTGGCAGCAGTACTAACGCCCCAGGTTGGAGCATTCTTCTCCGATCAATATCTCGATTTTCAATAGTCATCTTTCCTTTTAAACAAGTTTATTCAGGTAGGCTCTGCACTTTACTGATACTCACAGAAGCCTGTCTCCTAACTGTGTTAGATTAAACCTGCCACCGGCATCTTGCGCCGCCAGAATAGCTGATACCATGTCCTCGACTGAATCGCTCATTCGAACGTCAATGAAACGAACGCGAGATCTATTCGGGTCTGAATATATCTCCCCAGTTCCTTACGAACCGACACTTGATGATCCTGTGCAAGCAGCTGAAAAAGCTGGCTTGTCGTTCCGTATGAACGCTGAGTACAAAGCAGTCCAAACTTTACCACCAGCCTTAGAAGCAAAGCAGAAGGCTGCCACTGCCGCTGCCAGAGGCAAGAGGAGGAAAGCGGAAGATGGCGACCAATCCTCGACAGCAAAGATGATTGAGGGTATTGCCGCCAAGTCAGAGAACGCGGCTGGCACGTCAACTGCGCTGGCCTTGCGAAATGGTAACACAGGCTCGATGCCGGGAGCTCAATCGTCCTCTAGCTTGGTACGCCGTCAAAACATCCAGCAAGTGAGGCCGGAGTGGCATGCACCTTGGGAGCTGATGCGGGTAATATCTGGTCACTTGGGATGGGTTCGAGCTCTTACTGTTGAGCCAAATAATAGGTGGTTTGCCAGCGGCGCCGGAGACCGTACCATCAAAATATGGGACTTGGCTTCGGGCTCCTTGAAGGTTACTTTGACCGGTCACATATCTACAGTCCGTGGTCTGGCTGTCTCGCCTCGGCATCCATATTTGTTTTCATGCGGTGAAGACAAACAAGTCAAATGTTGGGATCTGGAGACCAATAAGGTCATTCGACATTATCATGGCCATCTGAGCGGTGTGTACACCTTATCGCTTCACCCCACCTTAGATGTACTAGTTACTGGAGGTCGAGATGGTGTTGCGCGGGTCTGGGATATGCGCACTCGAAGCAATATCCATGTTCTTAGCGGACACACCCAAACAGTATCAGATTTGAAATGCCAGGAGGCAGACCCACAAGTCATCACTTCTTCCTTGGACTCCACAGTCCGCCTCTGGGATCTGGCGGCGGGCAAGACCATGGGCGTACTCACTCACCATAAAAAGGGCGTACGTGCACTGGCGGTGCATCCTACAGAGTTCACGTTCGCTAGTAGCAGTACCGGCAGTATCAAACAATGGAAATGTCCGGAAGGCGCATTTATGCAGAATTTCGAAGGACACAATGCCGTGATCAATACCCTCGCTGTCAACGAAGACAACGTCATGTTCTCGGGAGGAGACAATGGGTCGATATCTTTCTGGGACTGGAAGAGTGGGCATAAGTATCAGAGCGTGGAGACTACTGCGCAGCCTGGGAGCTTGGATGCTGAAGCGGGCATCTTCTCGAGCACTTTCGACAAGACTGGGCTAAGACTGATCACAGGCGAAGCGGACAAGACAATCAAAGTGTGGAGACAGAACAGTGAGGCGACGCCAGAGAGTCATCCGCTGGACTGGAAACCCACATTGTCGCGGCAGAAGTATTAGGATATGCTTCTTCACTAACATTCAATCTTAATAGGACTCGATGAAGAGGCTCAATAACGACTGTACCATGGTGGCCTGTACCGTGGAGGTAGGATTAGATTCACATACTGACAGCACTCGCTACGATGCGAAACATGTCTGCAGATGTGGGTTTGACTCCAGACAGGATTGCAGATTAGTGGCCAGGAGTCGTGGATGGGATGCCCAAGCAACAGACTGATCAACTCTAGCCCCATAAGAGGAAGAGACGGGAGTATAAATCTTTGGTGGCCTTAAGATCAGAGCGATGCATTGGATAATGGAAATATACCCTAACCAAATCCAAGTCCTCTTACTTCGACATCGCCTCGAAGAGCCGTACTGATCTCTTCATCTCCAATTGCTAGTCTCACCTTTCCAATTCTTTCACCTCGAACACGTCCGCCTTCTAGCCCAATCACACCGGCTTCTGCCAACTCAGCAGCAGCTTGACTCAATCCTTTGACTCGATATGATGTCTTGGGCGTCTCTGCCTTTCGCCGAAAGTTGTCTTGATCCGACTTAGGCTGACTGGACATTTTGTCCTTCATCAGCACCTCCTGAATTTTTGGATTCTCAACAGCCATTAGAGCAAGCCGTCTCGCTTCCTCGACCACGTCGACCAGAACGCATTCATTGACGCCCGTTTTTCGTGCGCGTGCTAGTAAAGCGGCCAAGAAAGTCTTCGCCGCCAAAGGCAAGCTCTTCAAATACTGCTGCAGCGGGCTCGAAGTCGCCTCATTAATAGCAGCTTTGACGGTCTGGATCGTGACCGTCCCCTTGCTCTTCCTATTCGTCTCAACTCTCTCCTTCCTTTTCGCACTTTTGCTCGGCGTGCCCACTGCAACACCGTCCTCCAAACCTTCCACCTCCGCGATTTCCACCGCCCTCCTACATATATCCAAGCACCTCCTTGCATCTCCACTGACCGCGGCCACCTTCCTTGCCGCAAACTGAACCGCATCTTCATCAACCACCTGGCCACCACCATCCCCGCCCACTTCTGCCAACCTACTCCTCACAATCTCCATCAACTGCTCATGACTATACCCCGGGAACAGGATCCGCGTCAACCCCAACCGCGAACTAATCTTATTACTTAACATCCTCTCAGGCAAATCCATCGTATTTGCTACCGCCAGCACAATCAGCCTCGAATGCCTCAACCCAGGCCAATTAAAAAAATTGTACATCACGCTCTGCGTCCTCGTAACAAGCTGATCCAATTCATCCATCAGCACCACACAAGGCACCCGCCTCGGACTCGGCCTCGAGAACTCCTGCTCTAGCAACCCCAACGCATGGGTAGGACTCACGCGCTCGTCGCGGAGGGCTTCCCAGAGGAGACTGTACGCCTGAGTGGGCTCAGTGACTTTCATGCCATTGATCTCCACGAAGATGAAATCATCTAGCTCGTCCGCTTGCACGGCACCGTGTAAGCTAGCAATCACCTCGCGGACGGTGGCGGTCTTGCCAGTCCCCGGTGTGCCGGAAATGTAGATGCAGGAGCCGCTGCCGGCGGTGATGGCGGTCTCGAGGTGTGAGTAGACGGTTGCGAATTCTGTCTCTCGACAGGGGAGGGTAGCGGGTACCGAGGAGACATGAAGGCTGCTGCGGGCGAGTTGGTGAGGCGTGCTGTTCGTGTGGGTGGGGGAGAGGAAGCGGGTCGTGAGAGGGGTGATGGTGAGGGGTTTTTTGAGGGTGATACGCTTGTGGGCCGAGGAGTTGGGTGTTTTGGGGCGCCGTCTGGGGGTCGAAGAGGGGGTGAGAAGGTGCGTCTGTTTACGCTTTTTACTAGGTGTGCGAGGCTCGGTGGTGTCGGGCTTGTAGGTGTACTGTGATAATGAGCATTGGCCAAAGAAGAGGTATGGAGATGTACGAACCTCTTCTGCTGCATCCTCCTCATAGTCCTCTCCTCGCTTCCTCTTCTTCCTCGTTGCTTTCGTCTGATTTCTGACTAGCTCGATCAAGGCAAGCATGTCACCTGCTCCTTTATACACATTCTCCCAGTTGAATTCCTCAGTATAAGTCGCAGTCCTTGTATTGCACCCTCTCCTACACACAAAGATCTTTCCAAGATCCTTCGAGCCCCTCGGGACCTTCCCATTCGGATGCCTCTCTAGAAATCTCTCCTGCGACAAGACCACCGCTTTCCCATTGATGCTTGCCAATGGATTTCTGTCCCAGCTCGGCGCGATGTACACTTCATTTGCTAACGCATCACTTCTCCTTTTTTTCTCATTTCTGATCTCTTTCGCGGTGCTGAACCACATAAATTCAGCTGCCATGCCACGCCCTTTCCCAGACTCGTATCCACTATCACTTTCGTCTCCTGCCTCACTCTCATCTTCATCGTCTTCAATGAAATCGCATATCAGACCCACCCATGCTTCGTTATTGCCCTCGGCTTTCAGGAGCACACAATCACCAACATGGCACTCGAATTTGCCCATTCGAGCGCCAATGATCTGTAAAGCCGGCTTGCTTGGTTTCTCATTACGGTGGCGTTGTTTTTGTGGGGTCGCAGCAGGCGAATGTGAGTAGATCCATTCCCAAGGATGGTCTTCGAGGCCCAATTCGTCGTCTGAATCGTCGCGGGCGATGCCGCCGCCTTTCAAGTATTGTCGGGCCCGCGCAGCTTTTGAGTAAGTGGACTGGGTGGTATTTGATGCTGTTCGAGGCATATTGGTTGAGTATGCAAGCAGAAATGCAGCCTCCAGAACGGATGTTGTGTGATGTGCCCCCGAGGCTGGTCAACAGCCGCCAGACTTCTGGAAGACGCGTTTGAACGCGTCGCGCTAATGCAAGCACTTTAATTCTTGGCGCCAGGTGCCCCATTCCCTAGGCTGAGGGGGAATTTGGCGGTCTGGCAGTATTTAAGTAGTAAGGCAATTGACAATCTTGCTTTCTATTGATACAATATATATACACCCAGTCTAACCTGAGCCGCTCAATTGAACGCGTGGGGTATCCGTATTTCGTTATCATCTCCGCAGAACGCCAGGCCGGGGGAAAAACTCCTCTACGAGCACATCTAATATCACGAATGCCAAATGCGTATTCAATCGTTCATTGTTGATTGTTGCCGTCAAACGTCTGCTTGCAGCTTGCGCGTTTTGTTTGCCTACGACGTTTCCAGCTAGCTCTGGGAGCAGTGTTGTCAAAATGGCCCTCATCTCTGTCTTCGTTCTTCCCTTCTCGGCGGGTGATCTGACGGGCTTTTCTTTGCGAAAATGACCGTCAGGCCATATTGTAGCCTTGAGCATATCAATATACTTGAGCACAGCTGTTTCAGCAAAAAGCGTGCGTGCGATTTCTCTGACTTTCCGCTCTACTGTCCCTCCAAGAAGCTGGTGCAGAACAACAACCACTGCTCGTCCCCGAAGCCAGTTATTCCCCCTCTGCAAGTCGAAAGCCTCGAGAAATAGATCAGAGATCGGTTTCACAAATGGCTCGAGCTGATCGGACCGGGCAGGATTGGAGACATCGGACTCAAAGGCGAGAAGTTCGGCACGAGCTTCAGTGGTTTGTATCGGGTCTTCAGGAGCGATAGGCAAGGATGTTGCTGCATTGGTACTCGGGTTGGGGACATTAGAGGTTGTTATAGTGTTGAATTGAGAAGTAGCAGCAGAGATCAGGTTCTGCCCGGCGAGAGAAAGCTGGTCCAGCACTGGCACATTTCCCATGAATTCATCCATACCGTCGGCGACGGAATTGTAAAGACGCGATACAATGTCCTGCCTTTCACCATCTTGAGTAGAGTCCTTCTGGCTGACAATGGCAGATTGAGACAAAAACGCCCGTAGATCACGACTGCGGCAAACAGCCGGAAGTCGGAGTAGCTGCCGTAGATACATTTCAAGAGCAGCCTTCCTCTTGCGAAGAAACTCTTGCTGGAGCTTCATTACCAAACGTCTCCGGGGGAATTCAATGTTACGAACGGCTGGATATTTCTGCCGAAGCCGCCTGTGAAGATCGTGGAATTCGCTGTAACGCTTCGGTACTGCCCATGATGCGGCCGGCATGTTCTCGCCGGCCTGTCGCTGCACTTCAATCAAATATAGAGCGAACTCCTGGCCATCATCCTCTCGACCAACTACAATCGACTTGATTTTGACATTTGCGCGACCAAAGAGACTGTTGTCACTTTCTTGTACAATATACTGCTGCCTTTGCATTTCCTTGCGGCGGATCTCGCGCTGCAGACTAGACCTTGACTTGCCTAAAATGCGCAACTCAGCAACATTGTTGGTAAGTTCTGCTTTGCGGCTCAATGTCTCGAGAACGGACTCTTGCGCAGCAAGTCGGTCTATATCTGCCGTCAGCGCCGTGATAGCCTCTGCAAGTCCTAGGTCCCCAGGCTTGGCTTCTTCTACTCCGTCGTCAACCGACTTCTCTTCAGCAGATAGTTCAGGATCCGTTTGCTCATCTTCCAGAAACTTCTCCTCATCACCAAATAGGTCGTTATCAGTAAATACACCAATACGAGATGACGTATTCACTAGGCCCAGAGATGCCAGGTTTGGCCGCTCCCTGTCTTTCTCGCTCAGCACAGAGTTCTCAACGCTCCGGGGTTCTGCCGGGTTTCGAGGAGCATTAAAAAACTTGTCACCTAAGAACCCCGACTCTGATCGCTCAAATAGCGGCTCCCTAGAATCCTCGCCGTTGTTGTCATCCGTGAGGATGTCTGTAAGGGCGGCCTCCATAGCGTTCACCATCTGGTCCTGATTCTCAGTGCCCTGATCTCCATTGATTGATTCGCTGTCGAGACTGTGAGTAGAGCGAGCAAGGCGCTCATCGTCAACGTCATCATCAAACAGAGGCCCAGACGTATTCACGTCTAAAGATCGACGAGTTCCAAAAGCCGCATCCGAGACTTTAGCGGCGTTACTGAGGTCACTACTGGAGGCAGCATTTCTCCTTAGCTTCGACGAGACGCCGCTGAGCTTGGATGTCAGTCGGTTGACAGGCGGTCGACTTGGCGATTCGGGGATCGAAGGCACAGATGGCTCCTTGATTGCACGCGTCGGAGGTTTTATCGGTCCCTTTGAAGCGCTATCGTCCGCCGTGAGATACTTGTAGAACAAATCAGATTGTTTGAACTCAGAGAAGTGGGCTTCATCCATCTCAGCATATATTTTGGACTGAGCTTTGAGAACAGCGCTCCTCGCCTGCACAAATTGCGACCCAGTAGCTTTTGAGTTTGCTTGAAGGAAAGCAGTCACTGCTCGTTTCGTCTCGTCAGGTATCCGAAGTTCTGATCTTGACAGGTAGGCCTCGTTAATCTGGGCAAGATCCATGCGATCAGACCCAATCCATTGTTTTTGCGAAGGGGCAAAGGGATCTTCTGTCTGTGATTCGTCCTCTAATGGATTTCGTATACCATCCACGACGATCCAGAATTGCACAAGAACCATACATTTACGACGATCCATGAACTCCATGAAGTAAGATAGACCAGCTGCGCTGTAGAGTACTTCTCGCAATGAACCAGTCAAGGCGGCGGCAGTGATCTTTTCATCTTTTGCGCCAGCGTGATGCACTCGGGCTTCCGAGGAGTTTCCAACAGCGCTCAGCTTCCCTACTCGTTGATCTAACAATTGCTTCCCCGTTTCTAGTCTTCGAAGATATATTTGATCTTGGCAATCCATCAAAGCCTCTCGTTTCAATTTGCTGGCCACTTCACTCCTGAGCCGGCGCGCTTCTGATAGATTGTTGCATTGCCTTATCGATCTCACAAACCTCTCAAACTTCCGCTCATCGTCACCCGGCAAAAGTCTAGGCAATGATTGGGGTTTCAGTGGCTTCGGTGGTGGTGAAGCATGTTCATCAAGTGCAGCTCGAAGTTTGCGCACGCTTCTACGATCTTGCATCATGGTGCGACCGTACGCTTCCATGATTTGGTTCCATGTGTCAGGATCCGAGAGCATCTGCATTAGGGGCGCGAGGACTGCGCAGGACATGATTTCTTTTATCAAGACCGATACCGCTCGGCTTTTGATCATATTTTCGGGCAGGACTTCAGGCAGGACTCGTGCCACAATTCGTCTCAGGTGTTCCTGCTGTACGGTCTTCAGGTCTGAATGCTTTAGGGAAGCTGCAACATGCAGATGGCCGTCCCTATACTTTCCGGCGATTGCCAGGTCAAGCTCTTCGGACTCTGTGACATTGCGGCTGAGGTTGATTCCTCTCACTGCTTTTTCTGCTTCGTAGAAATCTCGCAAGTGTTTCGTGACCAGAGGCACCACACGAGAGACTGCAATCTCGACGACATCTCTATCAAATACTCGTCTTTGGATCTCAATAATGGCTGCTCGGGCAGAACGATCAATCTCGTTAACAAATGCGGGGCTCTTTGAAATATGGTTATACCAAGATGTCACGAAATCCCGCAGGACCCAGTCGAGTAAGCTATCTATAGCCTGGGAGGTGACGAAAGACGGAGGATAGATGGTGTCTTGTTTATAGAGAGCGGCTTCTGACAAATATGCGGTCTCCTCCGTCCATGCTTGCGGTGTGACGAGGATCGTGTTCGACGAGCTGAATGTTGGGCGGACGTGGTCATTACTCTTAGGATTGAAGCTCAAGGATATAAACGCTATCACAACCACGGAGGCAGCCACGGCCCCAGTTAGAAAGGCATAGACGAGGTATCGAAAGATGGGCGCCCAGGTAATCAGAGAAAGCCAGGCAACAAAAAGGATGAAAAACGCAATGGACGCATTACGGCGCCCTAGGGCCATGTCGGTGCCTGTACTGCTTTTGTTGACGCATGCTGACTATCATAAGACGCGAGATATCATTGTTACAGCTGGTAGATGGATCGGACTTGGCTGATGACCTTGGGCTTTCAATTTGTCCCGAAGTGCAATACATGACGGAGCCGCAACAACTTTTCCCAATCTCAAGACTTGGCATACTAGCTTGGCGTGGGGAGGAGGCGGACGGATAAGGGGCTACTGGGTCGTAGGCCTGACTTATAGCCTCCAAAGCTGCCATGATAGTATCCAAACAGATTAGAATATTTCTGTAATGAAAGATAGGTAGCTACCGTATTGCATACTTGCAGCATCGGCGTATACCTTAGCTGTCTTTAAAGCTTATAGGATAGTAGCATTTGGTGGGGAGCCCAAAATGGCACAAGCTATTGAAACTAGAGCCCATTCTTCCCGGCCCTAGCATCTTTTGGGTTGTTGGTTTCAAGGGGGTTTTGGTTAGACAACTTGAGACCCGAAGTGATCCACTGCTCCAGGCAGTGCTCTTATTACTTGTCACTTCTTTGGCACTCCGGTCATCTATACATCAAGCATCTATATGACGCCTGTACAATTGACCCTGAGGTCTTGAGCTTGGCCGCAATCCCACATCTGAACACGACACTATCGATTGGCTTCCTGAGCCTTATTCAGCCACGTCTTACCCTAAAGGAGTTTCCCTAATCTCCAAATTCTTTCCTCCTTCACAGCGCCCCCATGACTCGCAATGGATGAGAAGTATCGAGACAGGGCCCAATCGCTAGGATACCAACCAGGCGACGTACGCAGCGACTCAAGAGCCTCTTCGGAAAGAACATTACTCAATATGTCGGAAACGGAGCTTGAGGACCGGAAGCCTAAAGACATAGAAAAAGGGAGCGCAGATGGGACAACCACTCGAATACCGGCCGTCGTCACGAAAGACCATGTCACACCCGATCCTCTCGCGAGGACCAAAATGATCATGTGGATGGCCATCAATACTCTAGCAACAGTGTTTATCGTAAGTCGTCCTACGAGTACTCCCCGCCAGCCATGATCCCTTTCCTACCCCACCTCAAACATTGCGATTCTGCTGCTGGGATAAGATCAATATGCTGAGTTCTGTTTCCTCAGGTCTTCTGCAACAAAGCAATCTTTTCCGATCCCTCCTTCGGCCAATGTCAGGCGGCCTTTGCTTCATTTCACTTCTTCGTCACCGCCTCAACCCTATACTTTGCCTCACGGCCTCAATTCCAGATGTTTACTCCCAAATGGATACCAGTAGCCAGTATGATGCCTCTGGCTGTATCAATGGCTGCAAACATAGTTGGCATGAACCTGTCTCTGCAGATCTCGACTGTCACATTCTATCAGATTACACGAGTGCTTCTTACACCGACCGTTGCCGTCATCAACTTCTTTTTCTACGGAAAGAATATCCCCCGAATGGCAGCTTACGCTCTGGTGCCTATGTGTTTTGGTGTTGCTCTCATCAGCTACTTCGACGTTAAACCACCCCCACCCGCGGGTGCGCCCATCAAGGATAATGGGGTCCTAGGCATTGTTGTTGCGTTGGGTAGTGTCTTTATCAGCGGCATCTACACTGTATGGGTAGGCTCATACCAGAGGAAATACGACGTCAACGGCTTTCAGTTACTCTACAACCAGGCTCCGATTGGAGCAGTCGTCCTTCTATACGTCGTCCCGTGGACGGACAAATTCCCCGCGCTTGACAAAGCGCCTATCAACATTTGGTACATGATCTTGTTCAGCGGTGTCATGGCCTCTTTGATCAACATATCGCAGTTCTACATCATCATTGGGGCGGGGCCTGTAGAGAGCACCGTAGTTGGCCATCTAAAGACCTGTGTTATCGTCATTATTGGCGCCTTCACAGGAGGAAGAATTATCACAGTCGAGGCTGCCATGGGCATCATGCTCGCTTTGCTGAGTATCTTTGGGTAAGCTCGTTTAAAGCAACCTATGTAACTACTTCTAACCAAACGCCTAGATACTCCGCGGTCATGATCCGCCAACCCAAATGATACGATATCAGTGTACGAGCAGGCATTACGAGAATCAATAGAAAGCGTTGGGACTAATTGGATCAATCAAAAATAGAAGAGCAATACAGCTCATGCAATCTTATGCGCAAAGAGATCATTGTGAGAATTTAAGGCGGCGTTCTAGGGCAATTCAAGAGAAGGGATACGAGCGAGGGGTTTTACGGAGGTTCCAGCGATGGCCACATCATTCTCGTTATGTTTGGCGGGTATCACCTGACTGGGACGCCTTCAAACTTCTTACAGCTATGTGTTTAAAGGCGGTGTTCCAATTTACAATTTTAGGAGATATGCGTTAGGTATCTCGATCTATTATCATTTTCACGACATATCCGAACATCATATCATCCCTCTCCCGGCCATGGCGGATCTTCTCTACGTCTCCACACGCTCACGAACTTCTTCCCATCATTCCTACTCACCTTCTTCCCCTCCTCCGTCTCCTCCCTCATACATCTCAAGATCGTCCCCACCTCCTTATCCCCCCAATCCTCTTCTTTCCCCTCCTCCGGCAACGGCCTCACTTGCTCAAACAGCCCTTCCTCGACCCCACCTCTTTTTCCAAACTCCTCGAACCTCGTCCGCATCCAGCCAGCCAACTCCTCCACATCAGTAATCGTCCACACCATTCCCCCAGGCTTCAACACATAAGCGTATTCCGCGCACAACGTCTCACTGACGATACGAGCTTTGTGCTTTCGAGCTTTGAAGTGTGGGTCGGGGAAGCAGAGGAAGATATGCTCGAGGCTGGCGCGGGGGAAGAAGTTGGGGAGGAACTTCATCGTGTTGGCGCGGAGGACGGAGATGTTTTGATAGAGTGCTGTTGGTGGGGGTGGAGCGGTGGAAGGGAAGTGTACATCGGAGGTTTTACTTTCGATCTGAGGGAGATGCTGTTGCCGGAGAGCATAGATACGATCATGGACGTAGCTTGTTACTTGGGTGCGAATTTCGAGGCCTGGGTCCAAGGATATATGTCAGGAAAGGTTGTCGGTTGGGACGTGGGCATGTGCATACCAAGGATTAATCTATCGGGTAGGAGAGGCGACAATGCTACCAGCAGGCCTCCAAACCCACAACCTATGTCTGCGACTGTCACTTCTTTCTTCAGTGGCTTTGGGACGCCCTCCTCTTCGGCAGCCTCGTTGTTCGCAAAGGATGGGTAGTGGCTGGACCAATCCATAAGGGCAGGACTACTCGGACTAGAGAACCCATCTGGGTCAGCTTGTTAGCCTCGTGGTGGATATATGGCTTCTAAGATGATTCACAAAGAGTTTGTGGAGTACATACTATGTCAAGGCGTGATCGGAGAATGGATTTGCGTGGGCACGTTGCCGGTAGAACCTCTTCTTTGGAAGCTCAGCTGGCCCATCTCCGACTCCGTGGGAGGAGCGATACTCTTCACGCTTCTGGCGCTTCTTCGAATTTGTCATCTTCAGACAAGAACGAACTTATGCAAGACTGAAATGTCAATGTCTGTGGATTTGGGAGGGAGCATTGGGCATATTCTGTTCGGTGGGCGTCAGCTATCTCTAGCGCTACCCGGCTTTTAGAATTAGGTTTTGACAGTTCATTAGTAAAAGGGGCAGTCAATTGGAGACTTGAAGGTGACACGGTCATCCATAGAAGTTGATTAAGCAGCTCATAAAATATCCACTAGATGTCATGCGTATACACTATCTGCCCCGCATTCCTCCTAAGAATGTGGGGTTTTAGCGTTGCAGCAGGTCACGAGACGGGATCGTGATCAACCCCGCATGGGTGACGAGGCTTAGCAGCATTCCACCCCCTTCCGCTGCAATTGACTTGTACCTGATCTTCTCTTCTATCCTCAACCACAGACCCCTCGTAGTGCTAGACCAGCCTAGTTCCCTCTGCCTTACCAAGAGTTGTCTCTGTACCAAACCTCCATCATGTCCGCAGAACCATCAGATCTGAACAAGGTCGATTCGGCCATATCGGGCCTCTCATCATCCCCACCAGAAGTCAAAGGGCATCGGAGAGCGAGCTCTAGCGCCGCTGGGGTGTATAACATTGCTGACCTAGGTATGTGAAAGACATGCACAGGCCCACATATCTGTTTGATCGGCTGTGCAACGTGACTGACTGATGTTCACTGTAGAGAAGGAAGGGAAAGAACTGGAGATTGCGAAAGAGACACAGCAACTCAATTGGTATGTCGTATGAAGCTTGATTGGTGATGGTGTATGAAGTGTCAACGACATCGAGGCTACCTGCCAGGGACAAGTCCGGATCAGGACATAGCTGACGGCATGATTTAGGAGACTGAACACATCGCCATCAACAGTAGACGAGAAAGAAGCATTGAAAAAGTACCTCACGACTCCACCGGTCAAGAAGATTGACCTACACTTCCCACTGGGGTTGGAGGTCACCGCTCGAAATCTGAAAGGTGTCACGATCAAGGATGCTTTGGATGCTATACACAAGCAATTCAAGAAGAAGGTGCGTGACGTTTATGAATTTGCGCCTTTCCTCTGCGTGAGAAATGGTGAGAAAAGGCGTTCGCTAATGAAATTCGATTTTAGAAAGACGACGAGCTCGAGCTACCTGTCTTGGCTGGATTCGAGTGGGACAAGGAAGAGTCGTGGACGAGACTGATTGTTCACCAAAAGAAAGAGGGACAAGCCAGCGGCGGCGGAAAAAAGAAGAACAAATAAAACACCATGATTTGTTACTCTTTCACTAGGAAAGCCCCATCCGCATGGAGAGAGTCTCCATGTCAATCGTTACAAAATAGGCTGCTTGAGCTATGGCGTGGCCTGTGGCTGCCGTGAACTACATAGAGTGTACACAGGAAGTGCCACACTGCAACTCATTCTTTCAAGATAATCACAGAACAGAATCGGTTTCCTTGTTTGCGGCACATTTTTATGATTTGTCATGATGAGACAAGCTACTGCGCATTTCAATGTCGTAGGTGGTGTGGTTGGGCGTCGTTGCATTATTATCGTGCGAATGAATCAAGGAAAAATCCTTGTGGGATATATTTTCAATTTCTTGCGCTAACTCTTTTAGGGTTGGCTCGTTGGCTTCAGGGGTAGGCCTAATTTGCTAGCCCCTTACAATGCATGAACAGTCCAAAAAAGAATCTGTTTATATTTGATATATATTTAGCGAGTGAATCAGCTACCAATATTTGGCAGCATTGTCAGCATAATACTCCAATTTCTATGAACACGGCTGAAGCATCCAGCAGTCACAGACCGTCCAGAACGTCACACCGCACTTTGCAACCCTCGTTGTCCCGGCCGTACTTCGAATCTTCACAAGATAGTCTGATCGAAAGCTTAGTTGCTGGACAACATGAAGATGAACATGTTCAAGGAGACTTGCCTTTCTTCGGCCGGTGCTGTTAGCCCTAGCTTGCGTGCGGTGAGACGTCGCTAAAGTGTGCAGATAATGCATCCTTTTTCTCAACGCTGAAGCTACTTTTCTTTAAGGATTCTCTGTCTTTTGGGCGGCAATGGCGACAAAAGTCCATGTACACTCGGTCTTTCTCGGTGATGCTCTGATTACCATGTTGATTCGGAGGGGTTTGGGAATTTCCTCCTTGCGAGCTCTCGTGGGCTCCCGAGCCTCCGTGCTGAGCTCTAGATATTGTCAGCTAATTCTTTGAACGATTGACCACTGAGGCAGCTTCACGGCATTTTCAAGTAGCAGCTGGTTGGGTGTTGCGGGAAGAATCGTTATGTTGGTCGTCACTTCTGTGTGCATTATTGTCTTCAGGTAAGCTTTTTATATATTCGAACCATTAGCACAGAGCATCACAAAGGGGTGAGGTCTCGTGGTCATTTTATATGCACAAGCTCGTAGCGACAGCCACAATCCTGGATGACATCGAGTGTGAGCATTCTGAAAGTAGCTCTTGAAACCGAATAGGAGGTTGTCCTTGAGGGAGATCAGGTTGCCCTCGACGCATCAATCTGTTTACTAGCCCCAATCACGTCGACAACCATATAATTCCGAGGTCTTGGCCCTGGAACCTGTCAGGGTCTTTGACGTCGTCGCGAAAACTGTACTGACATGCCAACGCATGTAATATGTCAGTGGGGGGTTTGACAGTAGTGTGGTTGCAGAGAGAAAGCTCGCACTCTGAAGCGTGTTAAGCTGCGAACCATAACGTGACCGCTTACAAACCACAATAAACCAATAATGCAGGAATCGCGTGCGGCTTATTCAATGCGTATTTGACAGCAACCCAATCTTGACATTTAGCTTCATTGGGAAAAGGAAGATGCGCATGCCCCAGATCAATTCGCACCCAACATCTTTCACTCGTCAAAACCAAGGCGCTACATCGCCCAAATTCTGCATTAAGTGACCTGATCTGTCTTACCTGAGCTGCTTCTTTTAGGTTCTGAGCCTCCCAATCTGGGAGCAGTGTCTAGAGACTTTTATTTTGCTTGTTTTGACCAATGACAGTGGCCCCAGATCACGGCTTATTGCATGCCTGCCGTTTTCGTTTTGTCCACACGGCGTCTAGTTGACCCAGGCAAGCATGAGACTAACACCCAGGTGGCCAATGCTAGCGACTAGCAACCCTCTCCAGACAGCATGAGTCTGCAAACTTTCAATTCGTGAGTAGTCACGTTCCAGTTTGTCACAGGATCAACTCGTCCTCCGAGGGTGCATAAGGGCATGATAATGGATGTTGCCACTCGGTCTGATTGTTGAGGACATGCTCGGCATTTGTAACAAAGAAATTGCTTCGTCTAGAGCCTCGCCTATTCGTTGCGATGAGGGGGGCGCCCTCTCTTGCTCGACGCATAGCATTCCCGTCGCCAAGAATAGTCATGTGTAAGTCTGGTAATACTGCGCTAGAATGTTCCTTGCAGTCCTAGCTCTGCTGAAGGACTTATTTTTGCTCTAGTCAAATGCTTTTCCCAGAGCCCACTCAAGCTTATTTCTGTGATGATCAGTCATCAACCGGATTCATTACCATCTTCTCATATAAAAACTCACTTCGGTGGTATCGGAATATAGTTTCGAGTATATTCCTCAATCTCGAGAACGTCTTGTCGTAGATCGACGTCAGAAGAGGCTCTCCATTTGGTCCGTTTCAAGAGCTTCCAGCCAATGAATAGCACTGGAAATAAAGCTACGGAGAAATAGCTGAAGAGAAAAGTTGGGACTTTCCATTTGCCGGGCAGGAACACTGGATAGCCCCCCACAAAGGTCATGATGAAGGTGGCTGTCAAAGCAAAATAAGCTACATAGGGCTGCAGCACACCTTTGTAAGGTAGAGAGTCCCGTGACAGCCCTTGAGCTTGACATGCCTTCATGAAACGAATGCAAGTAAATGAAATTACAGAGAAATTGATCAATTGCGAGGCGGTCACCTGCTAGTCAATTAGCGATGCATGCGCTTACACGTTGTATCGCCCGTTCCAGCTTTGGAGAGGAACTCACCAGCGAAACGAACCACGATAACACCACGGCTGAACTGTTGCTGACCTGTAAGAAGCTCAGTAGTGAAATGGCCAGCGTAAGTGCCACACAATATACGGGAACTCCATTTTTGGTACAGTGAGTGAAGATTTTCGGCGCCTTTCCTTCCAGTGCAAGACCAAACAAACTACGACTCGCGCAGTAGACATAGCTGTTCCCTGCCGAGAATGCTGCGCTCAGCACGAGTGCGTTGACGATATCTGGTAAAACCTTAACTTTCAGTCGATTCATCGATACGACATAAGGACTCGCGGCTGCGCCTGGTGCGTCGTTGCTGAAGGCATCCTTTAATGTCGAATCCGTATATGGGACGTTGATCCCCACGGCGAGGCTTCCGAGAACGAAGAAGGCGGTCAATCTTCCGAAAACCTTGTTGTAAGCACTCGGCATCACTTTACGAGGATTCTCAGCTTCGCCGGCCGCCATGCTAACATAGTCAGGTCCCGCTATAGTAAAAGATGCTTGAATAAGGCACTGCAGGAAACCGAGAAATCGACCTAAGCTGCCCTCTTTATACAGAGGCGCAAAGGAGCCTGGGTCTCTCCAGAAGCGAAAGCCATACCGATCTCCGATCGGATTCCCGCCTAGCATAGTGATGAAGGTGTACATGATCAGCCCAACTATGAGGACAACTTTGCCAAGCGCGAGCCAGAATTCCGATTCGCCGTACCATTTCACCGCAAATATGTTGATGAGCCCATAGAGAAATATGATGATGGCGATGACCCCACCCGCAGGAATGATGTCGCTCCAGTAATGTATAACCAAATTGCAGGCGACAATCTCAAACGGCACCAAGGCTGCTTCAAAGATGAAAAAGTTGTAGCCTGCTGCCAAACCGAATGCTTCGTCAACATAGCGACCAGCAAAACGGATAAAAGGCGAGGATATTGGCAGATAGGTCACCATCTCAGCGATGCCTACGTATTTAATCAGCGTCTCTCACTACGAAAGATACCGATCTCATTGTGAGCAATAGTCGCCAATGGCAAGGCATTTCAAGGATCACCGAGGAAAGGGCACTCCCATACTGATAGTGACGGATAGGACCACGGAACACCTAATGCACACACGTTTGGTAAGAGACTGTGCTCGTTCTTGCGTTACATGCTGAGCCGAACACTCAGCGCTTCATGCTTGAGAGACTTAAAGCCTCAATACTTTTCTAGCTGATCTTTCTGCTTGCCTGCGCCCTAAGACTGCTTGGCTCGTGCGAGCAAACCAAGCTGCAAGACTTACCAGAACGTGAATGCTATGAACAGACTTGCCGGACCGCCATTCAACAATCCCTGGCCGATTTGGACAAATAGGCTGCCAGAAATAAGCTGGCGATTGCCCACAGGCTAGGCCAAGTCACGACCTACGCGGTCCCTATAGTGCCTCCAATGCCAATAAGCTGGATATGTCTGGGTTTCAACATTCGATGCGTGCTATCACCAATGATTTTGACATCATGTGTGCTGCCGCTGGGCGAATATGGAGGCTGGCTTGTCCCTTGCTCTTCATCTTTAGTCGCAAATGCATTCGAAGGCTTCTTCTCGCGGATATGCTTCGCACGCAATGAGTTTGAATCGCTGTCGCGCTTTGCGAAGGCGGTCGAGGCCATGATGCGGAGAAAGTCGCTTGGTATCGAGGATTATTGACGGCGACGAAGAGAAGCACTGCAGAAGGCTTTGCCAGGGCACCCAAGGTTATATCTTATACTCGCCCCATAGCGGAGATCTGGGTAGTCTCCAGCATGTTGGCCAACCTAAGGGCGCCAATTAGCTCGGCGAGCAAAACGATGTTGGAATACGATGCCGGATGAATGGGAGCTGAGAAAGACTGTGACAGCATTGAAGATCGGCATCGTGGGGGTTCCAGGGACTCTACTCGTACCAAGTGTGGCTGGTGTGGTGTGGGTGGACGCTGCCTCCCTGCTTCGGCTGGGCTTTCTGCTGAATTCAACCCACTCATCTCACGACTTGTCAACTCAATGCAAAGGGTTTACACCTCACGAAAGGCTTCTCAGCCCCTGTCTCAGTTGGAAAAGCAATGCAAACCCGTGACTTTGACCTGCAGAGGCCTCTGGTCGATCCACCTCCCGGAAGCCGACAACTCAGCCGTTCTACCCCCTACCTAGGTTCATAGCAGTACTATCATCCATTTTGGGACGAATGCTCGTAGTATTGGGCATTCGGACTGTACTTGGATCTATAATTAAATCTACTACAACTTTCCGGAATTCCATGCGTTGACATGCATGATGAAAATCTACCGATGCGAATCTTTTTGCCCGAGAACTTCTGCATTTTGGGTCGCATGGAATGTTTCCAAGAGGTCGCGCGGAGCCCACATGTTTAAACAAATGGGGCAGCCGATGATCATATGTCTTCTTGAGTTGTGTCAAATTCCCTTCTTCACGTGAGGCATGTCTCTCAAAATGCCTCAAGCTAAGAGAACAATCTCACCGGCAGCCGATCATCACTCAATGCTAAGCCTCGACGTACAGCCAGATATATGATAGGACAGCTTCTCACGCTCAAATCCATCATGACATGGGCAAACACTCCACCGTGTGTCCAAGAAAATGATGATACTCGCCCTGTGCTTGATTGAATTAGCAGCAACAACCTCATGCCATCTCATACGAGTCCCAAACTCACTAAATCCCTGGATCACCGATCAATCATCTTCAAGTCCTGACAGACAAGACAAGCAACCATCCAGCTCAAATCATGCTACACTCAGCGATGCAACGGACACATTGATGGAGCGATCGCTCTCAGCTCTGTCCCACATCGACACGGCTTCTTTTCGGGTCCCAGGCACTGACTTGACCGCCAAATTCAGCACTGTTCAAGGAGGTACAAGATTCCGGTCTTCAGATGCTCGTAATGTACTTGCCATGAAGATCGCAGAACTCAAGCGATTACCTTCGTCATTTGTCGTTGATCCCGCAATGCAACGTAATTCCCACGGTACTGCACGTTTGACGCTCTCGAGAGGTAGGTCTATGGATGATTATCCAAATTTCTACAACGGCGATTGTAGGAAGACTCTGGATCTATTGTGTACAGCGGCAATTGGCATTTTGGAGACCCTAGAATTCTCCGTGCTCCTGAAATGGAGAAATGGCCAGCAGGTTGGTGCAATTGCAATGTCTAGACCCCGATCTTCAAACTCGTCAGAATCAGTACTGGAGTCTTCTGTAGAAAAGAAAACAACGATGCTTGCTAATAGGCGGTCATTTGTGCCGGTTCCAGACGACTATACTTTCAAGGTACCTAAAACACAATTGCGAGTCACTCTGTACCCACACGAAGCCTATCAACCACTTGTTGCATCAATTGTCCGAGCATTACTCAAATCAATGCAAGCAGAAATATCTCTCAAGCCCGGGCAGGAAATCATTAGGGAAGAGCTGAGGGAAGAAATTAAAGAGGGGACCGACATCATAAGCCTCGCCTTAGAGCCTCTCCTAGGGACTGGCTTTGGCTACGATCTGACCTTCTCCGACGCTTCGCTAGTCCTCGAGGCACTGATGACATACCTATCTGAACAGGAGATTTACGAAACAATGCAGTATTCGGTCTATGCTGTCACGGACTTTGTAGCTTGGGGCAGCCTTCGCTCTACTAAAAGAGCGGGCACGATAGGCATGTTCAATCTGACAAGTGCTATCTTTCCCAACGTTACTATTCTCAAGTGAAGTCTCTAAGAACAAGTCGTCTCATCCTCCGAAATTGAGTAGGTTTCAAAGATTGTTTCTGTTGAGCCCCGTTGCTGAGTCGTTACCTTACCAAAGTCTCTTTAAGAGCGATTCCGGAGAGTGTCTTAAATGCTATCATTGGTTTCATGAAGCCATGTCTTTTGTTAATTCTCCTCATCCCATCGACGTCATCCGAGACAGCAAAACGTAATGTCTCAAATTCCTTTTTAGGAAAATGACAAGCCGTCAGACGTCCCTACAAATCGAAACATGCGCTTTTGCGAGGGTGCACGGCCGAATCCCTATATTGTAACGCTTCAGCACAGACTTTTCGCAGCATACTGAAAGATATCATACCATGCGGAAATACGAAGAAGATTGACCAAGAGCAAAAGTTGAATGAAAGTCTAGCTGGCTCTCTGGCACAGCCCAGTGATCTCGAAAAGCGGCATACCTCTCCTGTGAGATTGAGGCTTGAAGGTAGATAGACAGGTTATTCTAATTCATTATGCAATCTGAGATGTTTTCTGCTTTATTCGTACGCTGTTTGATTGTTCTGACATGGACCATCAATTTTTACATCTTCTACTTATGAAGCATGACATATTTACAAGACTGTATGAAAAGCAGAAAACCGAGAAGACTTCTTTTCTAACATCCTTTTTGGTCCTTTACAGTTCCACGCGTGTTTCATTTCGAACGAGAAGACGTTCATTTGAAAAAAATAAAACAATATCAGCTTACACTTGAAGCTCAAGGATTGTGCCACTTCCGGCAAGAGATCTGCTCTGCTATAATTCGTGAAAAATTTCCAACCAGATTACTTGAACAAAAGTCCCTGGATCTTGAAAATTGAGAGTAGTCTATACAGGTTTGAGCGTCGACGTCAAAACAAATGCGAACTATAATCGGCTCTATCTTCAACCTAGTCGCAGTGCTTTGAGGCGAGCTATGTCGTCCTCATCCAACTGTTCTCGCAATGGTAGGTCAAGTTTGCCCTCGCACTCTCCTGTCTCTTCAATCCTCCTCTTCAAATCCAGCTCCAGAGCAAGCTCGCTCGGTGCGCAGTAAATTGTCCATGGAAAGAACATCACATTGGGCAAGTTTCGATTGAGAGTGTCTTGAAGAGCTTTCCCTAGCCTTATCCAGGTCGGACCATGCCCACGGAGGCCGACTGTGGCGAGAAGATTCCGTTTGCAGAAACATACACGGCAGCAGCATGCAAATAATTCCAGTACTGCATGCACCATCTCATGCAGTAGTGTCTCTAGCAGACACTGTAGTATATGGCGTGGGTTGAAGTCCTTCCGACGAAGCTTTCGGACTCTGATAGTGGCTTGGGTGTTGCTTGAAAGTTTGTCCGAAACTACAGTATGCCCAAGCCATTCCCCCTCGCCGGCATCTTCGGTCACAACCTCGAGATTGACTCGCTGGCTGTTAGTCAGCAATCCTCGGAAGAAGGTTTTATCGAACAAGACGAAGAAATCATGTAGGTCTTTAGTCGACAGTCGGGGTTTGCCATGTTCCCACTGAGACTGCTCAAAAAGGAGGCGTTGGTAGAGCCTTCTACCAAAGATGTGCTGCCGACGAGTATGTTTCTCAAAGCAAAGTGCCGTAATATTTGTTACTAGATCCGAGACAGGCTGTTTCGTTGAGAGCACGCTCTCGTCTCCGTCTTCCAATGCGCCCCAGGAACGGCGTCCTGGTACTTCGTTGGGGCATTTGAAGTGGACTTGATCTCCATGGAGTCGACATTGAACACAGTTCGTACAGGGTTCATCGAGCTTTTCTCCGCTGTTGTCAATTTGACCTTCTTCCAGTTCAGAGGTATGTTGCTGTCTTTGTCTCCGGTTGTGTTGTGATAGCTGGCTCCGGCTATCCCTTTGGCTGGCGTTAGTGGGGTCTGTTTTCTCACAGGGGCCTGAAAGCGCCTTCTCGACCGAAGGCTTATTTCCAGGAACGGTCTTTTTAGGAGTCTTAGGGGTATTCGCAGGCGGACTTTCAAGAAGATAACCACCACGCCAGTCGAAGGAACGGTGCGTCTGGCACTGGTTCATACATTGGTGACACATGATGAAAGCCCTGTAAATGTAAAGGTATGTATGCACAGATTGAAAAATCGAGAATGATGTTTGCCCAAGCTTGAGGAACTTCTGACTACGAAAGAAGAAATACAGAAGGGATGAAGATACTCAAAGTTCCAAAGATTCCAGTTGAGTGCAAGAAAAAAGAGCTCATGGTACGCTAACGACGGTGGAAAGTTTGTGACCAACAGAGCTTTGGTACCACTTCACGGAATGACTCTCGGAGGCGTACGACACCTGATAGTATAGAGCTTGTAGTCCAGTCGTCACACATGCGGTCCCAGTGTAGCTTCTGTACAACCACACCTATGATTGTGTATACTTCCTGAGCAAACATTCCATCTTTTTGATTTCTTTCAGCCATCGGACACATTCGAAATTACCACATGAATCAAACTCAGCAGAACAAGCGAGCACGTGTTGCTCTGGACGTGTGATACCATGGTGTGGCCAAGCCAAAAGGAAACATTGGAAAGCCCCTTTGAGAGTCATTCACAGATACGAGCCAGTATAGCCAACGGTTTGAACAGTCCATTTTGAAGCCCAAAATGAACCTTATTAATTCAGCAGTGGGTTTGCACCTCAAGGTGGATCGCTGGTAGTTGATCTGCCCCCCAAAATAGACCAACGCTTTACAAAATCGACAACTTAGCTCGTCCAGGCCGCTGGCAGTCAACCAAGCCGATGGCTACGCTAGACATGAGATAAATTTCAGATGATCAAGCTGAGGAAATGCACATCATGAAGCGAGATGTTCAACAAAAGGTTTGTCGTAGAGCTGAATCGAAGAAGGAAAAGGTATCACATTTGCGGAAGGACTTACTACCGCTTACCGAGGTATTTCAGTCAGAGGTTTGACGTCCCACTCGAAGATGGCTCGCCATTCTCATGATCAAACACTTTGCCTCCTGCTTTGCTACATCGTAGTACCTCCTCGTTTCGTTTCAGAGGTCAGAAGTTTGACCGTAGTCACTGCCCGTTGTTCAACTTGAGGTCAACGTTTCCCTTGCCCATCGGCTGTCGGCGTCTAGAGCTAGCGGCCGGCGGCAGCCCCTATAAGCCGCCCCTAACGGATCCCTGCTTCTAGGTAGCTCTAGGTGCCTCCTGATTGGCTGTTTAAGAACTCGAAGTCGAGAACTCGCCATTCACACTATCAACTATCAAGCTTGCCATCAACACCAGTCATGGCCACCAACACCTCAAAACCGCAAGCTCCACCACAAGCGAGTAAGTCCAACCTTGCTTCATCGACACCATTCTCTGCCAACCCTCGTACGCCCTCTCAAAACACCCTGGCTGACCATACACAGTCGACCTAATGACCCTCCCCCTCCAACAACTAAACCAAGTCAAGAACCAAATCACCCAAGAACTGCAACATCTCACAACCTCCTTCCAACAACTCAAGACCGCCCAAGCGAAATTCAAAGACTGCATCACCAGCATCAAGAACGGACTGAGCAGGGAAGAAGGCACCCCCATCCTCGTCCCCCTGACGCCTTCGCTCTACGTCCCAGGCACATTGGCATCGCCGGATACAGTGCTCGTGGACATTGGGACGGGTTTCTATGTGGAGAAAAAGCCGGATGCCGCGCAGGAGTTTTACAAGAATAAAGTGGAGGAACTCGGGAGGAATCTGACGGATCTAGAGAAGATAGTGCAGGGCAAGCAAGGCAATTTGGGGGCTGTTGAAGATGGTGACTGCTTTTCTGCATGGAATCACATCGTCAGGGGTGAGCTAACCTGTGACAGTATTACGGCAAAAGGTGATACAGGATAGCAGCAAAGCAGGCGAAGGAGATGAAGGGCCTGGATAGCAAATCGAGCGGTGAATGGTGCTGTAATAATGTGTCGCCATCGGCCCACATCCAAAGAAGCCCCTGAGCTACATCTCGGCACAGCAATTGTGGTCCACAATCTTCCCACCACTACAAAGGGCAAATCTTCCTGCCACCGAGGAGGAACATGCGAATCACAGCACCCGCAGTTGAAGCCTGCTCGGCCCAGATGCTGCGCCAGAGTGATTGCCTAGCAGACGTAACTCGTGGGATGAAGAGGCATGGAATCGTGTGATGTTGGTAACAGACATCGTTGATCAAGGTCTACGAGTAAGGTGGTGCAGGTATCAAGGTGAATGTGCTTGGTATATTCTCTAGGTATACGAAGCAAGTAAGGCAGGAAGCTAGACTAGAAAGATACTTCCCTTAACCGTTCGCCAGCAGTCATTCTTATCAGATTCTCTGAAGCCATTACCTTAATATGTTCTGCTAAGGTATGTTGTTGGGAAAGTAACCCTGTGAAGCTAAGCTACAATTGGAAAATCGTCGTCTCAACCGAAGCGTGATGTCGTAGGTGTTAATGATTTCGCTTGTCCCCAGTTCGACTTCTGCTGACCGTTCGTGGAGCCATCATCTCCTGATGCCAAGTTAGCGTAAAAACAGAGTAGGAGCCAGTAGACTCACGACTTTGAGAGCTCGGCTGGCTACCGGAGATCTTCTTGAGAAGACTGCTGACATCCTGTACTGTATTTAGAAAAGATGCAACCCCAGAGGCATCAGTCGATACATGACTAGAGTCGTGACTCGAAGGACTGGGGAAAACATCTTCCCGTCTTAAGTCCCATTTCGCTTTCCTTCCGATGTCTTGACTAGCGTTTTGAGCCGAAGTCGCGTCCCATAATATATTCGTCATTGAGGCCTCCCAACGAGTCTCAGAGGGTACAGGGTCGTCGTTTTTGTACATGTCACACCTGGCGATCTCGAGGACCCAGAAGGCAAGTGACTTTAATCGGTATCTAAAGATAGTCCTTTGATTGAACTCCGAGGGTTTGAGGCTCGCTGTTTGGCTACTCTTCAACGTAAAGACCCTCTTACCAGTGAGATGCTGACCCGCAATATTTCGGAGATTAAGGTCAACCCTATTGGGAAACTCCCTCATGACCGGGTCTATCTTGGTAGAATCAAGGTGGTGCTCGGTCGCTACCCTCAGTTGCCATGAGGGACATCTGCCATCAATATTAGCTACGTTGCTCTATAAGCTAGAGATCGATTCCAATACCCATCGACCTGGACCATGGTAAAGTCTAGAGGTGCTTTAGCACCCTTCCTATCTGAACGTGACCATGTCGAGGCCCCTATGTCGTACTTGATTGAATCCAGGGAATCAGGTTGCAAAATCGTTTCGTAGATGATGGATGGCCGGTCAAACCGATGGATGAGAAAGCGTCCAACGAAAGTTGGTCTGGATTCAGCAAGACTTTGGGACGAGAGGTTTTCCGGCGATAACAAATCTGTAGCAGAGTAAATCAAAGACATTAAAAGCTTTGCATCCAGGTTTCCAGTGATCCTGCTTTCCCGTCAGTGCTTTATTTAAAAAGCTGGCCAGCGCATCCTTACAATTGTGCAAGATTTCCTTTGACGCCGGAGACCTGAATTTTGGCGCCGAAGACATCGTACGGGAGAGTATCGACATTGTCAGGCAGGGGGAATCGCCTCAATTGCAACTGACCAAACCCAATGCGCATATGAAGGTGGCCGTCATAGAACTTTAACCTCGGCCAGAGCTTTTTAAAGGACTCTTCGATCCACTTCTGGTTGTCTGCAGTGCTTCGTCTGCTTTGCTGGTCCCATGTACTTCTGCCCTTTGCATCGAGAGCCGGTCCAGAAAGCCTAGGGATCTTTGAGAACTGCTCGGTATCTTTGGTCGGCTGCGATTTGGATAATTGAATCTGGCTGAGCGCGGATGTGGCGGACGGAGGATTGACCATGAACTTGATAATAGGATATTGACTTTGTTGACGAATGCTTTCGTGTGCGCCACGAATTCGGGATAAAGCGTGCTCCACGCTATCTTTGCAGTCCGTATATATGCGGAAACATTCAAGCCTATCGTTGAAGACGATGTGGCACTTACACTCATGCCTCACAGTATCGAAAGCCTCCATACTGTGACCAAAGACTTCTTTAGGGTCTAGTTCTTCAACTCTCCAAGGATACCACCCCTGATGTTCGAAATGACGACCTGGATCTGGAACTTGCTGAAAGGATTTCAACTCGATTTCGTTGCGTAGACGCTTCAGTTCCATCTTATGTAAGTGGCCTATGGTCGAATTCTCGGTAGTAAACGCGTCCTTTCCTTTTGCTCTCTGGACGGGGCCTTCCTCAGCTCGTCGAAGCCAATCCGTCAACGCAGCCCGGGTCTTAGCTAAGGCGCGTGTGTCGCCCCAAATCAAAATGTTTCGCTCATTCCAGCTCTGAGGTGGAATTAGGAAACTATTACAGCGAACACCGACCTCTGCTAGCATGTCATATAATCGTTTTATATCCGGCTCAATCTCGTTCGGATTTTTGTGGAGCTGGTAATTCCCGTCCGGCGGCTTTCGTTGTCGATAGGCCGTTTTCGCACGATTGTCTCTCGCAAAGTTGAAGAAGGGCTTTATCAATCTATTTCCCTTGGCATCGGGTGGAACAACTTTCCGCTGTCGTGTGACTGGTACAGGTCGCCTATGATGAGCTTGTGCTGGTCGTCGGGTTTGCAAAGATTGGCTGGAAACTTGAGCGTGTACATACTTCTGCAAATTGGTCCTCGACGCTTGTGGTGGTAGGTTGTTTCTCGAAGGTGTGTTGGATGGTCGTGTTTTACCTTTTGTTTGAACAGTCTGCCAACCTTGTCCGTCATCCTCTTCTGGACCGCCAGATCGACGAGAAGCTGGAACCGATGCAATGTTGCGAGAAGACTCGCCGCCTGTACTCTCGCTTTCGCTAGCGATGCCACCTTCTACCCACTCATCACTAGAAGTATCGGACTCAGATTCACCTGAATCGGACAGAGGTTCTCCAACAAAATTGGGGTCCCATTCTCGACGATTCTTCAATTCGTACGGTATCTTTTGCTTCGGCGGAGCCATCGTGGGTGGCATTCAGACGGTTTCCGTACTCTCCACTACTCTACGGTTAAAGTATTCACGGGCTTTGGACCGAGAACACCACATGAGAGTGGAGATGGTGTTGATTATATTGCTTTGACCGATGGCTGTAGATTGACGAAAGAAGCCAGCAATATATGATACCTTTGTGAGACCGATGAGGTAAACACTCGCTCGACCACTTGAAGGTGTCTTAGGTTGAGTGAATTTACGTGTTGGTCTCACAAGACGACATCACGTGAAGATGGTGGCAAACATTCTTGTGTGAGAAAAGGCTTGACTACGTTCATCAAGATCAAGCTTCCACATGGTCTTGGGAGTTTTGAAAAAAATGGAAAGTAGCCAGCAACTGTTGTATGAAATTGACGCAGTGGCTACTTCTCCCCTGGCCGCATCTAGCATCAATAGCGAAAGGGACCGGGTTCCACGCTGGCAAGATTTGGCATGATGACTGTGTGGAGTGAAATATGCACGATTGTCTAGCCAAATTTCCTCGACACTTTGAAGGAAGGATCGAAACACTCAATGTGAATCTGGATTTGGCGTTGCCGCATGAGACCCTCATTAGCAGACGCTCACCGCAGACTCATCAGCATGGTGACTATTGGGACCCACTACATATGTGGGCTCCAAGGCTCCGTACGGGTTTGGGCAAGCCCTTCTGATCAGTTGTGTAAGTATGGGTCTTGGTAAGGAGGACCCCCAAAATATGTCACCCCCAACAAACTGCAGACACACTAAGATGATCAATCTACCCAGAAAACATACCCGTTGGGACAACTGCGTTGAGCCCACCCTAACCGTTTGGTAATAATGCATCCTCAGTACACAAGCGCTAAAGGGTGTCATCCTTCCCAAGATCCATGTAGTCATCAGGGTTTGAACGCTCTGTAACGTTCGTCTCAATACGCTAGAACCTCAGTCTCGTCATGATGACTGTAGTGTAGAGCGAATATCGCGACGTTACTTTGCTGCAATCGCAAGGCGCTGATCGTTTTGGTATAGTTGATTCAACGCTAAGATCCTAGGTCTATCATTCTGAGTGGCGAGCATTAACCCGTACGGTTGATCAGAGCCTCGATGGGCTTTGCTTAGCCCCTCTTCACTAGCCTTGAAAACATAGATATCACAGGCACGACCCCAACTCGTGCAAACCAAGGGGTAGCCCAAACGGACCCGATCAGTCTTAAGGGCAGCAAAGCCTTTACCATGGCGTATGCCGTAGCCAACCTACCCATGCTGATTAGCACTCTTCCGCTCAGAAAATACACAAAAGCCACGCACTCAACGACCAGCCTTGTGCCTCCCTCGCCTTTATTCCACCACCTGCCTCTCCTCGCTTGTGCAATACCTTCCTCGTCATGTTTACCGAGCCAGCCTCTCTTCCTGAAATATCGTCCTGACTTCTCCAAGCCCTCTGAGATCCACTTTCCTTCACTTATGTAGGGTGGCAGCCAGTTAGTATAATGGAACACGGCAGCGAACCCCACAACAGGCACTACAGCAGAGACTTCATGTAGAACGAGGAATGATATGATATGCGATACCGGCGCATTGAAAACGCGCGCGGTGTAAGGCTGTAGGAACTTTGGTAGCTTTCTCTGAATTCGCTGGAAGTGAGAGCGATACTTGTCATCTGGTGGAGGCTTGGTCGAATACGTACGATATCTGGAATATCGGAGGCCGAATCGGAGAGGACGGCATTGTTGCGTGAGTAAGCGTGATGTCGTAGGTCGGAGCATTGGTTCGAGATGTTAGGTGAAACTTGTGGCCAAAGAAATCAATCACACATTTTATCGTGAGACCACCCCTTGACCCAATCTATCTGCCTCAGGAATCATGATTTCTTCCTTCAAACGTATCGAGACATGAATACACCAGCTCCTCGACCTTTCGACGGTGTTCGCTCGCCTTTCCAATTCCCAAAGTCGCATTCCTTCCCCCCACTCTACACCCTCCAGCCTCATCCCACAACTCGCCTAGCTCAATACCAGAAATGGTCTCGCACGATCCAGCTCTACTGTCGTTACGAACGTCTCTTTCGCCTTGCCATCCCCTCATGCCTTGATCTCCCGCTTTTCAAGAATACAGAGATCAGAAAGAGGCTGGCTGAGCGGGATGTCAGAGAAGTCCTCAATTGGATTGCCTCGGATGAAGGGGGAATGAGGGGCGAATGGTTGGGCAAAGATGTCTTTTGGGTGTACTGGAAGCGGCCAGAGGAGTGGGGAGAAGACATCTTGAGATGGATAGATGCTGTGGGTCAGAAGGGCACCGTGCTTACGTTCTACGAAATGTTACATGGAGAGGGAACAGTCGAACAAGGCATGCTGAGTCGGGTGAGAGAATTGCTGCATGTAGCTTGCTGACTATGTTCAGATTTCCACGACATGGACCCCGAATTATTCGCGAAGGCCATGCAGTTCCTGATAAAAAAGGGAAAGGCTCAAGTCTTCGGCGACGAGGATTCGAGGGGTATCAAGTTCTTCTGATAACCATGCTCTTCACTCCACCTCTGTAAACACAAGCCACTTACACATGCCACATACATCAGGCACCATAATGTCGACCGTCACTCATCTTCAACAGTTCCGAAGCTCAACCGTACATGCACCGACGCCACGCTGAACACGGACAGCTCTACATAATCAGATCACAGATGTACCGATATCTTTGTCAGTCAAAGCGTACGAGTCACCAGAGAGTATGTGTTGCGACAACGCCATCTGTAATAACCAGTCATGTCGGACGATCTTCGCAATCTTGTTATTTGAATCTGCCATCTGACGGAACCTCTGCCATAATTTCCCCTCTTCTGGTGTAGTGCCACTGACGAGATAAATGTGTTCGGGCTTCGCTTCTGTATCGGAAGGAACCTCTACTGATCCTGCGCGAAGAACCTGGTTGCTACCCGCTCGAGCACGGTAGAGCATCCATTTCCCACCATTTGCCTCAGTAATTGCCTTGTATGTGTCGGGGCCGCCATGCACGCTTTCAGTGCAGTATATCGTGCATCCCTTCAAGAGGTGACCTTTGTTAGCTTTTGCTCGAAAAAGTGCGTCGGCTAATCTATAACCAGATTGTTTCTCGTAGGCTTGATCATGCAGCAAATACTCGTTGGGATCCAGACATCGGTTTGAACCTAGGCAATCGTCGATGAAGTTGGTGCTAATAATGGAGGGGCCATGTGCTATTGCACACAGAAATTTTCGGGTACGAACGACATGGGGCGAAGCTAAATGCGTGCATTTTGACGGATCTGCGACGACCAGTATGCCCAGTTCTCGAAGTTGTGACTAGAATGGTCAGCACCGTAAATGAAAAGAGAGGCTATTGAGCGTACTCGTTCTTCGGTTTCGATTTTGGCCGTTTGACCAACCCATCGCTTGTATCCAGACAGGAGTACCCGTATCACAACTGGCGGCAACCCACTCGTCTTCTTTCGTTTCGCGGCCTTTGTGTCTTCCTCAGTACCAGCGTCAGCGTTCTCATCCATGGATTTGGAGCGCTTTCTTTGGCCATTCTGCACGAGATCATCAGTCTTCTTTCGGCCGCCGTGGATGACACCGCCGACTCGCTTGCTCTCCTTTTCAAATAGCGCAATATCTGGCGCAAGGTTTTGCAATTTGGCGGCTGCCATTGCTTTCGCGCTTCTGCTCCCTGTTGTTGAGGGTGTCTCATTTTCCTTTCCTATTTTTCTACCTCTTGGGTTGGCGGGCGTTTGCAAAGTTTCACCATCTGTGTGACGGCGATTAGCCTTGGACGCTCTCGGTGTGGTTCCATCTGATGGTAGCGGCACCAACACAGCTGATGCATCCTGCGCAGTCTTCGCTGGTCCAATCTCAAGAGTTTTACCAGCCTTTTGCTTGTGGACTGGCTCGTCCTCTTCAATATCCCGTACGTCTGATCCAGCTGGGAAAAAGTGTCGCTCAACGGCCCTTTTATCGATTTCTGTCTGACCCACTATCTCTCCAAGGTTTGTTCGATTTGGAAATTGAGTGTATGTGGATTTTGAAATGGTCTGTACTTGCCATTGAGCATAGCTTTCTTCTAGCCAAAGATGATTCACTATATGGATATTCCATTCTTTTGCGGCATTGCACTTTTCGCTGTTTGGGTGAGCAGTAATTAGGTGCGTGTTATCGTCCTTCATGGTCTTCGTGAACTCCGCACCAGCAGCAATCGCTAGGTTTTCTAGGTAAATGCGTGCCTCACCGTTATAATTTGATACGCTGATACGAAATGGCTTGAAACCCGGGATTCCCTGCCTAGAGATTGGGTAATGCAGAAGGCGTCGCATAGGCGAGGTCCATGCATTGTGCGTAATTAGGTGATATAGCCAGGCAAGACTCCCCACTGTCTTGCCTGCCCGTGAAGCGACTCGATAATCTCGAGACTCTCGGTGTTGACAAACAAGGTAATCAGCTTTATGCACACTTCCAGTCATGGATCCTCCCCCGTCTGTGATAAGGTCCTCTATCGTACCTCGGAGTCGACTATTTATCCCTAGATCAGCCGCAAGCATGACAGTTTTGGACTTGAAGATAGTTAATGAAGGCTTTTGTAGTGTGGGTAGTTGCTGCGGTTGAGCAGTTGAAGACCCTCGTAAATCGTTCCTATGGGCATCAGGCGGTTTTTCAGAGGTACCATTTTGCAATATCTTTGGATTTGGTAGACAGTAAGGCTCTTCAATCAGCCTTGCGCGAATCTTGAGACAGTCGTCGATCCTATATCTGTCAGTGACTCGCGTACCAGAAGATCCAGAAGGAGCTCAATACCAGTGTGGTAAAACTATCTTGCAATTCAAATTCTTTCCGAGAGCAATCTTGCATTTCTCTGATTCTGTCGTCAGAGCAACAATGTGAGTGACCTGTTTTGTGACTGCGCTCGAGTACAGTCCTCCTACTGCGAGTACATAACCAACAATTGCATCCTTGTCGCCCTCTGGTAGGTCGCTGGCACAGCAAACAATCAAGCCGGAGAAAAACATTCTTGGATCAGCGCTGTACTGCCTTGGGTTTGCCTGTCGGCGTTTCGACAAAGAAGCCGTGGCCCATTCTGGCGTCACGATTGACTTGCCTAAGGATGGTTCGGCCGCTGCTTCAAAATCTGGAAAATCAACGGTCCTGGTAATGATGTGGGTGGTTGTTTCTAGATCGATCTCTTTGTATTCCTGCGAAGAATGGGAAGGAGCAGGAATTGCGCCTCCCTCCGTTAGGAGCTCCGTAAGCTACAAAATGAATGAGCTCCATGTTGGGCGCCACTACAGGTGGACTTACCCAATGAATTTCTTCTGCTGGAAGTTTGTCACTGTGAACAATGTGGAATCGCACCTGCGGCTGTGTGAAAAGCTGGCTTGCTTCAGCCATTCTGAGGGAAGAAGAGGTGGATAGCGTTCGCAAGTCACAGGAGGGAGAAACAAACGTCCTCCTATTGCTTGTTCGAGGTTGTTTAACCCCAGAAGCCGCGACGCGCCGGATAAATCACGTGCAAATTCTTGGCAGTCAATATATATAAAATATCAAATTGTTGATCCTCAACTAGGCCAGGTCAGGAACCTACATGTATCGTATCTTGAGACTGTAGTGTGTTGACGTATTTTACTTCCTTCTCTAGTCCGCAAAGAAAATCATAGGCTTTAGTCTCGCCACGGTGTCGCCATTCAAATCATTAACAATACGATAACCGGTCCGCCGTGGACTAATTAGTTAACAAGATATCTAGCTAGGCTTTATGTCTTAGTGAGCATGATTAACAACACCATTTCTATTCGGTGTGAAAGAGCATCTTATGCCAGTATAGTCTCTATAAGAGAATCCAAGAGCCCCTTTCCAATGCAAGACGCCGACTTCAAATCGCATTTAAGATATCAGCCTCGTGCATTTGACTAAGTTTGCGCCCACGTAAATGGCTTTCCCAAGAAAAGGTCTGAACTCATTTGGAGCAACCTTCATATGTTCTCGAAAGCTCGGAATCTGAATACCAAGGGTATGTGAGTTGCTAATGTCGTGCATCAAAATGTACATGGCATATCTTAACGAACATTCAACCGGCAACGATGCGAGTTGGAATGACCATATTCGAGATGCAACAAGAGCAAAAAGGAAAAGACCATGAGAACAGAAGAATGCGAGAGCATGCTCGGAAGCGAGCCAAGAACAAGCACTGTAGTCAATGTAACGCAATTGGCATTCTATTCGCATTTGCCCTTGATGATGTACGCCTCAACTAAGGAGCATAGTTTTGTGCACCATGAGAAGTTGAGAAGGACATTTTCGAAGACGCGAGTCTAACTTGAAATCTAATCTATCTTTCTATGATCTGCGGCGAAGCTATTTGTACTTGTTGGCCTCGCCATTGGAAAACTCACTCTTGTTTCTTATCCTCACCACTTCTGGAAATCTCCAAATTGTTGGCCAGATTAGATCGTACTCGTCTTGTCTCCCATTGAGGCAGTGCCTTAGCCATATCGCCCAGACTATATAGCAGTAAGCGCCCGTCCCTGTCATCAAATGCCACCAGCCATGGCCCTCCAGCAGTATGCCCCACGGCAAGCCCAGCTCTCTTCTCCAGCCGCGTAACTGGGAACAGAAAGCAATGTCCAAGCCCCACATCATGAAGCCCCCCAAGAACGTTGAGAGACCAGCCCCAATCAACAGCCACATCGTTCTCAGTATTGCTTGGTCCCTTTTGTCTTCCCCTCTGGACATCTCCTTTTCTTCTATTCCCATTGATCGTCCATGCCTCAACTTATATTTCCCCTCAGTGTTCTTTAGGCGGGGCCGCAGTGTGAACTCCATCACATACATTTGCCTGAATACGATGGTGACTGTGAGGAGGGCATAGACTCTTTGGTGGAAAGCCGGATCCTGAAGGTAGTGATAGTAGAGAGTGATGCCAATGGCGAGGATTATGAGGTGAAGGCTAAGCAGGATTTTGAATGACGAGCTGCGTGAGAAGGAGAATGTGGCATAGCACATTAGACACGTGGTATAAATCATGTTCAATTCATCGACGAGCTGCCATGGATCTGCGCCCTATTCAGCTCTACACCTTGAAGGTGATTGAGAGGTGGCCGCTGTACATTTCAGGGTGGCATGGAACCAAAAGCTCCCGGTTCCGACCAAGAGATAGCCAACGAAGCTGACAAGGAAGACGGCATCATGGCCATGCTTTACGCAGCTTCGTATTCCTATGTACGCGCAATAGACGAATAGTAGATTCGTTAAAGTATTCACTATCTCTGCGGCATACGGGGTAGCATAATAGTCCTGGGTTCCGGTCAGTCGGAAAATCGCGGGATAGAAGGCGGAGGGCAAACTTCTTCACACCAATTCAAGGTTGATGTTACCGGCTCCCAGTAACCATGTGTTGTGGATTCATATGGGACTGACGGTAGCCAAGAGGGCATTCTGTGCTTGCTTGATGGGAGAGTCTCGGAGGACTCATGTTACCTGAATAATGTCAGGGATTCGCCCCATGCCCTGCGGGTTGATGACTACCCGTAACTCCAGGCAGAACCGCCGCTATCCAACCTTATAAGCAGACCACCATTCTCCGCATCTGAATAATAGAAGATAGGTTGCCCATTTCCCCTTCCTCAGACAAGGTAGAATTTTCAGGAGAAAGACCTAAGTGAGTACACGGCATCTGGAGAAGGGGCTCTTCAACAATGTCAATCCCCAATGAAGCGCTACAGAAAGTAAGTGACACGGCAGAGGCACCAAGAGGCACCATAGAACCCTAAAAAACTTGATTGACGATATCTTTAGCTCGCTATCGAGATCGAAGCTCAAGCCAATTCTGCACAGAGAGACATCAATCTTGTCAAAGCAGCTATAGCAGCCAAACAGCGAGATACCCGGATGCTGGAGATCACGTCTACGGAGGTCAAGCAAATGGAACAGGAGACTAAGCTTTACGAAGGGGTGGGGAAGATGTATTTTGCCAGCCTCGCGCTCATAGAAAGTAACTTCGGCTGACTTTGATGTTTACAGGTTTGTCTTTAGTCCAAGACAAGACGTCGAAAAACGAATATCGTCAAATGTTACGGAGCTCAAGTCTGACATCGGAAGTCTAAACAAGAAATTGCATTATCTGGAAACGACGCACAAGAATAGTCGAGAGCACATTGAGAAAATCATTGGCTCCAGTATGAAGAGCTGAAAAGACGCTGATATGAAACCTCGGCGTTCTTTCTATATTCGCATCTCGGCTGCCACATTGGTATCTAATCTGGTCGCCTGCTGTCCAGTATCGATTGGGTCGAGCGGAGCATGCATGAAACGAACAACATGTTGAGACGGCAAGAAGTCTTTGATAGCCGTGTATCGTCATGATGGTCATCCATTCTCATCAGGCATTGAGCCAAATGCTAGGCAGCAAATTGTGGCACAACGTGAGAGAGGGTCGCAGAGTTCCGAGTTCTGGCCCATTGTCCTTACATCCATCGGGTTATGCAATGAATAAGAATCCGAACTTCTAACGGTATATTTCAATGCTACTCTTGCAACAATTGTAAAGATTCGAAAAAGAGCAGTGGCTCTATCGAGCTGGATGCGCTAGGGAGGAGCACACACAAGTCTGGTTATGCTGGGGAATGAAGCCTGTAAAGAGAGGCACACCTGGTCGATTATCTATCTCTAGCTCACCTCTGGCTGAAGTGGGTCTGGTAGAAATGAGCTCTGAAAGGAGCCACATATTGTCACTTGTTGAACTACTGTTTGCTTGTGAAGCCTCGCATTCTAAATCTGAATCTTATTGCTGATTTTGGTAATGCCAACAACCAATCAGTCGCCGTTGGTATCAGGATGCAGAATACGGCACAGCCTTACTGCTAAATGACGTCGTTCCTGCTGCGGGGCTTTCACATATCTTTGCGTGGAGTTGTTGGAGGCACTGTGCTCATACGCTGCGGCAGACAACACGGTGAAGCATATAACATGGGTCAGGATAGCAGCAAGTCCAAAGCACAAGACGGCGCACGTCCTACGGTGGATGAAAATGGCCCCTCAGAAACAACGACTGATGGACCCCCGCCATATCAGGCTTCAAGACCAAATAAGAATTGCTCGAATGTCAGGGGATGCTCCGGATGCGTAAACTGCTCAAAGTAAGCTATTGCTGATCATTTTCACCTGCTTCAGTAGGACGCATGCACCACGGAGGCCTCTAAGCACCCAGATGCCCCTTCTTCCTCGCTTATCCATCGAAACCCAGCTCAAGATATGCCTTGACCAATTTTGGGATTAGTTCGGAAAGGCAATGCTAACAAGCAAATAGTTGTGACGATTGCGATTCATGCCGAAATTCCTCAAAGTGAGTGTCCGATCATGACCAGCTCTTTCTTGAAGCAAAAGCCACCCACATGTACACGAAGCACGTAGTACTACCCTCCATTCAGTGGACCTTTGACTTGCTTTCCCCCCTCGAGATCTGCAAGGCTAATTCGAATACTAGTTGTCAAAATTGCAATTCCTGCAATAATTGCTCGAAGTAAGTGTTTCATTCCCCTTTTACCAGCGACGTATACGGCAAATGTCAATGGCTCAGACGGCTCTTCCATCCTGCTCACTATGTTCTTGACATTCAAGCTACCACACATTTTACGGATTTGAGAGGTAGCTCCCGAGGCTAATAACAATCAGTTGCCGGTCATGTGCCTCGTGCGTCAACTGCTCAAATTGCAGTGGCCTAGTCGGCGCCAAAAATGTCTCCAATGAGCATAGATAGGCCAGATTGAGCGAAGTAGGGAGTGGAACAAGGTGGAGCATGTACACTCCATGGTTACAGTCACAGTACAGACTTTACAAAGCATCCTGAATGAGAAGGGTCTCGGTTCACGCAAAACTTATCTGATCAATGCAAAAATTTGAACCACGTTGTCAACTTACTCTGTCAAGCTAGCCTAACAACAGAATCATTGCGAACCCAGCCACCATCATGGAGCCACCAACAGCTCCAATTCCCGCCTTAACAGCCGCACCTGTGAAGCTCGGCGCAGTCGGCGCAGTCACACTTCCTGTCGCGCTCGCCGTCGTGCCACCTCCAGCACTTGCACTTGCACTACTCCCCGCAGAGCCAGTGGTATTCACGACCTGGAAATAATTCCCAGCCACCAAATCCCCCACGCCCTTCTCTTGGGTGAATCCCTGCACATTGAAGCTCCGCCTATTGCCCGGTGACTTACTCACATTATCCGGGCTGAAGGGGCTGTCCTCGGGCGGCGGCGCAAATCCCGCTTTTTGCTCGAAAAGGTAGAAGACATAGGAATGCGGAATATCGGCCGGTGGAGGCGAGGGGGCGGCATAGAAAGCGATGGGGGAGGTGGTGTTGACAAGGGTGCCGTTGGCAGTGAAGGTGAGGCCCGCTTGCCAGAAGTGGAGCAGCGTGGTGCGGTTGGCGGAGATGCCGGGTGCGAGGGGAAGCTGATAGGTAGGGTTCAGGGAGGAGGTGTCGATTGTGAGGGCGTTGATGGAGAGGTCGATCAGGAGCAGGGTGTATGTTGTGTTTGGAGTGGTTGAGATGTAGGAAAACGTGGGGATTGTGGATGTTACTTGTGGTGGGTTAGTAAGGTGGTTTCAGGAGGGCTAATGATGGAAGCTGACGAGTTCGAGGGAGCAAATCGCCTGGTGTCACTGGGGTGCTGCCATAAGTCACTGGGGTGCTGCCATAAGTCACTGTGAGGGGATTGGATGTCGCTGGTATCGTGTAGGGTGGAGTCTGGGCGAAGATGTGAGCAAGATGAGCTGCAATGACAATGAAAATGCAAATTTTGAAATGCATGATCGGTACAAGGGCAAGGAGAGAGCCTCCAGCAAAACACAGCGATGGGTATCTCGAGTCAATTGATTTTCCGAGAGGAACTGTCCGTGAGTGCTATATAGACTATATAGCATCGAATCGATGACGGAGGCCGAGCCTCATTGCCGCACACCTCAGGTACCCGCGTCAACGCCAAGCTTTGCGTGATCTCCTGAACTAATTTTCGCGAGTTCCATTGTGCACAAAGGGCTGAGTTGTGGTAGTAGTATGTTCCCTCTCTGGGAATTAAGATCGAAGACAAGGGCAAGTCAGGCACAGCGTGTCATCCCGGCTTATAGCTTTGGAACGTGCATGGCCCGGCCGAAGGATCAAATTCACACGGGTGCCTGAGCTAATCTCACGACTTGTTCCATACGAGATTCTTTGGTGCCGTGTTGGATGATGACTTGTCCAGTTACGAGACATCTTGGGGCAAGACTCACTTACTTGGTATTAATATCATGCTTGTCTGTTGAGCACATCGGGGCCCTAAATCCTATAATGATTCAATAATTGGTCAATAGCGCCGCCCATCAAAGAGCTACCTTCGAAAGCGGATATGTTGACCAAGAATATCAAAAAATTGCTCAATCGTGCAAGTATTTCGAAAAAGCACAGCTCGCCAGAATCAACCAAGACTCCTCAAAATTCCGGGGAAATCAGCGACTCTACCGAAAAGTCTCGAGTTTTAATGTTCTCTCAAGAGCTACCATGTCTTCAAGACTCATGCTTGCTCTTCTCTAAACTACCCTTTGAGATCCGAGCACTAATCTACGAATTCTATTTCAGCACTTTCATGATTCACGTAGAAGAAACTAGCAACAGTCTTCCCTTCTTTGCATGTTCAAGAGCACAACCATGGGATGGTCACCGCCATTTGCAAGTCTCATCGGACGAGACCCTCTTGGATCAGAAAGGTAGCCAAAGAGGTAGAATCCTTCCACTATCTTTGACTTGTCGGAGAATGTAAGTGAAAACTCCTGGTCAGCTGCTAGCACATGACTCCCAAAGCTCTACCCCTTCCAAAGACCGTCTCAGCTGAGACCTCCAAGCTACGACGAAGCCCGGCCCTTCCTCTTCTCGCACTCCCATTTCACCACCTACCAACCCTGGCTCCTCCCGTCAATCAAAGACGCTTCTCGCATGAGCAAGCTGCATGTCGAAATCGAATTTCACCGCTTCCCGCAAATCACTAATAACACCGTGAACGACATCTCCATGCCGAAATGGAAATCCATCTGCAAAGCCATCGCTAATCTCCCCAGCCTCACCGATCTCGAAATGACACTTCTCCAGAAATTCTTCGGTGTGGAGGTCAAAGGCGCCGGGGAGGCTTCGGAGCTCATGGTTGGTGTACTGCTGCCTTTGAAGCAGATTCGTCCAAAAGGCGGGAGGGAAAGGTATCAAGTGAGGCTCGGATGGCGGTTGGATGAGGACGCAAGGAAGGGGTTGGGGGAGTGTCCGTTCCGGATTGTGAAGCTCAGGGAGGAGCGGCGGCGGCATGTGACTCCAACAACACTTGAGGATCTGATCGATGAGGGTGGTGGGCAGTTTGATGCATCTTTAGGAGACTTTCCCGTCCTCGGCGAGCAGCAGCTCGTTTGATGAGTGCCTTTATTGGGTCCACGTGGGCTGGAATCAAGTAGATCTGACAAAATCATATGCGGAATCCCAACCACGCAGACTGCTCTCCTTCAGCGTCTGGATATATTGCAACGTAGTACCTGGCCATATCCACGGTCCTTTGAAACCATCTTCTTCAGGATCAAATCTCCTTAGCCACGGCTTCTCACCAAAGTACCTTCCGTGATGAGCGAGAAAATCATCCACAACCTCCCGTTTCGGCATCAGATACCTGATATCGCTCTCCATGCTCCACTTCTCGACCAGCAAGAGGATATAGTCAACCTGTGCCTCTAACGCCGGGAGCACCGTCCCATTCACAGTCGGCGAGTACGGTCCCAACAACGTGAAAAGGTTAGGGAACTTGTCAGCAGCAACACCAAGATATGAGCGCGGCCGAGGACGCCACGAAGCCTGCATGTTCATCCCATCTAAGCCAATAATTGGGATTTGCGGGATCGAAGTGGTATCGAAGCCCGTGGCGCAAATGATGGCGTCGAGATCTGCGTGCGGGGTGCCTGACGAATCGATACAGCCGTCGTGAGTGAGAGAGGTGACACTGCCGAAGTTGGTGATTACGTTTTGAGCGGAGAGGGATTGGAGGTAGCCTGCTCCGGCTGTAAGGCGACGGCAGGAAGAGCCCGAGTCGGGGAATAGGTGGGCTCTTGGTAGGTGCGGTGGGAGGAAAGTGCGGAGTCTTTGGTTGTAGTGGGAGAGCGCTGCGTGTTGTTGAGGAGATCCGCGGAAATAATGATCAAAGTAGTCATTGATGATGGCCTCGTTGTGATCACGGAGAGCATTGTACGTCTCTGGATCTCTCAGACTTGCGAGTTCTTCGCTTGAGTACAGGTGCTGAATGTCCGAGACAGGCGGTAGTATCCAGGTTGGTGATCTCATGAAGAAAGTGACGTTTTTGACGTATGGTTGGATGGCAGGAAGGATCTGAACTCCAGAAGCACTGGTCACTTTAGCCGAAAGATCGAGTCCGATCTTTAGAATTCACTCGCTGAGTTATGATCTTACCCGTTCCCTATCAGTGCCACTTTCTTCCCTGTCAATTCATAAGACTGATCCCAAGCCGCACTATGCATCAGCTTTCCCCTGTAGACATCGAGATCTAGTACATTGGGAAAGCTCGGATGAGACAGATAACCACCCGCATTAATGAAGATATCGCAAGTCTGGCTAGAGACGATTTCTGATCGCAGATTCTTTACGTCAATTCTCCAATGATGCTTGTCGTCCAGCCATCGGGCTCCAAGAACGACGTGCTCTAACTTGATATACTGACTGAGGGAATATTTTCCACAAAACCCCTGAAAATATGTTCTGATATCAGTGGCTTTTGCGTAGGGAGCAGGCCAATCATGCTTTGGCTCGAACGAGAAAGTGTAATTATGAGATGGAATATCAGAAGTACAGCCAGGATAGCTATTCGCGTACCATGTGCCAGATACTTCTGGGCTTTTCTCGTATATTGTCAAGGACAAGTCGCTGAATGATTGTTGAACCTTGTATGCGAACAATAGTCCTGAAGGACCAGCACCTACGACTATGATTCGCACGCGTCTCCGGTCGTCGAAAGGCTGATAAGACTTTTGTGCGTGCTCTTTGCTGCGAGAAGCGGGCCGAAGCATTGGGATAGCCGGAGGAGTTGAGGATTCCAGATCGGTGTGAGAGCTATAATCAATCCTTGCAGATCTGGCCGTGACGACTTCATTCATGACTTTGAAGGTCTAGGGCAAAATGAATTGAGACGAAGCTCAGAGGAGCAATATTCATAACATGAAAATCACCAAACCATTTTCAACAAGTAAATATAGCAATACGGCATATATGCAGCGATTGTCACCTCATCCGACAGGTAATAGGCCTGGGTAGATTTGAGGCAGGCAAGTGGTTAGCTTCGGGCAAAGAACTAATACCGTCTGAGTGTAAAATTTCTACAAGCGTTCCCACATATGAATCTCAATCCAAACTCACATACCGCGATGAAGTGACACTGGCATTTTGGTCTAAACCATATCAGTCAAGCGGTTTCTTGCTCAGGAGGCAGGAATGAAGGGATGTGCATCTGAATGAAGGCAAGGAACGGTGAGCTGAAGCTATTCAATATGGTTGTTCAAATCATTGGTGCCTTTCCGAAGTCGATGGCTAGTGTTTTCTTGAGCCTATGCGAAAGACTATAGTTACTTGAGATCCGAGGACTAAAAAGGAACGACTTGACATGAGACCACTGCAGTTACAAATTCAGATACGTGAAGCAAGCTTGGGCAACCAGACGGATGAAAAGATTGCATTTTGGTGTTCGTAGACTAAATATAGCTGAACATGTCCGTCGCATACAAGTAAGAAAAAGCACGAGCCACGAGTACAATCCCAATCATCTCAAGCACAGCCCGAGAATGAAGGAAGACATCAGAACCGGCCGTGATACTGCAAAAAACAATCGTAAGGTGCATCTTGCGTCAAAGCAAGTCAATCGGCATGTTTCCTTCCCGTAATTCCTTGAACAAACCGAAATGAGATTCCTCGACCAAGCGTGGGATTCCTCGTCCCTTTCCCAGGGGGACATCCTCCCGCTTGATCTCTTTTGTTGTTGGCTCAACCCCAATCACATGGTCATAATAAACTTCTCTTCCATCGCGATAGACCCCTCCACCTAGCGTCGGTTGATATTTAATGCGTGAAACGATTGTCGTTAATAATTTACTGAAATTTTCCATTGCTCTGCATTCGATTCTTGTAATAGTCACGCTCCTCTTCCACCCGCTCGAGCTGTTGTCGTAATGATTCGTTTTCTTCTACTAAGTTCTCCTTCTGCTCAAGCCGTTTCTGTCTGGATTTCCTTGCCGCCATTGTGTTACGTGCTCGCTTGACGGCAATCGTGTCGTTAGGATCTTTGACAGTTATGACTGGCAGAGGCTTCTCCCTTTTCCGCACCCCAGATGTGAAGCTATGCTGCCGTCCAGAGTTGGAGGCCTTTTGGCCAGGCGAAGAGAATGTTCTCGACATCGATGGAGCAGGAGAAGCAGTGACAGAAGCGGGACTAGTTGTGTAGTGAGGGACTGCGCTCGAAGAAGAATTGTTCGATAAGGAATGTGCCATTGGAGCTCCTTGAGGTTGCTCTTCCATAGGTTCGAACAAGGGATGCCAGCTATCTGATCCATCAAGCTCTTCGTCTTTGTAGAACGGTGAAGCCTCGGTGCTGTGATGAATATACGGCGAGTCGTAGGTGGAAGTGTCAGGAGTTGTCAAGTTGGTCATGGTGGTGGAAGGAGGCGCAGACATGCTATCAATCATGACATCCTTGGGAGATACTGTTTGAGAAGTGGACTGTGCAGATGCCGGATAGCTAGTCAATAATTCGAATGAGTCGTCAAGATTGAACCCAGCGGGCTCCTCGAAGAATGTTGACTGACCACCCGGCGCCGTGGTCAAGTTCATCAGGTCGTTCTCCATGATTTGCATGTCTGATGGGAACATCGTTAGCGGGACATCTTCAGACCCATGTACTGATCTTGGTGAGCTACCTTCATTGTGCCCGTATGTTGGGTCCGCCATGATTGGCACGCTGCTAGTGCTTTGCGAGAACAGGGGAACAGGTGGACGAGTACGAGGTGAGCTGATCTGGCCAACGTTCGTCGACAAATTTGGGGCGGAGGCAGCGTAGTGAGAATGTTGACCGGCAATGTTGCTATGTGCTTGCAATGGGGACAATGCAGGGGATCCGATGAGACCACTCACACGTGGATTCCGGAGAGGCGAGACAGAAAGCTGTTGCGACGATAGACGATTTTGCTGATTCAATTGTCCGGGGCTATAGGAAGCCGCTCGCGAACTCTGACTAGGGAGAGTATGCGACGTCGCCGGCTGCAGCACGTTGTTGGAGTGCCTGCGAGCCCGGTGGATGTTGTCTTGTGCCGGAGTCGAGGAGAATAGCACAAAGTCCGCGCCTTGGTGGGGTTGTAGCGAAGTTGTATTCTGGGTTGGCGTGGGAAGCCTTGGTGATTGGGGTTGAGAAAGCCATTGTTTTGAGAGATCCGTGATGAACGACGTGGAGTCGCTTGGGGGAATGGTTGCTGTGAGACAGCAAGAACTCGGGCACTTGCGCGAAGCAAAGACTGAGCTCAGAAGTTCCTGGTGAGGAAGATCTGAGGTTGAAGTTGTGGATTGAGCGGGGTTTTGTATTTGGTCTGGGTACAGTTCTATCTTGTGGATAGAGAGAGACTGTGGTGGTGGGTAGATACCCTAGGCAGCCATATCAGATGGTGTCCAGGATGATAGTCTTTGGTTTTTGCTTCTGCTTGTTGTGTGTGGTTGTGTGTGGAATAATGATAGAAGGTGATGGATGGGTTAGGAAAGAAAGGAAGAAAGATCAGGCAGCGAGACGACTTATGAGTGGGGGAGAGTTGTGTGGGCGGTAGGGCTGATATGAGTCACAATGTCCGCAATGGACGGTAGTTGGCGCCAAGGGTTAAACCTCCCCTGCTACCAAAAGTAACGATACTCAGCCAAGCCGTCTAAGCGAAGGCAATATCCATTGGCCTGCATTGACTATAGAACTGGATTGCCGCCAATAAGCAAGAAGCTATTGACCTGCGCCCTGCGCACTGTGCGCAGCGAATAATTGCCTCAGGACGCCAGGAGGTGTCCGCTTAGGGAGCCAAGGCAGAGCGTCTCATATCCCTGAGGCAGAGACCAAAGAGTACAGGATGCCCTTTCCCTCTGACAGACAGGCAGAAGAACCTCTATGCTACGAGACCTGAGGGACGTCTGCCTCTTCGCTCCTTCCACGGCAGGACTCCAGTCCTTAGTCTGGAGGGAGCAGTGAATATACCGTTCATGTGAACCCTCATCATTCTTCACCGAATTGAACTTCCCCACCGAACTTTATACCCCAAGATCGAGATATCGTCAACTTCTCCACCGCTAACTGGCCAATCGTGCGGGCAGTGGGGAGCATTTCCATCGTGAGTCATTCCTGGATTTCTAAGCCTCCGAGTCCACAAGGTCCTTTTCTCACCGCAAGAGACTCGGTCAAAGAGGCTTATGCGGCCCTAGTCTTTAGTGCTGATGTCCGCGTCTGCTCATTTCGCCCTTGCCGTCCAGGCGCGCTCGGAGTTCCGCGCCCACTCAGTATCTGCTGAAAATGTTATGGATCAAACGCCTATGAGGAGCATGCAGAAAAGCTGGAAAATACGTGGAAAATACCTGGAAGGCAGTTGTAGGAAATACAGCTTGTCATTAAGTATTATGTGCGCGGGTAGGCCGCTCTCGTGCCCTAATGGCTGAGCGATCCACCCCTCTCCAATAAGAGACGGGGTGGTCGCGGGGTATCAAGACAATCAATGCTGAGGGTATTGAGCGAGGGTATCAACGCGATAAGAAGACCAAAAAAAGAAGAAAACCAAACACAACTCAATCTAGGTCTTTCCATCCCCAACGGTCAGACACCCTGAAACACCATGAGGACGTTACTGATCGAAACACCAGAGGCTTGGTGCCTGTGGGGTCTAAGCAACATTGCTGAATGCTGGCTGTTGCATGTAGAGTGATGTTGCTGTTTTTCGCTGCCACTGTTTCAAACATCCAAGTAGTCCAATTGAGAGGCTTTCGATTAGGCCTTGGTCTCCACCGGGGTGGGCTCCGCGGGCTTCGTTAGAGCTGCAACGCCCTCTGCTGTGGAAGGCTCGCCACCTGTAGTCGCTGATTTGATAGCTTTTTCGCCCTCCTCGATCTTTTTCTCGCCTTCTTCAATCTTCTTCTCGCCCTCTTCAATTTCCTTTTCGCCCTCTTTGATAGCCTTCTCGGCAGCAGAGGTACCCTTGGGAAGAGGCACGGCAGCCGCACCAGTCTTCGAAGCTTTTGAGTCTTTCTTGGGCTGAGCGCGACTTGCTTTTCGAAGGAGTCCACCAATACCACCTTCTTTCTTTTTCTTCTCGCCGTCGGTGAGCTCATCACCTGACGTAGTCTCGGGTTTCTTCTTCTTTTCCTCATCAACAAGGGTGTCGGGTTTCTTCTCCTTCTTCGTACCAAGGCCGCTGAAGAACGATGTTCGTCTCTTATCTGTAGGCGTGGTGGCGGATGTAGCGGCAGGAGACTCAACGGCGGTCTCTGGCTCCTTCTTGGTAATGGTTACGCCGCCTGGCGTTTCATATGTGGGAGAAGTCACTGGATTTTCGAGTTGCGGGGGCTCAGCGGCGACTGGTGTTGTCTCTTCTTTCTTCTCTACAGGAGAAGTCGTGTCCTTCTTGCCGAACAAGCCACCGAAGACCGAACTCCTCTTGTTTGGCTTCTCCTTTGTAGTGGAAACGGGTGTCGTATCTGCAGACTTCGTACCCTCCGTACCTGTGACTGGAACAGGCTCGAGGGCATCCTTCTTCTCATGTTCTGGTTTTTTAGAAGCTAGCGATAAGTTTAGTTTCAGTGTAAGAAATGAACCCCTCATTGACTTACCAGCGACACCAGTTGCAGCTGCCGCTCCAGCAGCAGCAACTGCTGCAGCTTCGTCAGCTTTAGCGGCCTTTTCGTCGTGCTTCTCTGCCTTTTCAACTTCCTTTTCAACCTTCTTTTCTGCCTTTTCGGCATCTTTCTCTGCCTTCTTCTCCTCCTTTTCGACTTTCTTTTCAGTTTTTTCGGCGTCTTTCTCAGCCTTTTTCTCCTCCTTCTCTTCTCGCTTCTCCTCTTTCTTTTCGTCCTTCTTCACTGCTGCGATGATATTTTTCTCGTCCTTTTTCTCTTCCTTCTTCTCCTTCTTCTCTTCCTTTTCGGCTTTCTTTGGCTCGTCCTTCTTGCCAAGGAGTCCACCGAAAATACTTCCTCGCTTGTTGCCCCGGGATTGTGAGCGACTCTTCTTATCTTTCTTATCATCCTCGGAAGACTCTTTCCTCGCTACGGCGGCCGCGGTAGCACCTCCAGTAGCTGCTCCAGCGGCGACTTCACCAGCATGTTCGGCCGTTGCGTCTTTCTTGGCTTCTTTGGTTGTTGCGGTGGTCGTCGGCTCGGCTGCTCCGTCGGTTTGAGGTGCAGGAGTTGCAGATGTAGTAAATGGCGTTTCCTGTTTACCATCGATTTCAGCTTTGACCTCCTTGGCTTCCTTTGACGCTGTTGTCTCCTTCGCTCGCTCCCGAGACTTGCTAGCTTTGTTGGGCCTTGAAAGGGAGCGCGATTTGCTCGTGGTGGCTGGGGCAGCTCCAGGTTTGCCTATGGAAAGCGATTAGTGCTCACACGTGCTGCATGTCGAATAGTTTATTCACCATATGTGTCCAATTGTGTCTTATAGCCTTCGCTACCGACAATCCCTTCTCTGGCAGTCTGAGCTTCGGTAGCCATTGGCCCCAGAGTTACAATCCAGCTATCGCGTTCGGCCTTCGTCTGGGCCTGGAAACTATGTTTCTGTCCGTTGAAATGAGCTGAGAAATCATTAAAGTTTCCTTTGGCGAGATCGCTCAGATCAGCCTAGATCGGTCGTGTCAGCGGGTTTGCCCAAGGATCAAGCTGGCTCATCGCTTACGAGATTGAGTATGCCCTGTGGATGGTCTTTATCCTCGGCGCGCTTGGCAAAGAATAATAGCCCTTTGCCAGTCTGCGTGGCGTGAGCAGCATTACCACGTCCAACGTCCTTTGGCTTTTCATTTCCTATGTACGCAGACAGGTTCTTGCTTTCAAGTGGAGCATCGCTGAGCCAGAAGTATTTCTTTGAAAAGAGGAGACCCCTTGATTAAGAATTTAGCTGACATCTTCAAAAGTAGGTCCAGAGAAAGCTATCATACTTGAGGCCGGGAGCTTTGTAGTTTAGGATTCCCTCGTTGATCGGCTTGGCCTCAACCATGACCTCCCCCTTGCCAACCTTCTCTTCCTTGATGGGGTTGACGACATTGGGAACTGCTTCAGCGGTCCCTTTGTCGGATGTGATACCCTCGGCTGGTCCGAGCGCGGGCTTCTCAGTTGTCTGCTCAGCAGTTGGAGGAGCTGTGGCAGTAGAGGTAGGGTCAGTAGATTTGATAGTAGCAGCAGGTGCCTCCTGTAGCGGAAGCTGCGTCTCGGTAGACATTGTATACTGTGACTAGATGATGGAGAGGGTTGTGGTTGACAGCAGGTGGTGTGACGTGTTCAATGTTTACAGAGCAACAAAGCCTTCAGGGTAGGTCAAGAGTAGAAGGCGGAAAAGCAGGTGCCAAATGCAGCTATGAGGATGATCAAAGAAGGTACAGGAGCAAAGCGGACAAGCTGCGTGAAGGAATAGAGAGGTAGGTAGCAGGTGTGATCGGCTGTTGCTAAATCAAACAAGTGAAGAAAATGTAGGGAGGAAATTGTCAGGCGCAGAGGGTGGAGATGTTTTTTAAGGTTTGCGCTAAGGGAGCCTTCATTTCAAGCTCGAACGAACGAGACGAAAATGGTGGCAGGTCGAAATGGAATGGAGCTGTCAATAATCAATGCAATTGTACGACATATCGCCATCGAATACCATGCGCGCGACAAAGATCTCAGTGACGGAAGTGGCAGGAGTGCTTGTGCCCGTACTACTGGATGGAGCTCATGCGGCAGATGCATCACAATGTCTACCTACATGCATCGGCTAGCCTGAGCGAGTCAGTCAAATGATAGAACGACAAGAACAACTAGAGCGGTCACGCGCTCCATCTTCTGCCAAATCATCGTATTCGACCTCTCTTGACCTGCATAGTGCACCAGCATGCAAAGCATGTGCCTTTGAGCGGTCAGAGCTTCGACTTTTGAGGGCTAGTGCAGATGATAACGAAACGCGCCTTAATTGCAGTGCCCTGCTATCTAATCGACCCTTGTCGTTTCCTCCGTCGGATTGGAGCCTCCAACACCTGCGCTAAATCAGAGATCAAGTCCTTCAAGGACCGTGCCATCTTGTTGTCATATAACAGAAAGAAGCTCGTCTATCCATCGTCCAATCAGGTCAGAATATACCTATCCGCTCGTCAAAAGCATGTATCTATGGATCAATGAGCTGCCTTTCTCTGCAAAAAGCAGGGAGGGGGATACTCACTTCGTTATTGCATCCATTCTTTCGCTCGTCAGCCTGAGACTGATTTTGAGTAATTCCTGCGCGATTGCCGGCTTCTCTTCCTGCATTCGACTCCACTGCTCCCGAGTCAGCATCCACATGACAGCGTCCTGTTCTGCATGAGTTGTCGATGTCCTTGCCGTAGAGGAGAAGAATGGCAGTTCCCCGCATGTTGTACCAGCTACGATCAATTCAGAGTAATTACCCTGGGGAAGATCATAACGGGCCTTCAGAATGCCCCTCTCAATTAGGTAGAAGCCTTGCGCTGACTCGTTGACATTGTACAGAATGTCTCCGGCTGCGAAGACTCTCCGGCTGAAAAATGCTGCTGCTGGTGCCCAAAAGCTCTCTGGCTCGTCCGAGACCGTAGTGAATGTTTGAAGAATTAGTTTGAAGGGTTGATCATACTGCTCCCATTTTGCCGGAGGTGCGGGATCCTGTTCGCTCAATGTTGTAGTAGCGACTTGGTGAAGATGCCGCTGGCGTGGTGAACTGAACGTCAGAGCAGCTGACTCCGTAGGGCCTGTGCGCTCCGTGCGTGGTATCTCTGGGTATCTCGTGAGCTCAATACGATGGTTTGGTCTAGAAAGCTTACCAAGAAAGGTCGGGGTTGACTCGGTCTCTCGTTTGAGCTCGCGATGGTGATAAAATGCCTTCAGCAGCCCATTCTCACAAAATTCGAGCGCGGAGTTGAGGCTGTAAAAATATTGAACATTGTCCTCCTCGTCAAACAGGCCTACGTTGCGCAGGCTTTTCCCAATTTCGCCTGCTAATGAGATGCCACAAATCACCAATGTGACATGCTTAACGTTCAATATGCGATTGATACGGGTAAAGGCTTCAGCGGCAGAGAAATCGACGCCATCTACATTGAATAGATCAAGTACCAAGAACTGAATTGGTTGTTTTTGAAATGGTTCTTCGAGGAGTTGACGAATCTCCTTTTCGACTCCTACGATGGTCCCGAAAAAGAGGTATCCGCCCAGTCTCATGACCTGGACTTGCCTGCCAGCATCTTGCAGGAATTTCTGTTGTATTGGATGTCGCCGGACCGTAGAATTAGCAACACCACCGTACAGTTTACCTCGTATTGCTGATATCTGGGAGGTTTGAAGCACGTAGCTTACGCAGGCCAACAGAATACCTACCACTATGCCAAGAACAAAGTCCCAAACCCCCATTGTGATCACGATTATGACAATCTATCAACCCTTTAATTATCGACCAGACGCAGAAGGGCCTACGCTCACTTACCGTACAATATTCCAAACGGTGAACTCTCCCCCAAGTATCTACCAATGCTTCTTTCAATAAGTCAAATCCTAAAAAGAAAATAAGACTTCCGACAACCATGACTGGTATGTAACCGATTATGGATGTTCCTATGACAAGTATACCGAAAGTGGCAGCTGCTAGCATCATACCTGCCACTCGGCTGTCACCTCCGCTTCTCATGAAAAGCACAGTATTGGTATATACAAGGTAATTCTGGTAGCGTCAGTCTTTGTTTGTTCGCGTAATTGTCAGGCGCTTTACCTGAACGCTGCCACATAAGCCGGAGAGCGCATTGGATATCCCATGCGCTCTAAGCTCCCTGTCAATGTTGAGGTTATCTTCACCGGTGTGCAAGCCCAAAGCTGGTATGTTGATAGGCACATGTAAGATCCCAAAGAACGTTAGAGCAAGCATGGCAGGCACGGTTGATCCAAGAGCCGCCCAATCTACAGCGTAAAAATCTGCCTTCCAAATCAGTCAAAACTCACACCTTCGATTGTTTGGAAAGCACTGCGGAATGAGTTTACCATAAAGAGTGTAGAAATGGTAGAACGGAACACCTGCTTTAGGCGCTTCGAAAACCCAACCTTTAGATCGAAGTCCATCAATGCTAATGTTAGGGATTAACCATTCAAAGAAATAGAAGACGGCAATAATTGCTATGAAAAAAGTCGCGTCTGTAAGAGGATGTTTAATCCAGCGCTTCGCTATCCGAAGAACGATGGCCAAGGTTAGGGGCACCATCCAGAGTGGTACTTTGTCTGGTAAGAGAAGCTCTCGTATCGTTGGCAGATTATACTCGAAGCTTCCCTCAAGTCGACCAGATACTTCGAGCCCTGTCTGAACGAGAAACAAACCGACACCCCCAATGCATCCAATTAAAATGTGCCGTGGAAAGAACCCGATGAGAGCTCCAATCTTGCATTGTCCCATAGCGAAAAATGCTGCACCTGTTAGAAGCGAGCTGATTGAATAGGAAAGTATCGTCGTTGCAAGCACAGCTTTAGGATTATCCTCTCCTACCTGAGCAAGGATAGTGTAGGCCATTTTGTGGAAGAAAGGAACAATTTCAATCTGGACGTGAGTCAGCCTGGTTATCTATGGTCATTCGTTGGGCATACCAACCATTTCAGACCCTATGCCACCTTTGAAGATACTACCTCCACAGGAGTAAACAAGCTGTGACACTATGCAACTGATGTAGAAAATTGAAATACCATCAGGTCCAAGATCTGTGAAAGGGTATTGGCTCAATGGAAAGAGGATCATTCCTGAATGGATTAGTATGTGATACAGTTATTTTGGATTTGAACGCTTACCGTACGATAGGGCATCGAGCACATTGAGAAGCAGACCTAGAACGATGGACGGTACGAAGCTCAGCGGCTGGCGGACGCCTTTTTCCCAGATGCCCCTGCGGTCCCATTTAGAGGGGTTGGCAAGAAGTCTAAGAGACTGAGATGGCCTCCCTCTGAACTGACCCATGCTCGCATTACCACGAGCAGAACACGACTTTGGGGAAGCTTTGAGACTTTCTAAGTCCTGTACTGAGCCATAAATGGGTGAAGTATCGGATCTATATGTATTTTTTTTGAGAAGTAACGTGGTCTGCTCGGTTGGTCGGGACATGATACCATCGACTGTCACAATACGATGGTCGACCTTATGGTGGGATCCCTCATCTTCCGACCGTGTCGATGATACTTCTGTAGGAGTGGACATGCGGAGCATTTCTGTCAATGCAGACCTTCCCTGCGATCTGGACGAAGATCGTGAGGTATGTTGCGAAGGCGGCTCGGATATCTCTTCAATTGCATTTGGTCTTGAAGAGCTGTTAGAGCCTCTGTGGCTACTTCCATACTCTATGATGTGTTTCGCGAATTGTGTATCAGGAGGCTGAAGTGTTGAGTCTGTTCCCAGGTACTGTGGGGGAGTGGCGTCTCTGCGATTAGGGTCATAAAGCGCCCATGAAGCTAACTCTGCGGTGTCTTGTCGTACGCTCTGGGACGTGTTTTGTGGAATGTCCAGCGCTGCTTATAGGACGTTAGATTTATCGCGGCTGTTTGATGGATTTCTACTAACCAGATGGTTCGTGAAGAGAACGCTGGAAGTAGGATCTAGCGGGAGTCTTCTGGTTTGTCGATGCTGAGAAAGACCATCTAGACGGAGATGCATCCGTCCTCGCTCGAGTCCTGCCATTGACATGGCCGTCTGTAGGTGGAGTGTTCTGATCCCCAGAGGCTGAAAGCGAATGCATTGGCTCGCGACTCAAGACCTTAGATAGCTTGGAGCCATCATTTGATCTCGTAGGTAGCATTTCAGGATAGCTACCTGCCCCAAAAATCCTGCTGTGACAAGGCCCTCCTCTTTGCCGAACGAAAGATCAGGGTGGAAGTGGGGTTGACATCTCCCCTTCCACAATCGCACTTTTCGCCAATATCAGACATTCGAGAGGTCAGAGTCTGCGAGGATCATTATAATGTGACGTGAATTGAACAAAAGTAGAGGGTGCGTGGTATTATATGTTGCGATTGAGGGCATTTGTGACGTGCCCTCGATTTACTAGCTTTGGCGCTTGAGGGGCTTGCGAGGCTTGAATGGGGGAAGTTTGCCTCAGTGGTGGCACCAGGTGGTGCGGGGTCGGGGAAAAGACCCGGTGGAGCAATAGCTCTCTCTTAGCATGATGTAGGATGCCAGATTGATGCGATATCGCTCTTGAAGTAATCTAGCAGACCTTAGGTATACGGAGAATTGTGATATAAATCACGCCGCTATTTCATCTGACACCTGACAGGCCGCCCGCATCTGCAAGAGCGTTGTGCTATTTCTTACCTTATGCATGTCATAGCGTGGAGGAACTAAAACTTGGCATTGCTGGAGGTCTACCTTAAGGTACCTACAACCTTCTCACATTCGTCACAGAAATGAATCCATTACTCATGTGACGAGCGTACAATTATTCCCAAACCCTCTACTGGCCCTCAATTGGTCTTGATTGAATGCGGATATCGCTGCCAAGACTGTTTAGGTCTCGGGTTCCAATATAGGTCGTTGTGCAAGGGTACATCCATTACGTGCACATCTCTGCAAGCTCTTCAGCTTAGCTTTTGAAGGTAGCCTTGAGCAATAAGACGTTCCACGTCACCTTGCTTGACATAGAATTGGCTATTCTTTGTCAAAGTTATTGCTCTGTAAAACACCTCAGCGAGACTCCCTGACAGTGCCAATACCCAATACTCGAACCCAGGAACGTGACTCACCCATATTCTGTCTGTATTTCCCCTGCATCCTTCAACACTCGAACGTCGATAAACAAATCCCTCGGAGGCTCCAAGCTTCCTGTAAGATCGATATCGGTCCATTCACCCTTATATGCGGCAAGCATGTCACTGAATTGTCTCACATACTCTTCTTCTTCGGGGCTTAAGGAGTTTGAATTCGCGTCTGTGCCTGTGCTCCCGAGGGCCTGTCTGGCATCACTTCCTGGTCTGGTAGTTTCCTCCAAGATATCTCGCCCAGCCCAGCACATCTCTTCTAGCTTGTCCGTTCTCACACGATGATAGGCTAGCATGCATCGTTTGTTTCTTCGCATGCAAAGATGATTGACCAAGATCGAAGCAGCTACCGGCGGGTCTTGGGAAGGATTGAAGGTGCCAGCATATGGAGCCAGCGTAGCTGATACATCTTTGTCCAGGTCTCGCACTTCTTTGGTCATTCCACGCACGAGCTCGGTTTGGTAGGAGGGCAGATTTGGCAAGGCCTGGGTTCGTTTGGCATCCTGCGCCTAGATTTCCAGCATAAGCATTGTACAATGATGTTGCTCGAATTGTCCCACTAGCTTGAGGCCCAAGCCCCCATACATGACACTTGCGATGACCGCCAGTCAACTCACACTGATTTTAATCGGTCCATGAATTGACCTGCAGCGATCCTCGAAATTTGAGCTGACTAAGCGACGCTGCCAAACTTAAATCCAACGTTCTTGCTCGGAAGGAAGCGTTCACTTGCGTACAATGTCTTTCAGCAATTCAAGTTGATGGGTTTCGAGCCTGTTGACCCTCTCTTAGACATTAACTTTGATCGGTACGGAAATAGAGCTTTCTGCACCTATCCGCCGACACAATAGGATTGTCTGCCCTTCCTCACCCGTTGACAGCCATTGACCCGAGTTTCACTCGCGGTGAACCCTGAGAATTAAATTGAGCTCAGTATCTGGAGTACAGGAGCAACGGAGTTTAATATGCTGCCTTGTTCTCGTGCGTGACGAAATACTAACCGTCCATTGACCGTGAGGTCGAAAACTATCTAGCTCATCTAGCGTGTTGAGGTAAAATAAAAAAAACTAATCAACCTAAGAACTCAAACGAAGAGTATAATTCCAAACCACCGATCAGTTCCCAAATGAAGACGTTGAGGACGTCACTTCTCTCCTAATGCTCTAGATGATGCCCATCCTGCCATTTCCCCTGGTATCCGACTTGGTCCGCTACACGTGCAATTGTTTTTCGATCATTCATCGAAGTGATCCCATTTTTCGATGCCATCAGAGAGCCCTGCCTCCCCTCCGAACTCCACCTGGTCGCTACTAATATAGTCATTGGCATGGAACCCTCCCACAGCTGCTACCGCGGCTTGGTCCTCCGTTTGGCTCTGTAGGGTGTGGTCGAATGCCAGAAGATCCGGATCTAATGTAGGCGCTGTGAATGTCAAGTGGCCATTGTCGAGACTTGTGTCAGCCATCAGCTCTTCATGGGACGCTCCTGGAAGTCCAGCTGGAATTTGCGAGCCATAGAGTGTGTCCGGTGCATCACTCGTATGGTACGAGATGTCCTCTATATGACCGAGGTTGGAGTAACTTGCATTCGGATAACTTGCTGTCTGGAAATACCCACCTCCTGGACCGCTGCGGGGAAGGGCGGTCGGTATTGGCTTGCCCGGCATCGCTCCATGGAAATAAGCGGACTCGTGGAGAGCGCTGGGATATGCTTGTGGGCTGCCCCATTCACCTTCGGAACCCAGGCTAGGTGTGTAGCTGGACTCTCTAAAATCCCTTCGGACTTTTTTAGGCCTGGCTGATCGAGCGCTTGCAGGGGTCGTGCCTCGTCGTCCGTAATAGGTAGGGTCTTCTGGGTCACTTTCTTCAAAAGGTTCTTCGTCAAACTTTTCTTTGCGCTTGCGAGCCTTTGCTTCTTGAGTCTGTGGTTGAAACTTGTAATCAGGAAAAGCTGCTTGGTGATTTTCGCGCTCTTTCTTAGCCCAATCTTCATATTGTTTTCGAACAGCGGACGATTCAATAGCCCAACTTGCTCCGGCCATTGATGAAATGTCTTGATGATTGTTTGACTTTTCATACTCTCTGCAACGATCTGCAAATGCTGAACGATACAGTATGAAGGAATTGGAAGGGCGTTTGATGAACCCATCATTGCCAACCTCCTTGCGGCGTTCTTCAAGCGATCTGTTCACCCATGCTTCTGTGTTTTTAATCGGGATATGTTCGAGATGTCTAGTCAACTCGCTAAGCGGCTTTTCGAGTTTTGATCTCTTATTCTCTTTTTTGGCTGCTTTTCGACGTTTTGGGGGTGACGGTGAACGAGAGTAAGAATTGGATACCATTCGTCGAGCATGTTTTTGGTTTTGTTCGAAATAATTGGGGGTTGGCATTCTTCGGTAAATCATAGACTCTGAGTACTGTGTTTCGCAGTATCAGCTGCAATTGGACATCAGGCGTCAAGCATTTTTAGAACTCACTTCCTGCATGTTGTTGGGATGTAGACCGTCCTGGTAGGTGTTTATTGGGCTGTCACTGTACTCATCCTATCACCATCAGCACCCAACAATGATAGCATGACATATAGGACCACCTACGGCCTGTCGCCACATACTACCAAATTCGTCGACTATTGCTGGACCTGGTCGTGGAGAGTGATAAGTTGAAGTTCCTCCTGAAGGCAGAAATCCATTATCTTCAAAGATATCCCGATGATATTGTAGGGCTCCGGTATGACCCCTGAGGCCGCCTTGACGGGCTGAATAATGTTCCCGCATCGGTGGCGTAGAAGTTCCCTGGTGGCTAGTCACCATGACCGACATGTTCTGTCGCCAAACGTCGATAACACTTCCTAAAAAGTCCGAAACTTTTGCCAAATCAACAAGAGTCAGCAACTGTCAATGAATTTTTGGACTCACGGAGTACGAGGGAGGATGGCCCGTATCCGTAAAAGCGGTGTGAACTGGCTGGCTAGTAAATCTGTGTTGCCCTCTCACCTCGGCTGCACTGAGCCTGCGATCTGATGACCCGCTGCCATCGACCAAGGCGTGAAGAGGAAATGCTCGACTGTTTTGCAAAGATATTAGTTACAAATGAGAACTTTCTTGGTGATCAGGGCACTGGATCATTAGCCAGCCCGTTGCGGACAATCCGTCTCGAAAGTTTAGCGCAGTCAACTTCCGGATGCGGCGGTGAATCAGTGCTTTGAGAGCTCCGCACATTCGTCACTGGTCGTCAGATAGGTACCGAACTCGCTGCGCGACGTTTGGTGACTCTGAACGTCTTTGTCTGTCTGGCAAGAACAATTCTTGATTGCGTTACGACAAGCAAGTGCTGAATCGGCCAAACAATTCTACATTGTCAAAATGCACATGAGGAGAAAGGTCGGGTGGAAACTTTTGTACTTATGGAAACCCGTCATTTTTCTACACCTTGGCTCAGTGAATCAGGTGTTTGACAATCCAGCTCTTGACTCGGTGGTCCACGGTGCACATGGAGCGAACCGGTGCTGGATTTGACTTTGGTTGTTGGGGCCTACCAGAAGCCTCGACCAATGACCGCATGCGGCCACCTCATCACCCTCCGAGATAAATGAGGGCTTCATCTCGTGCTCTGAGCGACTAATGTGGGGCTGACTAGACATGGGCATCCGCTCAGCTGGATCTACCCCGCTCGAACGTTCCCGGAAATGAATACTATTGCATGACTGCAAGCTACACGATATAAAAACTTAATGGGAGGGCTTTGCGTCTCACAACATGGAAAGAACCGACTGCCATGTGAGCCGAGCGACACGGATGTCTGCTTTGGAGGTCTGCTAGAGGCTGAAGGAATGACATCCTCGAACTTTGAACGCATAGGGTGCTTCTGATACTGATCTTTGGAAGATTATCGGTGACGAGCAGGAGGCTTTCCGATACGCCAGTTAGGCGGTCAAGCCTATGAGCAATCAACGGGAAGGATGCATCTACGCGAGCATGACATACACTAGTGCAAACAGCGACAGATTGGGTTAAGCCCAACGACTATTGCAGAGAGCACCACGGCCTTATCGTTGGCTTGCTGAATATTTCTTTGTCCTGGATCACGCGAAAAAAAGCAATCGATCTCCACAGTGATCGACAGCATCTACTAGACTGATACTCGGCTCCTCCAGCTGATCGCAGCCTGATGCACCATGAGGGTTTCGGGAGGCTAGCTCAGCCCGAGAAGGCCAGTCTACTTGCTTGTGAAGCTCTGGAAAAACGTCCGTCACCACCATTTTCTGAAGGTTAAAAGGCTTTGGAGCTCCTTCCACCCCGAGTCTGACCGCGAACGGAATATGGTGGGCGAACGGCGCTTAGCCCCAAACATCAAATCGCCAGGAACGGCCACATTCAACGTTGTCCCTAAGCAAGATGATGATTTTGAGATTAGTCTGCCTCCCTTTCCTTTCAAATGGAATTCAACCTCAGGTTGATTTTTTAACGGGCTGTTTCCCTCGAGAACAGCAGTGCTTTTAAAGAGATTCTCTTGGAGGGGGGGCTAGCTAATCCCAGAGCCGTGGGAACAACCAATTCTACTCCCCATCCCCCAGCGCAATCATTTGCTGGCTGCTTCTCTCGCTCTTATACTTGATGCGAAATGTCCGTCCTCGTCACAATTCGGGATTTGAGTCGTCCATGGGGGAGCGCCACCAATTGTGTGGCGTGCTCTTAGGGTGCAGTTGACGATCTAGTGCTGTACAAATACCACGAGAAGACTGATGCCATGGCTCGACGACATGGTGAACAGTATCCCAGATCGCCGATCCCCATTTGCCCGTTAGGTAGAATTTCGTGTAGATAAATATGAATTGGCCAATCACGCTTCACATGCATTGCTCGCATCTTGCATGCATGAACGTCCGTAGGGCGCCTTCAGTACAGAGCAATTACTGCCATGTGTCCGTGAGATCTTTACTGGGGATATTCATTTCCTCCCGCTCTCTTGAACGAGTCATGCTAGTGTTCAAAGGACCCATCAAAGTCCTTGAAAGCTGTTGATTGGCTGATTGACCCCGGCCGGAGTTAAAGGTGCGGCGGTAAGCCAGTCGTGCTCATGATGAGTCGCTTTGATTCTTCGAAGCCAGCGTTCCTGAGGGGTGTTCACGAGGTTCAAACCATACGAGTCACACTTACACTGTGAGAGGACCTTACCAGTGCTTCTTAGTTCCCGCACGTCGAGTGCGAATATTCACAACACGACTTTGAATCCAACCCTTTCCGAGCTGTGACACCAGCACAGATCCAACATTCTCAACGGCAGATGAAAGAAGGCATCAACGGATCACGTTTGACGAGGCACGCCCCTATCACCCTACAAAATGACTGCGTTGGCGGCTTCAATTGCAGATACGGTGGCTGGAATGCAGAGAGTCATTGAGATATCCCACTATTGTGAGTCTTGATTTCGGTCTCCATTCGATACTTGACCGGCATACTGACGATCGTCAAGCTTCTGACTCGGACGAGATATATCTTCAACCATCTAATCGCGGCAATAAACTCAAGCGGAAAGCTAACCTCATATCTGGGGGCTCTGATGAAAGACTCGACAAGCAAAGAGCTTATGGGAAAGTATGACAGACGTCACTCTTACACGAAATGCCGGTCGCTGATCTTTATAGACTATCAAGCATGCAGGTCATACACGAGATATCCTTCACCGGAATCCCAAGCTTTATGATGAACATGGCGAGGAGTTGGCGACGGATGAAGAGAACGCAGAGGCGGTCACGAGAGCAGAGGAAGAGAATCCTTACGCAGGCATACAGCTTGAAAGTCAGTTAATAAAGCTGAAAATATCGAGTCGCCCCCATCCTGATATTTGGTTTTTAGGTCTGCTCGCGCCATTGACGAACGCTTCGAGCCTTCCTAATCATCCGTCTATGTCTGCATCATACACTTCCACTACCCTTAGCGATATGGTAGAACATGCACGAAACTTAGCACATCGAGAGAAGAAGTCTCTGTCGAATGCAAAAGAGATGCTCACGAAATTACGGGGTGATGACACTTGGATCCCGGCTGGTCATATGCAGACGGACTATGACGATGGTATATTTGACACGAAACCAGTCTATGATTTGATAATTGCCAGTACGCCAGTCAATGGAAGCCAGCGGAAAGCTCGGTTTGGAACAAATGGTAGTCTAAGCCGGCGGTACAGCCACTCCAAAGTTGCAATCGCAGCTTCAGAGGACAGAGGCGCCAGATCTATCGGGCAACAGCCGAACGAGCAAGCATCTGACACTCTCATAGCGATTGAAATTGCGGAGGAAATAACAAATGCAGATAAGTCTGTCACTGGCCTCAACGCTGCTCTGGAGGACGCGGACAACACGCCAAAGCCTCATGTCAAGCCTGAAACCCACGACGAAGACCGTAATAATCTAGAAACCATTGAAGCAATCAGACAAGATGGAGTCCTTATTACCAAGCATTCAAACATAGGTGACGGTAGCGAGTCCACGAGTATTCAACAGCCTTCGTCTCACCAGGGTGATGGGAGCAGGCTTCCATGCACCGTCAAGAACGGTCAAGAACCCGACACTCTGCAGGAATCACTCGATGGAAACCGTCCTGATGAAAAGGTAGACGAGGACGGCGCAGAATCTCATTCGCCACCACGACGAGTAACACGAGCACAGGCACAAGCAGACAAGGTCACTGCTTCCTTGCACTCTGAAAGTCCGGCCGATTGGGTACCACCACCAATTCACCCACTTTTCTTGATACCTCCCTCTGCCGAGCCTGACGCAGATCTTGGTCTTCCACCTGCTGAAGCAATGGAAACACGTCAATTGCTTGCGGCATATGTGCAGAAGCAAGAAGAGATCTGTCGAGGCGCGGAGGGACTCTATGAGAAGATGTTACGTGCAGAGAGACAACGCCAAACGGTCTTCAAGTGGTGCAAAGCAGAGGCGCACATTGGCGAATTGAGCGACGGCGAAGACTGGTATGACAAAGAAGAATGGGGACTTGAGGAGGACTTGAGGAAAGGCCATATGGAAGAGGAAGAGGATGCCGCAGCGCAGGGAAAGAAGACGAGAGGTCGGAGAGCATAATATGAGCCCCGGTTTGTCCAATTATTGGACGTAGTAATGATTTGATACCCAACCAAGCTTGCTTTGATTGCTTAGATACCTTACGACAGCTAATGATCGCTTACATACGCGGGATGTTCTACCCGGCTTGTTTTCGCTACCAGTGGAGTAGATATCTTGATTATGGTCTACAACAGCTTTTCTTTTCTTTTTATCAAAGGCCGACAGGGGACTTTCGTGCCCACTATGCGCTGCCAGCAATTTTTTCTTCATCTTCTCTTCCGCGGCCCTATGGATAGGTGATGTCACAAAATGCCGTCAAATCAAAACCCAGCTCCTCTCTGAGTGTGCCATTCCACCCTGCTCAAAGCCCAACAAAAGACATCAGCTAACCAGCAGATTGACCAGTCCACTTCCGTGCCGGTCTCTACACAGGTCTCCTGGCAGCCACCCTCCTTCAACCCGCCGACCTTCTCAAAACCCGCTTGCAGCAACCAAATCAGGGATCGGCCCCACTCCTCTCCACACTCCGCTCTGTCCTCAATGGTCCTAATGGCCATGGCGTGCGTGGGCTATGGCGTGGCACGCTACCCAGTTTAATTCGCACGGGTTTGGGGTCAGCATTGTACTACAGCTCGTTGAATGCGCTCAGAAGTCGAATGTCTTTGGTTTTTGCGTCCGCGCCTGATGTTCGGACACCAGTTACGGAGATTGGTGCATCTAGCGGTGGAGGCGTGAAGAGCAGTTCCAGCCTGCCGCGGCTCAGTAAATCCGCGAACCTATTGACGGGCGCGGTGGCGAGGGCGGCAGCAGGGTTTGTGCTTATGCCTGCTACGGTAGTCAAGGTGCGGTACGAGTCTACAATGTATACGTACAGATCTTTGCTTGATGCGTACAAAGCGATACTGAAGCAGGATGGGCCAAGGGGTTTCTTCAAGGGGGCTGGGGCTACAGCTGTCAGGGATGCGCCTTTTGCAGGGCTGTATCTCGTGGTTTATGAGGAGTGCAAAGGGAGACTGAATAGAACTGTGACACCGACGGAGATATCGCAGGCAGACGGTTTGAACGGGAACATGGAAGGGCGAGGAATGAAGAGGTCGACAGCTTTTGCAATCAACTCAGCTTCTGCTGTTGTGGGCGCTACCGTTGCAAGTGCGCTCACGAATCCTTTCGATGCCGTCAAGACAAGGCTCCAGCTTATGCCGAAGAGATATGCTAATATGTTGGACACTGCCAGCATGATGGTGAAGGAGGAAGGATGGAGATGTTTGATGCAGGGTATGGGATTGAGGACGGGAAGAAAGGTCATATCGCTAGCATTGTCGTGGACCTTGTACGAAGAGTTCGTCAGGTCAAGCGAAGCCAAGCGTAGCGAGAAGCTGTAAATATGTGTTATGTGTATATAAGTCAACCTTCGAAAACAGTGATCTGGTTGAGCAGTCACTCTACACGCTGAGTCAAATTCACTTTGCCTTTTTCTTTTGCTCTCTTTCTCGCTTGGCATATATCTCGGCGGTGAAAGGACTACAGATCATTAGTGACGATTCTTCTTGTACTGACAAGAACATACTCTTCATATTGCAAGGCACCGTAATACACGACAACCACGAGTGCAGTCAACAGTGCCCCCGCAGGACGCCCATACCAGATCGCAGTTCCTAGGAAACTCGTCGCACTACCCCAGTACATGGGTGACCCAGTAACACTGAACGGAAAACCAGTCACTGGCTCATCCAATAGTATTCCAAAATAGTCGCCCAAGAACGTTCCAGTGATGCCCAGTTGATAAAATGAACTGAGTACAAGAGTATTCCCAATGGCGAGGAGAAGATACCCCAAAGATGTAGACTGAAAGGCAGGGACTAGCGGTTGCTGGCGCAGAGCGCGCTCATATAAGCTATCACGGAAGAGGCCCAAGCCAAAGATTGTCACGGCTAGAGCGTAGCAGGCGTACAGAGACTTGCCGCCGAAGAGGCGCGTGAGCGTTTTCTTGTTATATTCCGAGCGAGCGGCGACACTGCGAGCAATCAGCCGATCAGGTATAAGAATGCAGGAGGTGACCAAGAGTCAAGCCTCATACTTCCAAAACGTTGGATTGAAGATAATTGCAGCTGCGGAAACTTGGATCGAAAGTCAGTCATATGAATGAATTCGACTGCGCTTCTTTGGCCTACGATAAAGAGACGTCTTGGACAGGTCAACAAAGTCAATATATTGGGTAGACATCTTGTGAGATGGAAATTAACGATGAATGTCGGGCTTTGTGGCTATCTATCCACTGTATCCAGTGGGTATCAATACGCGGCTAACGTACAGGTACCTTACCTTATAAAGCCTAAGGTATTTTTGGGGCGTGGGGACTCTACGGATCGTCCCGCTGTTCCGCCGATAAGATAGGGTAAAAAGCCTCTCGGCCCTAAGCAAGTATAAACAGAGCACTGTCCGATACTGGTCTCTCAGCAACACAATCCTTGGTGTTGTAGTGACTGGCAAACTTGAGGAGAAATGCTATTTAGCCTGACATCCGAATGACAGATTCAGGGGCATGCCTCCTGAACGCCTCATTTTCTCAAGCATGAGCTCCTGCGGAGCATCTTTTCTGTGATGAGTTCTACATTGGCCACGGCCGTTGAAACGCCTTCGATATATTATACATACATTTGCAAAGAGCCTGCGGGAGATGTGCCCTTGTTGATCCATAATGGCCCTGACGAATATACCTCCATGCTTCGTACCTTACAGAGGTCAGCAGAACATTTCTCCGAGAGGCACCAACAACGTGTTGTTGAACGAATACATTATGAACAAGCACTGCTTCACATGCGGCATCAAAACTGGAGACATGCGATGAGACTCTTGTTGCCCCTTTGGCAGACGTTGAGTTGGCGCAGATCAGGATGGTGGCTGCTGCTGGAAGAGATAGACTGTGCTTTGCAACAATGTGCCAAGAAAGTCAACGATGTAGAAACGCTGATTGCAGTGCAATGGGAGCTCTCGAACCGCTGTTAGTCAGGAGCCTTGCTGCTGTGGTACTGGATCTGACAGAGCTCAGCCCTGACATTGAGACAGGATACCTCTGAGAGTAGTTTTACAAATGTTGTATTTCCTGATATAAGGCCGAAGGTCAAGCTGCGCACGGAGAGCGTGCTCTCATGCAGTATGTCTGCATTCAATCTGCAGCCAGACCCAGCAGTCCCGCTAATATCTACTAGTCTCGGCGAGGTTCACCTTCAATGTTGCAGAAGGCAATGTTGGTCTACCTTTGAATCCTCAGCTGGTGCTCAAGTCAATGACGCGAGAGTCACAAAAGCCAATACTAGTGCGCAGAGTGCAAATTGCTTTTGAAGGAGGTTTGAGGGCAGTACAGATAGCTCATACAGACGTCGAACCATCTTCGAGCAATGAAATGGATCAAGAGGTTCAATTCCACCACATTGATCTTGAAAAATACTCACCGACGAATGACACTGCTCCGGTCAGTCTTGTCGTGTCGAACGTCCAAAACATGCTATTTGGAAAAGCTAATCTCCTGCTCGCGCCTGGGATGACCAAAATCTGCTCTTTCGTCGACGTTCCGCGAGATGCAGGTGAAATCGAAGTCAGTAAAATCACACTCTCTATTGAGGAGGAAATGTATGATATCGAAGTTTTGATCACCGATGGCGAGGACATGCAGCAGGATAATATCTACGTCCAAAACAATGATAAAATCTCTTCGAGAGGTTCGCCAAAAGGACGAAGCAACGCCATAAATATTCTGCCCAAACCACCTAGGTTAAAGATGGAGGTCCCGAGTCAAAGACGAGAATACTTTCTAAACGAAGCCTCGTCTATAGTGGTGAGCGTGACAAACGAGGAGGAGGATGAGGTCAGGGTCACGCTAGAGCTACGACTTCTTGGACCGCCTGAAATGGCTCCATCTATACAATGGGATACTGACCAAAATGACGAGCTCATGATGAACCAAGTCCACAGTCACCTGAATGAGACACTTTTGGAGGCTGGCGTTCTGTCCCCGACAGGGAAATGCTCATGCAAAATACGGCTGGGGCCGTCTCCAGAGCCTTCGGACCATATTCTAGAAATTCGAGCAAGGTACTATCTGCAGTCAGATCCCGAAACCCCTATCTTGAAAAGTGTGTCTACGAATGTAGTTTTTCGTCGTCCTTTTGAAGCTATATACGACTTTGCTCCGTTGATACATCCTGACCTTTGGCAAGATTATTTCGAGATGACAGATGTAGGAGCATTAGAGAAAGATCTACTTCATTTGGAAAGACCGACGCAAGGACTTATACAAAGATGGTCTTTAACAGCAAGATTACAGTCTCTGGCTTCGCTTGGAATCACGATTGAAAGCAATACAATAGAAACGACCAGTGTCCAGGAAGCCGCTCATTGTACATCGACTAGCCTCCGCGCACTCCTGCCTTCAGAGTTACCGTCCGAACAGATTCAGGAGTATCACTTCTTGTTGGACCTACAAAAGGATGATATAGAGGATCGACGTCCAACCTATTTCCAATTCCAATTCAAGGTCGTGTGGCGTCCAGAAGGCTATGTCGGACCACCCATTATCACATATCTTCCAGTACCAGAATTAGTAGTTTCGTTTGGGGAACCAAGAGTGTTGGCCTCCACAACAATTGCAGCTATACCGCAGAGCACTGTGCGTCTCGACTACATGATCGAGAACCCTTCGATATATGGGTTAACATTCAGCATCGTGATGGAAACAAGCGATGAATTTGCATTTAGTGGATTGAAAAGTACTACCTTGCAGCTGACCCCATTGAGCCGACAGTCCGTCGGATTCAGCCTCCTGCCACTCGTGAAAGGCACTTGGATTAACCCTCAACTTAGGGTCTTTGATGTGCAATTTCACAAGACTTTGAAGATCATAGGGACTGAGGGTATTAGAAACGATAGAGGTGGGATTAGCATCTGGATTGATGGTGAAGGGTGAATGTATCATTTTGTCTGTTTAAGAAGGCTTATCTTTTCGTTGTAGATATTGCAGCTATCTGTTTGCCCTGTCACCTTGTAGAAAGTCATCATGATCTACTTCGCAGCAAGTCAGGTCTCATCGAATGTAGTCTTCTACTTGAAGTTGAACTGAAAGAGTAGCCATTCCTAGCCGTCTACTTACCCGGAAGCGGGCGCGGTAACGCGGAGCTCCTGGGGCTACCAACCCCGGAAGCGTGCTATTACCTCAGCCTGCGAAAGGCTGATTAGCGCCAGATTGGCCGCGCCTTCCGTCTATTGCGTTGTCGATGAGGTATGACCGTACAAGGCGAATTCATAGAAGACACTCGACACTCGTCGCATCTTCCTTCTATGTCAAATCCCGAATGTTCATTCGAAGCTATACATTTATATACGCATGGCCTTGCAACCATTAGCAGCTATCAAACCAACATATCACTTACATTGGCAGCAACTTGCTGCATCATGAGAAGCGATGGCAAGTCGAGCCCGCACCCTTCATCTAAGATTTGGAAGGGGAAAGACTACTAATCTACGAGCCTTAGGGGTGCTGCTCATCTAAACCCGAAGCTGAGGGCCAAAGCCACCCGTATAGCCATGCACACCAACTTGACGATTCCTCACGTGCGATTGCTGGCAACGGATCGCACCCGAACGAAGCCCCTCCTCCACATACATCAGGGTCAGCAGCTACGCCGTCTCGAAGCAGCCGGCATAGACGGCATGGCCAGCCCCATGAGACTACCAAGAGACCACTTCGACCGCATGTTTGGACGGCGAAACGCCAATGGACCAGGTCAGAGTTAGATCGCGAACGGCGCGAGTTCTTCGAAACGCGAGTGACGGGTCATGCGGAAATATGGACTGCTCTGAAAACAGTGAGCGAGATGCTTGCAAGCGGCGATGTGGCCACCGCCCAAGGCATCATTGACGCCGCGGCCATCACAATCCCAAGTGGGAATCTGAAAAATGGTGCATATGATGAGGCGGGCAACCTGTATCAATTGCCGGAACACATCATTAGTGACCCAACCAACGTAGTTCTTGACGAGCCTCAGGAGGGAGGCAAAGATGATACAAGTGCGGACGGCACCGAAGACGAGGACGAGCTGGAGCGGAGAAGGGAGGAGAAAGGGAAGGCACCCGAGGTTGAGGGCACTGAAGTCGGAATCAAGGCTAGATTGAGCGATAGAGGTGGACCTGATGTGTGCGTGTCGATGCGGAAGGAGCAGACAGTTAGGGCCCTCCTTAGGAAAGTACGCGAAGAGGCTCATGTGAGTTTGTTCCGCCCATTCTTACTCTCGATCTGTCTCTACGGTGCTGACGAATTCCAAAGTTGGAAAAGAATTGCAAAATGCGGATTGCTTATATGGGTAAAATACTCATTCAAAACCAAAGCCTTGCGGCCCAGGGATGGAAGGAGGGCGACGTCGTTAACGCCCTAGTGTATCAATAATGTACAAATTTCAGTCGCGAAAGCCATCGATGGCTATGAATGAGGTTGATAAATGACATGTCTGAAGCGGATGCGGGCGCATACCAGCCAGCGTCTTCCGGCTGTGAAAGCGATTCCATATGTGCGACGTACAGTCATGTAGCAAAGTCCTTAGATTAAGGCTAGATATTGAGAAGATACTGGGAAGCATGCACCCTTAATCGCGACAATCAAGTCTGAAATAATGGGACGTTCACGACTGCCTGTCTACTGTCTGCTCTGCATATGCAACTTATTGTGTTAGCGCCAATCTTAGATTCTGCGGCAGAGCAAGTCTGGCCGACGTTTTCAAAGGTAAGCACGTTCACTCAAGTCAACAGGACAGTCATCTACGTCCAGCCCAATACCGACCACCATTCACTCACTTGTCAATAGGCCTTCTACTCAGTCAGTCTCTGTCCGCGACTCCAAGCAGCCACTTTTTGCCCGCCAAACGATACATAGATAGGACCCCAATGCGCAATTCCTAACCACTTGGTCGAACCTTTTCCTATGGAGGCGTTAATCTACGAGTCTCTCATGGCGGCTCAGTCTGAAGTTGCCTACTGGGGATTTGCTTGACAAAATGGCGTTAAACCGATCTCCTCCACCCACCTCTCCCACCCGGCAATCAATACCGTTACAGAACCTTTCGCGACCACCGGAGCACGACCAGAATGTCAGTCATGTCGCAGGCCATCGCAGAACAGCAAGTTGGAGAGCCAGAGAGTTGCTTGCAAGGCGGTCCAGGTTTCACGGCACGGTCAATATTGGTTATGAGCCAGTTGGAGAATCTCACCCCATGTACACTGACTCTGCCGCGCCTCCACATGTTACCACCCCAAGGAATGCATACCAAACCCCGTACGAGTATCATGATGGAGAGGTATCACCCGTCAATGCGGCTGATTTTGCCTCGGCCATGGGCGGAATGGGTGACATGGGATTGAGTTTCGAACCTGCCTATGAACCAGTTGTTGAGCCTCCAGGCCCTTCGAGACCGACTGCACCAAGACGTCGAAGCACTATCCCCAGTACGCTGAATGTCATTACGGAAAATTATGACCCCGCAGGCGCTACTTCACTCGGTCCGCACGCTTTTCACGAGTCCGAGCCTGAACACGATGTTTTCCTATCGCCACCAGACAGTGATCGAACACCGCTGACAGATTCAAGATATCTCGCGCCCATTAGCGGCGCCCAAACGGATGGCACATCTGCGCCAAGGAATAGTAGACTTGGATCCAGGTTAGGGGATGATTTACAGAACTCCGAACGTGGGTTGCGGACCCGTCCAACGTCAACTCTCAATACTATGGGGGTCTCACCTCTCTCAAGAGCTGGGACAATCATGAGAAAAGTATCTCAACGAGTGGTCAATCTAAGTAATGAACCTGATCCCATAGAACATAGCATGCGACCAGACCGTCAAGAACGTGAAGAAGCGGACGATGATAGCAAGGAGTCCAGGATGCAAGCCCCGCCAGTATTACCGTATATGCCAGCTCATGCCCACGACGAAACCTCGACTCAGTCTTTTGAGATGGAAAAGCTCCGCCACCTTGCCTCTACGCAGCCAGTTGGCAACCAATGGTTACCTGCGCCCAACCCTTTAAAGGGCAAGAGCTTAGGAATATTTGGTCCAGAAAACCGGCTGCGGCTTAAATTATGCGACATGCTCGTACACCCTGCGACTGAACCTTTGATATTGATTCTCATCGTCATTCAAACCATCCTACTAGCCGTCGACGCTGCGCCTAGCATCGAACAAGATAGCAGACGCAAAAGCTGGGACCGGTCATGGATCGATTTTGCTCTGATCGGTCTCTTTGTAATCTACACAGTTGAGATCATAGCTCGAGTGATTGTGTCCGGTTTCGTGAAGAATCCTTATGAATATAGCACGGTCAGCTTTGCGCAGGGTAGGAAGGCTGGGCTCAGTGAGCGCGTGAAGACCTTCTTTGGACCTCAAAGACAGAATTCGTCTAGGAACCCTACCAACAGATCTGAGCCAGGGCCCTCAATATTTCGCCAATTCACAAACGTTCAAACCCCATTTGATCAGCCAGGCCATTCAGGGCAAGCACAACGAATTCGACTGGCACGACGTGCATTCCTTCGCCATGGCTTCAATCGTTTAGACTTTGTCGCAGTCATCTCTTTTTGGATTGCCATAGTCCTCTCTCCGCTCGCCACAAGTGTCGAAGTCGAGAAGCATATGTACATCTTTCGTATGCTAAGCTGTCTCCGAATATTGAGACTGCTTGGCCTCACCAGCGGTACGTCGGTTATCCTACGGAGTCTCAAGAAAGCTGCGCCTCTCCTGGTCAACGTAGCTTTCTTGATTGGATTTTTCTGGCTTCTTTTCGCTGTCGTGGGCGTTCAAGCATTCAAGTCCTCCTTTAGAAGATCGTGCGTATGGTTTGATGATATTGATGACGCAAAAAACAAGAATGGGACAAATCTCGCCCCGGGGTCCTTTTATCGTCACAACGCCACCCCTGACGTATTCCAATTCTGTGGTGGTCATATTGCGAATGACACTCTCCAGAAGATGCCTTGGGTAAAAGCAAATCTACAAGAAAATGGGACCACAAAGCACAAGGGGTTCCTTTGCCCAGCTGGCTCAATGTGTGTTGAAGGCCGAGGTCCATACAACGGGACTGTGGGCTTCGACAATGTCCTCCAATCGCTACAAATGGTGTTCGTCATAATGAGTGCCAACACGTTCTCAGACATAATGTACTATACGACGGACAGCGATTTCCTCGCCGCAGCACTCTTCTTTGCTATTGGTATAGTCATCATGAGCTTTTGGATGATAAATTTGCTTGTTGCGGTCATTACTTCCTCGTTTCAAGTCATTCGTGAGGAGAGCAAAACTAGCGCGTTTACTGCAGACGACGAGCAGTACCATTTCATCGAGGACGAGCCTCAAGTCGTTCGATCGGGCTATCTGAAGAGACTCTTTGATAAAACGCATTGGCTCTGGATTACCATCATCCTCTTCGATCTTCTCGTCATGTGCCTGAGAAGTTCAAACATGGGTCCCGACCGTAAGGCTTTCATCAACAATACGGAAACGGTGGTGACATGCGCGTTGCTCGTTGAGATCGTGCTTAGATTCCTCAGTGACTGGAGAAATTTTCACAAGTCGCGGTACAACTGGGTCGATCTTGGCCTTGCGGTCATAACTGGAGTCATCCAGATTCCACCAATCCACAACTCGGGCCAGCCCTACGCATGGCTGAGTATCTTCCAGATCCTCCGTATCTACCGTGTCGTCTTAGCTATCTCAATAACTCGTGACCTCATCAGAAAGGTGTTGGGCAACGTCGCCGGTCTCGTCAACCTCATTGTCTTTGTGTTTCTCGTCACTTTTTTGACAGCTATCTTTGCTGTTCAAATCTTCCGTGGGGAGTTCCCCAGTCAGGATTCGAATAATCAAGCCATTCATGTCACGTTTTCCGACATTTACAATTCTTTCATCGGCATGTATCAGATCCTCTCGAGTGAGAATTGGACCCTCTTAATGTATAATGCAACGCAGTATCAGTTTCAATGGAGTACGTCTTGGATCGGCGCCACTTTCATCATCCTATGGTTCATCCTCGCTAATTTCATTGTGCTCAACATGTTTATTGCGGTCATCCAGGAGAATTTTGATGTTTCCGAAGATGAGAAGCGTCTACAGCAAGTTAAAGCATTCCTCCAGCAGAAGGAGCTTGGCGGTTCATCACATGGGAATCTCTCGCTCGCAACCATCCTTAAGCTTGGAAGAAACAAAGCAGGCCACAGAGATCCCATAGATTACGGCCCTGCGACAATGGAAATGCTATTACATGATGACCTATATCGAGATTGGCTTGATGAGGCTATGGATGATGACCTCCAGGACGACGACGATACTGTCGTTGACAGACCCTCGGGACCTTTGAAGCCTGGTTTGATAACGCAATGGTGGAACAGGATCATCAGCATCCTAGGCAATGGTGAAGCCAATCCGTTCTATTCTCGGGTGCAGTTTTCTCGGCACAGAGAGGAGGTGAACATCCGTACGCAAGCTCAGCAAGTCGTAACTCTAACAGAGAGGCGAAGAAAGCAACAGCGGCAGTACCTGCAAAGACACCCACGATACAACGTATCGCTCTTCCTCTTCCCAACCAACAGTCCCATTCGAAGATATTGCCAATGCATCGTAGGTCCAGGCCGCGGAGGTGAGCGCATCGAAGGCTCAGAACCTTACAAGCCTGTATGGTACGGTTTCTCTGCTTTCATATATGCTGCAATAGTGGCCATGGTCATCTTAGCTTGTATATCCACGCCTCTCTATCAGAAGGAATATTTTGATAAGCGTGGTGGGTTCAATGCTCGCAATTGGTTTGTGTGGACCGATATGGGCTTTGCTGTGATCTTCTCAATGGAAGCGCTGATCAAAGTAATCGCTGACGGCTTTTTCTGGACGCCCAATGCATATTTCAGAGGATCATGGGGCTTCATCGATGGCCTCGTTCTCGTCACTCTCTGGATCAATGTCATCACATCACTTTACAAGGATGGAGCTGTATCACGAGCTGTTGGCGCTTTCAAGGCACTCAGAGCCTTGCGGCTTCTTAATGTTAGTGACAGTGCGCGAGACACATTTCACTCTGTCATCGTGCTTGGTGGATGGAAAGTGATCTCGGCAGCCTTTGTCTCACTCAGTCTGTTGTTCCCATTCGCCATCTACGGGCTCAATCTCTTCAATGGAAAGATGCTCGATTGTAATGATAACAGCATCGAGTATCTATCTGATTGTGTGGGCGAGTTCAACAGCACGCCATTCATGTGGAACGTTCTTGCTCCCCGGCAGACAGCCAATGACTACTACAGCTTTGATAATTTCGGTAGCTCTCTGAGCATTCTTTTCCAGATTGTGTCGCAAGAAGGCTGGACGGACGTAATGTGGAGGGCTATGTCTATCACAGGGCCAGATACTTCGCAGGGGAGTTATCAATCCCAGGGCAACGCGATATTCTTCATTATCTTCAACCTCCTCGGAGCGGTTTTCGTGCTGACACTTTTCGTATCCGTCTTCATGCGAAACTACACGGAACAGACCGGTGTGGCTTTCCTTACTGCAGACCAGCGTTCCTGGTTAGAATTGCGAAAGCTACTGAAGCAAATTTCACCCTCCAAGAGACCCTCCAAAAAGTCTGAACAAGGATGGCGGGGATGGTGCTATAGAATTGCAGTGAAGAAACGTGGAAGGTGGCAACGACTTTTGACCTTCATTCTCCTTCTACACCTAATATTGCTGGTGTTAGAATGGTACGGAGAACCTCCCGCCTGGCAACGTGCACGAGACTACATATTCCTTGGCTTTACCGTCTTCTATATCGCTAATGTTGTCGTACGAATCGTGGGTCTCACGTGGAAACGGTTTCGCAATAGCTCTTGGGATCTCTATTCCATCTTTGCCGTAACGGGAACGGTCATTACCACCCTGCTTACTCTTTCTCGATACAGCAACAATACGTACAGTATGCTGCACAAATTCTTCCTTGTGTCCATAGCTCTCCTGCTGATTCCTCGAAATAATCAACTGGATCAACTTTTCAAGACTGCGGCAGCATCCCTCAGTGCAATTGGAAATCTCCTAGCAACCTGGTTTGTGCTATTCCTGGCCTACGCGATTGCTCTTACCCAAACGCTGGGTCTTACGAGATTCGGTGTTAATGAGGACGGTAACCTGAACTTTCGCAATGTGCCGAAAGCGCTGATCTTGCTTTTCAGGATGAGCTGTGGGGAATCATGGAATGCAATAATGGAAGACTATGCGACAATCACACCCCCTTATTGCAACGATCGCTCCGCTTTCTTTGAGAGTGATTGTGGAAGCGCTGCTTGGGCGAGGACACTTTTCATTTCCTGGAATATATTGAGCATGTATATCTTTGTAAGCTTGTTCGTGTCTCTAATCTTCGAAAGTTTCTCGTATGTCTACCAGAAAAGCAGCGGACTTTCCGTGGTGAGCAGAAAGGAGATCAGGAAGTTCAAGCAGGCTTGGGCGACTTTTGATCCTGAGGGCACGGGCTTCATTCCTAGGGAAACTTTTCCTCGCCTACTGGGAGAGCTCTCCGGCGTCTTCGAGATGCGCATCTACGCAGGCGGAGATCATTCGGTGAATCGCATTCTTGAAAATTGCCGCGTTGAAACGCGGGGCAACAGCACGCCTCCCCAGGAGCAAGATTTGGAGTCGACCTGGCGGAGCTGAACCGCCAATTGCGTATGATCGATGTCGACGACATTCGGCGGCGGCGACGACGCATGGAAACGTTCTTTCAAGAAATCTTGGTATCGTCTGACCAAGCGCGTGGGGTCAACTTCACATCATGCTTGATGATTCTGGCACACTACAACGTTATCGATGACAAAAAGGCCTTGAGACTGGAAGAATACCTCCGGCGGCGAGCTCGCATGCAGCGTGTCGACGAAGAGGTCGATCGTCGTATCATTATGTCGTTCTTCGATATGATGTTCTGGTTCCGCCAATTTCGGTCTCGACATGACTTCCGTCATTCAGCTCGTATGGTCAACGTGCCGCAGTTTGCCGTGCCAGAAATTTTTGTCGACGATCAAGATGCGCTCGCGTCCCCGCAAGGTACTGTTGCAGGACCGTTCAGTGATGCACCCGCCGTCCCGCCGAAAGACGGCGGGTTTCCGGGTCGCCCATCGCTTGATACCAGCGGTATTCGCCACCGAAACGCATCCCCAACACGATCGCCTTCAGCATCAGACCGTAGTCCGTCCATCAGCCCTCGTCTCAGCTCGAGCGCAGGTCTTTCACCCAGCGGGCGTTCGCCCACTTTGACACCCCATCACTCGCCCTCACCTTCCGCTGAGAGCGCTTTCAACTGGAATCTCTCATCGTCTCCGGACGCAGGACCTGCCGGATCAGCCTTCGATGGGCCTTCCGAAAGACTCTCACCCGCAGGAGGAAGAAGCCGAGCGCACAGCGCGGTGGACCGAGAAAATGTACTTCAAGTCTTCGACAACAGCGCATGGGGTGAGAGCATGAGGAGAAGCTTCACGATGAGGAGGAGTGGCACGAGAAGCAGGGCGACTGGCAGCCGCAGGGGTAGGGATGACAGGCCTGACCCAATGGCCTAAGTATATACACCACGAGAGCATCTAATGATTTACGATTACGAGCATGGGAGCGAAACAGATTAGGGAATGAAGGTTATTGCTGCATCGGCGTGGCATTGGAGAAGCGAAAGGAGCACTGTCTTTTGGGGCCTACATTGCGTGGGGCGTTGGTCATAATGGAAAGAGAGCACCTTAGACAAGATACCATGTTGCATAGCATAAGTTCGACTGTTGTCTGAGTACTATTACTATAAATCATTGACTATCAGCTGTTAATCACAAGATTAAAGGACCATTTGCAATTAAGAATGGAGGCTTTGGTGTTTTGCGGGGGTTCCCTCAGCCTCCAAGAATCCCGAATCCCGCGCCAAAGGGCATTCAGGTACGTACCTCGCCATCGCTAGGGTACTACTAGACTTACCAACGACCCCACCGAAAAGTCCAAAGCGCTGAGCGGAAGAAAGCATTGGACACCTGAGTGGAGGAGTGGATGGAGCCTGCACCTCTTTGAAAGTGCGGAACCACTGCCTGTGAAGGGTGGCAGAGTGTCCGGAGGTAGTTCTAGAGGGAGTATTCATTGCATGTACCTTGCAGCAGAAGCATGCGCATCATCCTCACTACTAATGGCACACCGAGGCAGCTGCATGATCTTGATTCAGCTGATACATCTCCAACAACCACTCAGTTGGACGTACCTGAGACCTGCGCCTGGGGCGCATGAGGTTGGTGGAGCGCCGGGCGTCGTGCCACGTTGCCTGCTCATCCAATATTCGATAATATTATTATTGAACGTCTACTACTAAAGGTACCCACAGACTTTCCTATTCAACGCAGTACCTCCTGGCAATTGCTCTGCTCTTTTCCAAATCAGTCGTTTGCTCCAGCGTCCTCTTTATGCGCCCGCCGACTTGGGACGCTCCCCATTGTTGCGCTTCTTCCGCCACCCCTGTTTGATTGCCAGAGACAAATCATCCAGCAACGCAATTAGGCAGCGTCTAAGCCTCTTCAGGGAGACTGATACGAGACAATCAATTATCGGCAACCTTGAGGCGCGTTTTTAGTGATAGATTTACTTCATCGTTGCAGGCTTAGAGTTCTTCTCCATCCTCGGCCTATACGCGAGAAGCCTGATATCTGTCTCCTTTGCCATTTCTGCTTTACTACTACTAGTACTACCTGAGCGTCGACACCAATTCTTCACTGCCAGCTTCTACTGTCTGCTCGGCAACTTTTCGGTAGCCGGTGTCCTGAACTCATGATTGGTCATTGCTCTCATATAGACCAAGCACCGGCCTAGAATCTGTTTATACTGCTCAATACCTCTGAGCAGCATCGGACCAGAGCGGACTTCACAGCAACGCCAAATTGAAATATCAAGTCTTCCTGATTTAGGACGAAGCAAGTCACAAAAGGCTTTCCAGCAACACAACTACCACCAATACCCAAGTTCACAACACCGAACCAAACAAGATGACCTATCTAGAGCCCGCAACTCCACTCGGCCTCTACGGTCCCTTCCACTGCCTTACGCCGTCTCCCTCGAGCACCCCCAATCGCTCACCCGCCCCCTCGCCGCCCCCCAGCCGATCATCTTCCTCCTCATTCTCGTCATATTCCTCAGTAACCTCCGCCGCCTCCCGGAGGACCATCCAATCCAAAATCAACAACATCATTAGGGCCCGTCGGCGGCAGCGGTCTTTCGGATCGGTGGGGCATCAGAGAGGTGTGGGGGCTGTGCTACCGCCGGATGGATTACTCGGGGTGGGGGATGAGGACAGGGAGTTTGGGCCTGGGTTGGAGAGGGGAGTCAGGATGGGGTTTGGCTTGATGGAACCGAGACCGATGGAGGTCGTGGATTGGGGTATTGGTGAGGCCTTGTCTGGGGGGAGGAGGTGAGAGGCCAGGCTATCTGATGCTGAAAGCCGGTCGAACGACTGAAGATAGATGGTTCTGGGCGGTTTTACAGCAATGTTAGCGGCATTCGGCATACTTTCGGGCGTTATTGGGACATAGGTTGATTTGTATACTACTGGATGACGGATGGTGGGAAACGGAAAGTCTGAAGGTCCTGGGCGAACTTGGAAAATGAGATAGACGGCAAAGATACCATAGGCTTACACAGGCTGATACCAATTTGAAATACAACGATATAAGTGAGTTCATTATCGTGATTTGATCTCTATCAATCGGAAGCTACTCATCGTTTGGAGTGGTTTCGCAGGACTAGCTTCCTGTGCGGTATTGATAGTAATGTACTCAATTGCCGAATGGATCAGGGAAAGCTTTCGGTGCTTATCTTGAGGGACGCCTCCAAAATGCTCTTCGTGTTTGCTTCCCTTTTTGCTCCCAAACCCTCTACTTCGCAGAACAAAGTCAGTGCAGAAAATATCGACGGCAGTCAACGCTCCCACAAAGACATTTGGTGGGCTTATACCCTTTCTGCTCTTCAAACTCCTTGGCCTTAGAGTCAGAGATCTCTTCTTCCTCGCCATTGTCATAATAGTCGAAAGTCAGCTCTTCGCCTGCTGGAATGGCATGCAGTGCGAAAAAGGCCAACTCGTAGATGTTTCTGTCGTTGTGATTAAAGGACACCGTAAAAAGGCGCAAGTTGGGTTCGCACGAGTGATTGATGAATCGGGCTGGAGATCCCATGTGCCTTCCATCACAAGTGTAGTCACGCGACGGGTCGAACGCTGGGGTGTCCGCGAATTTGTCAAAGTCGAAAAGGAAGTTCTCGTCGTCGGCATGTGCAAGCCCGCGGTTGTCGGCTTGCTCAGTGGTGATAATCTCGCCGCGATACGTCTCTACAAATTGACCTTTCTTGAGCTTTTGGCCACAGCGCAGTCCTATTAGACCGGTTAAAAGTCACGCATTGAGGAATCGATATATGATAGTGGCATAGATACTTACCCCAACCTCTTGTGACAGTCTTGAAGATTTGCAGGGATACTTGCCGACCATGCTGGACCACCCGGTTCTTGCAGTCGCCCGCACAGTCACATTTAGAGTTACATTCATAGATGTGATCTCGGCTGTTCAGATACCTATCCCTCAGACAGTGGTAGTTGCTCTCAGAAGCGCCGTATGGAAAGTGCTTTTTGCCATTGTCGTCCACGGCAGCGTCGTCCTATGCAACATGCGAGTCAATATACCTCCTTCCGAGCGTCAAAGCAGCTGTCTTTGTTACTCACAATACAGCTGCAATAGTCGAGATAGACGCAGCCCTGCTTTTGCTTGTACTTTTGAAAGCATTCGCAGCCTAGCATGACATCATCAGGGGCTCGTTGGACACCATCTCCAAGGACGCTTTCGGTGATGAAAGTGAAATCTGTTGGAGGTGTCTCATTATCTCTCTCATTGCAGACGGAGATTCCTTTCAAGACACTAAGATTTCGCTTGAAGTGCTTCCGCTTTTGGATGTCTGTATCCGTGGGCGATCGGCGACGGTCACGTGGTGGTATTACCACAGAGACGACTAAGTTTCGTGATGTTCGATCTGTGGATCCACTGGAAGTACCTTCCGAGCTCGCTGCAGAAGAATTTTTAGAATTTACAAAATTCACTTACGCTGATTCTTGGTAAGCCGATATCATAGACGTACTTGTGCTAGAGAAGGAACTGTGTCGTTCATTCGGAGAGAAAAGCGTAGGCGAAAGGCTCGACGTTCGAGACCTTTTCCTGACAGCGATTGTGCCCTTTAGAGAATCGCCGTCGTCTTCAGTATCGTCGGTTGTGAGGTCTACAAGGTCATGTTTCCTTTTTGGGCCTAGTCCGGTATACCGGCGATCAGCCTTGAGGCGTCCAGGGTCCACAGTAGAATCCCAGATAACTTACGTTTTGTGTCTGGGTTGCTTGAAGGGGGTTGAGAGTGACAATGTGGGAGGGTGAAAGGTCGTGTCGGTGATGAGATAGAAAAGGCAGTACTTGTTTCGAGATTATAGACTGACTGCAGTAATCAACATATAAGTAAATTTATAAACCAGAGATAATTGATTCCAGAATCATACGAGATGTTTTGAATCTGACAACATCTATAGGCCATCTTATTAGCAATAGCTTTGAGACTACAACACTTTGGTTCAACATATTAATATTATCTTTGAATAGACAATTATAAAGGCTATGTCTAACATGTCTCATACCTTCTAAAGAGTTGTATCACATCAAACTCACACTTAGCGTTCTGGGCGATACTCTTTGCTTCTTGGTTATAAATATATTAGGCCTAAAATTGAAGATCTAGTGAAATAATCTTGGGTTAAATAAGTAATCCAAGTATTAGGTATAGCAAGTTGTTGATTTTAAAGACGGATAGATTTCTTAGTATTAATTTTACTTTATATATCTAGCGGGCTAGCCCGTTATAGCTAGCACTAAGTTACTAAAAATAGAACTCTAGGTTTTCTCATTATATTACTTGAAATATAATAAAAATCTATCTTCTAGAAAAGATGTCTAGTTTTGTAAACAATCTACTTCCTTGTCTAGTAATACTAACTATCTAATTCAGAAAGTAGAGACATAGTACTTAAGACATTATTTGACTAGGCCATTAACAACATGAGCTACAGTCCTTAAGATTTTTTGACCACAATTTAAAGAAGCCACGAGTCATATTGCATTCAACTCCAAACTCTGACTAGCCTCAAGGCCCTCAACGTTTAATCTTTCTTCACATCCTTCAGGATACTCGGCCGGTCACTGTCAAATAGTCTCTGATTAAAGAATAACATATCGTCGCCTATAAAAATGGCGGCCGATATTCAGCAAACCCCCTTTATTAAGCAATTAGCGGCTAGTGGTACGTCAAGTTTGCGTTTATAATGTTCGTCTCTTCAAGCTACACTTTGTTGGAACCATTGCTGTACAAAATTTTACAAATGCCTGAATTGACTTCAAGTGAAAATTTCCCTGAAAATAAAGAGAAAAATTCATGTACAAATGGATGTCTTTATGAGGGAGTTGACACGTTTTCCATTGGCCTCATCCTTCTTATACTGTACAGAAAATGTAACTAATTTAATATGTGGTCGTGATGCAACTAAAAGCCCATAACTTCTCGGCATGAACTATGGGACTGTTCTATCCCAAGTGACATTGCGAAAATATCTCTTCTGATTTATTTGTCCAAGCTTTGTGGCATTACCACCATGTGCGATATCTAATTGAGCGCAATAGATCGACCGACTCGAGACCAAGCGCTGTCCTCGCTTGAAGCTTACCTGACCTCCGGCCGAAGGTTCTCATACATGGAATTGCTAAAGGTCTGGAAAGGACTCTTCTTTTGTAAGTCTTCCGAAACTTATGGAATCCTATACTTCCGAAGCCGTCTCTTGTTCTTTACCCGACGGGCGAGGATCCCAAGGAAGCCATCCTGACCCTATCATTCTCAGGCATCCATCACACAGCAAACCCTCTCCCCCAGCAGCGCCTGTCCAAATCTCTCGCTTCCCTTCTCCTGGCCCTCCCAACTCATGTGTTCATCCCTTTTCTCTCCGCCTTCTTCCAAACGATTATCAATTACTGGTCATCCATCCCCGCGCTTCGGCTTGACAAGTACCTCTTCCTAATTCGCCTATACGTCTTGGACTCGTTCGTCTATCTTTCCCGGAAGGGTTGGGATAAGGACCTCGTCGATGCATGGAGGGGGATGTTGGTGGGAGAGCAGGCAAAGGGATCGAACGGAGAGTGTGCAGGCGTGATGGACCCAATGGACCAAAAGATTGGGGACGGGCTGAGATATCATTTGTTGGATGTCTGGGTCGATGGGCTGGTGAATTCCGTGGACTGGGCCGTCGGAGTGGAAAGGGGAATCATGGGGCCGATTGAGGGACTGGCGAAGGAAGGGCAGGGAAGGACGGTGAGGGAGAGGGCGAGCGATGTTTTGAGTGATGAGAGGCTTTTGGGGGACGCTAAGGTTGATGGCGTTGATTTGATGGCGGTCCAGGAGGATGACGGAGAATTCGGAGGATTTGAGGATTGAATAAGAACCATCATAGAAATGTGTACGATGATTTCATGTGACATGTGTCCGTAAACGCGTTCCAAGTTGATCATGACTCTGATTGATACACATTCTAAGAACCCTTCTGTGCGGACGCTACCTCCACCGCTAGGGGTATCATACAAGTCAGCCCTCCAAAAGCCTATATACAATGATTGACGCCAAAGTCTATCGACCGTGCTAAACCAAGTCTGGCCTGGGAAGTACGCCGTCCACCTCATAACCCCGTGCAGTCCGGCTCAAGGTACGACCTAAGCCTCGATGGACCTCAGCTTGGAACTCCTCGAACGGCACCCTCTCGCCGTCAATGCTGATGTAACCTTCGCTACCTCCCAGCGGTTTGATTCTATAGCCGCTGATTTTCCGATATCCTACATGTGGCATGTCAAAAAATTTGCCATTCTCGACAGCTAGAAAGGATTGAATAGCTGCTAGCCGACCGATATCGCCATCTATCGTTATGAGATCCAAGTACCCATCCGATGGAAGAGCTGCCGGGAAGAAATTGGCTCCAGGTGCCATGAGGGCCATGTTGCCCGCATAGAAATTTCCAAGCTTGTGCGCTGGAATCGGAGTAAAATTTGTGGGCATGCTACTTTTGACGTCTCCATGCAGAAGAGGCGGTAGACTAGACCCTGCGACTCGATCTAGACTCCTCGAAAGAGGTCTCAGCGGAGACTGCGAGAGAAATCGACCATAATGGGCTTTGATCTCAGATTTCGTTGCAATGTCCAGCTTGACTGCCACTTCGCAGGGCCAGACGGTTTTTCGTATGATGCGTACGAGGAATCCATATGTAAAACGAGCGCTACCCATCCACCGAAGATGCTCAGTCCCCAAGTCTACCTCGGCAACAATGCCAACCGACTGAGACAAGAATGAAAGCGTCCGAGTATCGCCCTGTGTGACGGACGTCAGATCCAACGGTGTTCGTATCCCTTTTACAACACACAATGCAGCCACACTTGTGCTGTCGGTGCCGAAGAGGTTCAAACTCATGGCATTGCCCGTCCCACACGGTAGTTGTACTACCGCAATTGTCGATAAGGCTTGGGACGCATCGGACTTCTTGCCCAGTCCATTGAAAACCTCATGGGGAAGTCCATCCCCCGAACAGCACGCGACCACATCAAAAGAGTCAACATCCAGCTTTTCGGCAATTTCGACAGCGTGCCCTCGGTATAGTGTCCTTTCGACATTGAGTTCGCATTTTGCCGCGGCAAAGATTGGCTCGATGTCCCGTAGAAACCACTTTTGTGCCTTGCCCTGTCCGCCAAAGGGATTCACTAGTACTTTGATTTTCTTGTTCTTCTGGGAAACCCCATAAGCTCGATTCAACAGCCTCGATACCCACGATATCACATGGTCGTCTTGGGGCTTATCAACAAGATAATGTATTGAGACTACTCGAACGACATTCTTCGACGTAGGCTTTGCGTATTGTATTGTTACATAATGACCTGATGTTTCAGCCCACAAGATGTTGAAGAAAGGCACAACCAAGGTTGTCTTGGATCCTATGTAGGGTTAGCCGGCTTCATGCTTCGTGTCGGATTGAAAGGCATACGTGAGGGCAACAGCCCGCAGCAGTTACTACTCCTCCTCCGTGTAGGGAAGTCCTCATCTATGTCAAAGTCAAAATGAGAGGGATGCACATCCTATTAATCGCATACCAAGAACGATGAGTGATTCGGTAGCGAGGGTCAATGAGGCGTTCCGGCCAACGGCAAGGGTGGATCCCTCTGCGTTAGGCCTATCTTCACTGAGGTGAACAGGATCAACAAAGGGATCACTACCGACCTCCGTCATTGAGGTTCTGTACGGAAGGACATGAAGAACGACATGGAGGCAGGCAAAGACATCGGGGAGCGGGCATTTAAAGTGAATCGCAACGCATCAGCCTGATGAAAGAATGCCACGCACTTGGAAAGAAGCTGAAAGCGTAAGATACGGTAATTTATTCTCTCCGCACGGTTTCCCAGCATTGCGTCCACACTGCCACGGCGTGCCTAGCAGATCTGAGCATTCCACTAATTTCGTGTCTCTATTGACGTCTTGACGCTGAAAGCGAACAAATATTTTCCTTGTCGTAACACCCTTTTTAGCCTCCGATTGCGACCAGGTGGTCTAACGCGCTCACAGCCTCATGCTCAGGTTCGAGGATACCAGAACATTTTGACTGGCCCTCGCAGGGCCATGGGCGAACATTCAACTTTGATTTTGGGTCGGTGGAGATCATTAACAACTTAAGCTGCTGAGGCACCTACCTTGTTAAGCCCCTTCAATGATCCAAGGCTTAAGGCAAGGCCCTGGGATCTACTTCGAATTCTGACAAAGCCTGTGATTGGCCCATCGTCCCCTTCTTTCTCAATACTTAGATTGGCAAGAGCATCCTCTCCTATTCCACGTTAGTAGATGCTGACGAGTCTAGAGTGTGGGTACTACTATACCAAAGACACTCCGAGCGTAGAGGTTTGCGCTCAGAAATTGGCAATCTCCCTTCATCGATGCTTCTGGTGTCAGACATGTCATATTCGTGCAAGCCATCAGCTGCTCAAGGAAGTCTCTTAAAGTCTTCGCCTTCGAATTGATATTGACCTTGTTCTCCCACTCAAATTCAGTCCACATGGTTCGAAATTGTGTTTCGGTGCACTGGGCAGGCTGTATATAATCCATAATGTCGACATGTACATCATTGAGAATTACCACATTGCTCTCTGTTGAGCTTGATCCATCGTAAACTACGTTGCCGAATATGACACCTGTGTCCGTAGAAGACACTTTGATCGTGCTCTGGACATTCAGGAAGTCATGAGGCCCTAAATTTTGTGTCGTCGGGCGCTCAACAACCTTCAAGTCACCCAGGGTCGCAAACTCGACCGAGAGGTTTTGTAACGTGTCCCCAGTCTGATTGACCAGTAGAACGTCTAGTACTATATCGAATTGGTGCACATTGACATAAGCCTCTGCATATACCGGATCGGAGAAGCCAGTCAGCTGGACCACTCGGCTGAGTTTCGAAGATAGCTCCTCTGTCGCAGAATCCCCCCCTGTCGCCTTTTCAATATCGACATCGAATTCTTCGGAGCCATCACCGGTTATTTTCTTAGACAGCTGCCGGATACTCACAATGTCGTCAATTTGGACTGCGGTCTTAGCCTTCTCCACTGCTTCCTTAGCAGCACGCTTCTTTTCCTCGACCTGAACCATTGCTCGAAATGCTTTTCGAGTGTCATCGAGAAATACGGTCTCCAGTTCCTTCTTCTGGGAGAATTCGGCTAATGACCGTATACAAGACATGATCCGATCGACAGAGTCTTCGTCTATTGGAGCCTTGACGAACTGGGACTGACCAACCCGTATTATAGAGATCATGATAAGCATCGCTTCGGCTCTCAAGGCATTAGTCCTAGCCTCGTCCTGCGAAATCTCAGAATGCCGCATGACTAATTTCGTCAACGTTGACGATAGCACCGATGCTAGATAAAAGTCTCCGTCCAGGATGAGTTGTCTTAATGGGGGCTTCTGAGCGGCCTTCACAGCTTCCAATTTAGCCTTTGCGGATGACTGGCTGGTCAAAGCATTCTCGGTGGCATAGGTACCATCTGCGAGGACTTTCCTCGACCCCGTTGGCACTGAAGGCTTCGCCGTTCCATTTATATGCTCCTTGGTCTCCTGCTCGTCTGGTACTTCCTCAAGTAACCTCTGCTCAGAAGACAAGATTGGAATCTCTCCCAAACTTGCCCGAATCTTCTTCCAAGCATCCCGAATGTCGCTAGCTTCGAGAGAATATTCACCGACAATCCAAAGCGCTCCTCGATACACCTTTCCGGCACGAACCTCGTTTAATGTGCTGACAAGTCTTGCAACAATTGAAGGGCGCAATTTGGGAAACTTTTCTACGACTTCCTTGACAAATGAGATGACATCGACCGCGGAAGAAGCATTGAAATCCGCAATGAAATCCATCAATAAATCTACGACCGAGGCCGCGATCTCCGAGAACTTAATAGCGCATTGGTGAATGGAATGGATCAGTAGTTGTCGATATTCGGTATTCTTTTCGTACTGCTCATCGACAGTCTTTTGGAGTTCCTTTTTGAGCAGCATCACGACCTCGTCTACGTTTTTGCTTGATACCATGTCGAGTGCAAGATCGAGCGCCTTTTTCCGAACATCAATATCAGGACTTGATAAAACCCTCAAGATCTCCATGGTAAGGTCGTCTAGTACTCCTTCATTTCGCTTCCTAAGCTGATCAACTCGATCTAGGACGATCAGCCTTACATTGTTGTCGGCTTCCTTGATGCTGAGTTCGATGAATTTTGTAGCTGCAGCTTTGATTGCGACGGGATTATTCGTAAGAGCTGTGAGTGAAGATGCTGCCTCATAAACTACAGTAGTTGCGTTCGCTTCTAGTAGGTCGAAAATAAGACGAAGGTATCGAGCCTAGAGATCTCAGTAAATGTAATAATAAGTTTATTTTGAACACGAGTATGGAGTCACCTTATTCTGAGCATTCTCTACCGCATCTTTACGTATGAATTCGAGCTCTACGAGCTGTAATAGCTCGTCGGCGTTTGGTATTGCATCGAAGGCGCTGCTAAGGTACTCTAAGGCTTTCTCGTGATTCATTGTGCTCAAAGCTACAAATGCATTCCGCTTGCAAGTCTGGTCGCTTTCATTTTCAAGAAAAGTCTGGATGAGTTCCGGAGCATCTGGTATGAGAGATTCGAAGTGCGAGTATATGGATGATATCCCAAACACCGCGTTTTTACGAACATAGGCATGTCTATGCTCAAGACAGGACCTGGCGGAAGACAGCAAGGGCTCAATGAGCTCCGGTTCCCTAAGCTTACACAAGAATCGGAGAGTGTTGCCCCGAATGTACTCATTGGGATGTTGCAGGTCATTTCTTATACCGTTACTGTGAACATTCAGGGACGTCATGGTCATCTGAGCATGTTGCACTTACCAAACTAATATCATTTCCTGTTTCAGCTTCCCCCAGCGTCAAGTTTAGGACAAATCTCATAATAGAAGTACAGGAGCTTCTTGAGCTGCTTGCTTTTTGAAGGCATAACAAATCGAATGATGTGCATCAGGAGCGAAGGCATGGGGTCCCCATTCAACATGGTGGTCAATATGCGCTTCATAGTGTCTACTTTTGATTCGTCCGTGCCTTTTTCGAGATGCGTCTTGAGCTCTTGCAATGTTGGCTGGTCCGCAGAGTTGTCCAAATGGACCATACTGTACGCATTTTCCGTAAAGGTCGCCATTTTTGCAGGTTGAGTGGTGAAAATTGATTGTCACAGATGGGAGGCACTACGAGAGGAGACGTAGATCTGTTGGGTTTTGCGCTTTATTGAATCCTATCTGTACCTGGAGGAAGGTGATCGCTCATCTTTGCAGGTGAAATGTCACACAAATAAGCTGAAATATGGGAATGCAGCGGTCGAAAGTTAGGTACTTTAATATTTCTCGTTCGTCCCTCGCCAGCTTTGAGAAAGCTGTCCAAATGAGGAAATACTGTGGAAGTTTACGTTACAGCGCGCTAAAATTTATTATTACAGGTGCCAATCTAGTCAAGGCGCGAAGTTCCTAGATCCACAACTGAGGACAATCTGAATCTTGAAGACAGTGCCAACAAATGGCTTCGACTAATGAACCGTTCTACGTGCGATATTAGTAAGACATGTTAAGACCCGGAATCCTGCAGCCGCTGATTGTCCTCGAGCTCAGGACACTCCGGGCGTTTTGGGCATGAGTTTCTAGGTAAGTACCAACTTGCCCTAGATGTTGCTCCTGTTGCTGGCTGATTCTTATGTCAGAGTTCGATTTTCGTGCCTTGGGTGATGGTCGAAGTGCGTCGGCAAGATATGCGAACAATTCCAACTACCGCAATGACTCCCTCATCCGTAAGGAAAGTACGTTTTGAATTGACATAATACTTCGAATAGCGCTCACAAGCATTAGTGTGTGTCAGCTCTACCGTCATCTCAGAGATCAAGAGGATCGTGAAGGAAAGCGAGATTATGAAGTATGAAGCTCCCGCAGACAGAGGTCGCCTAAATGTTGACAATATGTTAGGGAAGACGACTCAAAATGGCCGGAAAAGAACAAGGATGGTCGACAAGAGCTAGAAATCAGGCTTGGAAACGAGCATATCTCCTTTGAGGTGGGTCTTGACTGCTCTCGCCCAGGCATCCTTCTAACCAAGTGCGATAGACCGCAAAAATTGGATCGCTGGTCGACGTGACTGAGTCTGCAGATCCGGAAGGTTTACGGGTATTCTACTACTTGGTCCAAGACTTGAAGGCGCTGGTGTTCTCTCTCATATCGTTGCATTTCAAGGTCTCGTCTTATAGGGAATTGCATCCCTATCATGCTGACCTTCCACAGATAAAACCAATATGAGCAACAAGGTTGATGTCGTTCGATGGAGGAGGGGAGCTGTCTGTCCGGCGGAGACATCCCTCCACTGATCATGCTAGGCAGAAGCTTATGGGATGAGACATTTTCTTGTCACATTGCAGAGATTGATAACAATGGAAGGGTTGGACGTGAAACGGGAGCTTGCCAAATGGTTATCAAGCTGATTCTGGATGAGACAGAATACCCAGCCAAACTAACATCTGGAAGGAAGAATTGCTGCAATCGATGAATATTTGAACTTTCTGTCCTTCTTAAGCTATCGTGCCAGGGCAGGAATGAAGAATCTGTTCACTATTCGTCATATTGATGCGTTTGACGGGGATGTTCTACATAAATTGAAAACGAAGTATTCCCACCTTCGCGAACTGTATGGACCCCTCAGTATTGCCACATGAGGCTAACCCGCGGTGCGCCGCGACCAACCAATCGCGGCAGCTTCCGAACTCCCTGTCGTTCACCGTGCGAAAGCAGACCTGCGTAATTTGGTTCCTGTCGGTCTCGAGTGTATCGAATTCACAATGCTGCTCATTCTATTATAGGCTTCAATTCGGCTCTCTATTTTTGATTCTTATTTGCATATGCATATGTGCGCTCATGATAATCGCCAATGCCCACGCCGCGAGATAGTACAGAAGGACTTCCTCTCCAACTAGAATCACACGGCCAATCCTCATGTCCTCCTGAAATTATAGATCGACCAACACAATGGGGCCGACAAGTATTGGGAGATATGGAGCATGCGATAGCGGACGTCAGAAATCGTTCAGAGCTACCGCGACGAACCGATTCAATAACTCCTGCAGGCGGGCCAGCGCGTGCGATGGATACATGCAACGATGCTGAGCCTAGGGCTAATGCCGTGGACGAGCCATTGCCGTCAGTTGTCATGAGTAACACGACGCCTTCACCAACCGGCGCAAGCCCGCAAACCTCAAATGCATTGGAGAAAGATTTCGCATGCGGTCGCGTCATGGGAGACACTTTATCCTCGGCTTTGGACCTTTATTACTCCGCTAGGTATGCTATAGCTAGCCCACGGGTAAGACTCTCCAGACGATGTAGCGATCTTCGCTAAGAAGACTTAGCTTCTCCAGACGCATTTTTCGTCCAAGCTACGTGCGGGCAGCAGGTACCGCGGTACACAGACATCGGATCAGCAGCGATATAACGTGGAAGTAATGGTCAAGTCGATTGATATGTCGGAGTCTTTCATCTGTGGTTATCTCAAGATCGAAGGTCATATAGCTCGTACAAGTAGTGTGGACTACAGCTTATCAGGCATAGGTCTCACTCCAGAACACGCGACTCTGACGACGTATTTCGAAGGAGAGATCATCGGAAGTAAGTATACATTCCAGACTCGGCATGAAAGCTGGGGGGCGTCCGAAAAGGACGACCTAAAGCACTGGGGCCATTTTGCTTCATGGAGGCCGCTTGCGAGGCAAGCTAAGAAGAACAACTTCCACTACAAGCATAGCGAAGCACGAGAACACATATATATGCGTTGGAAAGAGAAGTTTCTGGTGCCAGACCACCGTGTAAAGGAGATATCGGGCGCAAGTTTCGAAGGGTTCTATTACATATGTTTCAATCAGGTTGCCGGGATTATAAATGGGATCTATTACCACTCAAAGACGGATACGTGAGTCTAGCCGCAAGTGCACGTGCATTCACTCATACTGATTTTTTAGGAATCAAAATAACAGGGTTCAGAACCTTGATCTGGACTGGGTACCGGATAGTGGATGCTATGCTGCAATGGAGTTCCGCTAGGCGTTCGACTCCTCCAAGATTTTGAATGTGAGACGAATGATGGGTATCATGTGCAGCAGTGGAGTTGTTGGGACAGGAGTCTTCGGTCATTAGTATTTACCAATGACTACATTTTCCATACTTTGCGGAGTGGTATACTCTTCATCATCGTAGATTGTAATTTAGTCGTCCAACAAAGAACCCATCAAATAGTGGACTTGAGAAACCCAGCTTTGCCCCTACACATGACAATGATTATGTGTGACTGGTACTTGAGGTGAACTTGTTTCGAAACGCATGTACCGCTGGATACAGCTACCTCAACGGTGGCACTGAGTGAATGTTCCGAGGCTTCACTTACACGTGACTTCATCTTGGTCTCGGTGATTATAGAGAATACCAGGAAGGCACGTGGTATAGTATGCCAGCGGAGGCCAACGGTTGTTTGAAAAGATGAGACGAAACCCAAAATTGATGACTAAGGATGTACCTACCGCATTAGGTCTGTGAATTCGAGCTCTGGGATTCTACCCTGTCAATTCATTGCCATTGATAGCTTCAATCTTACTTTTGCCTTATCTGTACTTGCCATCTTATTTATTGTTTAGTCTTGTTGCTTGGAATTCCTTTGCTATTCTCAGCGCCTAGTACTTGGGCCTTCCGATTGCAACCCTGAGACCTAAATGTTCGTGGACATTGCCTCCTAGATGTGTAGTACAGCATGTTTTAGCTCACATGCACACCCTCCAGGTTTCGCATACACAACAAATGCTTTACTTCAAAGAGTGACCAAATTTTGATACAGCTCCATCCATCGACACTACCTTTCCTCGCCTGAAATGCATTCCCAGCATCATGTCTTCTCTCATCAACATCAGTATCAACAAGAACCCTCCTGGCTTCAGCAACAACAAAGCCATCATTCGCACCAGCAGGCTCATCATGGCTTACATCACAATAGCCACGCTCAGGCTCTTGCACAACAGCAGCAGTACAACCGAATGCCAGGCAATAATGGGGCGAGTAACGGGCATAATCTCAGAATGGACCACGGTGCCGGCTTAGGATCAACAGAAGGAAATTCGCAGGAAGAGAATGCAAGAGTGCTAGGATGGGTCGCAGAATTGTTGAACGGAAATTCACGGGAAACTGCATTGATGGAGCTTAGCAAGAAGAGAGAGCAAGTGGGGGAGCTTGCTCTGATCATTTGGCACTCATTTGGTACGAGCATTACGATGCGAAAACGGTCTTCTCATTGACTTACCTTTCTTTCAGGTGTCATGACATCTCTGCTGCAGGAAATTATATCAGTGTATCCGCTTCTAAACCCCTCACAACTAACGGCGGCCGCCTCAAATCGAGTATGTAATGCACTTGCACTTCTACAGTGCGTCGCTTCCCATACTGAGACTAGAGGTCTTTTTCTGAATGGTAGGTTGAGCTGGAAATGTCATCCCTGTACCCTTTGTTAACCTTGTACCAGCTCATATACCATTATTCCTCTATCCTTTCTTAAATACCACCTCAAAATCTCGGCCGTTTGAATATCTTCGTCTGACATCTCTTGGTGTCATTGGTGCTCTTGTCAAGAATGACTCAACGGAGGTTATCAATTTCCTACTGACGACTGAAATTATACCGTTATGTCTCCGCATCATGGAGACCGGTTCCGAACTAAGCAAGACCGTTGCTATTTTCATTGTTCAGAAGATCTTGCTTGACGATACTGGCCTAGGCTATATTTGTCACACATACGAGAGATTCTATGCTGTAGGAACAGTCCTGAGCAACATGGTTACACAGCTTGTGGAGCAACAGACAGTCCGACTACTCAAGCACGTTGTTCGATGCTTCCTACGGTAACTAACACCTCCCCAACCGCTTTACAAGGACCGCGTGCTAATTCTGGTCAAGTTTGAGTGACAATGCCCGAGCTCGAGAAGCGCTCCGACAGTGTTTACCAGAGCCTCTTCGTGACGCCACCTTTTCGTCAGTTTTGAGAGATGATGTAGCCACCAAGCGCTGTCTCGCTCAGCTCATGATTAACTTGTCTGACAACATAGCCGATTCGAGTAGCACGCAAACGATCTAACGAGTCGGGGGTCGAGCGATTGGAGACTAACAGATTGGAAATTCAAAGAGATGAAACATTTCAGTGCGACACAATATTTTGGATATGTATCATATACATGCGAGCATTTGGGAGGCTATCAAGTTTGCCGTTTCCTGCATTAGAAGGATACCCTGGCGCGTTTCTGATCACGGAAGGATGGATGAAACATTACTGAATATTGGAAAAGCGAAGACTATTGGATATGTGCTTACGATTGACGGAGGACTGCTCCAGAAACCATGACTTCACCTAGGCGAAAGCTGATGCTCACCGGCTTGGGCAACTTGCGTTGGTGTTGCTCAGGCGTTCGTTTACTGGCACAGCTTTTAGGAAGAGAGACATCTTTGACATGTATATGTAAGCGAATACCTCTCCAAATCAGACAGGCTGCATAGCCGTGAACATCAAGACGTGAATGCGAAAATGGTATGCCTCCGACTCTCTTTTAACTGCCAAGACACTCCAGGGCATTCACTGCATTAGTTACCGTGGCTTGCCCGCTTAAAGCTTAGATCCCGCGCTCACTTACAGGCCAAGCCCTTCCCATTATGAACGCGTTAAAGCACTTTGCATTACCCGTCACTTCCTCTATTCCACCACCCCTTCGGACCTGACTTTCTGCTGCAAGCCAGCGAGCCCTTTATGCTACCTATTGGTCCTCTCGTGTGCCTAATGCTCCTCTGGCGGCTCTCTTGCTCCCGTTGAATCTGTTCTCACGCCCTTACTCTCCTATAGCCTCCTACAATGGTGGCTCGAAAGAGAGGCCATGAGGAGATCGACGCCTCAGAGCATGCCTCGACCCCTCCCACCCTTCTTGAAAGACTCCGAAGTACCTGGGAATTCGCAAATCTCATGCAATACATATATATTTTCGGCAAGGCTGTCAAAATTGATGAGAATCTTGACATCGAGGTGCGCCCCTTCCTATTTTCACGCATAGAAGCGTCTCCATCGATCCACGATACCACAAATCAATGAATGCTAACAAGTGTTGATGGATTTGAAGGACCTTGAGCGAGAATGCTGCATGCTTGAACCCTCGAAAGTTCTGTCAGATATTGGCCTTGCGCTTCTCAAGTATGTCTCGTCGCATCGAGGATTGACGTAAGCTTAAGCTCCCGTATCTTTTTACACTTTTGACCATGATCAGACCCGAGATCTTTGATGAGTACACCCGGCGTCAATACGTTGCAAAAGCGCCGCAGAGGAACCCCTTTGGCGAGGATGAAGAGCCGAAACACTTTGTCGACTTTGATGTGTTCACGAAACTCAAGGTTCTTGTACAGCTCTCACAGTGGACTCTGAACAATGCAGAGAGAATCAGAGAGAAAATGGACGAGAGGGGCGAAAACGAGCAGTCAATGGCTTGGGTAAGATCTTGATTGAATTCTTGTCATTGCACCACTAAAGATTCCTTCGGCATAGCGCATAAATGAAATAGGGTATGATCGCCATGACCGTTATTACTTTGTCCTTGACGATAACCGCTTGTACCGCCGCACCGAACCACCACTATCATCTCCGCCAGACCCTAAGCCAAAGGTGAAGTCGAAGAAGGCCAAAGCAGCTGCACGAGCTTCTAAGCGCCGAAAAATCAGAGAAGCAGAAGAGTCAGCCAATGATGCCGATATTGAGACTCCTCAGCCAGATGATGACACCCAAGACACGGAACATCGTGAGAGCGCCGACGGGTTTGGTGGACGGACGTGGGAATGTGTTGCTATATCAATGAGTGAGTATCAGGTATTTTTGAGCTCTATCGAGAAAAGTAGAGACGCGGATGAGAAGGCCTTGTACAAGACCATAACGGGAGATGTGATGCCAATTATTGAGCAGGCTGAAGCTTCACAACTACGTAAGAAGCAGAAACAGGAACGAGAAGTAGTGAATATGCACAAGCTAGCCACGGCCAAACGCTCTAGCAGGCTCGAAGCCAAAACAGAAAAAGAGCGGCAAGAACGAGAAGCTGTGGAAACTGAGCAGAAGCGAAAAGAGGGGATTGCCGAAGCGGAAGCGTATCAGAGGAGACAAGAAAGGATGGAGCAAGACCGAGAATCTCGAATGTTGACCCGCGAGCAACGTCTCAAGGAGCGCGAAATGAAGCGTATTTTGAATGAACAAGACCTCGCCCGCATGTCAGAAGAGGAGAAAAAGGTAGATGCTGGCGAGTCTAGAATGTCTGAACGGCATCTCAAAGTGGAAATGGAAAAGAAGAAGAAGGAGCTGGCTGCGTTGGAAGAGTTCGACGAATGGACATTTGACTGCTCAAAATGTGGTCAGCACGGACCGAACTGGGTTCGGCTCCTGCGTCCTTTCTATGGTTCGTGGCTAACAATTGCAGGACGACGGCACGCACAGCGTCGCTTGTGAGAAGTGCAATGTGTGGCAGCATAGTGCTTGTCTAGGCATCTCTCAAGCCGAAGCTGAAAGGGACGACTTCCGTTTCGTCTGTCTTGACTGCACGCGACGAGAAGAAGATGCGAAAAGGCCCAAGATACCAAGCCTTAAATTTCGCCTTGGTCATTCCCTTTCGCCTCCTGATCAGAAGCCTAAGGTAGCCATCCCACAGCCCGCTCAAGTGAGAAAGCCCAATCTCGCTGCAGATGACGGGCAATCTCAGGATGCAAAACGACTCAAGCAATTAGAGTCTGCAGATCCGGTCTTCCTTGGTCCAAGTGCAAGCCCTCTAAACAGCACAACCAATGGTATACATAAGCCGGTCATGAACGGTTACACAACAAATCGTCAAGCATTGTCAACAGACAAACAAAAGTCACCACGCGTGCCAGCACCAATTCAACCGTATCCTCCAAAATTTGCTCGACCTTCTCCTCCTAATCAATACAATCATTCTCATAATGGTCTCAACGGCGTTAAAGGACCAGCTCCTAACCAGTCGTTTCAACCACCGCCATTCCTGACAAACGGCTATCGTCCAGCTACACATACTCCCCGCCCGAATAGTTACCAAGCTTACCAGTCATATGCAATTCCACAGAACACCTTCCAACCCTCGGCGACGACCCAGCAGTCCCAACAGCAACCTGGCTGGTCTCCCCAATACGTGCCGCCTCGACCACAGCAAATCTCTCCCTCGTCCCATATTCAAGCGCCGCCCGGTCCCAGTTCTCCATCGAAGCCTCCCGATCAGACACGCCCGCCACCTTCACACAACATGCCTTCCGTACAAGCCCAAAGTCATTCACTGCCTTCGCCTCTACAAAACGCCCCATCTCTTTCACCGCCGCAATACAAGACACCGAATCAGAGTTTCAACTACAGTGCTCTGTCTTCCACGCCACCACAGCTGGATGGCACTGTTCCGAATAACACTGGGGTCTATGAACCAGTTGGTCCGCCCTCCCAATCTCCAGTCAAACAAGCTTCCCCACCAGCTGTACAGCCTGTGAAAGCAACCCCGCTATCCTCAAGCCCAATTGGTCATCAGCCAGCGCTCCGGCCCAATGGTCCCGTCAGTCCCGGGTATTCTCCCGTGAAAAATGCTTCTCCTCAACAGCGGCCATTGCCTCCAAGCCATGGCGTGCCACTCGAAGCTTCAGCATTAGTTCTAGCAACTAAGCTAGCTCCGAGTCCTTTGCAGCAGCATGTAGGTGGAGAATTAAGGAGTTCGATCTCACTACCCGAGAATATCGAGGCGCACAGACCCGAGCAGCAGATGGACTAGTCTGAAGATTGACCTTTATAAAGCCATATAATTGTTGGAAGCCGATGGCTCTATTTTAAAGACTGTAGGCCGGACTGTGAAAGATTTTTGCATATTATAATGCGCGGATTGATGTACCAGACAATGCTTGTAGATGATACACCAACGATATGTGCCATTATTTACTCATATTCGTGGCTCTCTGCTGCGTGCCTGGAGTTGTCACATCATCATCTCTTACTATATTGCACTTGGCCACATTTCAATTGCCCCCCAATTAGTGGAGAAGACGAACATTAGACCTGTCTTTGCACCACTCCACTAGTCTGATCCGCTTGCGCCTGAATCCTCCTTTTATAAGCCGCCACATCCCCATTGAATTTTTCCACATGCCCACTCTCACAAACCCACAAACTAGTACACACACTTTGCAGCATCGTCACATCATGGCTCACCATCAACACTCCCCCTTGGAACTCCCTTAGCGCCTTACTCAACGCATCCATCGCTTCAATGTCGAGGTGATTGCTCGGCTCATCAAGGACCAAGATATGCGGGTTCGTCAGCCCCAGACAAGCAAACGCTACCCTACTCTTCTGGCCCCCAGAAAGCAAGTCCATCTTCTGGAGGGCGGTCGTGCCCGTGATGCCGAAGGCGCCGAGGTGGCGACGGTACTCCTCGTCAGATTTTCCAGGGTAATTCTTCGACATGAACGTTACAGGAGAGGCATTCATGTCCAAAGCGTCGACGTGATGTTGGGCGAAATAGCCTTTGCGTAAGCGCGCGTGCGAGGATATCAGGCCCGAGGTGGGTTGCAGGGCGCCGATGAGGAGTTTCAGAACTGTAGTTTTCCCGGCTCCATTGGGGCCTACAATGCCGATTCGAGAGTCGAGTTGGACGTCGAGGTCAATGTCCTTGAGAAGGGGTGAGTTGGCGCCAGGGTAGGCGAAAGCGACATTGGACATTTGGATTATGGGTGGAGAGAGCTTCTCGACGTCTGGGAAACGGAAGTGCACGGAGTACTCGGCCTCAGGGGCCTCTAGGACAGGCATTTTCTCAAGTTTCTTGATTCGAGATTGGGCTTCAGAAGATTTAGCGGCGTTGTAGCGGAATTTGTCAATGAAGGATTGAAGGTGAGCACGTTGTGCCATTTGATTTTCGTACTCGCGTTTGGCGGTCTTGCGACGTTCCTCTTTCGTAGCGTAGAAGGAGTCGAAATTGCCGCCTTTGTAGTAGTCCAGACGCTCGCTGTGCTGGTGTATGATGTCTGTTGCAACTTCATTAAGGAAGGCTCGGTCATGAGAGACTACTAGAACAGTGCTAGGGTAGGACTGGAGATAGACTGAGAGGAAAGTGATACTGGGAACGTCCAACATGTTGGAAGGTTCTGAGGACTTTAGTAATTGTTTGTCCATTAGATTGGGCTGATGACCTACCATCAAGAAGAAGGAGGTCGGGTTCACAGAAAAGCGCTCTGGCCAAAGCAAGGCGCATTCTCCAACCTCCTGAGAACGTCTTCGTCGCAAAATGCTGTCTCTCTTCGGAGAAACCGAGTCCAGCTAAAATACTCGCAGCGCGAGACTCAGCTTTGTCGGATTCCATCTCAGAAAGTTTCGCATGAATGTCACTCAGAGTAGTGTCAAGACCTTCACGATGTCGATCAAGTTTTTCGGCATCGCCTGAAGTGTCTGCTAATAGAGACCTTTCCGCCTCGAGCTCTGACAATTGCTTGGTGATTTTCTACCCTGATTAAGCGAGTGATAAAGAGATCATGTAGACATAGCTTACCTCTTGCTCGTTCAAAAGGTGTTTTCGCCAAACATCGGCATCGAGAACTGCTTGCAATGCAAGTGTTTCGTCTCCAGTGATCTTATGACCGGCCTCTTAGCGACTAGCAACAATGCAAAGAACAGAGCCTTACCTCTTGTTCGACGTGCAAGATAGAAATATGGGTAGGAATCGCAACTTCTCTTCGGCTCAAAGCCCGCAATAGCGTACTCTTACCAATACCGTTCTGGCCAACGAGACCGTAACGACGACCAAAAGCCAGCGTGAGAGGCGTATCGGACAAGATGCGTTTACCGCTGATTGAAACATCGACGCCTTCAACTTTGATATCCTTACTTTTCGCTTGATCCGCACCGAGTTGAAGCGGGTTGACTTTCATGAAAAACTCTTCGTATGATTCGGTTTCATTAGGTTGGTCAAGAAGTCTGGACGCCTCATACTGGACGTTTCTCATGACTTTGCGGTCCTGCTTGGCAGCAATCTTCCGCTCTGCCTTCTCGAGCTTCTTCCGATCCACGCGAGACTCGACTTTCCGCGAGCTGACGGCTTCAAGATCCACATTTCCAGCAGTCAGGCCGAGAGTGCTGGACACATTGCGTTGCGACCCCACTTGAATTACTTGCTCCAGCTTCCGAGTCTTCGGAGCCATCTGCCTCCGCTCGCCATCGACTCCATTTGCCGCATTCAACCTCGTAATGAATCTGTCAACCAGGTTGCGGATGCTGGTTGAACTCTGGTCAGTAAAGTCGCCCGAGGCAGACACCAAGAGAGCCGTAATAGTTCTTGCCGCATCGTCAAGTGGCGATGGTGCATCAGTGTCAGCATCGGTGGTGTATCTTGTTGATGCATGGTTCAAGTAACCCTGGTGCTAGTCAGTATAGGTCTAGCTGTTCGGGTGATGATGTACGGAGGCATATTCTGATACTGTTGGGTCAATGCTCGGGATTTGATTTCGAATTTCAGCCTCCATGGTGCAATCTGAAACACCTGCCAAATCCTTCCAAGTGGCTAGGCAAGATACGACAGTCACTTTAGCATTAATTACGGAATTTGGGGCAGCAACAATAATCTGACGTCGTGTCGATGCCCTACAGCCTATATCTTTTAGCGCTAATCATCGACCCGTCTCTAGAATTTGCCCTTCCCTGACACTCTTTAAGAACCTCTTCCGGTTCAATCAATAATCTTGAGTTTGGGAGAGCTCAGCTATCGGCGCCTTGTTGGCTCTGGCTGCCAGTAGACGCAAGGTCTGATGTGCGTTGCATTGGGCGGTGAATGGCTCTACGCATACCCTTGCGTGCTCTGAGGCTACAATCTAGACGCGCCTCCATTACGTCACGCGTGAATAGCTATCACTTCTGTTCATTTCAAGATAAGTAGTTCTAGCTAACCCACGCTGCTAGGAAGCCCTGGATACCCATCTCGTGGCCTTTCGCGTGGCCTAGCGCCACATCTCTACCCCTTGCTTGAGATCGCCGCGTTATTTCGCCTTCTCAACTATGCGCGTTTCCCTCAATCAGGCGGTCGCCCAATCTCTTTTTAGACTCTTACAGGATCCGCGCGGACGCCAACGGTTCATGAAAAGCGTAAGTCGGGAGGCGAAGCACTACGGTGGTAGTACTAGTACGGCGTCGACGGCTGCAAGGGAGCTGCAGAGACCCTTCTGCGATCGAAGATCATCTAAAAAGGACGATCTGAGCTTTTGCGAATTGCGATACGAGGGTGAAACCTCCGCCGCGACCGCCAAATGCTCACCTAGGACGACTTCCCTATCCTGGCTTGCCTGGGCCCTGGGGAAGGCCCTGTCTCTCTCTGAACCCCGCCGTAAGTATTGCCGTGCAAATAATGACACACACTCGTAATACCGATTTTGCAACATGCTTTTAAGCGACCAGAGAACGTCCAACGCTGCGAGAATGGTGCACAATCCCAACCCCTTTAACCTGGCCGCGGATTTAAGGAAAGCTCGCCCACACCGGTCTGATTGGCAATATGATTCTTCGGGTGGATGCTGCCGCCCAGCTGAGCACGCTGTTGGTAAGTCATCATTTCCAAATTCACCTTTTCTTCGTAGGTTCGGCCTAGGTCAGCCTTGGTTCGGTGGAGCCCACACAGCTTGAGCACGAAACCGGATGAACCCCTCCTTTGAAAACCTTCCCATGATCCAGTCAGCTTGTATGGCAAGTCACCCTCAGCATGCTGCTGTGGTGCATCCAGATTCCTTCCATCCTCGTAGATAAATACCTCGAAGGGGGCAAAGCTATGTGCTCCTGAGCACAATGCGGATGTACGGACAATGGGCAGCTTCTGGAAGAAGCAAGTGCGGTTATGTGCTCAGTGTTTTCTTTGTCCACCAATTCACTTCACGAGGTGTCAGACCTCTCTGCGCCTTGCCAGAAGCGGTGACTTGGTGCCGCGCAACCAGGAAAAGTTAAGAGTGAGCATTGGCGAGAGTAGCGGTTGCTAACATTGACCGGCGACAATTGCGTTGTCAATACGTAGGACATGCCGAAACATTCTAGATCTAGTCTTCGTAGAGCATGAAGTTTGCAGTAGGAACATGATATGTGTAATTGTGAGCCACTAGCATTAGCCCTGATAAAATTGTTTACTTCTGCCGGTCCGCTCATCTCGCCATTCCCATTACTGAACACGACTTTGCAGGCCCAGCATCAGTCCAGCCGTCTCTCCAGCTATAGAATTTTCATCACCACAGTCCTTTGACGACACGGTTCTTTGTGCCCTGTGCCCTCCGACAGCTTTCAGCGAAACCAAGCTCCCCCAGAATCTCGTCCGCCTGTCAACTGGGAGGATTCTGCTTCATGACGCTACGGGCCTTGACCGTCATTGAATCAGCACAATTCTTCAGATGCAGTAGGGCACGTTTGCCAGCCTTTTGTGTGGAGGGGGGAGGATTTGGCCATGGAGGTTGTCCCATCTGTAACGTCCCCTCCCCTTCAAGCGGCCGCTTTCTTTCAATGATGTCTCATCTCGGGGCATTCGCTAGGCGATGCAGGCCCCACCGCTGTTGTGCTTTGATGGCCTCTTCTATCTTTTCTGGTTGTCTGTATGTGAACTCGTGCTGACGTCGACAATCTTCACAGCTCTGTGCCTCGGGAACCGTAGGCGTGGCAGCTATTGGCTTTGCCTTTGGTCATCCCCAACATTCAACGGCTATACGAGAGGTCAACCTCAACAAGAAAAGAGCGATGTCGGGGGCTCTGTTGGACACCCAGCGTCTTCGAGAGTCTTCCCCTGCGACACCTCCTGCGCAAGCAGCCTCAGCCCCTACGCCCAGGTTTCGAGACCCAACCTTTACTAGCTCACCAGTAGTGGTCCCAATAAATTTGAGGAATGGGACGAAGACTTTTGGAGCAAGACCTGATAAGACTATTGAAAGGGGAAACAAAGTAGACCATCGCAAGGACGCACATACGAGCAGGCCATTACAAACCAATGGTCAACAAACATTGCAAGCCGCTTCAAATACGGTAGAGAATGCCAGACCGTTGCATTTCCACCCAAAGTCAGCCAGGTCGTCTCTCAGGACAGGAAGTCCCGTACCTGCGACTCCCCCAGGATCCGCTTCACTCAGTCAGTCTAATAGCTCTACAGCACCCATCTTGCCTTCTTTTGGTGACTATAATTCGGGAACGCCATCACGGAATAAATTGGTCAAAAGAAGCTCTTCGCAGCGAGTGTTGACAGGAGGACACAATTTACATTCGACATTGAGACGACCTGCCACAAGTCACCAACGATCGGCGACTCTGAACAGAGAACATTTTGACGGCGAAAGTCCAAGAGATCCTGTCCTCTATTCATCACCTCTACCTCATTCCCTTCCAGTCTCAGATGATTTCGAAACGCAGCAATGGCAGCCATTCTTCAAACCTCAAACTCAACGGGCTTCCAGGACCGCTTCCTCAAGCAAAAGGAAGTCCTACTCGGGTGTCACGAGGCAGGAAGTACCTCCTACTGTGGTCCCCGACTTAACAGAACTACCGACTATGTTACTGGCCTCCTCCATTGGCTCCCATTCTTCTGACGCTGACTTTGGCGGTCGACCCTCGGATCTTTCACAGCTCAGCCGGCCGTTCACGCCAGTCAAACCAGCAAGGTCTGATCCCTTCACACCAAAGCCTGATAGACCACATTCAAGCCCAAGCATGGAGCCCCGGTCCAGGACGTCCTTCTCTTTCAGCGACATGTTTCCATCCCCGTCTCCCTTGACCTGGAAAATGCCTCGCGCAGGTAGTCTTCGGAACAAGAAGCCACCTGGCAACGGAGGACGCAGGATTGTATCTGCCCCACACACCACCCAGGCAAAGCGGCGTGTCACTCCCACAGAAAATAATAAGACTTTAGGGAATCATACACGTATATACGCTTCGACTCAGTATGATTCAACGCCATCCAAGTCAGTACCCCAATCAAGTAACGCTTTTCAACGGACGCCGTCATCACCGTTGCCGCCTTTGAAACGTCTCTCGTCCTTTCAGCTAAACTTACCTGAGACTATTCCCTCTTATCCAACTACCCCTGGTAGAAGAGAGTCCCCCACCAGACCGAGGGAAATCTCTTTGACTACGCCACTAACCTCCTCTCACGGGCAAAGCCTCGAACAGGTTCGTTCTTACCAACTTTCGGGGACACACTCGGATCATGCATCTACTCTCCTTGGCTCTGATAACGAGAATAGTCATATCGTCTCTAGCGACGAAGACGACTTTGACGGGCGTAGCTCGACTGTCTATGATTCCACAAGGACTGGAGCTACTGGCAGCAGTCTGAATGGCAACAAAAGACCTCATATTGACGCTATATTTGATGAATCCCCACCACCAAAGCATCCCAACTTAGAAGACAAAGTTTTGGATCTGAAGCATCTAGCAATAGCCGATATTCCTGGTAAGGCACACTACCAAGTAAGACAGCAGGCATCAACTCGTAATGGGATGGACGAAACAACGAGTGTTCTGAAGGTGCCAAACGAGCAGCAGAATATTCCTTTCAGCACATTTAAAAACAAAAGCTCGCTGTTAGAGTATGGGGAACTTCCAGGTCTCAACAGTAATACTAAAATTGGATCCAACAGCAAATCTGTTGACGAGTCAGCGAACAGCCAGCAGACATCGCCGCATAGCTCAAGACCACCGCCTCGCGCCCTCGGCAATCCCGAAAGTGAAGCTGGTTTCAGTCCTCCCAAAGAACGGTCTCGGTCCCGCAGAAGTACTCCAAGAAGGCGAGACTCTCCATCGGCCGGAAGCCCACGACTCAATCCTTTCGAATGGTCAGAACAATCCGTTTCAGATCGTAACAATTCCCAACCAGAATCTGTTAGACCAAAAACAGTGCATGGAAGACTAGGCAAAGATCTACGTGGTCATCGGCCGAGCAATCGACGTGGTCCACCTGCCCTGCATCTGAGAAGTCAGAGTGTCCCTGTGCCCAGCGACAACCGCAACCATAGTAGTGCATCCAAAATCGATACTTGGGTTCTTGGTGGAAATGGGCCAAGTGAAGACTGGGACGGAGATTTTGACTTCGAAGAACCCTCTCGCTTGGCAAAGCCCATGAACGAGAGCATGCGACCAAGTTTATCGTCTGGCATGCTTGTTCCGAAAGCGATTTTAGAGAATCAAGCTAGTGTGCACGGACAATTTGGGCAGGTAAAAGAGTTGACGAAGCTAGTGGAAGAATTGAAACGGCTTCAGCAACAGGCGAAGCTCCAAGGTATCATGAATGGCCAAGCGATAGAATTGTGGAGAGAGGCTGAAGGCATCATCAATCTCGCAACACTCGACGAGGACGAACAAGATCTCCTCCCGCCACATTCTCCATCCGCAGACTTCGACTTCTTTGACGAGGACTCACCCTCCAATCGGCGACGAAGACCTAATTCTCCTACACCTCCGACCCCGCCGCCAAAGGATGATAGGCCAAGTCTATCGTCTGGAACGTCCTCCCAGAATTTGGAGAGGATGCCTTCAATCCGATCCAGCGTGACACCACCGCCTGGCTCAAGACCCCGGAAGGAGTCTTCCGCCAAGGCTAAAACTGTTTTGGAACACATCCATCAGCAACGCACAGATTACGATGGCGCTCTTCTGAATGCCGCAATTACACAAAGAAAGCTTCCATTCGACACGACTTCGCTCAAGGATCTAGTGACTCGTGCCGGTGTGGTGACTCGAGCCCTGAAAGAAGAAGTTCGACGAGCCGAGAATCGAAGTGGAAGCCCTTTGACCGACGTTCGCACAGATCAACGCTCCAATACGCCACCGGACCCTCCATTCAGCCAGACGTTGTTCAAGAAACCATCACCTTCTTCGTCTTTTAGCAAGAGCCCACGTGTCACCCAAAGTCCGAAAAGCCAGAAAAGCCCCAAGAGCCCAAAGAGTCCTAAAAGCTCTAGAGGCTCCCACAGCAGTGTACTCAACGATAATGAAATAAAAGGACACATGAAAATAATGACCGTCGTATGAACTAAGACTACGAGTGCTTTTGCGACTCGACCGAGCTCGTGCAGACGCAGGTCAATGGACAGATGCCAGTCCCCTTCATTGTAATCTAATTTTGTCGGCTTAGGTTTTTGATTTCTTTTGTCGTTCTGCTCTCGGCCTTTTAGCGACTTTTCCTATCTTGCTTGTATTGAATGAATGGATACACAGCGGTGGCGGTGGTGCAAAACATAGATGTGCCATCATTGTCGTCAATTATCAGGGGTCTCTTACATCTCGCTGAAGGCCCGCTATGGTTCAAGCCTAGCGAAGGTTCCTGAATCTCGCCCTGTTAGGCTTGTTCAAGGGAGGGGATTTTATGCATAGAGAAGCGATGAGCAAGTCGGTCGATGGGAAGGGAATTGGGATGAGAAAGAACTGGATACGCGATAAGTGCTTCCAAAATCTATGGGTATGATCAAGAAGCGGAGGTCACGAAATGTTCCTTCACGTACACAAAAATGAACGGGAAACAAAAGCCGGCATCAGTGGTAAAGAGGGTGTTCGGACGCATGTTAGGATCATGCGCTCATGATCTTGAGCTACACACGATGTACATGTCACAGCTAGCATAGACGTATTAGCAGCGATTTGGCCTACTGATTCTCTCAAGTGGATCGAGTGTGCATACAGGTTATGTTAGAGTCCTTATGGCGCTGTGTCGACTAGCGCTGTTATTACTAAGCATCCAATGTCCAAAACGCTTGCAATTGCCCAACTGACCAACTACTCAGCAAACCCATCGCGCTCTGCAATTGCGTCAATACACTACAGAATGCTCTACCGAGTTCGATATATGCAAAATTAAAATCTAGAACAACTAAGCAAGAACACCTTCCACTTCCGCCCGCGAAACGATCAGGACTTCCAGTCCAAGAATACAATTACCGTCAAGTTGTCGACCACCAGGCATTCCAGCGACGGCTCGTCCGTGTCAGACAAGCTCTCCCTTCATTCCTCTGTAGCTCCCTGCGATCCAGAGCCAGAGCCCCCCTATACTGAATCCCCCTTTTCTCAAGCCCTTCGACCGCCTCGACTCTTCTTCCCTCCCAGGCCCCGCCACCATTCTCCTCCCTCTACTTTCAGCCTCAAGACTCTACAAACCACCTTAACAGCTCTATCACTGAACCAATACCAAACCCTCCTCCGCCTTTCACCCCGGTCCCGCTTCCGGAAGAGACCTCCACTGCGCCCTCCAGCCCCACAACAGCTGAAGCAGAGACTAAACCTGCTCTCCCGGCCGATTACAAGGGCGAAAGCAGCAAATCCGGCGAGGAGGCTGAACCACCTCCACCATATACAGAGGGTTCGAGTCCGCTTCAATCGTTCACGTACGTGATGGCTGCGGCTGGAGGGGCGGCCAGTATCATTACCCAGGTGCAACAAGGAGCGCCGCCTCCTGTAAACACACTAGCTGGTATTATTTAGATGCCGAACCTGCAGGTATAAGAAAATCAAGTTAATTCGAGCACAGATGTCGCGGGAGACGAGCACATAACGCTCGACCTAAGGTAGGATTTGACCCAGAACATGCCCCTATTTATTCGAGTAACCTAATTGGCATAGAGGGATCAAATTTACGCTCTCGCGAGATGAGCTCCTAACCTTGCCTGAATTTGTGCTTCTTTCCCTCTTCCCAAATGGCCTATTACCTGATGGGCACATGAACAATTCGTTTCAAGAGGGTGGAGATGTCTATCAAGTCGACGTGAGTCTTTATACGCTTGGGTGACACATTTGAGCTAATTCTACTTGAAAGTATGATCCGAAGTCGCTGGAATACATGCTAGAGTTCTTCCGTGGTGTTGCAGCAACTATACCTTCTGACTTGTCCCCAACAACTTCCCCATCAACCGGCCAAACGCCCGCAACGAACAGCTCCTCAGATCCTTCCTCAACCAATTCAACGAGAGATATGTTGCAAGATCGCGCCGGCATCATCGTTCTCCGCGAAGATCTTGATTTCTATGTCATACCACCGAGACCAGATATCGATGCCGCGGAGATGGTAGAGGTGAAGAGGGCGGCAGGGCGAGCTCTCCTTCACCAGAATGGCATTTTCAGTGGGCTAAGAAGGAGTGACGAGAGCGGGACTACGGAGCAGCACCTCATTGAGATGTTGACGGCAGGGTACGTACCAAGCGTCTTCAGAGGCTTACTTGCTTTGCCAGTAATCAGAATGGCTGATCCTCGCTCATAGCGGCTTCTATCACGACGACACGTGGGGCCACCGTGCCTCAGAACCACAGAAGGCCGTGATATGTTCGTTGGCCCTCGCGAGACTTCGAACAGATGTTAAAGGCACAGAGTCAAGCAATAACAACAGCGCGGTCGGGATGGCTCAAAAGCTTTTGCTTTTTTGGAGAAAGCCTGCAAGGAGGTGTTGGTGGGAAGGAGTAGAATTGTCCAGTGTGGACGGTGTACAGGGCGAGCTTAAGGTTTGGATTCGAAGAGTTTGGACCCTGGAGATGGTGAGCCTGAGACTTCCTTTACCCAACTTCATTGCTTTTGTGCACCCGACTTGCCAAGAGCGAGCTTTCGGCTGATACTTCGTCATAGAGCGTGATTGGACTACGATGAACGGTAATGTATGAAGCTAACGCATTTGTTGAGAAACCGAAGAATTATATAGCATGCTTCCGTTGGAGGGATACCCTTTCTTTGTGGCTAGACCAGAGGATCAGAAACATGAAAGTCGTCACGTTCGATAATGTATTATCTTGAGTGGTTTGAATGGCCTTTGGGGAGGCAATGAGACTGTACACAAGTGAAAGGTTCACAAAATGCTTGTAAACCCCATTTCATTACAGGTGGCCCCCAATATCTAATGTGAAGTCAACGGGAATCGTGTTCAAGGTCCTCGCAAAGTAAAATGATCATCTTGGTCTCTATGATTCGAAAATATCGTCAATCATCTTCGCTGTCACTACCAAAGATGGCTTTAAATACGGCCTCTCCAGGCCTCTCCTTCTCAATCGCATCGTTCCTCTCAGAATCAATAGCCACAGCATTCCCCTTCCCTCTGCCTTGTCCCTCAAATATCCCCTCATCCCCAGCACTTCCCCCTTCGACCCCTGCACTAGTGAGCATCATGAGCCTCATCCCTTCTGCTCTAGCTGCCCCACTCAATCTCAAATCATCCATATCCTTCTTTCCCACCAGCTCCAAGCGCTTCTGCGGCAACGCTGTCGAGTGCGTCGATTTCTCTCTCGCCTGCCCTGATGCCGCCATCCCAGGGGCTGCTTCCCGGGGGTCAACCTGCACATGAGCAGGCGGCTTGACGTTGAACCGCTTACACAAAAGTCGCGTGGGGTACCAATTCTTCACGCTTCGCGTAAGGGGGCCGTACATACCCGCTGCAGCGGCTTCTTCGGCGGGTGTTTTCGTCTTCTGAGATGGTGTGGTCAGGAGTTCGCCAGTTTCGGAGGCAGTGCCCAGGGGTTTGACATCCCCGCTGCTTGGAACGGAGGATGACGAGGTGAAGCGGGTAGCCATAGCACTACTCATTGGTTTGAATATCTGGGCTGCATGAGCGAATTCGCTGAGTTCTTTGGCCCAATCGTCGACCTTCACCCCTGACACGCGTTCTGGTAGCGTGTCTTCTGGTAGGAGACCAGCGCGCAGTTCAAGAAATCCACGGTAGCGGGAGCGCTTTGCAGGGTCTTCAGTGTACGGCATCCAGCCTGCTGTGCCCCGGTTGAGGGCGGCGAGAGCTGTTTCTTTTGGCAGAGCGGGAATGAGGTCAGTGAGGGATTGCTTAGGCGGAGGAAGCGGGGCTTCGCTGCCAGCGGTAGGAAGATTCTGGTTGGATGTTGCGGTCGCTATGCGGGAGCGTGCGGAGGGAGTCATGAAGTCAAAGACTGATTTGCCTGGGAGTGGTGCTTCGCCCATGAGAGCGGCGCGGGAGGAAGGGCTGAGTGCGGTCGGAGGGGGCTGTTTGCTTGCAGTACTAGCTGTAGGGTTGTTGGGAGAAGTAAGATCAGGAAGTGTCCATCCTTCTGGAATTTGTGGAGGTGGATATTTGGAGTCCTGGGAGAGAATTGAGGATAAGGCATCTGAGACGGACGAGAGAATAAAACCGTCAATTGGAAGACGGCCGTCATGACAGCGTTGATGTTGCTTGCTTTTCTTTTCAAGGGAGTCTTTCTTCGAGACGAATGCCAGCTTGTGCCCCAGCAGAGGGTTCGCTGTAGTTCTGGCTGCTTCGGACTTCTTCTTTTTCTTTTTATCGCCTCCAATCACGCGATTATAGGATATTCGCGGCCCCATTGAATACGGATCATCGTCATCTGACCCATCGTCGTTGAGAACACCCACTCCAAACCCACCCTTTCTTCCATTACTTTTCTTTAAGGTCTTGACGCCATTCGTAGATAGCTCAGCCGCTGCCTGCTCATTTGGCTGGTCTCCAAGGCCATGTCGGTCAGCAGGCTCCACTTCAGAGAGTTGCGTCCCCAACGCTGCTTCGCCCTCAAAGCCCAAGCCTTTTCTGTCTGTCTTTCGGCTGAAAGATATCATCTTGGAGTTTTCTGGCGTAAAAAGATGCGACTCATCATCATCCATCGACTCCCCATCTTCAAATCTAGTTTTCCGTCGAATCTTCGGGCCAATGCCTTGACCCTCCCGCCATCCCATCTTCTTCAATAGCTTTGTACCCATCGATTCACCAGTTGGTCTGAGAAGGTCCATCAAGTCCTCTGGCTTCTTTGCTTCGGTATTCGAACCTAAGCCGGCAAACGTATCTGTAGTCTGCAATTTCTGTGCCTCCTCTGCTTCAGCAAGATCCTCCTCGTCCATAAAGTCCTCTGGTCTCTGCTCTTGCTTCTGTGGTTGGGTCTTCCGATTGGACCGTGAGGACACAAACGTAGACGGCGTCCATCCCTCTTTCGAGCCGACGGTGTTGAAGTACCCGGCACTGAAGCCGCCAGTAAAGGCGCCATGCAGTCTCTTTCTCCCCTGCTCATCTGTCACTTCTTGCTTCCATACAGGCACATAGGAGCCGTCGTCGCGGGTCTCTGGATCTACAGGAGCTAAAGGAGTGCCGTAAATGACATAAGGGGATTGTTGAGCTTGGAGGTCCGCTTCGAACGTCGCACGCGATCGTTTCTGAGCCATGGCGTACCGAAAGATACATGTTTGGGATCTGCAATTGTCTAGGTCAGGCGGTGGTAATTGTTGCAGCTCATGAAGATGTCTGGAGAGAGGCTGATCATGGTCTCAATAGTGAATTGATGGGCATGTCTCGTTCTTGGCGGGGCAATTAGCTCCCCTGGAAGATGACATTTTCCAGGCACGACTACCTTAAACACCCGCCCGTGGCCCCTATAAGCGATATTGTATATATTATACTAACCACATCAGGGTGATAATCATTAGAACTATATCGAGGTGGTAAATTGCTTCGACCCCTCCCCGTCACGCGTTGGCCATTGGATTTTCACTGCCACATCACTTGCATGACAGAAGCATGCGCACGCCATATAATTCCAGCTTTGCGATACCAACCAAAGTTATAATATCACCCGAGGCTTTTCAAAGCCGCATCCTACGCCATTTGTCCTGCCTTACATCTTAGGCCTACTCACGCACTTCGCCATTATTCCTCCTGGCAGGAGCACCTCTTTGGCACGCATCTTCGAGAATCATCGGGCGCGGCGAACAGCGTTCGAATGATTAGTGGAGGGGCAGACGACCGTCACCTTGTGACTTCCAGGAACCTTCATTACTGCCATTTTCAGCGTACAGAACCCCGAGATGGACTGTAGGCTTACATAGGCCCCTACAACTCGCAGTGTGCGGCCGAAGACGCCACTTCGAAGCTCCATTCTGTGTAGCTTCCCGTAAAGCAGGCGTGTCTTAAAACCCGAAAGTTGGACATTTTGGCGTGGAAACAGCCTCGATTTAGGTTTCCATAGTGACATCTCACCACCGCCGGCATGTCGTCAGCTACTGCCTCCACAGCTCCTCCTCCAGTCGCGCATACTCCATCACGCCGGCAACCTTCCCACCATACGCCAGAGAGACCCCACCGAGCCACCTCGTCCGCCTCGAAAACCCCCTCGTCATCTACTGCGCAGACGAGATCCGATTCTCAGAGTTACGTCCCACCAACTTCGTCACAACAGAATCATCTGGCAGGGGTAGCACGAAGGGACTACGAAGCCACTAACGTAGCTCGGCCGACCTCGTCAACTCGTCGTAGCATGGACCAAGATCGTCCACAAACCTCTTCCACGCCTCGACGGACAGAGTCCACAAGAGATTCTCGTCGGACTTCTTCGAGACCGCATCACTCTCGCAATGAATCACGTATGTCGGAAGCAACGACCGTGGTCAATGATCCACCACAGAATTCAGGCGCTACCAGACATCATCCAGAGGGAAGTACGTCAGGCAGTAGTGCCCCTGCTAAAAAGAGAACCACGATCAGTGCCCAAACAGGACAGTGGTCACTTGGGAAAACGATTGGAGCAGGTAGCATGGGCAAGGTCAAGCTAGCCAAGAACATGGAGACAGGCGAACAGGCGGCCGTGAAAATAGTCCCCCGACAGTCAACAGATGAGCACCGCAGTGACAAAGAAAGAGAACGGGCAGATCATTCGAAGGAAGTTAGAACAGCAAGGGAGGCAGCTATTGTGACATTGTTGAATCATCCGTACATATGCGCAATGAGGGATGTGCAACGGACACATTATCATTGGTACATGCTCTTCGAGTACGTGAACGGTGGTCAAATGCTCGACTACATCATCTCCCACGGGAAATTGAAGGAGAAGCAAGCTAGAAAGTTTGGTCGGCAGATAGCGAGTGCTCTGGACTTTTGTCACCGGAACAGTATCGTGCATAGGGACCTCAAGATTGAAAATATTCTAATCAGTAAAACTGGGGATATCAAGATCATCGACTTCGGACTCAGCAACCTCTTCTCCCCGCGAAGCTCTTTGAAAACTTTCTGCGGCAGCTTGTACTTCGCTGCCCCAGAGTTGTTGCAAGCTAGGCAGTATACAGGACCGGAAGTCGATATTTGGAGCTTTGGCATTGTGCTATATGTCCTAGTGTGTGGGAAAGTGCCATTTGACGATCAGAGTATGCCTCAATTACATGCGAAGATAAAGAAAGGTGTTGTAGACTACCCTAACTGGCTTTCGCCAGGTGAGCTTAGCAACCTTCTCCTCGTGAATAGGTAATACTATGCTAAATTTATCAACAGAATGTAAAGGTCTTATCTCCCGTATGTTGGTCACGGATCCTCGTCAAAGGGCTGGCCTGGGCGAGATTATGAACCACCCTTGGATGATCAAGGGCTTCAATAGTCCACCAGAAAATTATCTGCCTCACCGTGAACCTTTGCAGCTTCCTTTAGATCCACAAATCGTTCAGAAAATGACTGGCTTTGATTTTGGGTCCTCTGATTATATCACAAATGAATTGACGAAAGTCTTAAGCTCCGAGGAATATCAGAATGCGGTCAAAAATAATGTTCGGGAGCAAGCACTGCAGTCAGCTGCTTCTGAGCAAAAGAAAGGAGTCTTCAATTTCTACAAAAGACGGAACTCAACTACCAGCAGGGAGATTCTCCCAAACCCTTCATCAGAAGCGGTACAACTTGGCTCAGACCCAGTAAATGCTTTCAGCCCACTTATCTCAATCTACTATCTTGTAAGAGAAAAGCGAGAGAGAGAACGAGCCGAAACAAACCCGGGGGCTCTCAATATACCCACATCACCAGGGCAAAATCCACTGCAAATTCCTGACCTGCCAGCTCCGGAGGCTGCTTATACGAATGTCTCAAGCTATGAGATGGCTGGCGAGAAACCTACGGGAGGTAGGGCGAGGGCCAGATCTCGAACGCAAGGAGAAGAGGATGTGACGGAGAATTTGAAGAAGATCAACCTAAATGTTCCCTCTAGCCAACCTCCGACAATTGTGACTCCGCCGTCGGAGCAGCAATCTGCGAAGAAAGAAAGCACAGGAATGGGCATTCTTCGCAGATTCAGTACGCGGCGCGGTAAAGATTATCATAGACCAGAGCCTCAACACACCCCTTCATTTCAAGTGCAACCACCTTCAGATCCATCGGCGGCACCTCGTAAAAGCTTCAGCGTACGACGATCGCGAAATCGAGAACGAGCTCCGGCACCCCTTCATCCAGGAGGGAGTACCCCGCACCAGGCTGAACTATTAAGTCCAGGGCCTGCACAAGATAATCAATCACGAAATGAAACTACCATGAATAGATCTGCGAGTGTTAATTCAGCAGACTACCGACAGCGGCATGGGCGACGAGGCGTCTCGGAAGGGCAGCCCACAACAGCAAGCTTAGAGCCTCCTCTTACGAGCGGATCAGATAGGTCTAGCATTAGTGGCGACTATAAATCGAAATCAAGGCACGCAACTTCATCTGACCAAAAGACGTCGTTACCAGCCCGAGCGGCTACCGCAAGAGCAAAATCGCTCGGTCACGCAGCAAGGGAGAGCATCCAAATCCGGAGGACTCGAAGGGAAGAGACTCGGGAAGCTGACGTCCCAGAAGAAACTTACGCAGATCTTGCCGCAAGTGCTGACAATCCCAACAAATCCCTAGAGAACATCAAACCTGTCTATCTGAAGGGCCTCTTCAGCGTCTCGACCACAAGCAACAAACCCCTTCCGGTCATACGCATGGACATTGTTCGTGTGCTCAATCAGCTTGGGGTTTCGTGGGCTGAAATCAAAGGTGGCTTCTCATGTCAACACGCACCAAGCATTGACTTGAACAAAGCCACTACAGAACATGCAAATCCAAGCCCAGAGGCCTCCGGTTTCAACCGAAGGCGTATCAGTTTCGTGAGCAATCTCAAGAGTGGCAGCGATCGTGCTACGGAAGAATCCGACTCAAGGCCGAAGAGGATGTCTACTCTTCGTAAGAGGCAGCCGAACCCGCCGGACGCATCCTTCACTGCGTCTTCAGGGTCGGAAAGTGATTTTCCTCGGACGTCACAGCGCTCTCCAAGAAGCCACGCGAGTCCTACGACTAAGCCGGCGGACAACACCTCCGCAAGCGAGTGGCAGAAGGTTCCTCCGGGTGAGACGACCACTCAGGTCCAAAACGACCTCGGCGAAAACATGGTTCTCAGATTTGAGATATTTATTGTAAAGGTGCCATTATTCAGCTTGCACGGTATTCAGTTCAAGAAGGTTCAAGGAGGAACATGGCAGTATAAAGAAATGGCCAGCAAAATCCTCGATGCCCTCAAACTTTAAGATATAATAAAGTCTTGTTTCGACTGGCCCCAATTTAGACGTCTTAAAACAAAGATTCGAGCATTTCAACGGCGCAGAGAAGACGAAAAGGTGGAATATCTAGAGCTTCACGTGGTATAGGAGGTCGGTGCTCTTCCTAGTATAAAGCTTTCAGTGTTCGAGAGCTTGCATGTGGCTTATAATTCAGGCGGTCGGGCTGCAGTACCAAGGTGCATCCGGCTTGACGAGTCTCTTTTGTCAGTGGCGAGGCTTGGATGAGCGAAAAGGCGCAGGTAGCTGGGGTAGTGATCGCCTGCTACATTAGTAATGGAGAGATCCTCAAGTTTGTCCTTGTTTTGATTAAGTCTCCTCAAAAAGCTGTACTTCAATGCATGCCAGTTTTTCGAGATGCATCACCTCTTCCGGTGCAAAGAGATCTGCCGCGGTTCTAGTGTGAGCAACAGTCTGAAAGCCTGCCACAGACTTGAGGAAACTAGCTAGTCCAAAGCAATAAATAGATATCGGAGTGACCCTGGCCAGAGCATAAGATTCCGAGGTGACATCTGGCTAGGGCAATCAATGAAGCTATACGGACCTGCATTTTTTGATTAATATATATGCCTATTTCTGTCAGGGTGGGCAAACCATTTAAACGAACAGGCCAACTAATTGAGCTGCTAGCAATCCAATTTGAGCTCTCAACTAACCAAATCATGACTTCTACCGTTCAGCGCTCCCTTGTCGTCCCGACCCAGGTTCTAGGCTTGAGCCAAAATTCGAATGTTTCGGATTTGTTGTGAATCGAAGGATGATGCCAAAGCCGCCTATTCATTCGTCGAGATATCTGTGAGCTCACCATGGAGCGACTGACGTGACGAAATTTGTGATGGCGAATATCTCGCGTCCCATTGTTATGGCATGCGGCGAAATATCGCAGTCACGAAGTATTGAATATCAGTAGGATTAAGTTTAAGGGAACTGCCTCGACCCAATATACACGGCAATTCTTGGACTTCTGGAGGTCGTAGAACAGAATATTTCCATCCAACCCCTACATCTCACAAATCTTCTTTCCGAAGGCTTGGTATAATTTGGGCCCATCGAGTGGCATGTTTTAAGCATGCTCTAGGGCTTCGACATCTAAAGCGGTCCAGTATTCTCTTAGAAAATTTCAATTTCGGAGCCATGAGCATCGTAATTAGGGGTCTGAGAAGGGCGTGGCAGGAGCCTAGCTAGCGATTCTGCTTTGAGTGGTGCAGATGATGACCAATTTGGCTGACAGGCGTGTGTATGTTTGCTTTGACAGGTTGAGCCTTCTAGTCCTATCACTTGCGCCCCCAATGTTTTTTCTTGGGTAAAGCAAGTCACTCCAAAGTTTTAAGGCCAATGGCATTTGTAAACGAGCTTTAGATTTCATCAAGTCTTGGGCCGATCGATGTTACAAATTTGTGCGGCCGATAAATATCACACGTTCATCCATTCCTGCGTATTCTCCTACAATTATTTTCCAGATCAACGGAAAGCTCCAATAGCGTGGAAAAAGACTATGGGTAGGTTGATTTCTCGGTATAATCCTGTGTTTCTCAAGGTGCTCATGACTAATAGGTGAATAAAAGTCAGGTAATGCAAAACAACTGGATAACATTCATTCCATTCAGGGAAAACACGGGGGAGGTAAAGAGTGAAAGAAGCACACAACGACAGGTCGTCTAGGGAAAATGTGAAATTGCACTCTCAAAACGTGAAAAATTAAAATCCAGCAAAGGAAATTGCAAGTTTTGTTATTTCTTGTAGTTATCCTTTGTCACTCAAAACAGGCCTGAGTTCAAAAATTCCCTCACTTCCTTAAGAATATTGGCTCATGGCTTGCTACCGAGCTAGGCTAGCATAACGTGATGACGACTCGATCTCACTGAATTGCACATCTCGAGGTTTTGAAGCCGTACTTCAAGTCTCTGCTTTAGACTCGGAAGGATAATTGGCGCCTCCAGGATGTAGAGGCTGCATTGCCTGCTTACTCCATTAGCATATTATGGCGATGGTACCAAGACTTTTGCGTTTTTTCATCGGTTAAATGAAGGGACCCTAATCTAAGGGGTGGGTAGGCGAATCAAACTTACGGTTGTAAATTTATCTCCTTCTAATTTGACCTCTCGGTCTCTCAGCTGTCTCATCAACGAGAGAAAGCTACTTTCCTGGAACTTCTGACTTATGTCCCCTTTCACGTTCTCGAGCAATTGCCCAGCTGTTCTCGCCAGATCGTCCCCTTCATCCGTGAATCCCTGACTCATATCCTTGTCTATACTTTCATCGAGTATTCTATCTGAGCCAATTCGATAAGGTATGGTACTGTCCACATCATCTACCACATGGTTCTGATTTTGAGGCTCCAAGGAAATATCTGTAGCAGGCTGTTCCTCAGCTCGAGTTGCTGCTGCATGAGCTTCCTCGAAAGCTTTTTCGAAAGCGCCCTGCTCTATTGTATCGTGAGTGTTCGCTGTCTCCTTCTGTAACCCTTCGTAACGAGCCGCTCGTTCAGGTGGCTGCAATGGCAACGCCTGGTGTTGAAAAGGAGCACGTGATCGGCTATCATAATATGGAGAGCCGTTGTCTTGCAGATTTCGTGCATCAGAGAGACTTGGCTCGCTCAAGAACTCCTGATGCCAAGCACCTGGGCTTCTCCGTTGAAGGGGAGCGTACTGACGAAATTGGGCAGCGGGAATGGGCGATTGAGATTGTCCATCAAGCTGTAGGTTTTGAAAGTCCGAAGCCCAGTCTGGCTGCGAGATTCCCCGATAATGGACATCTCGCGCCTGTGACTGGTAAACGGAGGGTGGTTCGGGAAATCCGGGCTCAAGTGGGTTGCTTGATTGAAAAGCTTCGAATTCAGCATCGAGAAAGCTGGGAGCAGAAGTTGGAGTAGACCTGAAGCTCTGCACCGCATTGTCAGCGATTTGAAATCTGGATACTCAAAGCAGCTCGATTACCTCTTGGGGCGATTGGCGAAGGGCAAGTCTGTCTTGTTGTAGGGTTCTATCCACAGAAGTGTGCTTTTGAAATGTATGTAGAGCATTTGAAGGCCCACAAAGAGCATCAGCCATTGTTGCAATTGTTTATGAAGGAGGTATTGAGTTAAGAGGGTGCCTTGATGGAACGGCCATCGAGTGAGAAGTTCATGCATCATGCCGAGGCAGATGCTCCTGCCCTAAGGCTAGGCTTGATGTGTGTGAGTGACGTTTTCTGATCCCATGTGCGGGAACGGCAACGCTCCAGAACCCTTTTTTTCTTCACTTCCATAGGTACATCCACTACTGAGGTCGACATTAGCTTTTAGCTATCGTCTCCGGGAATAAGATGGATATCGGTTCAGTCGTTGAGCAGCTTCTGGCTGGGAAAATGGGTGAATCAGACCTTGCGTTCCTTTTCGATACCTGCCTTCATCGCCCTCTCATCGTCTTGGTGACCTGTGCCATCCACCATGATAGACAGTGTGACTCACTTTGACGGATCCGAGAAGACTTCCTCGCCGGACTCTATTTCGGCAGATGTCGAACGCTCCCCGACACTAAGTAAACAGGCTCAATCAGACGAAATACCAGATGGCGGCTATGGTTGGGTGTGCACTGCTTGTGTCTTTTTCATCAATGCTCATACGTGGGGTATCAATTCTTCCTATGGGGTGTTCCTAGCCTTCTACCTTGCAAATGACTATTATCCCGATGCCTCTGCTCTCAAGTATGCCTTCGTGGGTGGCTTATCTATCTCACAAGCACTCTTGATCTCGCCATTGTCTACTTACGTGACGCGTGAATACGGAACAAGGACGACTTTGTTGGTCGGCGTCGCCCTTGAGACTCTCGCTCTGATTGGCGCCAGTTTTACACATCAGATATGGCAACTCTTCCTCAGTCAGGGGCTGTGCTTTGGATACGGCATGGGCTTCCTCTTCGTTGGCTCGGTTGGCATTGTTCCACAATGGTTTGCTAAACGCAGAAGCTTGGCCAACGGCATCGCCACTGCTGGAAGCGGCCTCGGGGGAATGATGTACAGTCTTGCGGCAAACGCCATGATAGAGTCTCTGGGTGTTGATTGGGCGTTCCGGATCCTGGGGCTACTCGCCTGCAGTGTTAACTTCATCTGCGCGATGCTAATCAGAGATCGAAATGAGGCCATTGGAGCAAGGCAGCTCGCGTTCGACTACGCACTATTCAAAAGGGTCGAATACTGGATGCTCTTGATCTGGGGGTTTCTGAGTATGCTGGGTTACATTGTCTTGCTATTCTCATTACCAAGTTACGCTGTCAGCGTTGGCCTTTCTGCAAAGCAGGGCTCAGAAATCGGAGCTTTGCTCAATCTGGGCCAAGGTTTGGGACGACCTGTGGTTGGTATTTTCTCTGATAGTGCCGGCCGCATCAATTTGGCGGGTCTTTGCACCTTCCTCGGTAGTCTTTTCATTTTCGTGATCTGGATTTTCGCTAAGAGTTACGGTGTTCTTATCTTCTTTGCTATCACCGTGGGTACCGTTGCTGGAACAATTTGGGTAGCAATAGCACCTGTTGGGGCTGAAATTGTTGGTTTGAAGGATCTACCTTCAGCTTTGTCTATTTTCTGGCTATTCCTGGTAATACCAGCTACATTCTCTGAGCCCGTTGCACTTGAGTTGAGGCAGCAAAAGGGCAGCATCTATCTACATGCACAGTTATACGCCGGTTGCATGTATTTTGGTGCAGGTTTGTGCATGTTGGCTTTGAGAGCTTGGAAAATTGGAGAGATTGAGGCCATTGCCGCCAAACAAAAAGCTTCGGAGGGAAGGATATTGAACGTGGAGGGCGCACCACAACTTCATCGTGAGGGTTCGAAAGAATCGACGAGACAGAAGTCTGGGTTTGCTAAAAGAATGGTACAGTGGAAGAAGGTTTAAATCTTCTACGTGAACAATACTCAATTCAAAATCGAGTTTAGACATTGGTTCGATGAATCTATCGTCTCAGCCCTTGTGATATCCCTGTTGTTCCATTCGCGCCTGCCCCAAGCATGGTTGCTTACGTAAGTGTTTATATACGCCAAGCTTCGAAGCGCGCTAGTCCCTTCCACACAACAAGTCCTGAACTACACCCTTGATCAAGTATTATCTTCATCTTAGTCGACTCTTCGCTTCAGATAGCACTTGTACGTTCCTGAAGACCATTTGCTGATTCTCTGTATCTCTCAGTCACAATGCGTGAGATCGTAAGTCTGGAACCTTCCCTGAACGTCGCTTTACGCGTCCGACGTGACCCTGTGCCTGCATCTTGGGATGATGGAGCTGATAAAGGTCTTTTCTGTATTTAGGTTCATCTTCAGACTGGCCAATGTGTAAGTATCAGGAATTCGCTCATAATATGAATCACTGATACGAATCTAGGGTAACCAAATTGGTGCTGCTTTTTGGTATATTTACTTCGAGGGACCACGATTGACATAAATATCAAATTCTCATATGTGTTACAGGCAGACAATCTCTGGCGAACATGGCCTTGACGGAAATGGAGTGTGAGCTCAAGACCACCCTGACGAGATTATATGATTCTGAAGAGCCTCAGTTACCATGGCACCTCCGATCTACAGCTTGAGCGCATGAACGTCTATTTCAACGAGGTAAGAGATAGCTCATAGTAGATAATTGATCAAGTGTCTTACGGTGTGCTAGGCCTCGCAAAACAAATATGTTCCCCGCTCCGTCCTTGTCGACCTTGAGCCAGGTACCATGGATGCAGTTCGCGCGGGACCATTCGGCCAGCTCTTTCGACCAGACAACTTTGTCTTTGGGCAATCTGGCGCGGGAAACAACTGGGCCAAGGGCCATTATACTGAAGGTGCCGAACTGGTTGATCAGGTGCTAGATGTCGTTCGACGGGAGGCAGAGGCATGCGACTGTCTTCAGGGTTTTCAGATTACGCACTCTCTCGGTGGTGGGACCGGTGCTGGTATGGGTACGCTTCTGATATCAAAGATTCGAGAGGAATTTCCAGATCGCATGATGGCCACTTTCTCCGTCGTGCCATCACCAAAAGTATCGGACACCGTCGTCGAGCCATATAATGCTACATTATCTGTCCATCAGTTGGTCGAAAATTCGGACGAGACATTCTGTATCGACAATGAGGTATGTTGAGAGTTCACTGGCGTTCGCTCTACTAATTGTCCAAGGCGCTCTACGACATTTGCATGAGGACACTCAAGTTGTCTCACCCGTCCTATGGTGACCTAAACCACCTTGTCTCTGCAGTGATGTCGGGGGTCACGACTTGTTTACGCTTCCCTGGTCAGCTCAATTCTGATCTTCGCAAGTTGGCCGTCAACATGGTTCCGTTCCCGCGTCTACATTTCTTCATGGTCGGCTTCGCACCTCTCACCAGCCGTGGTGCTCACTCATTCCGCGCTGTGACGGTGCCTGAATTGACGCAGCAGATGTATGATCCGAAGAACATGATGGCTGCCTCTGATTTCAGGAACGGTCGCTACTTGACATGCGCGGCTATTTTGTAAGTCCTTTTATATCCCCTAGAACTTTCTGTATTGACGACTGCAGCCGAGGCAAGGTCTCGATGAAGGAAGTCGAAGATCAAATGCGCAATGTGCAGAACAAGAACACTTCCTACTTCGTGGAGTGGATTCCCAACAACGTTCAGACGGCCCTGTGCTCCATCCCACCACGTGGTCTCAAGATGTCTTCAACCTTCATTGGAAACTCAACATCCATCCAAGAGCTCTTCAAACGTGTTGGCGACCAGTTCACTGCCATGTTCCGTCGCAAGGCTTTCTTGCATTGGTATACTGGTGAGGGTATGGACGAGATGGAATTTACTGAGGCCGAGAGCAATATGAATGATTTAGTTTCGGAGTATCAACAGTATCAGGAAGCATCAGTGTCAGATGCTGAAGAGGAGTAGTAAGTGATGGCTATTTTCGAGTGTTTGAACCTTGGCTGACATCGCTATAGTGACGAGGAGCCTCCTGTTGAGGCCGAGGAGTGAGCTACGCACAATCTAGCGGTGACTTGGCGATCAAGCAATGAGCTTGTCGATACCCGATTGGAATGATTGATGTTCGTACGAAGTCAGATTGTGACTGAGTTTGTTAGCGATAGGACGAGGATTCGAGCGAGCGTCCATAGCTTAGGCACAATTGAAGTGTTTTATCTTGATTGATTTGTCGTCCTTGAGCTTTCCCACTGCTGCCTGAAGCATCCTTTCGTAGCGCTCTCATATACCCTAGCTGTCTGAATCATTTCTTAGTAGCACAAGAAACTGCAGGTTGCAGACGAGATTGAACGAGGCTTTACCCATGACGATGGAAAACATACAGCCAGCGATTAGATTCTTCTTCCATAGCTACAATAACAGCGCCAGACTTCTGACAGTAAAAACTCATCACAATCCCAAATCACTGCTTCCACCTAGAATTATGCTTTCTAGTCATCCACTCATTTATAACATGTCATATGACAGAAGATTCTCTCTAAATCAACATGTAACATAGTCATATCTCATTACTCGGGTACTCTACCTTTCCATTACCCACAAAATCTTCCTTGATAGCCCTTATACTGACAAACCTGCTCAGTAGATTCTGACTCCCCGCTTTGTCATTCGTCCCGCTTGCTCTAGCACCACCAAACGGCTGCTGGCCAACGACCGCACCGGTGCATTTGGTGTTTATATAAAAATTGCCGGCTGAATTTCGAAGCGCGTGTTCTGCAAACGCAACAGCCTGCCTGTCTTGCGCAAAGACCGCCCCCGTGAGTGCGTACTCAGACGAGCTATCAATGAGCTTGCAGACTTTGGCGAATGAGTTCTCCCCAGCGTCGTCGTATACATAGACTGTCAGTATTGGGCCGAAGAGCTCAGTGGACATGAGATGATGGTTTGGATTCTTGGTGAGGTAGATGGTTGGGTGGATGAAATAGCCTTCTGAGCCATCGTATGTTCCTCCAACCAATAGTTCGAGCTCTTGGTCTGACTTCGCATCGTCGATGACTTTTGCTAGCTTATCAAAGGAACGATTATGGATTACGGGGCCAATGAAGTTTTCAAAGGAGGTTGGTGGCCCCACCTTCAAGGCTTTCGTTTCCAACACCAGGCCTTCCTTGAACTTGGACCATAGAGAAGAAGGAATGTAGGCGCGGGAGCACGCGCTACACTTTTGTCCCTGAAACTCGAAAGCGCCGCGGATTGTGTTGATGACTGCATTATTGACGTCGGCGCTTGGGTGAATTAGATGGAAATTTTTGCCACCTGTTTCTCCAACAATGCGTGGGTAGCCTTTGTATTTGCCGGACGCGACGTTGTTTGCTATTCTGCCATACAGACTACGGAAAACGGCTGTGCTGCCGGTATAGTGAAGGCTAGAGAAGTCCCTGTGAGCGAGGACAACCGAGGTAACTTGTTCTGCGTCGCCAGGCACGAATTGAATTACATTGGGGGGGAGGCCAGATTCAAGCAAGATTTGGTAGATTAAATAGTTCGAAGCGATTGCGGATGGCGATGGTTTCCATACAACAACGTTCCCCATTAGGGCAGGAGCACAGGGTAGGTTGCCACCTATGGCTGTGAAGTTGAAGGGTGTGACAGCATAAACGAAACCCTCAAGAGGCCTATATTCAACTCGATTCCATACGCCAGGCGAATTGTGCACAGGCTGCTGAGCGTACAATTCTTGGGCATATTGGACGTTGAAGCGAAGGAAGTCACACAACTCCGCGGCGGCGTCGATCTCAGCTTGCCAGGTGTTTTTGCCCTGCCCGAGCATTGTAGTTGCAATAATGTCATGTCGATATTTCCCTCCTATGAGATCGGCAGCCTTAAGGAATATGGAGGCACGATCGTGGAAAGGAAGGGCTTCCCAATTCTGCTTGGCTGCGAGCGCAGACTCGATAGCTTTTGAGACATCTTGAGAGCTAGCATTCGAATATTTTGCGACGGCAGATTTGTGAAGTGAGGGGTTCGGTTGCGTATAGCTTATAGACTGCCAGACTTCTCTTCCGTCAATGACGGTTGGAACGTTGACAGGCTTTTCATGTGCAGCGAGAGCGCTGGCGAGTGCTTTACGGTCTGGAGAGTCTCTTTCGTAATGTCTCTATTAACAATATATTAGATGTAATGCTCGGTCGTTTGGGTTGATGCATTCAAGACTGACATTATTCTCGTTTTCAACCTTTGGAACTCGGTAGGTTGCAATTGTTGCCATTATGGACGGTTTGCACGACCGAAGAAGTCTTGTGGGCGTGGGCCTGGTGATTGTTGATCTCGTCAAGGCGTTTTGTAGCTGTGGCAAGATCCTGAGTGCCATTGACGAAAGAAAATGAGGTGTATGGCAGGCAAAAAAAAGGATAGAAACGTTACGACGGTTATCGTCGGCCAAACGAGGGGCAGCTTCAAGATTTCGGCAGGTTATGCCGCTCCGGGTGCCCGTCACCCCGGGCGGGTACCTTGGAGCCCCGGGGGCACGGGGAAGGGCATCGGATCTAGCCTGTAATCACTGAAGGCTGATGCCAAACCATCGAAGTTCGCGTTGGCAAATAGCTGGTGTTGTGTCATTGAATGATGGAACTGTAATGGTATCAGTCAAGAAACCTATTGTTCTGTATTCTGCTGATATTTAAGGCCTGTGCTCCATACCAAATCTAGCGGCGGATGCCGGTCGGTGCCAAACCTGGCACACCGCTGTATCTTTCTTCTCTCTCCGTCTTGAAAAGCACTTGGACCCAAAATTCCTTGCTATCCTCATCAAACCACGTCCAGAACCTGCCCTCTCTTCGGTCGACCTCCCTGGCTTGTAGCTTGAAGCCGCAAGTCTCGTATGGTTCGGCTGCAACGAGCAGATATTGGTAGTTCTTGTCTGGTGGATCCTCGATCTTCTGCTCGTACGCGGACATAAATCTGACCCTTGGGAGTGCTCCTTGAGTAATTTCTGGATACTGGAGCTGGAAGAGTAGTCCATTCTGCCGAGTTAATGGATCCCGAATCTTGGTAATCTTGTATCCCGGTCGTCCAATTTTGACAGCGTTCCTTCGCACCGTCACACCCATATTTACGCCCAGCATGGCTTCATTCGCTTTGCCTTCCTTCTGTTCCCTTGCAGCTCTCCTTGCGAGATTGGTTTGATGCTTCCGTCCCTGTGTATGTGCGAGGTAAGAGCCATCATTCTGGTGGACTGTGAGGCAAAGCCTGCATTCAAAGGAGCCAACGTGATTCTTGAAGAAGTACGGGTCCTTATCGAGATCTATCGTTTCAAGTGCAAGCTTACGTAGGCGCTCTCTTCGATCGGCATTAGAAGCACTGGTTGAGGCAACCCCTCCGCCGCCGAATTTAGAACCTGCTCGATTCTATGACGAGATTTGAATCACTGACTTGTCACAACAAGGGTGTATGCATCAGACGACTTACTTGGTAGTCCATGATCTTTCAGGCAATGTTGGTGGCGAGGATCGTGCGAAGTGATAGGATGATAGGATATAAAGCTGTGAGTCTGAGGCAGCTTTGAAAGATACTAGCTCCTTTTTCCTAGCCGCAATTCATAGCCGCAATACATCAGCCCTATGATGCTATCACGATCATCCCGACCTGAATACCTCTGCCAGATGACTTCCAAATCATTATTCGAGAAATCAACGTAGCCCGTTCATTTGGGTCGCGTGTTACGCTAACGTCCCGAAACGTCGCCATCTTCGGGCATTCACATGGATGTGTTGTTTGCTCAATGAAACTTTTACACTTGAGAGACGTGTCACAAACACAAAAATGATTCTGCTATCATACGACTATAAAAGACCATCGTCAGCCCTCTAAAACCACCTTCCATTCATCTCACAGCCACCCCAGCATCATCCAGACAATCATGGACTTCGTACAAGGTCAGCATATCCTAGCCAAAACATCTGCTTGCCATCCCCACTTCTAACTTCTGTGACAGATTACCTCCCCCAGCTCTACTATCTTTACAATACATACAACACGACCTATCACCCATATGTCGCGCCCATCTACCGCTTCGTCCTACTCACCCAATCCTACTTCTTCCGCTATATCTTCCCCACAATTTATCCACTCTACACGGTGGCGAACAGTGCCCTCCACACTCTCTCCTCCGATTCGCCGGATCTTGTGACCCTCTTATGCCTAGCGGTCATCCTGATTATTTCAATGAAAGCTCTGGAGTACATGAGGAAGACCGTCATATTCTGGCTAAGCCTGATCCTGCGCTTGGGGCTCTACGCCCTGCTTCTCGGAGTTGGGGTGTACGTGTGGCAACGGGGTCTTGATCAGAGCTTGGAAGATTTCGGATTCCTGTGGGGACTGTTTGAGGGCCTTAGTGAGGAAGGACAGAAGGTGGGGAACCGTAGGGCCAAAGGGAGGGAGTGGGAAGCGCGAAATGTTCGAGCTGGTAGTACAAGGAAGAGAGGCGGGGCGAGAGGCTCGGGATGGTAAATGTTTGGCGAAGAACATGTTGTGCGAGTCATTTGTCATTGGATCACGCAGCGTGGTATTAGATGCGTTATTACGACTAGGAAACGTGGGAAGTGACGGTCAATTTGCTACTCATGCATAATTTAGACGTCATCTATGTCTTCAGAGTTCCGTTCCTCGGATACCCAGTAATTTCGTCATTGCCTTCAATGAAAAACCGTGAGTTCAACGCATCTCCATGTCACCTGGTGTCGTTAGCTGGCACCTGTCGAGTTCTCGGGCTACGATCATCAGGCTCTGGCTAGCTTTCGCCGGAATGTGATTCTAAACTCCATGAGGGAGGAGAATATTGGATTACAGGGTCGCAGGCCCAAAGATTCAATGGAAACCGGAAGCAGGTTGATTTGCCAATAGCAGACATCTACAGTGTGTGAAACTCAGTCGAACACGGTTCGTTGCTACTGCTGCCGCCCATAAAAGCGATGAAAAGGCATCCAGCCAACACTTTATCCCATATCAATATTCTCGGGATCGTATTCAATTTCGTCGTTCGGTTCTTTAGGCTCCTGTGCTTCGTGGTACTGGATTGCATCGTCAATATAGCTCAGGACAGCCCCAACGCTCTCCTCTTTCTGCACATCTAGCCTAAGGAATGACACCATACTGAAATCATCTATCAATTGCGCGACCGTCTGGTTGAGTCGTTTGAAGCTAGCACCCGCCATCATCGAGGACTTCTCCACTGGATTAGTTTCCTTGCTTTGATCTGAAGCAGATATGCCATGAGCGTCTACAGACTCTTCATCCAGCAAAGATGCATCTGGGTCAATGAAACGCTTGAGCTCCTTCCTGCTGACAGAACCTTTGATCAGATCAATCTTGCTCATAACATTTACGTGCGGTAGTTCGAGCATGATCATCGCACTCATAGCCGATAAAGTCCCAGCGAAGAATTTTGCGCGGTCGATAACGAAAGTGGATTCCAGAAGATACGTAGCGCAAAGATTGACATTCAGAGACATTCTGAGATGTGAAACAAGAGCTGGTACAATGGGTATGTGGGTATAGAGCTCGATCTGTCCGGGCATATCGATGAGAATGAGATACTCTTCACTGACAGGCTCAATGGATTCCGTAAGGAAGTCGAGGTTCTCAAGAAGATGTCTTTTGTCTTCTCTTAGCCTATGGACTTGAAGGCTTCGCCAGCATGAAGGCCTACTCAAGACAATATATTAACCCGCCATTAGGACCAAGGCCCATGTCCTCCATCACATCCTCGAGAGATATGAGATCTTTGATATCTAGATCTGGCTCATATGCAAAGTCTTCTGCGGCTGGGTCAAGGTTGACGTAAAAACATGAACGTTTATTGATGCGAAGATGATTGATTGCGGCCGCACAGAATGTGGTCTACCCAAAGCCCACAGTCAGAACACAATGAATACTTCGCCCGACCCGGCACGCACACCTTACCAGCCCCAGCCGGGCCCATTACCAGGGCACCGAACTTGCTCATCTTGTGCAGTCCGGGACTTCCCAAATCCAAGGCAAATATGATGTCGCGGAGGTCATGTACGGAGATTCAAGTGAATCCAATCCATCGGTTTCCGTAAATTTAAGCGCCAAGCTCTGTAAGGAAAGGAATAATACCGTACAGAGTAAGAGACCGAGCGCTTTCAGACTCAAAAAGGCGTGATTTTGGCGACTTCTTAGGAGGGCCGGAGTAGTGCAGAGTAAGTTTTGGAACGTCTTCTCATAAATCTTCGTTGGTAGCACATGAGCATTCTCAATTGCTCTTACATCTGTCCACCTACACACAAACATAAGTTAACTCGAAGCCCATCAGACCAACTGAATCTTCTCGTAGTCTAAGACCTCCATCTCCACAATGCCTCTCACGAACGGTGTCAATGGCGCCAAGCCTAGCACTTTTCTCTTCACCTCAGAGTCCGTCGGACGAGGGCATCCAGACAAGATCTGCGATCAAGTGTCCGATGCTATCCTCGATGCATGTCTTGCTGAAGACCCTCTGTCGAAGGTAGCCTGTGAAACAGCCACCAAGACCGGCATGATCATGGTGTTCGGTGAAATCACCACCAAGGCGCACATTGATTATCAAAAGGTCATCCGTGGCGCAATCAAAGACATTGGGTACGACGACTCGGGCAAAGGATTCGACTACAAGACATGCAATGTTTTGGTAGCCATCGAACAGCAATCTCCTGATATTGCACAGGGTCTTCAGCTTGACCAAGCGCTGGAAAAGCTGGGTGCCGGTGACCAGGGTATAATGTTCGGCTACGCTACCGACGAGACTCCTGAACTACTACCATTGACTGTCCTCTTTTCCCACAAGCTGAACAAGGCAATGGATGATGCCTCGAAAAATGGTAGCCTGCCATGGTTGAGACCCGATACCAAGACTCAAGTCACGATTGAATACAAGCATGACCACGGTGCAGTGATTCCAAAGCGTGTAGACACCGTTGTCATCAGTGCGCAGCACAGCGAGGAAATTACTACTGAGAAGCTTCGAAAGGAGCTCAAAGAAAAGATCATTCCAGCTGTCATACCTTCTCATTATCTGGATGAGAAGACCACATATCATGTGAGTAGTGGATTGATTTCGCATCTCTTTGTCAAAGCTGACATTCGTAGATCCAACCATCTGGTCTTTTCATTATTGGTGGACCTCAAGGTGATGCGGGCGTGACTGGCCGTAAGATCATTGTCGATACCTACGGTGGCTGGGGCGCCCATGGAGGCGGTGCATTCTCAGGCAAGGACTACTCAAAAGTCGATCGGTCGGCCGCTTATCTCGCCCGATGGGTCGCCAAATCCATAGTGCACGCAAAACTTGCAAGGCGGGCACTGGTACAGCTTTCATACGCCATTGGTGTCGCTGAGCCATTGTCCTTGTTTGTCGAGACCTATGGTACTTCGGACAAGTCATCAGATGAATTGGTCGACATTATCAAGGCCAACTTCGACCTAAGACCAGGTGTCATCGTCAAGGAGCTTAACCTGACCAACCCTATCTACAACAAAACTGCCCAGAACGGCCATTTCACCGACCAGAGCTATACTTGGGAGCAGCCAAAAACTCTGAAATTCTGATTAGTTGAAGAGTGTCCTGTACTGATTTACTTTGCGTGAGTTCGATACCCATAATGCCGGTTGTTTTCAACAAAACAGCTAAGCAGCGGCGTCCAAAAGATTTACGACATACGATATAGACGCTGTGATGATAGAAGACATTAACTGTCAAATGTACAGGACTATGAGAGAGATAGTGTACAACATTAACTGTAGCACACTTGGTCAGCAACAGGATTCCGACGGATTCTGGGCGCCTCCTGTATATCGAACATTAGAAAAAGTAGCGGGCATCCCGTTTACTCTCTGGATCTACTTGCATCTACTGATAGGTGAAATGAATATTTCTCTTCTTCTCACTTCTAGAAAAAGTAGCTTAAAGATGAGACTTCGGCACTTAGTCATCTGCTATACAATATGCGAATTTGGCCTTTGTGTTTAATTTAGCGCTGGAGCAGGCAACTTTCGTGCACTCAAGGAGATCGATCATGTGCAGCTTCCTCTTTTAGTGCTCTGTGGCCATATGACTTACTTGTTCCTCAAAACCAGTCATTTGTCCTGCTTGGTTGCCACGTCTTTTCTGACCCTTTCCATTGTTTTCTTGACTATATGCTCAGCCACTGATACGGTGACAAAATCCGAGCAGCTGTAGTCAACAGTGTGCATTATAAGACAGAGCGACTGAAATGATTCGAAACTGAAATGGATCTCCCAGCTTTATTTAGAAAACAAATGAGAATTGCAATAACATTGTGCTCAGCAAATCCTCAATCCTGGATGTTCCAGTTTGTTTCGAGGTATAACGCACACTAGCAATGGTAAGAAGGCTGACATCAAGGGCTGTCACAACACCATTAGGCTATCCAACGCCATCGTTGCAGCACAAAACATCACTTGTCACCGTAGGACGCTAAAACAGTCACTATCACAGGGAATTTTTTCAGTCTCCTCCTAAGCACCATCAAGGCTTGACCTAGGTCCGGAAGGGCGAAAAAATGGAACTGTCCCAAATTATCGCTGCACTTGCTTACACAGCCTTACGATGGGTTTGATTCATGTCTCTGTCGACGGTATTCAAGGAGCGTTAGCAAAAGCGCCAACGGTGACAATCTGAACCGTCGACAACAGATCCATGTGTCCATACGAAACAGAGGAAATGCCAGTCAAATGGACTCAACGCAGTATCACTGGGAAGGCCTAGGTAGATAAGGCGGAGCTATGGCAAAAGGTTCGTTCCATTTTCCCCTTCCGCAAGGGAAGTACACGGTCTGCATTAGCTAGACTTGTCTTGCGTCTCCGACGAATCGGACCCGGGCGAACTCGTTTTCATTGTTTCACGTCAAGAAAACCTTCGAAAAGGTAGTAAGCCAACACGCGGCCGGGAGCAATCCCGGTGTGCGTCAGCGTGGCCGTGGTATATCAAATCAGAGATTGTAGCGAGTGGTTCCAACAAAGCCAGAAAGGAATAGAATAGCATTTGATCGTGCCGTCCTCTCGCTTGAGCATGCAATCATCATCGCGTCATGATCGTACTCCAGCCGCCTGACGCCAAAAGTCTTTGGTTGGTTTCTTCCTGAACTCGAACAAGTCCGGCCCTCTGGTCCCAATCCCACGCCTCCCCTGCTAGGGGCCGCTGATAGACGGGAATGATAGATCCAGTGGGCTTCGGTCTAAAAGAGACACAGGCCGCGATTGGCTAGTGTAAAAGGTCCTCAAATCCTGGGCGGCTACAGCGATTAACCAGAGTCATTTGCATCTCCTTCGGAGGCTTTTCACGGGGTCTTCCAAAGGCGAAGGCCCGAACCCGCGCCTTAGCCTGACAACTATGGCAGGTTCATGCTTGAGGCTTGCTGCCTGCTCGTGCCAAAGAAAGAAGATCCCATGGCCAGCAGGATCCACTCGATCCAAAGCGGGATCTTGCATATTGCAGGTCTTTAGCACGAGTCTGTCTTCTTTGAAGATCCTGCAACCTTGACCTGCAGGGGCGCCATCGAGCGTCCTGATTGGTGTAGATGATGCATGAGTCTTGCATCGCCGCTCGTGGCATGCATAGTTCTTCACTGCACCAAAAACGCCAGAGTACATTTCTCGCAAAAAAGCTCCATCCAGATCTCCAACTCACCTTGGTCTCTGCCGTTCAGTGAAGTGTGTCTTGTTCTGCCACGGAGGGAATCAAGATTGAGGGTCCTTTCGCAGGCAGTTCTATAAATTGCTCACTGGACCCTCGGCGGTCATCGGCATCATGGCAGAAGCACCCCTAGAGCGGCCCTGATGACCGTAGATCCTTCATTTTCTTTACAGCATTTGGGGCGCTCGGCATCAGCCATGAGTAATACATCCATCCCATATCCCCTTTTCGCTTCATGATAGCCCGTTTGACGGTGCTCCTTCATCTCCGTCGTTCAATGATATCTCCATCCGAGACTCGGCGCCTTCTTCAGCACCCGATGGTACCATGTATGGGGGCTCTTGCTGGCATCGAAATCTGGGTACCTTATTGTACCGGATGCTGACGAGTGATCTGGTCACGCTGCGGGCGCCACACACACACCATCTAGTTCCAAGGGATGCGCCAGATGAATGCGTGAGACTAATAATGACTATCCGTCAGCCCGTCCTGGTAGGAGCAAGTAGTGGAAGCTTCAGCCTTCTCTGATGCACATTCGACTGCCTGAAACTACTTAGGCTACTCCCCCCGCCCATCACCTTCTCCGTCGTCGAGCCATCCAGTCGTCCAGTCATCCATCCATCTCAAACCTTCTTGCACCGCCCACCACCGATTGGAAGCCAGGCTAAATCGAATCGAACCTTGGGGTTTCCCTGCCATCTCTTGGGTTGGGTTCCTTCTGCTAACCCAGCTAGCTAAGCAAGCCATCCCGTCAAGAGGTCTTGCTACAACGCTCCCCGCGCGACCTTGCATCGCACCCACTTACCTTAGTACTTACCTTCCCACCTCCGGCCCAGGTCGCCCTCCCGCTCCCTGGTTCACATTTCGGGGGCCTGCCACTCCACAACAGACCCAATCGCGAATCGATCCACCCGCGAGATCGCATCACTCCTAAAGAGAGTTCCCGTATCCGCAACCAACCCATTTGTGCTCCGCCTACCAAGCACAATACACGGTGCGCTTGTTGTGTTGATTGCTGTTGAACTTACCCTATCTCGACTTATACTTAAGGGTATTCGAGATAGCGCCCGGGGAGGAGGAGGGGTCATAGGGCCTTAAAATCGGAAAACTTGCGCAAGTCCCAAAAGGAAAAGCACCGTCACCTGCATGCAACGTTGTCGCGCCCGCTGTGCCCGAGGAACTTCCTTCGACGCCCACGTTGCTCGGCCATTAATCCTCGAGCCTGCAGACTTCACATCCATTCTGGAGCGCGCATCGCGCGCCCACGAGCTCGGTCGAGCAGCGCGACCTGTGGGGCGGACAGTCGCATCCTTGTCGTCGTCATCGCCGCCTTGCCTTGTACGGACCTGATTTGACGGCGATGTATTCGACCACGTCTTCCATGCCTGCACCAACCTCCATGAACGGGATCATGGTCGATGGCTCAGGGACCATCAATCCAGCAGCGTTGAACTCCTCCGGTAAATTTCCCTCCATACAGTGCTTGTCGCTTCTACCCTGCTTGTTGCCATGCAACAGGGACACAGGGTAGCCGCGCGACGCTCGTCTTGCTATTCGTGATGAGATAATCGCGTCAGATTAGTCCCACCAGATACGACTCTCTCTGCTAACACTTCCATCTGCACAGGCAACTCGCTCCCACCCTCATCATCATCATCATCATCACTACACCCACAGCAAAGCCTTCGAGGGCAGAAGAGAAGCCGTTCACCTGATCGTGATGATGGCGGAGGATTAGGTGGTGAAGATGGTACGCTGCTCGCAAACCCCAAATTCGATTGCCTTCTATTATTTTTTTCATACTCTATACTAAGAAGACCTCTCTAATTCAAGAGAGAGCCGGAGCTAATTTCGTTCTCATCCCAGATGACCAAAAGGCAAAGAAAAGGGGCAGATCTTCCGGCGGAGGGTTGGCCAACGAGTCGCTGTCTCGCACAGCCAAAAAAGAGCCGGAGACATTACCGCCGTTCCAGACACCGCAACAGCCGCCTACGCTGCTACCCCAAGATCCTCACACTTCTCCCACGCAAACCTCACCAACTAAAGCATCGACTACGAAGCAGCCCGTCATAAAGGCGCTACCCACTGTTCGAGATCATACCACGGACCAACTAACCCCCGAAGGCGACGAGTACATTCCAAGAGAATATGATCCTGAAGGAGAGAAGAAGGTCACGATAACGGGCCATTCCCTCGATGGTCGTGAATATAAGATGAGAACTTTCTACGTTCCCAATCGTGGAGAAAAACTATTCATGCTAGCGACGGAATGCGCCAGAGTTTTGGGTTATCGTGACTCGTATCTCCTTTTCAACAAAAATAGGTCTCTACACAAGATAATCGCAACACAAGCGGAGAAGGACGAGCTCATTCATCAAGAGATTCTACCCTATTCGTACAGATCTCGTCAGATTGCCATAGTAACTGCGAAATCGATGTTTCGGCAATTTGGCGCACGGGTAATACAGAACGGCCGGAGGGTAAGGGACGATTACTGGGAAGCAAAGGCTCGAAAGCAAGGTTTTACCGAGGAGGATATGGCAGGGGACAAACGCCCAGGTACAGGCAAGGCAAGGGATGCTGCAGCTTTGGAGGTTGCTCATCACGATCAATCCGGAGCGATTGCGAACCAAGACATAAATTATCGAGACGTACAGTTACCGCCTGACCTTGGTGGGCCACTACCGCCACCCAATCACAACGCTCCGATTCCAATGATTCAGACGGACGTGGGTAGGGAGTATGGCAGTATTCCGCGCGTGAGACAGGACATAAGTGGCACACCATATCAAGACAGAACGCAGGCAAGCCCTGCGGGGGACATTCTGCATCAAGCAAGCAATGCAGCAGAGCTTAACAAAAGCATCACCCAGCAACGGAATTACAGGAATAAGAATTACATCGACACTTGGAACAGGAAGATTGACCAGCCAGTATCTGCGAACCCGCAAAAGGTTGATCAGAGCCCTTCGATGACTCAGTCTCCGCACTTATCCTCGAACCCACTTGGAAACCAGCCACACCAGCAATCCATGATACATCATCAACCAGGGTCGCAAATAGTGTCTCCACAGCGGTATCAGCAACCACAACATCAACAGCAGCCACAGCATCAAGCCCATTCCCAGAACGTTCACACTCAATCTCCTGTGCGTCAGAACATGCCTCCGTCCATGCGACCTGATATTCATCACCCTCAGCGCTCGTCAGTGTATAACCCAAGCCAACAAGGAGCTCCGCAAGCCTCTGCATATGGCAATTATCCACAGCCAGGGTCGCAATTGTGGGGTCCTCCGCCGACCAACCCTCAAGCGCATGGCCAACCCCATCAGTCCCCAGTCACCTCGCAACATCCGTCATTGTCACACCACTACTCACCCTCTCCCCATCAGCAGCAAATACAGCAACCCGGACAATCCCCGCACCACCACTCGCCACACACGCCGTCGCAATTGCATCACAGTAGCTCGCAAGGCAACCTTTACAACGCCATGGGTGGAATGCCAGCTGGCAATACTGTGTATGGAGCAATGGGTCAGCATAGGAATGCATACAACCCTCAGACGGCTCCTCGACAGATGGGCAGTCCTAATCCGCAGCAGCAAGCCTTCTTACAGCAGAGTACAGCAGCACAGCAGGCGAGCATGCAGGGGTGGGTACCACCACCTATGGGTACGAGCAGTCAGGGCTGGGGTGGGTACCCTGCCAGCACTGGATTCTCATGATCCTTGCGCTCTCTCGGTCGGACAAGATGTGTAGTACTTAGGACGAAGCATGGATCACGAAGCTATGCAAAGATTGAACGACTTCTATATTCACAATTACCATCCGTCAGACTCGCCATGGTTGCTCAATCAAGCAACTCATCAATCAGCTTCGCACGGGTCAAAAACTTTACAAATTATCTTTCAAAATGTGTTTTAGTATTGACACAGCTCTCTGGCGGCTTTACACTCCGGATCGACATTTTTACAGCAGTAACATTAGCACTACTCTAGCATCATCATATTCATGCAGTATACATTAACATGGGCAGCATCAGGCTGAATGCGCGACTCGTGTGAGAGCAGCTACTAGCAGGCGCGAGAACATGCCAATCTTCGGCATAGGCATATGGTCACTTTAGGGTTGGGAAAAGGGCATTTGGGCAGGGACTGCAAGCATACGCGAAGGTTTGATTACAATCCAGCAAGCATTTAGTGGAGGATTTCTTTCTAGCAGGAAGATTGAATGGCACAAAATTCATCATGTGGTGCATTATATGGCAATAAAGACTGCTCCTATCTCTACATTCATACGCATATTTCTCTTCTGATTTCAGACAGGCAGGGCACTGGCTGAATCTTTCAACCCGGAAGCAATGTATTTGTTGCATGGTAGTACAACATTATAATTACTAGTTACTCTCTTCACAAAGGTATGTTCTATTTTTACAGTAGAAAATTGATGGTCTGTGGCAAGCCCGCGACGACAACAAACCTCCCTTGTTCGAGAAATAGGAATCAATATCTATGATAATGTTCTATCCGCGCGGAACTCAATTCTTGCTTCGCCTTCTGTCTCAACTACAAAGAAGCTTCTCTGTTCACCTTGCTGAATGACCAATAACCAAATTTTCCGCAGGCCGTCTCCGAGCCTCCGGAGGTTGAAGCAATAATATAGGATTCTCTGACGCCGGAAGGTAGTGCCCCTGGAGTCTCTGGAACAGAGATGCGGTAGATATCGAGTCTACTATGCTCACAGCCACACGGAGGGTACTGAGTCGCTTCTATCATGTCAGACGATGAGGAATCAATCGAATCGTGCGCCTCCCTCCAGTGACATGCTGAACGACTCGGCGAGCATGGCGGCTTTACCGCTGTTACATGACTGCGGATGGCTACTGCTGACGTGCATGTTTGAACCTCTAGGTTCCATTGGCGCCTTAAAGATCATGCGACAGGCTAATTGAGATCACTTCCAGCTCCTAACATTTCCATCCTTGTAAGTCTAGTATGTCATGTACGCATGCCGCATTATTGGCGACGAATGGAGCTATGAAAGAGACTGCAAGGCACGGTCCGTGGACCACGGCAGAATAGAACCAACGGGGAATTTTCCCGAGACATGGGTAGGAGTGTCTCAAGTATGATGGTGTGGAAGGTCTCCCGTTGAGTCAACAATGGCATTCTGACCTTTTCCATTCCGACAGTCCATCATTTTAGTATGTCTCTCGCAGGCCACTAACGAGTGACAGGTCAGCCTTATGATGTAGGACCCTGACGACGAGGAGACTCACGGCATTTGAAGCGGCATATAGATGGAAGGACAACCATGGGGGTCCCCTGCTGGCTATTTATGGAACAAGCATATAAGACAATCCACCCTGCCATCATGAAACGCTGCAACGCTTGTGTCTAGGAACTATACCTAATGAGATGTACAGGTACATGGCCGGCATTTGCAAATGTCGACACTGATAGCATTGCAAAGCTGTGCGATCTACTTACTAGCAAGTAGAACAGTCTGAATCCGAAACGGCACCGTTGGAAAGACATTTCGAAGTTCCACCTTGCAATCGAGTTGGGCATCAATCTGTTTCTCTGTTGATTACGCAATGGATGAATGCGGGCTTGATATGGTCACCTGCTCGCTGCCCGAGACGAGCGCTCTGATTGCCCAGCGAACAGATCTACTCTCACAGAATCTTTAGATTTTTCCCGGGGAATCATACAGATGCCGCGCGGTTCAGTGAACATGAATGCTCTCCCTAGTACCTCGAGGATTTGTGCTTTAGCCTTGTCTTTCCAAGTGAAAATATCTGCTTGCGACTTTTTTCAAATCTAAAGAAGAAGGAAAAAGAAGTACAAGAGAACAGGACCTCGACTCTTGACAATTCTCGATCTCGCTAAAAACATCAAAATGAAGCTTATTTCCACCCAGTACATGCAAAAAAGCATGTTAATCACTTACTTCCCACCAGAACATGAGATTCTCTTAGCTGTGGTTCTTGCAAAATGACCAAATTCTCTCGCCTAGCTGATGTCTGTGCACTTTTCTACTCACAATCTGCAGAACTAGCCCACTTTCATATACTCATTCCCTGTTTTGATCAGAACCTTTCGTCTGCTAGCCCACCCCCAGAATATTCTTAATATTGTCTATGTCTAAGCGTAAATAACAAATCGTTTCTCCGTTCATTTTTTTGGCTGATACCTCCTACACTAACTATCCTCTCCAACCTTACACCAAGATCAACGCTTCACGACTTTACCATCCACTGAATGCACAACGTCCCGATGCAAACTCAGTTCCCACCAATTGGGAAAATCCTCCATGCAATACCCCAGCAGGCATCTCCAAAGTTCTAAAAGTCGGACACAGTCGAGTCAGCGCTTTTACCATATCATTCCCGTCTACTGATTTCTCCACCCTCAAAAAGTGGTATAAGGCGCAAGAGAAGAAAGGAAATAACTCACTGGCCCCCCTCATCTCACGTGAAGGTCCCGCAATCTTCAAGCAAGCATTACAAAGCGGATTCCCCTCCCCAGCCCACGGGCCCTCCAGCCTCCCACAGAATTCCGCCTGCTCTTGAAGCAGCGGCGGCTGGGGCAGCATTCGTCCATGAAAAGGAGGTTGAAAGTGCGTGTGGTAATGGTAGTGCGGATGGGGAAGGTAGCAGCGCGGGTGTGGCGATTGGAATCCAAAATAGGGGTCGTGAAAGGGGTGAAGTTGAGGCCGGAGTGACTGATATGGGCCGAGTGCGCGGTGGGAGGGAGAATAGCAGGATATTACGGGGAGGGTGACACCGCAGCGATTGCAGCGGCTGCGACGGCACATCGTTGTCTTTGACTGTCAATGTGGTAGGAAAGGGGAATTCGAAGGGTTGAGCTAGACTGGCTTGGACGTTGATAAGGGCAGATAGAGAGGTACACCAGGCTGAGATCATGGAAGCAATCAAAAAGACGAAGTTTGAAGAAACGGACTTGCTTGCATGCATGGAAACATGATTGGTAAAGGCTCGCGGAAGTTTGAAGAGGTATAACAAAGTGAATGGTTTTTTTGCTAGGAGGAAAACAAAGGAAAACGCGAGGCAAGAGGCCGGAAAAGTCCTGGGGGAAAAGGGCGCAAACGCGTCTCTTTCACAAAGCTAGTTTGCTTCTCAAATCATGCCCATTATCTACCTGTACCTTCCCATTTTGTCTGTCTCGTCAGATTCTGTCACCCAGCCATCCCCATCATGATGGGCCATACGATGGGCGACGAGAGCTCGCCAGTCTGGAGCGTCGTATTGACAGTACCCCAAGCGACAGCTTTGCATTCCTGCTGGTCCGTTCTCTCGTAGACAGGCAATACAGTATGGTAGTGTAGACCCTGCCAGAAGTCGCTTCACCTGATGCCCTTCTTCTTGGTATTGAAAGCATTTGTGGTCGATGAAGCATTTAGTACTGGAGCATTTGCGGCACTTGTTCGATATGCACATTGTGTCTCCTGCCAGTGAAGTTGATGAGAATCTGTTGATGTTTAACGATAGTCGCTCGGATCGTAAGTCGGCCTAGGAAAACTAGGTGTTAGAGTTGTGTCGTCGAAACTCCGAATCGTGGGAGCTTCGATTGTTGTTAGGAGAAGAAGTACTGAAGGGCAGCCCAGCTTTTAAAGAAGGCTTGAGTAGCGTTACCAGCCAACTGTGAGTCGTACAATGCAGAAGGGAGCAAAGTGTTACGGTTGATGTCGTGCATTGTCACAAATTTGGATTCTCATTTGTGTCGAGCGCCAGCCTTGTCATCCTGTTTCGAGTGCTTCGGTTCATGTCGAATCTACCTGATTGACTCCTGGCTATCAGAGAACTCGTGAGAACCCTGGCTGTGCCGTCTTCGCGATGACAACGTCTCCGATGCTCCACAAGTTCATCCCACGTGGAGCCCACGACAGTGCAAAAGCCAAGACGACATGGCCAGATTTCTTCTTCCACGTTCTGAAGATGGTTCAATTTTGTTTCTGCAGTCAAGCCTACGTGGTACCAGAGCAGACAATGAAGGCAAAAGGGTCGTTCTCGAAGCGGAGGCAGGTCGCGTTTGTGCCATGCATGCCATCGAAATTTCGTGCAGTGAGTCTCGCCTAGTTCTAAGTTGCATAGTCGACAGCGATTTTCGCGGCACATCGTGGTTTTGAACTGACCCGAAAGCTGTAGCGGATTTGATGCAGTGTGTGATGGATCTGATTTTGACGGAAGAGATGGACTAGCTGAAAGTAATGATAGCAGCAATTAGTCTGCATTGTACTCGAGCAATAGGTAATGAGACAATGCACCTCTGTTGTAGAATCAGTAAAGATGGAGAGACCAAAGGAGCGAAGTCAATTTATTGTCTGCAAGAAGGCCACCTCCCTGGTCATACAATAGAATACAGGCCTGGCAAAGAGCATTTCTGAGGTTAATGTATCGAGTGGGCCGTTAGCCACGGGCTTTGGCAATTGCCTTGTGTTTTCGTAACTTTTCATGGGTTGAGAGTCGTGACTTCAATCCGGTAGTATGTGCAGTCAGGACAACAACTTAGGGCAATGATACATAAAATCAACACCTTTGAGGGCGGCTTTAGGTATGGTACTGCGATGTTGGGGCTAACGCAATCTTATGAGCTACCACCATTGTCAACCGTAGCTTCACCTTTGCTGCCTTCTAGCCATTCCCCGAATTGATCTAATCTCTTTCCCTCGTCATCTCCGTCCTCGTCATCTAGACTCATCTTTTCCTTCGTCTTCTTAAACTTCTCACTGCCGTCGGCAATGCGGGCTTCAATCACCATGCCGGAATAGTGTCGACCATCCATTTGCCGTACGCATGCTTCAGCAGATTCTTCATTCGAGAAACGTACGGTCGCCACCCCGTCCACTTCGCGGTCAAAAATTACTACATTGGTCAAGGGGCCAAGCTTAGAGCATTCACTGCGAATGTCTTCTTTGATGTCTAAGATCGCCGCTGGATCTTCCTATTTTAAGGCAAAAAAAATTGGTCAGGACTGGACGAAGATGCATAGATCACTGAACGACATCGATGTCCGGGATACGACTGGCTCAGAATTGAGGGAAGAGTCTTACCTCAAGTTCTGCTAAGGTGAACATGTGCTTCAGAATTACGACCTTATCCCATCGCGATGAGGTTTCCTGAAGTGTCTGAGGGTCGTCATCATCCCAATCGGCGAGCTTGCTGAAGTAATGTTAATTCCGCTACCTAGACTCTCCGCACTGTCACCCTATGAAAGGAGACATACTTGTTCAACTTTTGAGTTTTTTTGATTATTTTTCTTTTCTCCTTGGTGAACCCCTTATTATTCTGCGCTGGTGCCTCTTTCTGCTGCTTGTAGGAGAAATCTGCGGCAGCAACCTTCATCTTTGGGCCATCTCCTAACCTCGTTGTTGTCAGCACGTTCCGCATATCTGCTGATACATCGACGGCTTACCGAAGTTGCGTGTCGTCAAGCATCTGTACCGCAAGACTGACGCTCTCAGATCTGAAGTAGAGCACTAGCGCATCTCCTTTGAAGCTGCCTTGATCGTCTGTGTATAGCTTTATGCGAGGCTTATGTCCATCAATCTCTTCAGCAATAACGCCACACCGTGAGAAGATCCGTTGGATTTCTTCGACGTCAGTGTCTTCAGGAAGATTGGTGATATAGACTGCCGTATTCTTGCGCTCTGCTGCTGGCTTGGTCGGAGCGGCTTTCTTGCTTGGACGGCCTCCTACTTCCTGGATGCAGCCAAAAACATAGCGTTAATCCTCATTGCACGGAAGTTTCGTTTCGGTAACATTGACTGGCGACTTACTTCCTCGCCGTTCGTATATTCTGCCTTCTTTCTCTTCCTTCCAGCCTGAACTGGCTCTGACTCGTCGACACCTTGTACGGCATAGGCCGCTCTTTGTTGTTCCAATAGATTATCGTCCACCTATTGCGCGCAAACGAAATCATGCAGCGATTAGAAATAGTCCGTGACGTTCGTCATCTGGATCGTAGGAGCGCGTCGGACATCAAGCGCCTGAGACAGGGTATGAGCGTACCACAGGAATCCATCTCTTGATGCCGTCGTCGTATTCGAACTCTAAGGGTTGCCCTTTGTCGTCTTCAATTTCTAGGATGAACTTTTGGTTGAGCTTGTCGAAAGATATTCGAGAATCGACATCGAAATCGGCGGGATCCTGCGGAAACGAGGACTGCAACGGTAGGGGAGGAGAGGTAGACGACTGTATTCGAGCCATTGTAAAGAGATAGGCGTAGGGTTGTATGCATTTACGACAAACAATGTCCAAGATCGTAGAGCTGGAGCTTGACTAGTGTCTTGGCAGAGAGTCTTCCATCCATGGGCACCAGATGATTTCAATGCGTATGAAATCGCGTAACAGTGCCCAAGGAAATCAAAATCAGATGCGTTTTGGACCTTTGGTCTGTAGCATTAAGTTTGTACTAGAAATACACCTGGTTGTAGGTCGACCTCACAGGCGTGGCCGCTCACACATCAATACAGAGCACAAATGCCGCCATTCCCCGTACATGCTCGTAGCCCAACGGCTGAAGCTTCATCAACTATATCCAGCATCAATCACTTTGGCTCACAAACATGGCTCTCTGATCAGCAGACGAATGTTTGCACATCACATCCAGCTGCTTAAAACGCCTGGCTAATACTTCCCCAGAAGCAGACCTTCGCCGGACCTCTCCTGGTTGGGAGTCTCCTTTACTCTTCTTTGAAAGCTCCAAGAAACGAAGAACCAACGAGGAATCATTCGGTGCAACCCTCACCTCAATCGTCCATTCAGAGCCTCTTCATCACTTCGCCCAGTATAACTTTTCTCATGATTCCCTATCACGCTTCCCTCATCCCCGCTGTATTTGCTTAACATGTCTGTGTCTCCAAGAGCATCGCCATTGATGACGTCTCTGGTCAGCTCAACGTAATCGTAGGCAAATTCGCCGATTTCTGCATCATCCATGCCGAGCACCTCTGCTTCCTCACTCGCGCGGAGTTTCAACCCGGGTATAAGGTTCATGACAAAAAGTATCAGGCAGGAACCGCCAAAAGCATAAGCGAATCCGGCGACGGAATCGGCAAGCTGATATGCTAATTGAATCCAGTGGTGATTGAGCCATCCGCCTTTGATGACTGTGAAGCCGTCAAGGTGAGCTATGTAGTCTCTGTTTGAAGGTCAGTATACTTGCGAGAGAACCTATGATGAATTGAATACGTACGCGGCAAACAATCCTGTGCACAGGTTGCCAACGAGACCACCGATGGCATGAACCGCAAAGATATCGAGCGCATCGTCGATGCCGAGTAGAAACTTGAGCTTTGTAGCGTAATTGCAAGCGGAGCCAGCTACTACACCGTATACAACGGCGGACCAGGCTGGTACGTATCCAGAGCCTGGTGTGATGGCGACTAGACCAGCAACGACGCCAGAGCAGAACCCGACAGCTGACCATTTCCTTTCAAGCCGATAGTCGAGTAAACACCAAGTGACTCCGCCAACACTAGCTGCAAGATTCGTTACAACGGCCGCCATAACGGAGCGTAGACTTGCACTCAATGCCGAGCCAGCATTGAAGCCAAACCATCCTACCCACAAGAAGACGGTGCCAACGATGACCTGAGTGACATTGTGGGGACGAAAGTTCAGTTCATGTGTGCCATGACCTCGTCTTTTCCCAAGCATGAGAGAGTACGCGAGTGCTGTCGAGCCAGAAGAAATATGCACCGGTGTGCCACCGGCAAAGTCTAGGCCTCCCATTTGATAAGACCATCCCGCAGGGTTCCAAGTCCAGCACGCAATTGCGTCGTATATAACCGTCGACCAAATAAACATGAAAATAACGCAAGGAAGCATGCGGCCTCTTTCTGCAACAGCACCCATGGCTAAGGCGACCCTGCAAGACGGTTAGCTACATGGGCTCTGATGCAGCGGAGCACATGTCAGGTGGCGTACGTAATACTGGCAAACATGCCCTGGTACACGGCAAACAGTAGATCAGGTATTTTCTTGCTCCCCACACTCGGCTGCGCCAGGGTGTTCCGCAAGCCAATATTTTCTAGATCCCCAATGAATTTACCGGCGGTATGGGAGAACGACAGCGAGTAGCCCCAGAAGAACCACTGGAAGGACGTCACGCCTACTGCCATCATCGAGAGCCATATCAAGGACAAGGCGGATTTCCGTCGCGCAAGGCCGGAATAGAAGAAACTAGAGCAAAGATTTCACGTTAGGCAAGATGTCGCGTGGTCAGAGAGTTGAAGAAGACGGTGGCGTACCCAACTCCCGGAATCATGAGAAGTACGAGGGCGGTGGATGCAAGCATCCAGGCGATATCGCCGGACTATACGGCACTCGTTATGGATGCACAATTTTGGATACGAAAGGGACAGGATTGTACCTGATAATGGACATTGAGATCTTGTGTTAACGAATCTCCGCCTGTCGCCGCAGTCTCATTGTAAGGGATTAGCTGTGTATAGTTGAGGCTGTTGAGATCCATCCCATCCATGCCGTCCATGCGGTTGTTGGCCATGGTGATAAGGATCCAACGAGGCGCACCTCCCCCGAGTTGTAGTGTGGTGAAAGCCTCTCAGGCTATGGTGATGAAAGGTGGATTCAGAGATGGCGGACGAGTCCTCCTCGGAGCGGTATAGCTAGCTCTGGATGAGCCAGGCTCACGGTCTCATGAACAATGATGCTGTGGTGTGTCAAACGTTGCTCTTCTATTCGAGCGCAAGCGACGGAGGTAGGGGAGGAAATGAGTGGGCTTAAGAGGCACAAGGATAAGAGGTAGCAACCCAAGGGCGGGACCGCAGCCTAGAATACCGGGAGTCTAGGGAGTCTAGGGGCAGTTTGACACTAGATTCCTTTTCGCATTGAATCGCAGGAAATTGGCCGCATCTATTCTTGCACCGAGAATAGCAACATCTCATCAGTCATCCCCTGCGTACGGCGTCAGTCATCTCGAGCCTCTCTTTCATTTCGTCCTGTCTCCCTTCCCCGAGAAACACGACGGCATGAGAGGCGGATGTTCCTTCTCGCTGAAGGCCGATCAACCCGCCGGGGCAGGAGTGTTCGCTAAGTGGCCAGTCAAAAGGCGTTCTGGTATCTTGCCTGCATGCTTTTCGGCCGCGGAGTGCGAAAGACGGGATGTCGATAACGCTAGGAGAGCACAGAGACTAGAGGCACTGACTAGAGACACTAGAGACCTGGTGCAACATGGCCGATCCATGTTCTGCATGTGATAACAACATAGGCCAATCACGGGTGTTACTTCGTCGCATGATCCAGCCATCCGGCATGCGTGCCTCGTGGTGCGTGCATCCTGTACTTGTGTGGATGTTGAGAGAAGCCTCCAAAACCTTTCGACCTTTGCCACGTGAGGTGATGGGGAAACGTCAAACCTTCATGAAACTTGCATGCAAGATGATCGGGGTAGTCTGTGCTCTATACACTTATTACGCAGACGCAAGAAACATATATCAGTGGAGGCTCTGCCTGACCGCGCTTGACCTCTGTTTCCCGTACCTTGCATAGACCATGCGTTCCTTGCAGCATCCTCCAATGAGGTGAAATTCAACCACTTTGATCACTACTAGACTAGTATTCGAGGGTCAAGTAGTAAACCTTGCCTTGCCTTGCCTTTGCGTTCTGCTACTACGCCGCCATACCACTACCATCCACGGGCATTGATCCACGCTCAATGTTGGCTTCCTGTCAGTGCCAATTGTCCGTGTCGTTCAAAGCTTAATGGAAGCCGCTTTTGGTCTTGGGCCTACTCATTTCGCCATGTATAATTCTTTTATCACAATTTTAAACCAAGACCGGCGTTCCTAGAAAATCCCACTCCAGTAAGGCCCGAAGAAAATAGCTAGTGCCTTCGCTCCAACCGTCGGCCTCATCACTAATAACGCTTTCGAATAAAAGTGAGTGATCAAGTTTGTCCACGTTTCTATGTTACACGATCGGCCCAAGTCGCACTCAATACAACCTCTTCATTTGCCAATACCAGCCTTGGGCTCCGAGAAAAGACCGCTGCGCAGACTGGTGGTTAGCGATGGCAATTAGAGCTTATTTCGCTTCTTTGGTTCTTGCGTGTAGCTCTTCATTTCGATACGCCGTCATTCGAAAATCTAATAACAACATATGGTGACGCGGATTGCCTCATCCAAGAGCTCTCGACTATATCTTCAGAGCTGGCAAGAAGTTGAATCGAAGGCTGTATATGAGAGCTTGTCTTGAGAGAAGCCATCAACATCGGACTGACATCTAGGAGTAGGCAGAAGTTAATCTGCCAAATACCTGTCTTGACATTAGCTTATTGCTTCTGCTCGCAAGTGACAGAAAATTTACCTCGATAATCTGGAATGGACTCTCGGCGAGATTGTCCGAGTAATTTGCGTTGTTTTCTCAGGGTTCAAGTGCATCAATCGGAACTAATTCGTCTTTTTTGACGGACATAGTAATAGCAATCTTCTCGCACGCGAAAAAAAGGCGTGTCTAGGCTTTCACATTTCCAACATGGCATTTGTAACTATTTCAACCTTCGCAGGAGTCGCAGGACCTCACCCTCCAGGATTAGGGCCTGGCATTCCCTCGCCCAGTATGAGAGAAGATGAAGCCAGCAAGCATGAGCTATTTTTGTCATAGCAATTGCAAAGCCAGCTGCTGACTCTTGACCTTTTCGTCCTTTGCTAGGACCTCAGGAGACATTGGTGCCCATGGTCTAGAGGACATCCACGACCTTGAAGGGACATCTAGCCCGCTCCTTGAACCCCAATATGTTTAACTCGTCAAATATATCTCGTATGTAGGTCCGGACAAACTTAATCATAGTGAACATGTTTGTCTATACGACCACAAGAAGAGGTTCCTTTCTCCGATTTCAGCAGTGAAATATGAGTAATGATTGCTTAACTTGCAGTATCTTCGAAATATCTTACCCTACTCAGTCTATACGTAACAGACCCGGTCTTCTATGCTGAGAGATGGTCTCTTTGAAAAGCACTGGCTCAACCATCACACCTGACTCTCACACCTGCTCGTATCCGTATTGCCCGGGGGGACATGTGCCGTTACTGTTGTTGATCGAAAATCCGGGTTGTATTTGTGATATGACTTGGTGAAAGGAACTTTGACCAGCTCTTACTCGCCAGGACTGCAGAGCTCATCAAGCATCTTGCTTGGATGATGATCACAGTCCCCTGCCAAGCTTCAAGACACGTACTTCATCAAGGGAGAAAAAATACAGCACAAAGCGGATAAAGGAAGGAAAGACGGATGGGAGCAATTAGGCACCTGCAATTTTTCATACTTCCTAGTCGTCGTAGCTCACGTCGGCTCACGTCGGCTTCATAGGCTCACTCATCCCCCTCCCTTACCCTGTTGTAGTGTGTCATCAAATGGATCCCCATAATCTTCTGCATACCTTTCTTTAGCAATCGATTTCCATCGGTCTTCGGGTCCCGCGATACTTACTCAAATTAAACTGCCTATCCTCCAAAAGATTCCACGCTCTCTGCCACTCGTCCCTGGCTTTCTTGTTATTCCAACTCGCGCCCAGAACAAATGTATCCTGCGGTTCCTTGCCAAAATCGGACTTTTTGGTCGTCCCGAGGTCCTCCATCTGCACAGCGCCATCGACTTCGTTGCCTTGGTTAGTCTGGTTTTGCGAAGGCGGTGGAGAGAAGAGAATATCGTTGATATTTGGAGGGATGAATGATGCAGACGATTCGACGGACGTGTTAGCAGCGGGGAACATGGCTTCTTCTGAATCAGTGGATGGAGAGTTTAATTCGCCCATTTGGCTGTCGCCGTCCATGTCGCGGGGGTCTAGTGAAGAAGTGTAAGTCAATTTGATGTGATTGTATTACTGTAGGAGTGTGTTCACCAGCCATTTTGAGCCTAGTTCATGATAATCCTGTGCGTTGAGTGAAAGCAAATTCACACCACGCATCACTTATGACACAAATCCCATAAGAAGCTTTAGGGTTCATAGTGGGTCCCATTCCGGCCGAAGCCGCCTGGGGTTCTAGGGTTGCCGAGCCTGTCACACTCCGAGGCAACTTCAGACTTCTCCATCAATTACCCCAGTCTTCTGATTGTGAGGTCGTTCGCTATTCGCTCTTGAGACCGCTACAACCGTCTCTACGTTCCAGAGTCGAATACACTGTCTTCCCTGTGTTTTTAACATTTAACCCGCCGCTGTTGCGGGCAGCAGCGCTACGTGCACTAGCCGCTTGCCTCGCTATGGCTGACGCATGGGACGACGACTGGATAAATAAAGCGGACGTGAGTGATCTCAGAGTGTTAAGGATACAGTTAATTGACAAGGATTCTAGACGAAGTCAGTAGCAACAGACTCAACTCCAGCCCCCGCCAAACTCTCAAAAGCAGAGCGAAGAGCGCAGCAGGCCGAGTTCAACAGACAGATATGGGAGGACGCGTGCGTAATGTGTACATTACGATGGAAGTATTTGCTGAAGCTATATAGTGAAAAGGAACAAAACAACTATTTTCTCGAGACTCAGGGCGTTGTGCCCTTGAAGTCCGATTTCAAGCCCACAATGACCGTCTTGAGCCGGAAGCCACCTACCAAGGTCTCCAAATCCATTGATGGATTGGGTCAGGTGGGCCTCGACGATGACGATGAAGATGATGAGGCAGCCAAAAATGTCTTGACGCCAGAAGAGCAAATGCAAAAGACTCAGCGTGAGCGGGAAGAAAAGCAGAAGGCTTACGAAGAGCGTAGACGCGAGCTCTTTGGCAAGGACAGTTCCACAAGCAGGCAATCCTCGGCGAAGGCCCCCAGCAGTCCTCGAAATCAGAGCCGAGCAAATCGAGGCGAAAACAGGCCTACCTCATCTGCCAGCCAAAAGACCCGTCAACTCTACGACCCTAATGAATCCGCCAAACCCGATGCCTTCAGGCCACAGAAAAAAGATCCGCATTTGAGCGAAAATCATCCAGTCCGTGAACCAAGAGCCCCCGATGGAAGTGGGCGAGGCGGGTCCGGTTTCGCACCTCGCGGGGGTCGCTCTACTTGAGCTTATGATCTGGTCGTAACAAGCTCATACTTGAGCGATGATGATGATTACCAATGAGATGGACACCAATGGATGCCTTTATGCTAGAAGAGAGGCGGCTCTTCACAAAGCTCGAATCCCGATTAAATTCCGCCCGACCGTTTCACCAATTCCACATGTTTTCAACATTCGATCCAAAGCCATTCAATGCTCTTGCTATCGCAAAACAAATCCTGCGACAGAGGATCTTTTCGGCAAATCAAATACTAAGCGCGATATTAACGCATTTGGGGGATATAGCCACTTCCTCCCTCGTTACAAATCTTAAGTCAACTAAGGAAACTCTTGATTCCCACCCAAGGAGTAATCCTTACCACTCCGAGCGTAAGGCCAACTACCGTACCTTGACCCCTTGAATATCATCAACGGTTCCTACCAATGCTCCGACAAGCTTTGGGAAGCTTGAGGTGAGTGACAACAGATGCTCTCTGTTTCTACGCGTTGTCAGTGGAAATCAACTTGCTCATGAGGCTGACCCTTCCCAGCAGGGTTACTGAAGCTGCCGCCCCCGTGCTTGTACGTGCTAGGTCCTTTGCGACCTCTCAAAATTGCTCAATCGTAGCTCTCTCTGAGTCACAAGGAATTCAAAGCGCCAGGCTCTCAAGGGACACGATTACTTGCCATCTAATCTGTTGTTAGTGCAAGACCTACTAGATCTCTACTTTTTGGATATTGATAACGCAACTTGAACTGTTGTTGAAAGGAGGTCAGCCGACCTCTGCAGCATTATTGACGACGGTTTCATTTCCGAAAGCGAAATGCTCATCCAGGTATCATGATCTTGCTTCGTGGAACTCGTGGGCTGATCGAAAGCGGGGCAAAGAAGAGTCAATTGAAGCTTTCCTTATCGTAGTCGTCATTTATACTCTGAATCCTAGTGCACTAGTGCGCCATCAATGCTCGCTTGCCAAAGATCATATCCAATTTCTCATATCAAAATGCCATGAATTTACTCGTCGGGTCCGGCTCCCCAATCTTACCTACATCACTCTCGACCTTTCTATAAGTAGTCTGCACAAGTTTCTCCAATGGTATCCTCACAAAATCCTCCCAGTGCTTTAGCACATGCTTGACATAGCTTGGCGAAATCCCATTGATTTCGTCCTCGTACCTCTGACCTTCAGCACCAGCATCAGCCATATCACTGTCCTCACCAGCCTCATCATCTCCCTCTGACAAGGAGAAATACGCCTCATCCACAGACGCCAACCAATCCTTCTGGCCCTTCTCTTTCCCACTCTGCCCAGGCAAATCATCAACCTTGATCTGTCCACCACCGTTTGTGCATCCTCCCGGACATGCCATGACCTCCACATAAGCATACCCATCCAAATTGCTCCCTCCACCCGAAGTTCTTGCCCCTAGCTTCGAGGAACGAGCGCCAGGCATTCGCGACGCTTTCACTGGCTTGAGCTTGCGAACGAGGTTTTGGATGTTGCGAAAGCCGTAGTACCGGGCTGATTTGAACACAAGCTGCTTGCTGGGGTTGTCAGAAGACGTGATGGTGTATTCAATGACATCGGCATTGTGGCCACGTTTGCTCGTGAGGGCGCTATGAGGGTGAAGCGAGAGCTGGCTTTGGAGTATGTGGTGAAGATAGCCACCCGAGGTACCTGCTTCCGGCGGCTGCTGTCGTCTCCGGCGGGCGCGAGGAAAGAGAAAGCTGTGAAGCGTGGGTTCGGGGAAGGGGGAAAATTGGAGAGGCCGGCGGGGAAGGTTGGGGAAACTGATACCCCGGGTGTCGGCTAGCATGAGAAGCTCACGAGCTGTGATTACGCAATCGACGTCGCGTATGGGAGGAGTGATCTTTTCCGATGGGCTTGAGTCCCAGAACACGTCGGTAAGCTCTTCACGGGAAGCTTCAAGTTTTTTGTCGAAACAGGGCATGATGGCCACGTGCCATATCTGATCTGGGCGGAGATTGAGTTGTTTGCCGAGAACAGTCTTGAGGAGTATTCCAGTCAACGCTTGTGGAGATTTAAGTTGCGAAAGATGAGGTAGAACGTGGGCGTGAGATTTCTCGGCGTAGCATATCCATCCTGGGCAGGCGGAGGTGAGGATCGGCCGCTTCGGCGAGGCATCTGGTTCAGATACTGACAAAGATTGGGCGACCTCTTCTGCTGCTAAAACCAAGCTTGCTTCTCGCATGGCGTTGGTGTCGACAACCCACTTGAAGTGGTTGCCATGACTGCCACCCATCGCTAGCCCCTGGGGTCCGCTTAGAAGTTGATCTATCATCCATCCTGCATCTTTCTCGGAGACCCCGTAGGTGGCTCCAATACTAGCTCTTACTTGCGGACTGACACTCGCCACAAATAGTTTCCCTTCCGAATTCAGAGTATTCAGCACTTCAGCGTGAGATTGCAGAGAGACCAGGACTGCCTCAGCAGAAGTCACGCAGCCAGAGCATGCTAGACAATCAGTCAAGGATATCTGTGCTGTTTTAGGGTCTTCAGGCAGTTGTCCCTCCTTGGCGACTTCATACAAATTCGAAGACGCGGGCTGCTGTCTTGGGAGATTTTCAACGGGTTTGATGCAGGCGACGCCAGGGGAGATGAAATCATTGAGGTCATCGGCAGAGAGGATCGCCGACATACTCCAAAGTGGGGCGAGACAAGCGTTGGATCTGGAGGACTGAAGGCCGACATTTGGTGCAATGAAGGACGGCTTGGAAGGAAAGAACGAAGTGGATGATGACCAATTGATGGCAGCGGCGGATATGCGACCTCGGAGAGTGCACGCTAACGCGCTTCCGAGGATTGGTGTGTTTAATTCAATGACCGCATTTCGCTCGTGCACCAAGCTAGATGGGCCCTCCCAATCTGTTCTTCATCGTGTAGGTCATTTCCACTTACGAAAGAGAACTTCGAAGCCGACTACCAAGGTCGCTCTTGTGAAGAGTGCTGTATGAAAGGATTGCATCGGACTAACTTTCCAGCCGCTTTTAGTCTGTCCTCCTGCGCCACTTCTTGTCTTTCCCAGTCATTGATCTATACATATAAATTGGTTCTTCGAGAGCCTTCAAGCGAGTAATAGTCCTGACTACAGTAGCTACTCTATTACGGCTACTCTAGCCACGAAACCATTTGTATCGCGTTGTACGTGGGTGGGTGTTTGGAGCCGGGGCCTTTTTTCAGTCTGCATAATCTGATGTGCTCTCTTTCTTTCTATGACATGCGTCTAGCCTGAGAGCGGACACAGTTCCCAATACTGTTGACTGGTTTGGTCATCCTTCTCCCAGACGTATGTGCATGAAGATAATCTACAGCATTAACTACCCCTCGCTACATGGCTCCAGATCCTGCGTCGATATCACCTATCTCGATATCGCCGTTGTTGAAACAGCTGGTAGCCCACGCTCCAGTGATAGAAAAGGAGATAGATGCGGCTAGGCTGCTGATCTATGATGAGCGTCTCTCACTAGCCCAGAAGTCTCTGTTCTTCGCCCTGTTGAAGGCAAGGGGTCACGATCTGAATGAGCTTGAGTATCGGCTTCTCGAACAATGCATAGAGGATACTCCTCCAGATGGGTATTACATTTCGATCGCCTCAGTCTTGCGAAAGCTATTAGATCCTGGCAACATGGAAGATGGCCAGGCAACCGCAGATGAGATAGCGGATGCAGTTGGTATTATATTCGAAAATCGACTCGTAGTGGCGCAATGCTCGCTTCTGCTGGGGTTACTAGCATATACATGCCAAGACCGGGATCCTGTGGTGCTAGCAAAGGTCGCCGAGGAGATGATGGCAGCTGCCGAACATGTTGAAACTGGGGCGCTGCATGCAGCGACAAGCAAAGTACAGCGATCCAAAGGAAGATATGAGGGTGGCCTCTGTGATATAGTCGGAACTGGCGGAGACGGTCACTCCACCTTCAACGTTTCAACCACCGCCTCAATCATTGCCTCGTCGTCCTTGTTGATTAGCAAACACGGAAACCGAGCCTCATCGTCCACATCTGGATCTGCGGATCTCTTGCAGTCAATACCCCCGGAAGCCCCTGATATCGAGGCTGTCACATCGCAGACTTTACCCTTTATTTACGAGAATTCGAGCTATGCCTTCCTCTTCGCACCCATATTTCATCCCGGCATGAGACATGTGGCCACAATTCGAAAGAATCTTGGCATAAGAACAATTTTCAATGTTATCGGTCCCCTTGCCAACCCAGTTGGGGGTGCGATAGAAGCAAGAGTTGTTGGCGTGGCTGAAAAAAGTATGGGTCGGGTTTACGCAGAAGCGCTACGCTTGTCTGGTGCCAGAAAAGCTTTGGTGGTCTGTGGGGCTGAGAATCTTGATGAAATCAGTTGCGCCGGCAAGACATACTGTTGGCACCTCTTTGAAGACAAAGAAAATATCAGGCTAGAACAATTCGAGCTCGAACCTGCCGACTTTGGCTTGCCGGCGCATCCCCTATCCGACGTTGCTGGGGGAAAACTCCCGCACGAAAATGCTAACTTCTTGGTGAGCTTGCTGAAGAACAAGCTCACGCCTGATGATCCCATCTTGCATTTTGTTCTGATGAACACAGCTGCGCTTTTTGCCACATCAGGCATCTGCGAAGATGATGAAGGGCAAGAGAGGAACGGCTTTGCGAAGGCCGATGAAGTCATCACCGAAAGGGGCCCAGGAGGGCAAAGGTGGAAGGAAGGAATTCGTCTTGCGCGTAAGGCAATAGAAAGTGGGGCAGCTTTGGAATCTTTGGATCGTTTCATCGAGGCCACTCGTAGATGTAGTGATACCCAATAAAATTTTGGTTTACCTTCGTCTGTGACCGATTGAGTCCCATGTCATACTCATATCCCAACTGTCATATGAGTGCGCCATTATTGGCGTGCCACATTTTCAAATGAGGCCTGAGCCATGAGAGTTTTAATCCTTACTCCATACCGGCCCTTTTTCATCTGACTCCTGATCCTAATACTAGCACTCCATACGCCTATTCCAGTCTGCCTTTGTCACCGCGCCTCAAACTGTACCATCCTAGATTGCCACAAAGTGAGCCTTCTGGACCAATCTTGTAAAGAAGACTGTACACACCTTTTCGTCCGCTCCTTATAGAGAATCCTATGACCACACTCCTTGCATCTGATGGGATCTCCCTTCTTCAGAGCAACCTTCTCGTTGCAATTCCCGCAGAGATACTGTGTTGTAGGTCCGATATCTGAGATAGCTTGACTGTCATAGGCATTTCCCTGACTCAGGGTCGGGGGAGCATATGCTTCTCGTGACATAGTTAGAGGTTTGCTGTAGTGAGAGAGAGAGAGAGAGAGAGAGAGAGAGACTGTCAAAGTTTGTACCATACTATCCGTACCTGGAGAAACCTTCAAGATACGCCTCTGTGATGCATGTTGCGCAGGAGATCTCCGGGCACACGCGAGGAGGCTTCGTCATCTTGCAAAGCGGCCAAAAATAAGACCAACAAAGAAGTTTGCTGGCTTTTCTTTCGGCACAAGCGAGGTCGACATATTACAGTCCTTCACGATGAAAAGCTTGAAACGTACAGTCGATCTCAAGACTAATAGCATATCAAATAAAGTGTTTGTCAGGACTACGAGGAACGGCAAAGTCCAGAAGGTTGTGAGAGAGTTGTATCTAAGACAAGATATCCCGTGCTCATCTCAGTTGTGCTCATCATGCTTGGCCAATGTATCAACAGATGCAAGCGGAAAAGGTGGATAAAAATCAGATTTCAAAACTTACCTTGCTAACTAACAACAGCATTCCCATTTGTTCTCTCGAGAAGCCCCACAAGTACCAACAAATTTCGCCAGGGACATTATCTTGTACCGGATACGAATGCTTTACTGAATGGCATTGATCTCTTTGAGCAATCTGCTAGTTTCTGTGATGTGATTGTTCTGCAAACTGCGTTAGAAGAACTACGTAATCGCTCTCTTCCTCTGTACAACCGCGTTATTGCCTTGACTAGGAGCGATGATAAACGTTTCTACTTATTTTTCAATGACTTCCGTTTTGACACGTACATCAGTAGAGATTCAGGGGAATCAATAAATGACCGCAATGACCGAGCCGTTCGTCGAGCCGTTGGTTGGTACGGTGAACATCTTCGAGGCCAGGTCAATTCACACAAATCGGGCAAGGAAGCTCCAATGATCATCATGCTCAGCGATGACAGGGAAAACCTTCGGAAAGCTAAAGCTGAGAAGCTCGTTGCTTGCACTTTGTCCGATTATGTATCCGGCCTGGAAGACGCGGATGCCTTACTTGACTTGATCAATGTTTCCCGAAATGAGCACTTGTCAAAGGGTACTGTCGCGGAGCAGATCTATCCAGACTATTACTCGACAGCGAAGACCATGACCGGAGTCAAGGCAGGAACGTTGCATCAAGGTGTATTTAACGTATCTCCTTACAATTACTTAGAAGGAACCATACGTGTTCCCACCTTTGACAAACCTCTTCTGATTTTAGGCCGCGAGAATAGCAACAGGGCTGTGACGGGCGACGTGGTTGTCGTTGAAGTACTGCCAAAAGCCCAGTGGAAGTTGCCCTCTATAAAGATCATTGAAGAAGAAAATATAAATAAGGACGAGAACGCGGAAACAGAAGAAGGCGGGAATGAAGGAGTTGTTACTGAAAAAGAGCGCAAGGCATTGCAGCAGGCAGTCAAGATATCACATGGTCGCAACAACGAAGGCCGTCCACAGCCAACTGCGCAAGTAGTTGGCGTCGTGAGGCGAAATTGGCGACAGTATGTGGGTCATGTCGACGCAAACACAAGCGCAGGAGGTCTTCAGAATCGAAGGCAGCAAACAGTATTCTTCAGACCTATGGATAAGCGCATACCAAAGATCCGATTGCGTACTAGGCAGGCCGAAACGCTGGTTGGCAAACGAATCTTAGTGACTATTGATGCATGGGAACAGGATTCACGGTACCCTGTGGGTCACTATGTACGATCTTTAGGTGATCTAGAGACCCAGGAAGCGGAGACTGAAGCCCTATTGTTGGAGTATGACGTTCAATACAGGCCGTTCCCAAAAGTCGTCCTTGACTGCTTACCAGCAGAAGGTCACGATTGGAAGGTCCCTGCTAGCCTTGAAGACCCAGGATGGAAGGGTCGAAGAGACCTGCGGGATCTGTTGATATGCAGTATTGATCCCATTGGCTGTCAGGATATCGACGACGCGCTTCATGCAAGAATCCTGCCGAATGGCAACTACGAAGTTGGAGTACATATTGCGGACGTCTCGCACTTCGTCAAGCCGAGTACCGCAATGGATGCAGAGGCGAGCCTACGGGGAACAACTGTGTACCTCGTAGATAAACGCATTGACATGCTACCAATGCTTCTTGGCACTGATCTCTGTTCACTGAAGCCTTACGTGGAACGGTATGCTTTTTCAGCTATTTGGGAAGTGATGCCAGACGCCAAAGTCGTCTCAGTGGATTTCACCAAGTCCGTAATCCGTTCTCGAGAGGCTTTTAGTTACGAACAAGCTCAGCTACGTATCGATGACGAATCTCAACAAGATGATCTCACGAAAGGAATGCGCGTCCTTCTCGCTCTCTCCAAAAAATTCAAAGCTGCCCGTATGGCTGCCGGAGCTCTCAATCTCGCCTCTCCCGAAGTCCGCGTCCAAACCGACAGCGAGACCTCGGGCCCTGTGGACGTCAAGGCCAAGCAATTACTAGACACGAACTCCCTTGTCGAAGAATTCATGCTCCTAGCAAACATTTCAGTCGCTCAGAAAATACACTCCTCCTTCCCTCAGACAGCGCTCCTACGCCGTCACGCATCGCCCCCAGCCACAAATTTCGAAGATTTGTCCAACCAGCTGAAGGTAAAACGGGATCTCAGCCTTGACGTTACATCCTCCAAAGCTCTAGCCGATAGTTTAGATACCTGCGTGGACCCGAAGGAACCTTTCTTTAACACCCTGGTCCGTATTCTCGCCACTCGCTGCATGATGTCTGCCGAGTACTTCTGCAGCGGAGCCCATCCATATTCTGAGTATAGACACTACGGCCTCGCTTCGGAGATCTATACCCATTTCACCTCCCCAATCCGTCGGTATGCGGATCTTGAAGCCCATCGGCAACTGGCTGCTGCCATTGGGTATGAGGAATTAGACCAGAGTCTCTTGAGCAAGCATAAGCTAGAAGAAGTCTGCAGCAATATCAATGTCCGGCACCGGAACGCGCAGATGGCGGGGCGAGCGAGCATCGAGTATTACGTTGGTCAGGCTCTGAAAGGTCAGGTGGTCGAGGAAGAAGGATTCGTAATGAGAGTGTTCGAGAATGGATTTGTGGTTTTCGTTCCACGATTTGGGATCGAGGGGTTGATTCGCTTGAGAGATCTAGCAACTCCTGAGCCGAAGGGGGTATTTGATGCGGATGAATATGTGCTCAGGATTGAAGGAAGTGGCATTGGCAAGAAGTCGTTGTTGATTGATTTGTTTCAAAATTTGAAGGTCAGGATACGAGACGTGAAAGAAGAAGGCACAGGGAAGAGAAAGGTGAAAATGGAATTAGTGAGTTGAGGTTAGATGATACCAAATGCGATTATTTTGCAAAGCCATCGACTTCGATGTGGATGCCGAGAGAATTCTGGCGCAAGATCTTGTCTTGACCATTCGACGTACACATGTCACAGTATATTGGTATCGCAAATCCTATCTGAAACTGTTCTGCGACCGCTAGAAAACAGCAGAGAGTAATGCTGCGGGAGGACTGGCCGGTTTGAAGCAGGAAAGTCGAAAATAATCCTACTCTCTGAAGATACTTTTACAAGCATGTAACTGAAGACAATGAGGCTTTCCGGTGGCCGAAATTGAATGTAATCATAATTGGACGATCCTACTATCAGTTCAGATCAAAGCTTAAGAAGAAAGCATAAAGTCATTTCAGAGCCTTCCAGAACTCAATGCCTGCTTGTCGTCATTGTCGAGTAGCATCAGAAGCCCCCCACAAAAACAAAACGGACCTAATCTTGCTATGATTGCCGTTTGAATGGTACTAGCATTCGTTCCTGCTTTCATACGGTCTTCATTCAGAGAGCCGCACCTGATGCATCGCCTGATATGTGCGTTCTTGGGGAGGCAAACTTTGGTCAAGACATCTATTGGGGACTTGGCGTTGCGGTCTCTAGTGTAGTTGTCGCTCGTTAAACCCAGGTCACTCGTGTCCAGGAAATGCAGCTTTGCCTCGTCAATTTCTTCTCTCAGCGGAGTCATTACTTGGTAGAGCAGCTGCAAGACGGACGGAACAAGCACAGATGGTATTTCAGCTTTTATGAGCATCTGCTCCTCTGCCTTTTTGCGGTCCGATTCACTTATGTTTGACTGCTGATAAGATGCCTTAATGCTGGTCTCCACATGGACGAGAATTATTTCAAAGTGTTGCAGATCAACGGGGGACTTCCTTCGTGATTGCTTGAACTCGAGAAAATAGCGGCCTAGCGTTGTGGAAACACCGTGCTGCTCGCCTTCGGTAGCAAGCAATTGTGCATATCGCAAGCAGTACTGCAAGATAGCTCTTGATGTAGATTGGTATAGTAGCAATAGTGCTGGTGACTGTGATTGCTGGACTATTGGTCCGTAAGCAGTTAACATTGCCGGCTGCGTAAGATGGTTGCTCACCTTTTTGATTTATGAGGTTAGCATCTATATGATTAGGAGGGATCCCACAATCTTCAAAGTCATTACGCAGAGAGAGGATCTCATCCGTGATGAAGCTTATCAAAGAAAGAAACCACTTTGCCATTGGAACCAAATATGCGACCATTTCTAATAATCATTCAATACGCTTGAGCAAGATTCGGTCGATTTACGTACCAGGCGTCTTGAGTTCATTGCCAGCTCCATTGGTTTTCTGGTTGCAACCATATAATAGCGCTAGACCAACGTGCTTGAGGTGCAACATCACTAGAGCGACAAGTCCTTCCACAGGACGGAGGACATGTACACCTTGGAATCCTAATGCAGCCTGTAGACTGAGACAACGCTGGACATACATGTTCTTGATAGACTGGTCGGGCTGCGGACCGAGCGCAGCATCGAGCGAGACTCCGAGACCACGGTAAATGCCACTTACTAAAGCTCGATTGAATCCAGTGAAATTGGTTATTGATGGTCCCGCGCCCATAGACAGTTGATCTCCGAGGCTGAAAAGTTGAAGCGTTGCTAGAATGTCCTCAGCGTAGACACTACGAGACGCGGTTGAAAGCTGCATGACGAACGCCTCGTTTATGATGGCAAGTGTCGCTACTCAACAGTAAGTACATATCGAACCACAGCATGTATGGAATTTTAGAACCCTCATTATCCTCGAGCCCAATACCTGGATCAATGTATTGCATGAACAAGACTTCAGGGAAGTGATTCTCGTCCATTGAAAATGAAGCACAGGAGTTTGGGGACAGCACCGATACCAAGCCTGTGTTCGAGAGATTAGCATCGACTACATTTTCTAGCAATAAGGGATAAAGCATACACGATTTAGTGGCGGGAAACGCGAAGCCGACCTGCCCAAGCCCAAAGATCCGATCCTCACCATCTGGTGGGAGGACTTCGAATGATTGGCTATCTCGAAACTCAATATGTCCGTCGCTGTAAGACAAAGCTAGAATGGTACTTATGTTCACATGTTGCAATGAGAGTAAAGCCTTTGAGACTTCGACGACAGATTTCCCCTTCAGACAATACTCCACCTGCAGACCTGATGAGCTACTGGAGATTTTTTCCTGTAGATTGAGTACTTGCCGGAAGCTGGTTTGTTGACGGGGCGTCTTGTTTCTTCGAGGAAAGCTGTGACAAGGAGGGTTGCAATAATGCCCTTTCCAAACGGAGCTGCCAAGTACACATGAAAGTAACAACATCGTCTGCTCCGTGCAAATCGCGTGACACAAACGAGAAAGCTGCGAGAATTTGCGGCGGAGGACGCTCTTTGCTCGTGAAGTCTGGGCCAGCTGGGATGAGTTCAAGGAAAGTGAGCCGTGCTTGATTCGTGATACCATTGGTCATTGATTCAGAAGTCCTCTCGGCGCTCGCTGGTGGTCCGAAATCAGGGAGAATTTTCAAGTGCTGTACGGAGGTTGAGGCACGATCAAAATCGATGCGTATACGGTAGATTCGAAGCTCTCTACTAAAGCTGTGTGTCACAAGTAACATTCCGTCTACTTCGGGTCAGTGTCCATCAGCTAGTGGCTGATTCGCTGAACTTGCCTGCGTTATTCCCCTTCTCTACGCACATCGAGGCATGGGTTAAGAATGGGAAAGATTCAGTGGTAGACTCTAGCTCAGCACGTATGTCCGCCCACCGGCCATCCTTCTCTTGATGGAGGACCCTCATAACACCACCCCTTGTTACGATTACCAAGGCAGGCCGGTGGTGTGGGTGTTTTGGGCCACAGAACTTTTGTTGAGTCATCGATGACAGCCATTTCCCATCTTTCCGGATCAGCGGCTTGTAGTGATACAGCTTGGCGAATGTTAGCGAAGCTTTGACTACATAAGACCTGCTCCCGTACCGACAGTCTCTCATACTGTATCCACATCAATCCAACTATAGAGCTCAGGTCATCCGCAGGATCAAGAGTATAGTTCCTGATGAGTCTCAAGCGATTCACCGAGAAGACTGAATTATAGATTGATGTTCTGCCCCGTGCATCGATGACTGCCAGAAATTCGCGGGAGCCTTCCCACGAGAGATGGACAATCTCGACAGCGCTCTGGGTGATAGCGGCGTCGCTCAAAGGATACTGCTTACTTAATCCCCATTGACCGTTGCGAGGATCACAGAGAAGGTGCTGTAGTATTATGCCCTGTCCACCCGCGGGGATATAGGCGATCACGCCAGACTTTGACCATGCCGCTTTCCTGTATATGCCTTAGACGAGTCATGATCGAAACCAAAAATTCGAAACGCACTGGCAGCATCCAGTCTCGCAAAGTTCACTCAAGCGTACAACTAGCGCTTGCGAGATGGGGATTGGCACCTGCAATGGAGCAGCGTCGTCACCGAAAAGATCATCAAAGCTATCGTCCATGGTCTACTACAATCCAAGATGGGATTGTTGGCCTGATTGTCTCATTTCAAGTGCCTAGATGAAGAAAGACGTGATTGGCAAACATGTTTGTTTGGCTCATTCATCCAAACTAGATGCGGTTTGTGCTATTCACCCCTCAATTTCCGATAGAGCGGACAAAGCACCTGCCAGTCTCGCCGATGTTGAGTGAAATAGCCATATTGAGGAATGATGTCCGTCCAATGTAGAATCGAGTGAAGTCGGTGGTGGTCGATGCAACATGTAAGACCAGGGTTTCAGCCTTCTTCGATCAGATTCAGGGGTTCCTGATTCCTATTGTCCCCTGATTTGATCAATAGTACCTTAGCGGCTAGAAATAGACCCCTGGCTTGCCAAGCAAACAACACCCATAACAAAGCGGCTGCCCAACTCTATTCACGCCCACTGCGCACGACCGCCATATACAAGCAAGACAAGTCAGATGGATAGTATGCATGTCCTTCACCCCTCCTGAGGAATGATTGTACGATAATCCCGTTATGTTGACGACACTCGCCAATCGACCTTCGTCTCCAGCAACCATGTCAGACAGTGACACAGAATCCACTCTGACCGACCTCTCCTCCGAACTGAGTTCTGCGCCACCGTCTCCTATATTCCCCGCCTTCTCTCTGACAGCATACCCGACTCCGGACTCGTCGCAAGCACAGAGTACCTACAGCTCAAGTAGTGAACAAGACAGCCGGAAGCGAAGGCGCAAGCATGACGACTTCCCGACCGAGAAGAAGAGGAAAGTCACTGCGCCCAAAGAAAGAAGCACCCTGCGCCTGGACCTTCGTTCATCTCTCCAGCAACCCGTTGCAGACTCTTCAGTTGAACTGGATACGCTGCTTAAAGCCCTGAGGAAGAAGAGGAAGATTGTTGTCGTAGCGGGCGCAGGAATATCAACTTCTGCGGGGGTACCTGACTTCCGCTCCACCAAAGGCCTGTTCAATACGCTGCGCAATGACAACAAATTGAAAGCCTCAGGTAAACAACTGTTCGATGCCTCCGTCTATCAGACAGATGCTTCGACTTCATCCTTCCACGATATGGTGCGCATGTTATCAAGGGTGGTGGATGGCGCTCAGCCAACTGCTTTCCACCATCTACTGGCCACACTAGCCGACGAAGGTCGGCTTCTCCGCCTGTACACACAAAATGTTGACGGGATAGACGCTGAAATAGAACCCTTAAAGACGGCAGTCCCCTTGCCCAAGAAAGGACCCTGGCCTCGAACTGTCCAACTACACGGAAGCTTGAAGAAAATGGTGTGTGCAAAGTGTGGTGATCTGAGAGACTGTGATCCAGCGTTGTTTGACGGGCCAGATCCACCCTCGTGCTCGAGCTGTGCAGACCTTGACAAAGTCCGTACAGAAGAGGCCGGCAAAAGAAGCCATGGAATTGGCAAACTGCGGCCAAGGATGGTGCTTTACCACGAAGACAATCCCGATGCTGAGGCTATCGGCTCTATAGTGACATCAGATCTCCGCGCTCGACCCGATGCGCTCATTGTTGTTGGAACAACTATGGAGATTCCGGGGGTCCAGCGAATGGTGCGAGAAATGTGCAAAGTCATCCAAAATAGAAAGGACGGCAAATGCATCTGGATCAATCGGGGGCCTCCGCCTACTGGCCCAAAATTCGAGGACATCTGGGATCTAGTTGTTGCGGGCGACTGTGACAGGGTCGCTGAGCTTGCAGATATGCGGAGATGGTACGAAGAACCACGAGAAGGTGTCAGAGTCACAGATTCTGATGCAGAGAGGGCCAAGGCAAAGAAGACTGGAGTGAAAGTGATACTTCAATCGGCGCAGACGATTAAAACATCAAGTCCGGCAGAATTGCCGAATCCCTTACCTAGCCCTCCGTTAGAAGCAGAACCTGGGAAATCAGGCATTAAACTCATTTTCAGACCAGCAAAAGACAAGAAGCCGAAGAAGCTATGTAAATCACAACAATCACAACCACCAAAAGAGGAAAGCAAAGGAAAGAAGACAACGAAATCGGGCTGCAAGCCTCAGATCAGGCAGAATTTGAAACCCAAAAAGGTTCCTGCTGCCGGCTTCAAGCCAATTACTAGCACATTCAAAGTCACCAAACTTCAGGATCCTACTACTGGAGTTCCAAAGAAGGTCCCCGAAGATCCAAAGCCATTCGATCCCGTTCCACCGCAATCAGCCCGGAGCAACAGCAACGGTAGCCCTTTGGAGGGGACTGTCATGAGGAAGCTAGAGAAGATTGAAGTAAAAATCGAAGACTCAAATCCTAAAACGGGACGGCTGAAACGGATGAGCCAGGAGAGTATATCACCCACCGGTAAACTACCTAAGGCATTGGCACATATTCTGAATTAATCGCGTTTGAAGTGCATTGACTTGGGCTGGGATAAGCGTAAACATGCAGGTATTAGGAAAGTGATGTTTTGGGTGGCAGTTGTACTTTGATGGTGTTGGATGATACCCTGTGCTTTGAAGCAAGCACGTGTTTGCTATGACTTTACAAGTAATATGACGGGAAGGTGGCAGTCGCTTGGTATGAGTTTGTCGTTGTATAAATTTGCTTTTGAGGGTTGAGCTGTAGGATACCATTGAACGATATAGGAGAAGCAAGGTTCAGATGATAAGTGAATATTGAAAGCTCCTTCAATTACGCACTCAGACGCTGTATCTATACTCTACGCTCAGGAACAATGCCTGTGAGACCCTCTGCGCTATGCACATCCAACGCGAAGACAGAAACATATAGACATACATGCAATGCAACCTTTGCTAACGCTAACCACTCACTCTCCCTTCTCCTCTTCCCCCAACATTGTCCTCCGCCCCTCCATAGTAGCCCAAACGCTCGTCCCAACAGCCTCCAAACTCCTCACCAGCCCTGCCGGACTTGCCCCCAACAACTGCACAAGCTGCGCCCTCAGCCCTTCCATCCCCTCCAGTCCTCCAACCCATCGAACCTGCAGATGGTCGAACACCCTCCCTTCCGCTCTTGCCCCCAAAAGCAACAACTTCTGTACCGCACTCTGCACAGGCGGATCATAGTATCCCGGCATTACCCTTCTCTTGGGCGCAGGGAACCCACTCGCTTTGTCAGGCGCGAGGATCGAGAGCGCGGCTGCCAAGTGCGGTGGGCTGAATTGCGAGAAAGTAAGCAGAGCGATGGGCCCGTGGAGGAGGGGAGTGAGGGGGTGTTTGTTTTTCATGTCGAGGATGGCGGAGTAGGCTTGGCGGGAAAGGTCGTGCGTGAGGGAAGGGTGAGAAGGGTCATTCGGGGAAACGTTTGAGATCGTAGACTCGGAGGTAGGTGTTGAAGGGTCTGTTGGGTGGGGTGGTGGTGGGGCTGGAGAAGGGCGGTAGTAATCTGTTAATCGAAGGGCGTATTCGAACATTACTGTTTGGATTACTTGAACTTTGATTCCTGGCGATATATCGGTTTCTTGTTGCTTGTCGCACTTGGCGAGAGCGATGGTCAGCTCGCGTCGTAGAGAGCTCCATTCTCGAGCTTGGAGATTGAAGTGTGAGAAGAAGATCATGAGAGGGGTTGAGCGAAGGAGGGAGGTGTATTGGCGGATCAGCTGAGCATTGCGGAGATCGGGCGGCTTGTGGGATGGTGGTTGACTTGCCGGGTAGCGGGCTATCGGCGGAGGCGAGTTGACAATCTGGTATGGATCAGCTGCTGGAGTTGCAACAGTCGCAGTTGCAAGATGACGCGTTGAAGAGGGACTTCTTCGTCGAAGTTGGCGTAGACATCGGGAGCAGATCCCGAGTCGCCGCGGTGTATTGCGGATTTGCTGCAGAGCCATTGAGAGGAAGCAATTAAAGTGGCCTTGGACCGGAGCTCTTGTGCTACTGGCCCAAATACGGTCTCCAATTATTCGAAATAATTTGAGAGATGTAGATATTTTCTTGCTAGCGCAATATTCAGAGTGGACTACTCATTGGCCACATGCCATTGGCGCACCAAGGTTGGGGGGCATGCACACGCACTTTATATCACGACCGCGTGTTATGCATCATTATTCATCGAGTGCTCAATCCCTCTTCGAGCCGCAATTTGACGACGAATATTTCACTTCCATACTCTGCGTCCCATGATAGATCTCAGCCATTCCTGATGTCTTTCAAGTGTCAACCGTGTTTCATCCCACGCATTGGCATCACGCCTTGCTGTAGGCCACGAGCGCGGGTAGATCACCCACCAACATGTGAGGCAGTGTAACAACCAGAACATCTATGGCATCCTGAGGGCCTGGTAAGACAACTTATATGCGCCGGCCGCGAATAGAGCGTATCTCTTTTCCATCGTATGGGTCGCTAAGTGCACAAATACTATCCTGACGATCACATGGCTTGATGTACATCCCCTTGCGATCCCCTATAATCTGCCCAATTCTCCGAAAAGTCTCGTCCTTGTTCTGCTCAAATTTCCTTGTGATGTAATAGCTTCCACCTACCACTATTGGGAAAGCGTCACCTCGAGCACATTTTTGCGCTATGCTAGCATGAGGTTGTGTATCATTCTTCTTCTCGTGTTGACAAATTCATGGACTGCCTATGGCGCTCCGAAGCCTTTCCTCAGCCTACGATGGGCCCAGAATTCAGTCCAACCAGCACAGGGTAGCGATCTTTCAGGAGTGCCTGCCCTGCCCTTTCCCGTCGGTGGCAATGCTCAGAATTGTCCAAACGAGAACAACAATCTCTTCAACCAGGGGATTCAGAAGCGGTCGCTGCCACATTCGAGAAGGACTTTGAACGTCGACCTAGATACCCAAGCGCTCGCACCTCGACAATACAGTAAATGTACCAACGTCGCACGATTCGATTGGCAAGACTTCAGACGTCCATTGGGCAATACACAGGACATCTATCTTTATGGCGGCCTAACTTATACTTTTAGTATTGCTTGTTCTGCGAACATTGGAATGGCGTATGCGTGGTCAGCGCCGTTCGGGTCGCCCGATTATACGTTAATTGGAACGGGTGGGGATGGAAGCCAGACTGCGACCGTCATCATAAAGCTTGAGAGCGATGCCCACGTGCATTTCGAGGCGTTTTCCAAGGAGACACTGACCAGTGGGAGAGCTGCTGTGTTCAGGCAGGATCCGTGAGCCTTGAATCAAGGCTTCGTCCAGGGAAGGATCTGCAAAGATTTGTGCGGTATGCCTTTTGTAAATTAAGGGACATTCAAGGCCTCGACACGCTATCGAGGTTTTTCGAATTTTGAATTCATTCCCACAATACATCGTACAATGTCCCAGTTGCCGCGGTATCCCACCCAGTCGCATACAACGATACCAGTGCTGCCATCTCCCGTTGTGATTGTCTCGTCCTCAATCTTGTTGTGATTCAAGCAGAGATGTTCAACAATCGCGGGATTTAGCTTCGTTGAAATCCAGTAGGGCCAACACTTCATCTTCCAGAAGTTGCTAGCTGTGAGGAAATTGATATAGAAAGGTTGGGTTGTAGATGCTGAGTCACTGGCTCTAATGAATGTATTCGTGGACGCCCTTTGAAGATGCTCAACTGAGTACTGTATCTTCTGTGCAATATTCTCTGGCTTAAGCACTTCATAAAAGTCCTGGAAACAGATATCACCGCTTGGACAGACGGCATGCGGACTGTTGTCTGCCCATGCGTCAGCATCAATGCCCCACCCATTACCGCCCCATTCCTCTTGTAGGCTGGGGTCGAGACCAAATCGCCGGATCAATACAATCTTGCCCCGGACTTCGCCAAGGTAGGGGATGCGAGGGGCGGTGAACCATTTACTGGGGTCGCTGGCGTAGTTTTCCCGCAGCAATATGCTCAAGTGCTCGTCAGTTGACGATCCAGTACCTTCGCGTTTGAGGGACATGATGACTGTCTCACTTGGATTTGCCTCTAGAAACTGTAAGACTTCTCTGACCAGCGGCCGGAAATGGCGGGGTCCAGTCAGCGAAATGGGAAAGATGCTGTGCACCAAGATCATCTCGTCTTTCAATGGAATCTTGTGATGCTCAGGCTGCACTCGGACGTCAAGAAATCGAACGCCTTTCCTTAGTTGCTCAATGACGGGTACACTCTGACAGCGGACAGATGGCAATGCATGATGATATGTTGGCGAATTATGTGTGCCAGGAATAGACAGCGCAGACAGAGGGACGTCGTCACGTATCGAGCCCATCCAAGATTTGTAAGATTCCCTGAAGGCAATGACAAGATGATGTTGTTCAGGATGATAGATCGTGATGTGCTTGCAAGGAGGGTCTGGATTGCCATCAACGCTCATCAAGTATTGAGTGTGAGTCCGGGCGTGGATGATGTTGGACTGATATTTATTGTCATTGATCTCAAAGAAAATGCAGAGAATCTGCGAGGGCAGTTTTGCTCTTTTTACAGGGACTTTGCGAAACGTTGATGGGTCAAGTAATACAGAAATTGTTTGCATTTCCTTACTGACGAGTTCATGAGGCTTTGCCGTCACGAAGGCCGATGTCGCATTTTTGGATGCACTGATCACTTTGTTGCCATTGCGAGCACCATCAACCCTTTCGTGAATCTCATACTTTTCGACACGGATGTGATTGGAAGTCAGGTTACGTATGCTCAACTGATCATCCCCCATGATTCACCTAATATGTGAACTCACATCAGTATGTGGTGCAGGCGCTCGATGTTCAAGTCCCCTTCAAGCCATGGTCTAGGCAATTAGAAGCCAATGACATGTCTTTGCAAACTTACAGTACAGAACCAAGTTTGCTTCAGATGGCTTGACACTCGTAATTGGTGGAATGTCTGAGTACAACTCGATTGGGGAAGTCTGCAGGAGCCGCGACAAGCGCGAAAGCTCATTGATTGGGTCATTGATCTCGAAATAGTCTTCTCTGCATCATACCAGCCTACTTACCACTGTGATGTCTCTGGAGCCTCCAACGTACCTCAGATCTCTACAAAATAACATACGTCAACGACCCATACCATGGGAAGGTGCTGTCAGAGCGGGCACGATAACGGAGCACGATCTGAAGGTCATCAAGGCGGTCGATAAAGTCCGAAAAGACCAGAGGCGTCAGATAGTGGAGGAAAGCCTTGAAGACTATCAGTCTCTCATCTTAGGAGGAAGCAAAGGCAAGAGCGTGCTAGAATCTGCCACCAAACGCTCAGATGTCGTGCAATACATGCTGACCTTGACGGGCGACTTACTGAATGGTATGTGACCTTTAAGAGCTGCAAATGGTCTGCTGACGTTTATCCTAATTTTGAAGACTGTCCGTCTCTAATTTCGAAACTTCTTGAACACAGCGACCCCTATAAGCCGATACTACCCTACTTGGACCACTCATCGAGCCCTGAGGATTCGATCCCCCTCCTAGCATCTTCGGTCCTCACTACCATTGCGTCGAGCTCACAATCACAAACTCCAAAAATCACTTCACAAACGGAAGAAGCTTTGTCAAAGCTATACAAATATCAATCAAAATTGACCCAAAGCCAAGACAATGGTCTCAAAGATATTGCTGTCCTGCAGTACTCTTCTTTGCTCAAGACAAAGAAGTCACGAGAACTTCTCTGGAATCAACGTGAAGCAACGGTCACTCCTTTGATTGATGTCCTTCGAGAAGCTGCTGGAGCTGGCAAAGATTCTGACTCTACACTTTGGAGCGGCGCGACAAGCATTCGGAGCGCTAGCGAAGGTGCTATAGGTGGAGGCGTCTCTCTCCAGTTACTTTATCATGTGCTGCTCGTGGTCTGGCAGCTCTCGTTTGAATCTTCTCTAGTAGGGAAGGGCCTAGAGCGGTAGGATCCTTTGCGCCCTATTGGCAGACCCTTACTTATGTTATCGCAGTGACCAGGAGATCATTCTCTTGTATACACAGCTCCTTCGCTTATCACCGAAAGAGAAGACCACCCGTCTGCTTCTGTCAACATTATCTAACCTTCTGAACTCGTCCGAGAATAAGACCACTCTCCTCCCATCCGCCGTCACCGCCCGCTTGCCAGCCGTCCTTTCGAACCTTCGAACGCGTCATCTGACCGATCCGGATCTTCTCGAGGACCTCCAGGCGTTGGCGGAAATGCTTGATGAATATACCAATAGCCAAACGACGTTTGACGAATATGCAGCAGAAATTCAAAGCGGCAAACTTCGATGGAGCCCTCCGCACAGGGACGCCCGGTTTTGGCAGGAAAATGCTCGAAAAATACTGGAGGAGGATGGCGGAGCGCTTCCGAGGAAGCTAGCAGAGATCCTGGGCAAGGAATGGGCAGATGATAAGTCGGTGCTGGCTATTGGATGCAACGATGTTGGGTGGCTAGTCAAAGAGGTAGCTGAGCAACGGAGTCAGCTTGAGAAGCTCGGGATCAAGGTTCGAGTGATGCAGTTGATGGAGAATGAGGACGAAACTGTACGATGGGAAGCCTTGCGGGCGGTGGGTGAATGGCTGCGATATAGCTTCGATGATTAAGGGTCGATTTGACCTAAGATACGCTCACAGTCATCCTCATATTCTCTACCTTGGCTGACGAGCGCGTCTCGTTGATTTGATTAACAAATCTATAAAGTGGGTTGGAAGTACCTTGAGGTACCTCGAAAGCGGCGCCGAATCAGCGTAGGGATTGCAAAGAAGGGAGGCGAATAAGGTTCGGTTCTCATTATTGAATGCGTGTCATCTCATCCATCAAATGGAGTGGCCAGAACATCGAGAGGCTTACCCTGTTTCGATCAATATTAATGTCCCAAAATTACAGGTCATTGCGATTCTATCAAATCTGATGCCCAGACTACTGAATAATGAATAATATAGATATAGATAAAGACCCCACCAAAATCAGGCAGTACTACTACCTTTCAACCCCTGAAATGGCTTGGGTGGCAGAACGGGGTCAGCCGTCAGTTCCTGCATGATCGTAGGACCGCCTACAGCGACAGCTGTATGTTTCACCTCCAATCTGTAGCAATGACCTCAGCCGCAAAGCGCAACGGTCGCCGTATCTTTCTCATTCCCTTCCCCACTTCCGCTACATCCTCTGGCTTGTCTGGCTATACTGCAGTCCACCGCGAGGCATGTGATCAGTCGTTGAGAGGGCCAGGGGCTTCGGATATTTGATAGGACTAATTCTTCTTAGTGGGCGTCCTAGTGTTGCAAGCGGCTTGTCCAGCTCGAACTGACCAGCCGTTCAACTTTCCACCAGCACCAGAAGAAGTTTAGGGATTTTTCGATAATCCCTATTCTATCCAAAAACAATCCTTAATCGGGGGCAGGATTGCGCAAGACCTCATATCGCCGGCGACTCACTGGTCCCATACCTCCCCCATTTTGGCTCCACTGAGCCAAGCGAGTCGAACAATGGGCGCCAACAAAGGCTGTTGAGGAATGAAGTGAGAGACAATGGATCGCAGTCGGCCTCCCAAACACCAGCAACTCGCCTCAGCCACATCTACAAGTCGTCCACCAACATCAATACCCTCGAACTCGGTTGCCGTGCCCAAGGAGACCGTCAAGCGCAAGCCAGTCCCAGGCTCTACTCATTCCTCGCCAGCGACGTCTCAGAACCCTTCCTTGCCTTACTCGAACGACCCCTCCAAGCCCCAACCTCCACCCTTACAACCACCCCCTACATTACCTGCTGTCGCCACCTCTTCTCCCATTCTCGCGCCCCGCGATTTGGACCAGTGAGCACCGCAGCCCCTTTTTGAAAATCTTCTTGTTCTGACTCTGTCAAAGGTATCCCAGAGGCTTTTCCCCGCAAGCCAATCATAACAACAATGGCTACTTCCCTCCAATAACACAAGCAAGTACTGACTCGCAGCCTCGAGGACATCGGTCTAGGCAGGCAAGTGAATCAAGGGTCAATGACACAAACAAGATCAAGAGAGTCCCAGTCAACCAGGGGTTGCAGCGTGCGAGATCATTGCATCCAGCTGGCCAATCTCTCCCGGGGAAGATCTTGACGACGAGCCGGCAGGAGACCCTGCGATGATAGCAAAGACTCCCCGTTCTCCGGGTCCAAACAAGCTAACATCCTTCTTCGGGTGGAAAACCTCTCCCACCCCTGTCGCCGAGACATCACCCACGTCAAATTCTGATAGGAGTCTCTCGCCTGTTCCGTCACCACTTACGCCCCTGTCGCAAAGTACAGCCCCCTCCAAACCCTTCCCCGGCGTACTCGATACCAAGAAGGCAAACGCAACAATGAATGGCACCTTCTTCGCCGACACCGGCTTCCCTCTACCCCCTATGAATGGCCACAACGCGCTTCTTAATGGCCATGTTGATGACCTAGAGGAGGAATTGAAGGAAGTCAGTGCGGAGTTGGCAGGATCGATAAGGCGGGAGATGGAACTGGAAGAGCTGATAGATCGGATGCAGTTCGAAGTATCACAAGGCCCAGATCTAGGACGACGAACGAGCGACTACTTCTCTGATTCTGGTAGTGGCTCGACTCGATATCCTGGTAGCGATGCAGGCATCAATAAAGCTGATGACCTAGCAAAGCAGAAGAGACAGTCAGAGCAGGAAAAAGCACAGTTCAAGCTAGGCCTTTCTCAAAAGCTGCAAAACGAGCGTGACAGACGAAAATCACTTGAGGATCATATCCGACAAATGAGCGAGCAAATGGAAAACGTAAGTCCTGTTCATACCACACGTAGCAATCTGCTGACTTCGCTACAGATGGACCAAGAACGTACAACAACATCCGATAACCGCCTTCGTGAACTTGAGAACTCCCTCGAAGATCATCGCCGTCGCTTGCAGCAAGAAAAGACAGCGAAGGAGAATTTCGAAGATATCCTTGATGCCCTCAAAGGTGAAATATCTCAGTACCGGGATGAGAGAGACAACCTTCGAGACGAGATTGTTCCTCAGCTCAAGTCTCGGGTGGAAGGTCTCGAGGCTGAGGCTACGGAGGCACAAAAGCTCACATATGACAGCGCACGAATGCAACAAGAACTCCAGTCCCTCAAAAATGAGAACACCACCCTCATGAATGCGAGAAGAATGCAGCTTGAAATGCAGCAACAGTCTTCTCGTTTTAATGCTATTGCCGAAGAAGGAGGACCCTCACCAACAGAAGGAATAGGCCTAGGTCTTAGCAGGTCTGCTTCTACGACGCGTGGTTCCGGAATGGCAAGGGCGGGCTCGTTGAAGAGGTCTAATTCAGTATCTAGCAAGGAGCGTGAGTTCAATGAGAGGGTAAAGGATATCGAGATGCAAAGGGATGCTTTACACAAGGCATTAAAGCTTTTGCTTGAACGACAGGGTCTTCAGAAAAAGGAGCACGAAAAGTCTATCCACATTCTAGAGGCAGAGCGGGATCGTGCATTGCAAAACCAGTCGCCACGCAGAATGGGGTATGAGAAAGAGGTCAAGGGTCTCAAGTTTGAAATTGATCACCTTCGAAAGCGAGCCGATGACGCCCTCCAACAGAAATTTCAATGTGAGACGGGCCTGGGCGGTTTGAAGAAAGATCTGGATCGCGCGGAGCAAGAGACCTCCTCTCTCCGATACTTGCTTCAAGAGCATGACATTCAATTCTCGGGGCATCCTGGCTCGCGGTCACAGGAGATTGAGCATGAGAAACATGCTACGTCTACTTCATTAGAAAAAGCCTACCGAGAGCTCCAAAGAACCCAGACCATTTCTATTTCGAAACTTCGAGAACTTCACGGTGCAGCTGCATCAGGCTCTGAGGACGCGGACACTACGGATATGATGGACAAATTGGTCCGAAGCATGTCGAATGCCGCTGCGGAGCGTGATCTGGCCCAGAAGCAGGCTGCCATGTTTCGTGCTGAAGCCGATTCACTCAAGGAAACGGATACTTTTCACACTGACGAAAACAGTGGCCTGAGTGACCAGTTGCGAGCTGCGGCGAGTCGTATAGAAACACTCTCCCAGCAAGTGCGAAATCAGCTTGATGGAAACAGTAACTTGCGGGATCGTCTTGCAGAAGCTGTCAACCGAGGGGAAAAGGAACAGAAAAGGTCAACAACAAGAATTAACAGCCTCCAGGGTAGACTCAAGGACCTCGAGGATAAGCTGATGAACGCTCAACAACATTCTGAGGAGGCCTTTGCGCAGCACGAGGACGAAGTGCGGGACATTCAAGATAGCCACAATGTCCAACTGCATCGACTGAAGACTGGTCTCAGGCTGCGTACTGGTTCTACTCTCGGCTCACCCAGGATGTCTAACCCCATGTCACCAATATTCACGGCACGATCTCCCAAATTGGACAGGACTACAAGCGGAGTGGGTAGGTCTTTGGATCAGGCACTTAGGACTGAGTTCTTGGAGAAGCGAGTCGCTGAGCTCGAGGCTGCTTTGGGAGAAGCAGACACAGAGATGGAGGAGGTCGTCAGCAGGATGAACCTTGCTCAAATTGAAGTCATGGAGCTTCAGTCCGCGAGGTGAGATTCTTGAACCTCGATTCAAGCGATTATGGTGCTAACACTAGTACTACCAGGGACGACGCCATGCGCCAGACTCGCAGACTTCAGACTGACATCGACATGGAACGAGAAAAAGTCGACTCTTTCACGAAAGGCGGTTTCTTTAAACGCTGAGGCACCACCTCTCCCCCACCCCACCTCACACCCGCGACCTCACCTGCCATAACTTATCATATGGCAGCAATTCCACATACCGCGACACTAATTTGTTTCGACTCTACAAACATTGGACTTTGTCATCGTAATTAGCGCCGTTTTGGACATAGGGCATGCATTCGAAATTGGTGGAGCGTCCAGCGTTACTGCATCGTTTGGCATCTACATCATGAAGACTTCTTGACTGCATATCTCGTCGAGGGAAACCCGACAGCGCATTGCCGTTGGGTGGAGCGAGCGGCGTTCTCTCCGACAGCATCTGCATCGTTTGGACCAAGCACCCACCTTGATATGAACAAAGGTGTGGAAGCGAAACTGTACATTACTTAATTGCATGGGAAGGCAGCGACGAAGATGAATTGTGGAGACCAAAATGTACTTGTACGTATGTATATAGCAGTTATGATGAACCATATCGCACCACGACATCACAATGCGTTCCCAACGCCCACTCTCATGCATTTTCCTGTAAACCTTGGGATGATCCGACAACGAAAGCTTCTCGTCACCTCCCTTCCTACCATCCCTACCCGCACGCTCCGAAGGGACGCATGTACTGTGGCTAGTGCCTGGACTTGATGTACGCTCGGGACACCAGACCAGGCCAGAGTATGTGCGTTCACAATTTTACTTCAGGCTACGACAGCGACCCACCTACCGGCCACACAGGACTCGAGATCTTGCATTGCATCTGAACGCACTAACTACCTGGCTTCTCCTTCCCTCCCCCGCCCGTACCCTTTTTCATTCTTTCATTGCTTAGGTAGGGCCGCCAGGGTCCGGAGACCGTGCAGGGAGTAGGAAACTCTACCTCCCAGCCCCCTCCCACCCTCTCGGCGCCCACCCTGCTTGGGCAGCAAAGCGAAGTAAAGTATATTGAGCAGGACATGCTTATCGTCGACCCGCTGTCAAAGCTCGCTGGCGGGCCGTGATATCCACGATAAAGGATGAAACAACGTTGCGAGAATGACAATACTGGGACCCTTGGGTTATTGGGATCAGATGACAGGGATATTGCGGCCAGAAGGACGGGAGGGTGGCGAGATCAGCGAGATCCAAGATCCAAGATCTCTGCGGGACGAGATGAGGGGCGGAGATAACGTACAAGGGTGGTGCAAGCGTGCATGAGATAGGTAGCAAGGGGGGTGGGTTCTAAGGGGCAGCGGCATAGATTAGAGGAAAAAGGTTTCTGCAAGATCTGCTGTGGTTTAATTCTCGTCATTTTTTGTGGTTGGTCGATGGGGACAGGGGAGGCAACCGGGGGAAGGAAGGGAAGGTGCTTCTGACTTTATGAGATTGATTGCCTCTGGGATGGTCCGTCGAATGAACGACTGGGGTCAGTTGTGCATTCGATGAGCTGTTCTGTGGGTTTAGAAGCTGCTTTTTGTGGGGACGAGGACCGTAATGCATATGCAATATGGTGTGTCAGAGCAAAGCATGGGATGGAGCACCCTGTAACAGAGGATCGTAAACTTCTGAACCTTGGAGCGTTCGGCTCTTGGAACGAGCGAGGATGAGGTACTAGAGAAGGTACGGTGATGTTGAGGGCAAGGAAAGGGGGGACCGAAGAAGCCCGAGATGGGATGATGGTAGGCAGAGGACTGCAAGATGCGAGTTTGACAGCTGGTGAAAGCGAGTTGAATGCTAGCCAGGCAGCCGAGTATCTCCGTCTCTGGACATCGACTGCGCAGCATATCCAGCACATCTGTCATGTACGTGGTTTTGAGTGGAGAAGAGAGAGAAGGGAGGTGTATGTCTGCGAAAAAGAGAGGGAGAAGGCCAGGACGGAAAGAGCATCAGGGATTTCTGCTTCGTCGTATAGATTAGTGATATTATAATTATTACAGTTATGGTAGTGACTCTTTCGTAAGCGAAGCGAATTCCAGTATGCCAATCCCAAACCATCTGTGTCCTTACATGTATCTGCCAATTCTGCGTGCGTGTGCAATACTCTATCAATTAACCAGAAAAGCGATCGCCGCAGTATCCTCTATCATCCCGCGGCCTGGTTACTATCGCAATTCATATATTTTGAAACTCCGAGTGTTATGCTTCCCATTCGCTCCCTTCCCTGTCCACTGGAATGCCATCAAGTCGTTATGTTCATCAATGTCCGATTATGCTCCTTAGTCGTACAAGCCCGGGTGGTGTAGCAAGGTTGCAAGAGCAGCAGAATTCGATGACACGTGTGATGCTCTATCAAATCTGGACCATGCTCCCAGACTCTCTATTTGAATAACGTTCTTTTTGAAATTGATAGTCGTCAGAAGACGTCGTATACATCTCTCAAATTTATTCGTACACCCAGTCAAGGTATCTAAATGGGTTCACCTCAGTTCGAGGCTGCCTGACTCTCCAACCAGGCAGGCTAAATAGTCAATTCACTTCTTGTCCCCATTTTGCGTATACGTGACTGCGAATGTATTCTGAAACGAGCAATTGTCGAATCGTGATGGCAGCTTCGGCTCAGGGCCAATGTCGATCTTAATATCAAGCTCAACTGGAGTCGTAGGCTGTCCAGTAGGTGGATAGCTGGGCAAGAAGCCAGTTCCTGAATAAGTAGACAAAGGGGAACCGTCTTGCGGAAAATGATATTGAGGTGCAAACGGAGGTAGGTATCCACCAGGGCCCTGTGGTGTGAATTGCGTCGACGGATGATGAGAAGGCGTGCTATAAGCGCCATCATGAGATGCGAAGGTCTGATGCTGTGAGTTTGGAGGAGGAAAAGGCCCGTTATGGGCAGGTGAATCATCGAAGAACGTAGTTTGGTGAGGTGGAGCAGAGAGGGGGGGCCATGATATACTTGTGTTTGCAAGCTGTGCTGGCTTGGAACCTGGATCGAGAGTGGAAGCTGAGGCTGAGATGAAGGCAGATTGGGGACCGACGAATTTGCCTGGGGCATCTGGTAGACGGCGTTGGAACTGTAGTTTGTAGGCGTTTTCCTCACAGCGAATTCATGCTGGTACTCCGCTGGCGAACGGTGGGCAGAGGCCGCGGATGCAGATGGTTTGCTCTTTGGGTGATGCAAAGCTGAACACGATGCCTGGTTAGGAATAGGTTCTGTTGTGGATCTTCTCTCGGTTTGATGCAAGGAATGCTTATCAATATGTGCCTGGAGGCTACGTGGCGAGATTTGCATAGAGCTGTTCGTTGACTTGTGCACCCGAAATTGATTGTTGTTCGGGAGTTGACCTGAGGATTGAATGCGTCGAACCTGACTTGACTGCCCGAGGCTGACCGAGGAGTTTCTCGAATGTGGGGAATTGGTCTTTGGCCCGGCAAACGATACACTTCGATTCGATTCGGGACGTAGAGCTGCTGGACGATGGCGCTTTCTTCGAGAAGCTAAGTCTGGTGCAGCAGCAAGTGGCTTCCCTATTGTCTGTTCGGGACTTGTGTCAGGGGTGCTGATACCTATCGTTGACATCACGCTTGAATGCGATGATGGGCCCAATCTTGTACTTGCTAAAGCCAGGGCAGATGTCGAATGCTGAAGGTGTAATTCTTCGACGTTGTGAGCTAATTCTGACGAGTCCGATGCCCGACGATTGTCGAATTCTGAGGTCAACCACGGCATTGGAGGCGGAGTTGGGTGGGGACCTTCGCCAACAGGGGACGGGTCGGAATTGAGGTTCAAAGATGACGGTTCTTCGGGTATACCGCTTCCAGATGGTATATTCTGCAAGAGAGAGATTGGGCTTACGTATTCTTTCCGATTGTCGTCAAAAGAAAAGACTTGAGAGGCTGCAAGTGCTGGGGGCGAAATAGAGGTTGCTGTTTCCTGACGATAATCCTCAGACATGGTGAAAGGCTGGCTGGCTGGGATGTGCTGAAGATCGTTCATCCAAGATGGATCAGAGGCTGTTTTCTCTTGAAAAGCCCCCAGGCGACCATCACTGCTGCCATGATCAAAGGATCGACTGGCAGATTGAGACTGGACTATTTGGCTTTGAAGGTGTGAGGCATAGTCATTGAGGTCGAAATTGTATGGGAAAGGGTCGGGTCCTGGAAGAGCTTGTTGATCTGAAAATGGGTCGCCTAAGATTTGTGTCTCGGATGTAAGCATCGCCGTGGGCTGGGCGAGAGTAGTCAGTGGAGGATTGTTACTCGTCAGGTCGGAAATTTGTTTGTCATGACCATTCTGAGATTTGGTCTCCTGCCGACGGCTTTGAAACCAATTCTGAATTCATAAATCGCGTGCAAAGAGACTAGATGAGGAATTTCACTTACGTTGACTTGCGGTAAATCCATCTTTAGTTTCTCAGCAAGCCCTCTCTTGAAGCCGATCTTCGGCCTTGGAGCAGCTACAAAGCAAGTTTCTAGAGCAGCCACTTGCTCATGGGATAGTTGGGGCTGATCCATCGTAAATGGCGCTGGCATGCCATGGGCCTCGTTGGACTGAGACGAGCTAGACGGGCTGTGGTGCATATGACTTTCGTCTAGCACACTGCCAATGTCTTTAGAAAATCCCCCATACAAAGGCTGATGGAAATGAGGCAGCGGTGGAGTCGAGTCAAAGTCGGTATCGAGCGATGGATACGTTGGATCGAGCGGTCCAAAGTCGAATTGAGCCCATTCGGAAGCAGGGTCCTGAGAATGTGTTCCCATCATCGTCTCTGTCATGATGTCGAATTTCGATTTGACAGCTTGCTATGATTGAAGAATAGGAGTCAATCTCTCGTAGTCAGGTCGTCCATCAGTGAATGATAATTAGGTCAAGCCTCGGGCTAGGTAGATTGCCAATGCAGAGGTATCGTAATTAACAACAGGTTAGACCGTAGAGGGGCACAGTAGAGTGTACAGATACTGCACGGTGCGAGCAGATCAATCGAGACTAAGTCAGTGGCTTCCGGTGGGGGAGCTGAAGCGTCGAGACTAGAGGCATATGTAGCGAATGTGTATGGAGCGGGATTAGAGTCAATGGTAGCGAGCGTATGCGGTGGTGAGTAAGGATGCGACTGAGCAAGGAAAAGGCCGCAATGAAGATTAGCAGACAAGTACAAAAGAAGGGACGAAAGACAAGTGCATTTTGCCTCTCAAGAGAAAGAAGAGAGTGAAAGTCGAAGGGCGAAATGTCGGGCCAAGAGATCCATGGCCTTGAGCCGCCGGTGAATCCGCGCAGAAAGCCGGTTATGCCACTATGAAGTTAAAGCCCAAAGCTAATGGATGCTAATGAATGCTAAGGGGTAGCTTACAGCAGGGATATGGGCCTTCCAGACTTCTGACAGCAGCTATCCAGGCACCGTCAGGGCCTAGTCCTGCGGGCAAATCACGACTCAGTCGACCTAGTGACCCTACAGCAGAAGTGAGGAGTGGCACTAAAACGGTACGTAGCTGATCTCTGCTCAGGCGCATTGGCGAATCTCGATATACCTCGACCTTGTATCTTTGGATCAAAGCTCCATCCCTCCAGTCGATCCTTCCCCACCGAGCTGCAGCACACGTCTCGTACATGTGTGGCTAAGAGGACGAGCATTATCTTACAGCCCTTAGCTCTACAGGTGAAACGCATCGTCTCCAGAGGACGGCATGGTGGTGGTTGTTGTTGTTGTTGTTGTTGTTGTTGTTGTTGTTGTTGTTGTTGTTGTTGTTGTTGTTGTTGTTGTCGCCAGCATGAGTACGAATGCTTAGTCTACAGACCAGCAGTCTCAACACGAGGACGAAAATACACGCTGCAAATCATTTCAAAGTCAGCGTCTAGGAACTCGGACCCTCGTGATCTATGACAATGGGCTTTGAAGATTTCCATGCGCCTGAAGGGTCCTCCCAAGCTTTCTCTAACTGACACAGAGCTGCGTTGGTACTGGCCTGGCGCCCTCCAATCATCACTCTAGCGCGTCCTATCTTCTGCGCCTCCATCGACATGCACAACACATCTTCCTTTCTTCTGGAAGGCTCATCAGTGGCCTCAAGTCACATGTACTGTTTAGCGAGCGAGCACGATAACGGCCTGTAGTCGTAGAAGAACGACACCCACATCACGTCAATGCACAGCTGACCGCCTGTCAGAGCTGCAGGTACCTATTCCTGGGCCTGCGTGATAACTGCGGTCAAGGATGCGCATGTGGTAGCGGAGAACATCGCTTGATATTTGGAATTTCGCTGGCCTCTCCTCAGCGGAAGATATATCATTCCAGAGCGGAGGTGATCTCTCGGATGCAATCCATCCCAGTCATTCCCCACGTCTTTCTCTGGCAAACAGGCGTAAGGACCACCCGGGCTGCATCGACATCGAAGGGGGGCAGAAAACAGCCTGCATACACTACTGCCTTGGCCTACAACAGCCGTTTCGTTGGACGAGTCACACCCGGCCTCAAGCTTGAACGGGTTTCTTCGTTACCGTTGCAGATCATGATGATCGTTTTACGAAGCCAAAGGACAACACTCTCACACGGGGTGCGCTGGGAGGCGTAAAGACTGTCTAATTGCCGGGGCGCCTGTCGGTATTCCTTGTCATTCGAATAACGACTAAGGCCCAAGACGAATAATGCAAGGTCCAGACACATGCATACGGGCCCTGCTTGTCGGGACCACGTTTCCCCATATTTAGAGGGTCGCGAACAAGACATGAAGAGCTCGATGACGCGCTCATGAGGCTCTGTTCCGCACAAACGTCCTATCGATGTACCTGAACTTTGGCATGTCAATGCCATTTGTGGCCCCGAACATGCTGGAATCTGAATCACGCGTCGCTATCTTACGGGGTTGGTTCGGCAGATGAGGAAAATATGATCGACGAGCACCGGGCTTCGCGCCGTCCCCGCACGTCCTTTCACAACTCGATTTTCACTCAAAACTCAGAGGTCTGGAAGTCTGCCGCACAATGTCAAAAGATCTCGCCACACTTCGAAGGGGGCGATTTCTCAGCTTCAGCTCAACTCTGCAACGCCACGTTCTTTTCGCCCCCTGTCACTGGCGGGAGATAGCCGCCGCGGACTACGCAAGTGCCTGAGTCTATCGGTCTGCGGAATCTGTCGAATCATATGAGGCAAGGATTGGGCGATCCTGAAAATCTTTACCCCTTTCTTCGGGATCGGAGTTCTGGTTGCCTCATTAGTCTTTCTGTCCCAGCCAAATCAGGCAAGGCAGGGTCTTGAGCTAGCACTCATCCGGATATGCGTCAAGCCCAAGTGTCCAAGCAATTTCAGAGCGCGCTTGAGGAGCCGGGGCACCGTTCCTTGTCTTCCACCGGCTGTCATGCTCGGTACTTTCTTGTTATTATCACCAACCCTGCGATTGCGACGCAGTAATTGGGCCTTCAGCAGATTGTGATTTGTATCTGGGTGGGAAAAGCTTGTGAATTTTGATCTTGATTGGTGTGGCACGCATGTGATCTTTGAACGATATCAGGCTCTTCCGCAACCCCCAACCATGTCCTACGCCTCTGGTGGATCTTAGAGATCTGAAGCTGCACGTATTCAGGGGCACTCCACACTTTCCAATGCTTGCGCACCTGCGCTCGATGCGCCTCGCTCTCCGCATGATAATTATATAATAATTTTACATGACCAATGCGTTGGAGATACGCAGCATCAGTTTCCCATCTTGCTCGCCTCTGAAGCATTCGATACTCTCAAGATTCCTGACGATCCAGTCGGCACCGGCATTTTTCAATACTTCGATGCTGTGGCTAGTCGAAAGACCGATAACCATGCAATTCGCTAATTTCCCCGCTCTAATTCCAGCTGGAGCGTCCTCGAGAACGACAAGCTTGTCATTATTTCCGGGCTCAAGGTTGATCAACTGCAAACGTTGTCTGCCAAGTAGGTAGCATTCTGGATCTTCCACAGCCGTCAGCATTTTCCGGTCTATGATACAGGTAGTAAATAGATGTGAAAAGCCGATCCAAGACCAACCTGGCTTTCCTTCTGTGACGTCCTCTGCAGTCACCAGCGTTTTTGGACGAGCCATTTTCATAACCCCAAGCCAGCCTTCTATGAGTGGCTGGGTTCCAGATGTTACAATGGCCCAAGGAGCGTTAAGGGTTTCCAACGACGCAAGCAAACTTCTTGCTCCCGGAATCTCGACCGCGTCTTGACCGAAGCGCTTCGACACAAGACCTTCCATGTGACACACATCTGAGTTGGTCACCTACAAGTTCTCTTCATGATATTCACTAGGCTAACTTACACTCCCAAGTTGCTTTGGTAGGATCATATTGCTTCAAAGTATCAATCGAGCGCCTCCCGTGTGCGGTTTTGATGATTTCTTTGTAATCTACGTCTAGATCTTGTGATACCCTAGAATACTCAATCTATATCAGTGCAGTGTTTTCAAGCGAGAAACGAACATTTGCCAATATTTGACTATTGCGTCGGTTGAATCGATAATGGTGCCATCAAAGTCAGAGAGTATACCGTCGACAATTACAATTTCTGTTGGTCGAGAGAAGTTAGGCTCCTCCATGGATGTTGATTCCAAAAGTTGATTCTTCGGAAGTGGACAACTTCAGACAATGCCCACTTGGGGATCGATACCTGGAATAGAAATCTACGTGTGAAATCGTCGCTCTCTGACTAAAAGGACTTCGATTAGGAATCTTGTTACAGTTGAAGACATGGTCGATGTAGCATTTTCAGAAAATAGTAAAAAGAAATCCACATCTGATCATTCTCGCATGGCCAGAGAAACTGAATGCCGAGTAGAAGTGCCGCCTGCCAAGCCGGCTAAATTGCCTCTTGAGGAAAACTTTTTGCACTTTCAAGTCCAAGACCTTGCTGGTGCTTGTACGCGGAGAAGTAGTGCAATCGTATGTCTGCGCATAGAGATAGGGACAATGGTGAATAAACCAGGAAGTAAGCCTCTAGTTGTCCTCTACTATCAGTGCTTACTTATTGCAGAGCCCAAGTCCAAACGAGTACCTGTACGACTGCGTCATAAGATTGAGAAAGCTGGCGCAGCAAAACAGCGCAAACAGAAGAAGCTTGCGAAGAAGGTTGTAATCCCTTATTCGGAAAGTACTGCTTAGGTCTCATACGAATTAGGATCCACAATGGCGCTCTCGACTCAAGAAGGATCCTGGGATACCCAATTTATTTCCCTACAAAGAAAAGATTCTCAAGGAGATCGAAGAAAAACGACGGCTTAAAGAGGAAGAATTCGCTCGGAAACGAGAGCAATCGAGAAAACTTAGGGAAGCTTCCGAGAGAGAAGAGACTCATGATAAGCCAGGGGAGCAGAAGGAGGACGACGCTCTCTCAGATCTCGTGGATGATCAGTCAACGTCCGAGGAAGATGGAGACAACGCAAATCCAATGTCCGCACTTCTTGCATCTGCTCGTACTCGTGCAACAGAGTATGAGGAAAACCTTTCTAATGAGAATGAGGACGAAGAGATGGGCGACGACGACAACTCAGAGAACGGCATAAACCTCACGAATAATGAAGCATTGCATAAGAAAGGAGCAAATACTGTTGGCTTCTCCAATGCTACCTTCAGCAAGATTTATCGCACCGTGGTCGAAAGCTCAGATATCATACTATATGTTCTAGACGCACGAGATCCTCTAGGCACCCGCTCAATAGATGTCGAGCGAGAAATCGTGTCCGCAGATGATGGATCTAAACGCCTGATCTTGATCTTGAACAAGATAGACCTGGTTCCTCCGCCAGTTTTGAGAGGCTGGCTTGACCATCTTCGTCGTTACTTCCCTACTCTGCCTTTACGAGCAAGCCTGCCTGCATCGAATGCTAAAACTTTCGATCACAAGGCATTGACAGTCAAGGCGACGTCAGAGACGTTGCTACGAGCGTTGAAATCCTATGCACATTCTCAGCAGCTGAAGCGGAGCATTCGAGTTGGCATAGTAGGTTATCCTAATGTAGGAAAGTCATCTGTCATCAATGCAATGACTTCCCGTCGTGATTCTGCAAGAAGTTCAGGGCCAGCTTGTCCTGTTGGTGCAGAAGCAGGTGTGACAACAGCATTGAGAGAAGTCAAGCTAGATAACAAGCTCGGACTGCTCGATTCTCCAGGAATTGTTTTCAATGCCACCTCGAGCTCTAATTCGAGACCTCCACATTTGACCGCCAAGCAAGCTGAACAAGCGCATCGTGTTCTCCTGTCTGCTCTTCCACCTTCGGCCATCGATGACTCCATCCCAGCGGTAGCTTTGCTCTTGCACCGCCTCTCGCACTCACCAGTGACACTTGGTCCGTTATTGGATTATTACGGCATTGCAGAGTCAACCTTGGTACCTCAAAATGGTGACATTACCACAGACTTGCTGGTGCAAATAGCTAGGAAAAGGGGGAGGCTCGGTAAAGGAGGTGTGCCAAATCTGAATGCTGCGGGTATGAGCCTGCTCGCCGACTGGAGGGATGGACGGATCAGGGGCTGGAAGGAGCCGCCGACCGACGCTGACAGAGAAGTTGCCGCACCGATTGCCTCCAGCAATGGCGTTGGAGACAAGCAAGTCGTGCAGGAATGGAGCAAAGAATTCCAGCTGGACGATCTGTGGGGTGAGGATGAGGCCGATATCGCCGATGAAGCAATGGAGCAATGATACCCACATATGCACGATCGAATATAAAAATCTCAGTCGACCACCCCATTTCAATCCTCCTCTATACCCTCCTCTTCGTCCCCACTACTCTCTCCGCCTCCTTCTCCTCCAGGCCCATAAGCGAATCGCCTCCTTTGCTCCCTCTGATCTTCTTCATCCGGATCATCCATGCCCAAAGACTCAGCTCTATGACCTGCATCCGGATATTCATCCGCATCATCATCCTCCTCCCCCTCCTCCCCTTGACCCGCTTCAACTCCGCCATCTTCCTCTTCCTCGTCCACGTCCTCCTCGTCGTCTTCTTCAGGATCCTGGTCAGGATCCCATTCTCTAGCTCCCTCCCTCGGTTGCATTTGCATCCGTAATTGAGCGCTTGGACTTTCCGGTCCCCTCGCATATGCTGTCCCATTCGTCTCAGCCTCGCCCTCTTCATCTATTCTTGACCTCTTGGCCGCTCTGTCACCGTCCTCCCCGTCGCCTACTTCGCTCATTTCCACGGTCGTGTTTCCCTCTCCTCCTTCTGTCTTCGTCACCCCTTCCTTCAACTTCCTCCGATACTCATTCCGCTTCCCCGTCTGTATCTCGCCGAAGCGGCGCAACTCCGCTTCTACTCTCGGTATAAAGGAGTCAAACTCGAGATCGTGCAGGGCTTCTGAGATGGCTTGAGGAGGGATTGTGCGGCGATTGTTAGTCTGGGTTGTGTTATTTGCTCTAAAATGATGCCAAAGTTAGCAGGCGCGGTTCGATGCTGGAAGGTGACAATGGAAGAGTTGGTCGGCGACTGACTGTGCGGCAAGATGGCTGATGAAAACAGTAGCGCTCTTCTGCATTGCTAAGACAGCGTCTTTGTGGAGAGAGGTGTTTGGGGGAAGAACGCCCTTAGCGAGACGCTGGACCATTGTTCGGGGAAGAGAAAGGTCCTAGGCCGGAACGCGTAAGACTGGGTTTTGCCATGATCAAGGATTGGGAAACAACTTCTATGTTGATGCCATCGCGTTCTTTCATTGGTGTAGCACCATCCTCACCTGTGGAGGCAGTTGAAATATTGGACTTTCGAGGGGGCATTGTGAACGGTCGGAGCAGAGTTTTAAGGCATTCACAACGAAGACTGTGTGAGAACTATGAGTAAACATGGACTGATTAAGATGGGTTTATTTATGCGCGAGGTGAATGTTAATGAAACAAGATTGACCCATTTTCAATATGTCCGAATGAGGCAATTTCTAAACGCGTCAGGTGCGTCTAGCGCGTTTACCCAACCTCGACGATTAGGGTCTTTAAGGTAACACCATGATGTTTTGCTGCCTGGCGCATGATCGATCTTCTCAAAGCGAATTTTTCCACGAGTTCCCGTGCGAAGTAGACTCTGGACTAGAATCATGGATTCATTGCTCATTGGTCCTAGAATATCACGAAGCCCTTCATTTTGCCTCTGTTGCTAAACGCTTTGGATATTATCGTTTTTTGATCACGTCTTCTCAAGCTCTCGATGATATTATCCCACAAATTGTGAGATCTTTCTTGACGCCATTCCTTGCTTTTGGCAATGCAAAAGTCGATCTCATAATCAGTAATTCTATGAACGTTCCGTCAATCATATGCGCAGATGTGCTTTTGTTGGAGATTCGCAGCCCCTTGGTAAAAGCGACAGATATAAATCCCTCCGAGGTCTCGTTGACTTGCCAGCCCCGATACCGCAAGTAGAATCACCTTGGAAAACTCTTTTGATCTCAGGTCGAGAAATTCGAGGTGATGATTTGTAGGTGTACCCATCCATCTCATTTTATTGTTACGGGGTCTTTGTTCGTCTTTCCTCGCCGCTTCACCATAAGAAAGGGGCGCTCGGCTTCGCCTCTTATAAGAGTGTGATTCGACTAAAGTCTTGTGATCTTAAATGAGGATCAGAGAAAGACTACATGATGGAACTATTCGATACCAACGCCAGCGACGAGTACTTACGCTTGCGGCCTCTCGCTTATCAAGATACCCATGTTGTTATAATGTACTTCTCGAAAGCCAGGAAGGTGTTTTTCCAAGTTCTCTCAGCATAACAGGAAGATAAAATTCTCCGTTACATGCGAGAAATCCCCTGGGGTCTTGTAGCGACTCTGACAACCATTTCTGAGAAAGGGGGCGGCAACAGACTTGAACATCAAACGCGCGTAAGTCGGAAAGAGATAAATTCTTTGACGGGGAAAAGGAAGCCCATGGGCGTACCTGGAGTGCAATATGCCGCAGAGGAATTTGCAATCTGTATTAGAAGCGGTAGGCGCGATAAATGTACCGAAGATTTCGCGAGATCCTCGCTCAGCCCATCTAGATTGCAAGAGCTGGATGAACATAGACACCTACGAGCCGTCGTCAGTCATCCTGACCCCCTTGGAAACGATTCTTTCCCTACACTCATCACATAGAGACTGAACATCCATGGCCTCGTTGTGTTCTCAACGTATGAGCAAGATTGGAGCTTTGGACATGCAGTTGAAGACCTTCAAACCAACAGACGTACTCGCCTTAATTAACAGCAACATATAGACCCTGCTCTAATCCATAGATCATTCCTTCACCTGAACGCCAACGCTTCGACAGTACACACGTCTATTCATAACAAGTCTACTTCGTCAAGATCGTAATCACATACAGCTTGCTGCCAAAACCTTTTCGGTGAAACCTGAACGTGACCTGGCTTTTCATCCGAGATAGGCCTGAGCTCGCTTGGTATCCCTACAGATATTGCTTCAATACCCACACCCGGCTTAATAGGGGTCTCGGAGATGAGGAACGTCTTCGCAGGCGTTCCAAACACAGCTGCAGGAAATCCTGGCAATTGTGGCGACACAGCTTTATGTTCTAGAATTTCCAAGATTGTCCCTGACGGCTTTGGCACACCGGAAGAGGAATTTGGTCGGCCCATTAATTTTGATGGGCCCCTCGTGGGCGTCTGCTCAACCGCAACGGCGTGCCTTGCGTCTGTTGACCTTTCACTACCCGCTGACACTTTGCAGGCTCTTAAAGCTTTAGTAGAAGTACAGGGAACCTTTGACGCGCATGAAGGAGACTTCTCATTAAGTGCCTGACGCCCTGGAATTCGCCTAGGGTGCTGCTGTGGAATGTGGTGTAAAGACAGGCCTTTGTGATCCTTCCTAGGCGTTGCCATGACTAGTGGAGCTAGCGGTTTCCGCACAGGATTCCTAGGCTTTCTTGAGAGTGAGCCTGCTTCTCGTCTGTACGCAGCGTCTGCGTAAGGCTTCACGGTCATGTCTCGATTAGGCCTTCTCATCGCTGCTATTGCATCTTGGGTCTCGTGTTCGATCTCGGCTTTCTTTTTCAGTTTTGACGCAGTCGCTTGAGATTGAGATCGAAGGTCAACCTCGCGTTGGCTGTAGCGCTTCAATGCGGCAGTCTTACTCGCTGGAATTGAAGACAATGACACATCGCTGACTTCGCGCTTCAAATGCGGGAGCATCGGTTCAGTAACAGATCTAGACAGTGTGGCAACCCTCCTGCGATGGGACGGTCTTTCATCCGTAGAGACACGCTTGAGATTCTTCGGAGCATCACGAGGCTGAGGTCGATTTCTGGCTGTCCCGGTTTGAGCGCTGCCGTGATTCATACTCGAAGACTTCGTCAATGGTGGTCGCCTGGGTGATGGATCGGCAGAAATTCCGAGTTTCCGACACAACAGGGCGGTTTTGTCAGGCAAGCGTGCCCCAAAGCTGAAACGTTTAGTTCTGACAACAGGCTAGGTAAATTATTCAACTTACAATGGTATAACAACATCTACACAGAACTGCTGTAGATGGTTTGGGGTGGGTGCTTGAATTGTTTGACGGTGAAGCGCTTGGGACATAGCTTCATTCTTTTCTTTGGTAGACTTTATGTCTTCAGTCGCCATAGACTGCCAGATTCCTAGTCGATCGACCAACAAATCCAGGAGGGTATTTAGATTTTGCAGCCTCTTTGGTTTCATGGGTGTTTGACGTTCGGCCTCAGCTACTGCTGGCTGGCTGTCCGCTGCCTTCACCCCTCGCGTGGTCACTGCTTCCAAAGCGAGTGTCTCTAAGATTACGATTATTTGCAATTGAGTTTCCCTTGATCGTTGTTCGATCAACAAAGCCTGAGTGCAATGTTCTCGGGCTTCATCAGTGTCACATGGAATGCTCGAGATATCTTTGCTCATCCACCACCGCGCAACGGCGACTTCTTCGCATGGGTACAGCCCGTCTTTGCCTATCTTGACTTTCTTGGACTTCCTAGCTTTCGGTTTAGGTGCTAACAGAGACGGATCATGGTCATCCGCTGTTAAATTGAAGGGAAGCCCTTTGATGATGGACGGAAGTGTCTCTTTATATTTCTTATCCAGCAAGGGCAAAGCAAGTATCAGAGATCTCAAAAACATGATAAGATGTGAAGAGTCTCCGACAGATCCGTCAGAGCGCTGAACGGAAGCACGTGCGCGAGATAATGGGCCCTTTGCAAAGTATGCCAATGGTGCCTTTTGGACTGTAAGAAAGCGAAAGAAGAAGTGATGTGGCTCGACTTACTCTCGAAGCATATAAGGCGTCTTGGTATTGACTTCTCACATGTGTAAGGGCTTCCTCGGAACTCCGCACTTGCTTGTCTACACTCGCTCGCGATGCAAGACTTTCATGCTCTTTGCTGGAAGTTGGGCGACCTGAATAGCTCACAGGCGGGCTACTGTTTCTACAAGGACCTGCTCCTGTGGCGCAATTATCTGGGCTTGTCTCTCGAGCAGAGCGGCCTCCTTCCCGTACGGCCGAAACATGTTCAGCCTCTGTCAAAGCTGCTGCGTGCCACCAAGAGTTCTCGTCACAATTCAGTGTTTTCTCCTGAGGCTGATTTTCCCAAAATGATGCGGACTTGATTTTGGTCCCCAAGGATTTGATGTGCGACAATGTCACCCATGACGCCAGTGGACACAAAGCGTAACAGCTATCTTGGATCTCCTCAATTACATAAAGCTCGTGTCTCCCTGCGCATTCTGCAATAAGAACTAGCTGTTGCCACGATGATCCAATCCTAGTGCTTGCCAAGGCATTGAGTTTCGCCGTAAACAGTGCTGGCAACGATATGTCTTCGTCGGCGCGGCCAACGTTGAGATATGCAAGTGGCAGGCATGCTCGATGTAGCAAGTGGCGAGGTATTAAAGTAGTATGATCACGCAAGTCTGAGTCTCCGAAAAGACCCTGCGACCATGAATTAGATGAGCTGCACCGATACGCCTCGTGGCAATCGTACCTCTATGACAAAAGGAGCCCATGTATTGTCTTCTTCCTCCTCTTCGGGGCGTTTGCGTTTCCTGCATCCGGAAGGAGAGGGCGTCTTAGAGGGCGGATTCCAGGCCAATTGGTCTCCGTCTACTTTCTTGACCCCAGTGTCCGTTTCAAGCGAGCCGACGATTGACATACCACTTTTCGTAGCATAGCAGTGACTGCATCTGACTGACGCGGGCAAAGGATGTACGTGAGACGCGCTGTGCTGAATAAGATCTTCCAGGCCTGTGATTGGCCAACCTTATTCTGGTTGGACCGTCGGAAGCTTCTGACGTCTTGTCGAGCCCGTAAACAAACACGCCCATTATTATCCTATGGTGGGTCCATTCACATTCTTCTTCAGCACATCCCCTTGATGCACTCCTTCCGCAGTATGCTTCATTTCTAGTCGGATATTGTTTTTTGTACCTTTTCTAATACACCTGATACCTTCCCTGCGCATCTTGCCAGGGAAAAATGATCCACCTTTCAAAACCCCCTGAAGATGAGACTATGTTCGCGAACAGCGCTATAGACTCTAGATCACGTCGAGCCTCTGCAACAAAGGGTCCAAGGCGGCGTTCATCAGCACTCAGATTTTTTGCGTCTAATTCACCACCGAAACCAGAAACACCAGCCCAATCCCACAAGCAATGGGAGAGTGACTACCTCAAAGGCCTTCGAGCAAATCATCCTACGAGGCCGAGCGGGTCAAGGCCTTTGCCAACAAGAAATGGAGCGACTTCAGAGCCATTTACTAGAGCAGCATCTGCGCTATCATTTAGACCCACACTATCAAAGCCAGAGCAAGGCGACTTGCACCCAGTCATACAAGAAAGAGCTACGAGTGCACTCTCTCATCGGCGTGCACAGTCCGATATGTCCAAAGTCGGCCATTTTAGTTCCCTGACTGGTAGAACTGTGGTGCAGACTCCACACGCACTCCGCTCTACGCGCGACTTTTCGGCTTCCACCGCTGAGATAAAGGGTTCACCAGAGCGATCACCAGTAGCCTATCGGGAAAGTGGTATGCGTTGGATGGAGAAGCAAGAGGCAAGATCGCTTCGTGAAGCTCTAGAGGATATGGATGTTAGGATTGACGCCAGAATCCATGCGGGGGCGCAGGACGAAGCATCTGAGCTAGTCTTGGACCATACGAGTGACAATCTACCTAATCAATTTGGAAGGGCTCGTAGAGACTATACGAAGCACCTGAAGGAAGGGGCCCATGCCCGTAGCCAAAGTAAAGGCTGGTACGATAAATTCAAAAGTCCGATTGAAAATGAGGAATCTAGAGGCAATCCTGCAAAGGAGGAGTGGTCGTCAAGAAGCCGGGATCCTCACCCTGATGAACGGGAATTGAAAGCTGATCATCAAAGAAAAACATCTAATGAGAAGCAAGAGCCACAACAAAGGACGCATGTAAAATGGGATTCGCCCGAGAAGAAGACGTACACTAGCTTGGCCTTCCAGGTACCGGCATTGAAGACTTCAAGACGTCGCTCGAGTGGTACGAAACGGAGGCAGCCAAGTGGTGGGCCGTTCCAGAATCCAAATGATAAGATCTATGAAGATAGTCACACTTCTAACGGGCATGTACCCAAGAGGACAACATCAAGCAGAATCCCTGTTCCATTGTATAGTAAGACTACCAACTCCCTCGATGACTCTAGACCGCCAATGATGCATCCAAATTCCTCGGCGAAGATCCCAAATGACACGTCCAGTCCTGCATTTCGTGCCGAGATCCATAGAAATCCGCCCTCGCAGTCGCACAACCCAACCTATACGACTAACCAAAGCCAGAAGCGAGACGAGGCAATCGGAGAGCAACATTCAGATCGATCTGTCCAATCAGAGGATGGCAAGGAGGTTCGAAGCGAGGACATTCGGGCTGCCACAAGTATGCGATTTATGGACCGTAGTCCGAAACTGCCCAAACCAGCGTTCGTGAGTGAGCAGCCTGGTCGACATATCGTTAGCTTTGACAAAGACTGGAAACCCAAGCATCCAGAAAACAGGAAAGATTCGATTAACAACCGAGATGCTGAAAACATAGCGAGAGAGCGTCCTAGACTCCCTCCACTAATCTCAGCAGCCTCAGCACCAGTAGTGCCCACCATATGCGTTCCGGACGTACGTTCTCCATCTGCGGACGATGCCTTAAAGACTCGTAAAACGCCGTCTATCTCAGTGACCGCAAACCAGGTTCCCGTAATCTCTCTGCCAGAAGAGCAGTCTGAGGAGCGTCCGCTACCGGTAAGAAAGGCCCCTACAGATCGTCCACTCCCACATCATTCTTCAACGACACCCACCATAACATCTACGCCTCATTGGTCGCTGGCAAGCCAACGCTCAAGCGCCCAGTGCGCTGCTTGCGCGCTCCCTATCGCTGGCCGTATCGTAAGCGCAGCGTCTCAACGCTTTCATCCTCACTGCTTCACTTGCCATCACTGCTCTGAGCCGCTTGAATGTGTAGCTTTTTATCCAGAGCCGAATTCAAAGCGTACCGAAAGACTCGCCCGAATCCAGGCCCGTCTAGATGGCAACGACCTGTCGGAGGAGAAAGCTGGCGAGACGGCTATAGATGACGGGGATGATTCTCTACGTTTCTACTGTCACCTAGATTTTCATGAGCTGTTCTCTCCACGATGCCGTAATTGCAAGACGCCAATCGAATCAGAAGTTGTCGTTGCTTGTGGTGGAACGTGGCACGTTGGACACTTCTTCTGTGCAGAGTGTGGGGATCCATTTGACTCGAAGACGCCATTCGTAGAGAAAAATGGGTATGCTTGGTGTGTACATTGTCATACTGGAAGATTCAGTGGGAAGTGTAAGGGCTGTAGAAAGCCGGTCGTCGAAAAAGGGGTCCATGCACTCGAAGCCGAATGGCATGAGGGTTGCTTTGTTTGCGTTGTGGGTATCTCCTCTCATCACTCCCTTGCATGGTGCTAAGTCGTCTGAATAGGAGTGCGGCGGCGGGTTTGACGATGGCAGATTTTTCATGCGCGAAGACCAACAGAAACCTGTTTGTGTGAAATGCGAAGAGCGGAGACTTAAGTAGAGCTCGTGTGAGCTCTAAGAATCCGACCGTCATAAGAAGTGAATGACTTGATGGAGAAGGTGCCAGGGAGGACACTCCGTCCGCCAAACGACCTTATTGTTCGATGATTAGTCCATCGAGATCTTCTCTGCAATAAACCCACTGTGCGCAGACGGACACCTTATGCTTCTTGACTACTGATAGACGCAATTGTTGTGAGAAGCTTAAGCCTCAAAATGGTGAGTACGCGACCCATTGGATATGACAGAGTACCTTATCACAATAACCCCGTTGAAGAGATGAGGCTTATATGTTTTCACGCCTGCGGAGAATCTGAGCATCATTGACAGAGAATCTATGCAATCAGCCCAGGCCAAACTTTTTGTCGTATTGCCAACACTACACTTTGACTGTTGACACATTACATCACACATCAAGCTCCATTTTCATCTTCGGCTCCAGATCATTCTCGTCCACATCATCCTTCTACCTCGCCTCTCAAATTCTTCTTCACAAGTATTTCATCGTCTGCTTCTCTTTTACTTCGAAGTTGACCAGCATGGCACATCAGACAGAATCGTCTAACACCGCTGGGACTTCCGCCACCCAAACTGGTGAGATTATGACCAGTAGCCCCTTACCTAGTACCATATACGCAACCCCGAACGGTACCACCTTTAAAGACCTCCTGGAATCAGGTAAATACACAGATATGACCATCTCTTGCGGTGAAGACATATACAAACTCCACAAACTTGTCATCTGCCCGCAGTCAAGCTTCTTTGAGAAAGCGTGTATGGGGCCATTCAAGGTAAGGCCTCTAGCTTTTCTTATGATATGGCTAAGCATGTGATTAGGAAGCAACTTCGAGAGTGATCGACCTGAGTCACGATGAAGCAAACGCGGTCAAACGTATGGTTAGCTTCCTATACACAACCGAATACGATGACTCTCCACCTTCGCTTAATAGCAAGTCAAGCATGGGTGTTGGAGGAGGTGTTCACCCTGTCCTTCAAATAGTGAAATCGAACAAAGACAAACCTATCAAAGCTCTATACAAACACTTCAGGGTGCCTAGAGGGCCCCGCAGGATAGCCAAGCTCATTGCGCGATACGACGCGAAAGAGATCCGAAAGACTGAGGCACCAAAGACGCAAGTAAGGCTGATCAATAACATTGCCGTGTATGCAGTGGCATCGAAATATGACATCAAACCCCTCAAGGACCTAGCCAGAATCAAGTTTGCTGCTCTTCTTGGTCCCTATGGATTGCCGCTTGATTTCCCTACTGTCGTGGAAAAAGTGCTCAGCAGCACCCCTGAATCGGACGAAGGGTTGCGGGAGGTTGTCTCCGACAAGTGCTGCAAACTTGGTAAGTGGGTTTGTGGTGATAAGTCCATGCGAAATGCACTTGTTGGTCAGCCGGAGTTTGCTAGCGATCTTCTACAAAGCATTCTATTTAGCCAAGATGCAAAGACTGCCATGGTGAAAAGCGGTTTGCAAGAGGTGTCCTCGGGTCTCCTTAAAATCCTTGACACAAATACAGGGGTGCAAGCAAACGGAATGATCAATGCAGCAAAGTTCGAAAAATTCAAGGAAACACTAGACGATTGGTTGGTCACTTTCAGCATGGCTGGTGCACTGGGGCGAATTCTTGGTCAGAAAGGCATGTCAGAAAAACAGCTTAAAAGGCATGGACTATTGCGCCTGTAAGCTCAGAGTGCGGTATGGCCATAGATGTAATGTGGTATGGAGGGAGGAGGAGCGCAGATACCGACACGTCTAGGCTTGGCTGCCAAGGTGCTGCATCTGTATCGACGACGGCAGTGGAATTTATTATCTAGAGCCGCAAGAAGCAATGCTTGGCATTCAATTTAGCCTCACATACTGTTAGCCATTCGTTAATTCTCTCGATGAACATCGTTAAACAATGCCGCTTTCCCTCGCGTCTCCTTCATAACCACCAAATAGACAACCTGCCAAGTAACGGAGTCCACAAAGATGGTACATGCTGACCCATGAACCACAAATTTCATTCTCATATTCTCATAGGCGCAAGTCATCACGAACCCCGGTCACGATGACATGATACATGATGCTGTCCTCGATTACTACGGCCGTCGTCTCGCAACCTGCAGCTCCGATCGCACAGTGAAAGTCTTTGAAGTAGAGGGGGAATCACACAAGCTCACAGAGACATTACAAGGGTACCTAAGTTGATCAGTCTTTCGCCCAGGGCGCATGCTGAATTCTCCGCTCTACACAGGCACGAAGGCGCAGTCTGGTGCGTTTCATGGGTCCGCCTCTCCCTATCCCCATCGTTCCCTCCATGACCTCACTCTCTCTCGTATCGATCAACTCCCCAAATCACCACGCCAGTTGTTCCTAACAACCCGCAACAGGCCCACCCCAAATACGGCACAATCCTAGCCTCCTCCTCCTACGATGGCAAAGTCCTCATCTGGCGCGAATCGCCCCCGCAAGGCTGGCAGCGCGTCGCCGACTTCTCGCTGCACACCGCCTCCGTGAACATCGTCTCCTGGTCGCCGCATGAGAGCGGGTGTCTCCTCGCCTGCGCCTCCTCGGACGGCAAGGTCTCCGTACTTGAGTTTCAGGAGGGGAACTGGAGCCATATGCTACTGGAAGCGCATGGCGCGGGAGTGAATGCGGTGAGCTGGGCGCCGGCGATGGTGCCAGGGCAATTGGTGAGCGCGAAGCCGGATTTGGCGGTGGTGCGGAGGTTTGTCACGGGGGAAGTGACTGTCTGATTAAGATCTGGGATTGGAGGTTCGATCACCTGGTTTCCTATTCCGCTGTTTGGGAGAGGGAAGACGAAACGGGCTGGACTGGAGAAGTAATGCTAATTTGGGTATGATTGACAGCCCACAAGAAAAAACGTACACCCCTACCCTCACTCTCTCCGGCCATACAGACTGGGTCCGCGACGTCGCCTGGTCGCCGTCAACCATTATGGCAAAGTCATACATTGCGTCATGCTCACAGGACAAGACGGTAAGGATATGGACGAACACGCCGGATCAGCCAGGAACATGGAAGGCTACGGTCCTGAACTTCGATGCGGTGCTCTGGAGGGTTAGTTGGAGCTTGAGTGGAAACGTTCTAGCTGTAAGTGGCGGGGATAATAAAGTTAGTCTATGGAAGGAGGATCTGAATGGGGAGTGGAACTGCGAGAAGTGGATTGAGGAATGATGATTTGCCGTAGAATTCAAGGCGTGTAGAACCTGCTAAAGCGTGCTATCTACTTGTTGAGCGAGGGTTTAGACAGATCGAAAAGAGACTGAGACACTTGCTTTCTAAAGGAAGTCGTCCCTGCAAGCTTGGACTCAGGACTGTTATCTTTCTGTTTACCAAGGATCTATGAAAGGGTGAAATTGCTTTGTTTTCTTCTCTAAAAAAAACCCTAGCTCATATCATTTGTCATACAGTAAGTCTGCTTTAAATGACTGCATACTCTAATCCGCCAGCTTTACTTCAAAGACGAAGATCCGCCATCGCTACTTCAAAAGAAGCTGAATAGTCATGCTCTATAGCGTTCGATTTCTGAGAGTTTACTGCCATCCAAAAATTTGCACTTCATTGTCTCTGGCACACTTCGAGCAAAAGAAGCAGACACAGAAGCAGAGGATCCAGATCAAGGGAACTAATGAAGTAGGTAGGCCAAATTTCGCTCTGGCTCGTTCCTTCCATCATTACCGTGCAGAAAATCCTTGATTGTGGTTACATCTGCAAGGATGCGACTAAGTAGAGATTGTGAACGAGAGGCTAGTGCAGAACCATCATCGTTTCACTGCGAAATTCAGTCCTAAAATCGTTCATCAACTCAATTGTCGCTCTTATTGTCGACGCTCCAGAAGATGAATGGTCCCATGGAGGAAAACTCTTCTTCGTCAAGCGGATGCCACCACCTGCCAACCATAATCTTGCCGCCTGGTAGTATGATGCCTTCATAGCACCAGCAATCATCATCTATAATGCCAATATCATCCAAGCTGTTATCGCTAGTCATTGCAAAAGGATTAGGGTTCGGGACCACGCCTTGATAAAGATTGTTGGTGGAAGAGGAGATGCTCGTTTTAGATGAAGACGCTGCTAAGAAGCCTGGTGAGGAACTTGAGAATGGTCCAGATGAGGTTGCAGATCTCAGCGAATCAATATCTGAGCCGTACTTCATCATACAGACGCGTTGCCAGCCGGGTATACCTGATTGAGGGGGTAGCTTGTGAGTGATACCCGTGCAATGAAAGCATGAGAGGTCCTGGCCGGAGCCCCCAAACTGCAGATAATCTTTTCCCGGTATCGGAACTGCCTTTCGTTCCGACTTAGTCGATTTCATCGGTGGTAACACCGGTGACTTATTGTACATTGAAGTAAGGAATGCAGATTCGTGCAAAGGCGGAGGCGTTGTATAACGGCACTGCCGGGGGGTCCGCTTACTCCGTCGTGTTGCGGGTGGATCTTGCTGCTCCGTTGCAAGAATATCAAGGAGTTGTTCTGAAGGCAAAGCTGAAAGATGATTCTCAAAGGCGGCAGGCCAGAGTACTTTGTGGTCGGGCAAAGAATCAATCAATAGTGTTTGAAATCCACCCTCACAGTCAAGAGCATCCGGGATTGGCATATCGAGAAGATTGCTGCACCGATCACGATCGCGAACAAATTTGAGCTCATCGTAATCAGGAATGTAGGCTGCAAAAATTAGTACAATCTACATCGCGTTCAATCTCAAACCTACCATAGCTTCCTTTCCAGGCGGATGCAAGCTTGTCACCGTGACAATGCTCCAATGGTCCATCCCAGCTAGTCGGTCGGGCATGGCTTTCAAGATCAGACAAAAGCGGGTAAAGCGTATTTTCAGGTTCAGTTTTCATATGATACTTGAAAAAGTTGACGATGTGTAGCAAATAGCCAACATTAACGGTCATCTTCTTGTCCAAGAACAGCGGAATCCTGCTCGGCGGGGTGTAGACGACCTGCTGAGAAAGACAAAAATCCTTTATCTGTGAACGAATTGACAAGTCTAACTGCAAGTGGCAAAGGAGCAGCTGTATAGTCTGAAGGAGTCGTGCACGGTGGTCGGAGCGATGTACGTTGAAACGAACAGTATCCAGAATATTCGAGGCTTTCACGAAGAGACGAAGTTGAACAAGATTATTAGACCGAAGCTTTACCCCAGCCATTGTAGGAGTTTTACCAAATGACTCTACCCGCTGTGAGTCGAAGCTGTAAACTTGGTTTTCAATGAAAACGAACCGATAATGAGTTCTCTCAGAACTTCCAGACACCTCAACTCATGCTCCGAGTACCCCTGTTGAAACCCTTCGCGGGTCATCTTTGACACAACCATCCTCCTCTTCATGTATTGGAGCATTATCTCGCATCCGGTCCGCCCTGGGGGCAAATCGTATCTTTTGGAGAAAAATGCTCTCCATACCGCTGCCCGATTAGAATGAACGGCATTGTGGGTTTCGGGACAGACGAGTGTGTACGAGCAAAGGTCTCTGTCATGTTCAAGATAGCTTGCAATATCTTCATGGATCTTAGAAGTGTCAGCATGTAGCGGACAGTAAGTCATAAGCTGCTAGCTTGCCTCAATTGGTAGCGATCGAAACGCCATGCCTCGTCAGACTCCCAGATGGTGAAGCAGCGATCATGAATTCAAACTCTTTGAATGTTGATGAATGTGCGAACAATACGAGGCGCCTTCTCTGATACTGTCACAAAAGCTGTGAAGTCCAAGTCTGTTGAACAATTGGAAGAGGTGAGGGTTTCCTGTAACGGACGTCTGAGATTCACTTCAAAGTGAATCAAGAAGGCGCGAGTGGCACTTGATAGTGCGCTAGTTGCTACGACAGGGAGCCTGAATTTCTTTGCTCAAACCGTTATGTAAGGAATCAACATAATTGAAGAGAAAGCCGTAAGATCGACTTGCAAATATTGGCTTCAAGTCAGGACATGGAAACCTCAGTTTCAGTGGATCATGAAATTCGTACATCAATACAATATCTCTCTCATTCATCTTCAGGCAAGGAAGAAAATTGCGAATGTAGCAAACGTGATCGCGTATTTACTCGTGACCAAGTTTCTCCCTCCATCAGATGTTTTCCCAGTTGGTGCTCCACTGCTGCCTTGTCGTGTGCTAGCTGCACCTTGTTCTCTGGCAATTACATATATCTCACCACTGGCGTCCGAACTCATGAATAATCTACCATCCTGGGAAATGGCGATTCCCACCGGCCGAAAGCAATGATCTGGGCATGCGCTGTTCTGTTCGTTTGTGAGAATATCCGTGTATGAAGTATTATTGTCAGGCCGGGCTACGGGTTCTCCATTTGCAAATGGTATGACCGAGAGCTTATAACCCGACGGCTCCGTTCGGTCCCAACTACCATGGAAAGTGACCCATGCCTCTGACGCCGAGTTGTTGAATTTGATGTCCAGTGGCGCCATATGCGCTTGAAAGGAAAGTCTTGGCGGTGTCTGTTCGGCGCAGTAACTATCGTTGATAGTATTGTTTTGCTGTCCGATCGCGAAGTTGCTACCAACAGACAAGTTTCCATTATTTGGGATGTCATCCACTCCCCATGCTGCAAAGCAATACGGATAGCCGTAATTAGTTCCCTGAGGAGTATATTCGGTCCCGTTGAGATAGCCGTGGAAGTTCATCTCTTCGCCAGGATTATCTTCATGGATATCCTTGCCATCCCGCGTGATTTCATCCACTGAGTTTTCGACCGAATAGATGCCGCCCGTATCTGGATGTTCCACTACGCCAACCGAATTGCGCAATCCCCAGCCAAGTCGAAGCCCATCTCTTGCATAATCATATGGCATCGATGTCATATTCCTAAGATTGAAGGCTCGAATTTGGCTGATGCCTGAGTCAAGGGATTCTGCATCAATATCAATATTTGAGGCGCTTCCGCGGCTGACAAGCAGCATTCCGGAAACCCTTTCTGGTATAAGGAGCGTTCGAGTGGTGTGATCGCTCCCCGTCATACCATTGATCAAAGTCTTGTTATCCGGGCTAACACTGGCTTGTTCAGGGTCATAGTCCCAGGAATAAACAGCTTCCTGGTCAGAGCCGTAGAGTGTCATGCCATCTTGCGAAAGGGCAAGGCCGTGGTTGAGCTGCAACAAGTCAATACGAGATCAAAACCCCACGTTAAGCCTTGGGTGCCAACTTACCCCGTGGCTTTCAATGATAGTCTTCTTGCTCTTCACGCGAACACATGTACCGCCATCGTCTTGCAGCTGAAGGCTAGAGACGCCTCGATTCTGTTCGAGAACCAGGAGATTTCCAGCCTTGTCAAATTGCAGTGAGCGCGGTTTACTCAGTCCTGTAGCAACGAGGTCAACTTTGTAGCCTTGTACAATTGATGGCTTGATAGAATTCGTGGGAGTCAAAGTAGAGCTGCAGCTTGAAGGTGCCTGAGCATACGAAGAAACAGTGATGCAAATGAGTAGGACAGAAAGCGTTGCGAAATAAAGTGCACCCATCGACATGTCGTGTAGTATTGATCAAAAAATGACAGACCGTCAAGAAAAAGAGAAATCAAGGGCTTGAAAACCGTCAGTGAGATGAAAATGGTGGGAGCGCATAGCCGCATTGAACTGCCGTCCTATCCATCGAGAGTGGCAAATGCATGATGGATTGAAATGCGCGGACGTTTCTGGGCATTGAAACCGCCAATGTTGCTAGTATATCGTGTCTAGCTCCTCGTGCCTAGATGCCGCCATGATCTAGTCGAGCTCTCATACACACTACTAAATGTGAAGCCGGGAGGAGCAGACGGTCATGCCAATGCCGATTCTCACGATAATCCAAACCCTAGAGCTAAACCAAAGAAAGAGTAAACTGCTGATACAGCTGAGAATTGCAAAGCTTTGGATTCAATATCAAACATGATCTATGGGTATCAATCGTACTATCATAACTGCCTAAACCTCTCTCTCTCTCTCTCTCTCTCTCTCTCTCTCTCTCTCTCTCTCTCTCTCTCTCTCTCTCTCTCTCCTCTGCACACATCATATACTCATAGAGCCTGACCAACTCCTGTATCGTAGCCGTTGTCATAACTTCCCGGGATGTGCTGATCCTCATGATGATGGGGTGCATTCCCTCCATCGACCTGCAGGTCCTCAAATCGTAGCCGCCTAGGTTTTCCATTGATACTTGTAGCAGGACTTCGACTATGTCTCCTCCCAGTAGCATCTATGCTGGCTCTTGGCGAATGGCGACGTTGATGAGCAGAATCATGAGACTCCCACGGTGGCGCTGGTGGCCGAATGCCGGCGGAATGTGGAGGTGTTTCTCCAGAACTGTATCGTAATTGGTGTTGTTCCCATGGTGGTACAGAGTAGCGATTAGGAGTCGCTGGCTTGTAGGGATCCACGCCTGGCGCATACGTCTCGCCACTGTTGCTTGATGTCGTATTATTGCTAATGCTAGATTCGTAGCTCTCGCTGGGAGGGAGGCCACTATTCCGCATACCGCCACGGTTTGGCGATCTGGAGGGGACTTCTGGAGGGGTTTCAAAGCCTCTGCTGCGACGGCCAACCTCGTAATTTGGCTCCTCATTTGTATACCCAACCAGAGGCTCCTCGTGTCTGTGTAACGAGTGTCGCTGCTGCTGGGTCGGTGATTCAGTTTCAATGTTCGCGTGTTTGTCGTCATATGGTTGACCCATTGCGCCTAGTCCAAAGGGCGTAGGAGGCCTGTCGCTGTTTGTGTGCGTTGGCAATATTCCAGAACGAGGGCGTGAGTGCGACCGTGAACGAGATCTTGACTTTGAGCTGGCAGTCGAACGTCGGTTTTCACCTTTACTGCGAACAGCGTGATCTACTGATCCAACGGCGGCTGCAGTAGAGATGTTGGACGGCGCCTGACTGGCACTTATGGGTCTGTCGTGATTATACTGCGTCGAAGGGTTATGCGGAGCATGTGTAGTAACTGCTGTGTCCGATGGGAGACCGTAATTTACCTGCTGCGACTGAGCTGTGTTTGATATTGGCGACTGTTCTGCAACAGAATCTCTCGGCACGCTATGGCGGGCTGTTCTAGAAGCAAGGCTCGGGGGAGCCCATGATACAAGTTTTGCGCGTGGGTTGCATTTGACATTGGATGGTGTTCTCCAGATCCACGATAACCCCTAGGATCAGAACCGCCAGTCCCTTCGTCAGCAAGCGCTCCTGTAGTGCCAGTATGGTAGCCAGAAGGCGTAGCATGGATGGAGCTATCATATTTCGAGGTCCGATGAGGCTCATCAATTGGGTCGTGATGGTGCATGCTGTGGCTAGCAGATGCTGCAGCTACTGCTGGTCCGGCTACCCCAGATCCGTGTCCTTGATGCGTCGGTGGTGGGTTTGCAGACACATTTGACGCAGGCTGATGCGCACCAGAAATTGGGCCGTGGTGACTACTACGTTCGGGTGCTACTCCGCCTGCCATGGTTCCAACTATGCCTGGAGCCTGCCCGTAATGCGTGGGTTGGCTGGGGGAAGTATTCGATAGGTGAGGATGATGGTCAGAATGATGACCATGATGATGCAGACCGTGACCGGAGACAGCTCCAGCCGCCGTTGCTCCCATCAGACCACCTTGATGCCCACGTGGTGTAGATTGAGTAGAATTCGCATTTGGATACAGGGGAGGTTCGCCATATTCGTCATGATTGTGGCGACCAGAGCCTCCAGCTGACGGGGGCGTTCCTCCCACATCGTTCCGATAACGTGGAATAGGTGGAGTTGACGATGTTGTGAACGGACCGCCTTCGCGGAATGAGTTTGAAGTTGGCCTACCATAGCTAGCTGGGCCAATATCCGTCGGATGTATTGTACCAGAGCCGCGACTATGACTTCTATCTCTTTGGTGTGGTGTACTCGGAACGGGATGGGTTTCTCCTGATTTTTGGTGATGATGCATGGCGTAGCCTGCTGCTGCTCCAGCGGCACTTGCACCAACCAGCTCAGCACCGTGCCCGTGCCCGTGCCCATGCCCAGTGCCTTGAGTAGTTACGGGATTTGAGATAGAGTTACCGTGGACAGGCTTTCTCTGAGCATGAGAGCTCAAGCCATGCGTTCCAGCCACGTCAGGCGTGTGGTGATCGGTGCTATAAACAGGCAATGCGCTGGGTGCTGCTGCATGAGGATGGCCGGCATGTTGTTGATGATGATGTGAGCTATAACCAGGAGGTGCAGTCTGACCAGGTCCATGGTCATACCCAGCATCATGGGGGTGGGACGCATGGGCAAGTGGATGCTTCTCGCCAGATTTCCGGTGGTGATGGAGCCCATAGCCAGCGGCTGCCCCCGCCACAGTAGCCCCTGCTAGACCAGCAGCATTTCCATGATGCGAGCTATGGGGAGACTCGCTCGTGCGAGCAGCATTATCGGAGAACGGGTTCTCTGTGGAAGAGCGCATTGCCGGATGTTGCGACAGACTGGGTGCCTGGCTAGGTCTGCCGTGTGGGATTCCCCCAGCAGCTATAAGAGGTGTCGTGTGCTGCTGCTTGACCTCTTCATGCTGTACTGGAGTGATGGCCCTGTTACGACGGCGTTTGCGTCGCATCAGACAGCAGCATATGCCGAGCAAGAGTCCAAGCAAGAAGACCACGGCAAGGACAACGCCAACGATGATACCAGTTTTGGCTCCATTGCTGAGGCCTTTATGTGGAGCAGAAGCTGCAGACGATGGAGGCGGCTGCCGGCGTTGGAGAGGCTGAAGTTGAGGACGGCGAGGATGTCGAAGATGGAGCGGTGCTTTGGGCAGATAGGGCCGATTGAATGGCCCCGAGCCCCGATTGCGCTCCGTTGATGAAGCTATCTAGCCCATCTGAAGGCGCTGCGGTTGCTTGTGCGAGAGTCTGTGATGTGTTCAATGCAGCCAATGCGATCAATACAATTAATCGTTGGAGCATTGCGACTACGTCACTACGCCCTCGCGGTACGACTCTGGATGATGCAGCTCCGAGCACAGAGCTTTCTAGAACGTAATGGTGAAGTGCTCAAAGACCAAAGGAGCAACGTCAATGCTGAACTGCACAGGTACAGGAAGTGGACATGAAGAATTGAAGAGAGGACAGAGGTAAGAAGAGGGAGGGGTCAAGCCACATTTTATGTGATCATCGAGCTGCAAAACAAGGTCAAAGACGTGAAGCGATAGCTAGACACGACGATCAAGCCACACGGGACTATCTTTCATCAACTTTCATTGGAGAGGAGGCAGATGGGAAAAGACGCTTGTGATAATTGGGGGGCGATCTGCAGGCTCGGATGTCCGGGCGGGAGAAGGAAATCTTTGAATAGCGCCCATCATGCTGCTTCGCTGCTGGCCAACCTCGGGCTCGTGTTGCTGCGGAGGATGAGATGGCCACCATCTGAAAGGCTCTTGTAGGCGTTCGATGCTGTGCTTGCCATATTATGGGTGAAAGTGTGATGAGATGAGGTCGAAAGAAGGTCGAAGGAAAGCGATTTCCCTGAAAATGCTCAGCCACAGCAGCGCGTTGATCAATGCGATATCGAGCATAGCGCGACCGTAACGTTGAAAAGCGAAAGGATTATTATTGATAGACATAATTGGGCAATTCTAAACGAGAGGGATCCTTCAAGCTGATATGTAAAACCATGATTAACGCCTTGCCCATCCGCTCCATGTCGCTCGCAACGCTCATATCGTGCCAGTCGCGACTCATCAAATGCCTGCCGTGACGCCAAGAACAATCTCAAACCATATGATCGTGCATGCGTCTTTGGGTATCACAAATTAACTACCTCCATCAGTCTTCTTCCCTCCCCGTACGCGTCGACATCTTAATTACGTCTTCGACGCTGACGCGAACCATTTTCCTGCTGCTTCCAAAATCCCTCTTCCTGCCTAAAAGTTACTCGAATTTTGCCTCGATGAGAGTGTGCTCGCGTTGCTGCTGCTCCGATCTGTTGGCGAGCTTTCCTCCATCGGTACAACCTGCTCCTTGATCGTCTGGATCCATGGACATTGAAGTAGCTCTGCTGCAGTCGCTCTTTTGTTTGGGTCCCGCACAAAGCTTCGGTTTAGCAAATCAATTCCACTCTGTGAAAGCTGTTCCCTCGAAGGGAGCTGTGGTGCGTTGCCTTGCGCAATGTTGTACATGATTGCCCACTCGTTGTCGAGGCTCGCCCATGGCCTTCTGCCGGTCGCCATTTCCAGAACCACACAGCCAAGCGACCACATATCCGTGGAGCCTAATCGGCCTCCGCTTGTGCCTTCGCTGATACCTTTGATGACCTCAGGAGACATATACATTGGCGTACCCGTCATAGATTTTTGCTTAGCTGGCGCTTTGGCGGCAGGTCCCCCAACGATGGGTGCCACCTCCGGTTGCAGAGTCTTGTTAGTACGAGCAATGACCTTGGCGGCACCGAAATCGACAAATTTGATGACCCCGTTGTGGTCGAGAAGAATGTCTGTATAGAGAGTCAGCTTTCGCCGTCACAAATATCAGAAGCGGACTTACTCTCAGGTTTGATGTCCCGATGTGTGATACCATTCTGGTGCAGGTAGGCGAGACCCTCTAGCATCTGCAACGCATATACCTGAATGACCGTTTCATCTTCGATTCTTCCATGCTCAAGTAGACCCGCAAGGGACCCACCAGAACAATATTCCATGAAGATATAAACTTTATCCCGATGCACCTCTATGCCATAGTATGCAACAATGTTGGGATGGTCCAGGACCTCGAGCACACGCTGTTCGTCACGAATCTGACCGGCAACAGTTGGTATCAATTGCGGATCTTGTAGCCTGATCTCCTTAACGGCCATCAGTGATCCCGAGTCGATATTGAAAGCAGCATATACGGATCCAAACGTGCCTCCACCGACGAACTGACCAAGTTGCCATCGCATTGTCACGTTCGTGGCGGAAGATGATAAATATGTCAACGATCGATCAGCGTCGTTAGTGTCTTCCATAACTCTACCGAGGGCTTGTCGTTCTGTTATCTTTTGCTTTCTCGTCTCCTCGATTTCATTGAGGTGCGTCATCCATTGTTCTCTTATGAGACTCGTAGCCTCAGCATCATCCTTCATCTTGCTAATATCCATCTTTTTGAGCTGGCTCGCCAAAGCCTCGACCCTTTGCTTTTCAACCTGAGCAGCCAACGTCGATTTTGCGCCCATTATGTCGAAGTGCGAAATCAATAGCGACATGCACCCAGCAACTTTTGTGCGTAATAGGGTAAATTCCTCATCTGTGATGTTAAGGATATTGGGCCCTTGCGTCATTATCATGCCAAATTCCAGAGCGGTGACAGCCCATCTGAAAGTTTTTCGGTCTGATGCTATGCAATCATCGCATATGAAAGTCACCCAGTCAAGAGCCAGCTTCGTCAGCTTCATGTTGTTCATCATGCGGCGGTTCGCGTCCATATAAGTGACTGAGCGTTTCCCAAATTCGGTAGCAAACGCGAAGCAAGTCTGGATAAGCTCCTGGTTTTCGAGGCCTTTTGTTTGCTTTTGTATGATCTCTACGCTCTCCATGATTGTGTTCGAGAGTTTGTAGGCGGTCTTCTTAATCTTACCAAGCTCTAAATTTACTCTCGAAAGATTTGCTCGCATCTCCGTGAGGATTGGAAGATCAACACCCGTAGACTGTAAGAAAAGAGACCTAGCGTTTTGCAGTCTTTGAAGTGAGCCATCAGCTACTAGGCGAAGGCGGCCAGGACGAATATCAGTAGAAGGAGCTCGGGTTGGTACTTCCATTTTCTTTCCATCCCAGTGAAGAGGCTGCTCAGGTCGAAGTACTAATACGTATGGGTTGTGAGGATCTTCGACGACGTAATCACTGGAATGATAAGACGTCCCTAGTATTGCTTGTATAACCCTGAAATTGCCGTATAGTGACGAGCACGCAATCAAGTAAACTCCATCCTCCTGCAGGTTTGGACACTCAATCAGAAAATGATGGGAGTCGATGAGTGCGTCATACAGTGCTTGCACTCGGTGGTGCTCGAGACTAATGTTAAACTCTGTAGCGTTCTCGAAGCGCTGGCTTAGCAGTCTTGAGAACCGGAAAAGTTTACGTTGTCTAACCCGCACTGAGTCCAACATCTGTTTATGACGTTTGTTCATGTCAGAAGCGTTTTGCTCAGGTTTTCGAATCAGTTCTTTCTCGAAAGTGCGTTGTAAGTCTTTGCAATGCTTTAGCAGTGAGTCCACTGAACTGTTCAGCAACTTCGACATCGCCACCATCAAGATAGTGCCCAATGTCGTTAGAGAATTCCCACTCTTGCTCAAGAATTTCGGCTTCCTTAAAAGTATTTCTATTGCCCACAAGTTTACCATTGAGCATTTTGAAGTAAAACTTGAGCGCATCCAGAACGACTAAGTCAAAGTTCTCGTCGATGCATGGAGGCAACTCCCAGCCCGGCTCTGGCTGAGCGATGACCGTGTAGTCTTGCTTGATTCTGACCGCCAGCTTCAACAAAATGCGGAATTGGGAGATCATTTGTGCCTGCATCATAGGTTCTAGGGAGCCTGGGTCTTTCATCTTGACAACGTACTGTAGTCGCATACGAATGATCTCTTGTATGAGCCGAGAGGGATAATTGATCAACGTCAATAGCTCTTCCATGTAGGGCGGCAGATGCCGTTTGGCGAATTGCTCAGCGTTCCCAATCAAGGTAGTCTTAGCCTTGGTAATCGTTTCAGCAACAGGTTTCAGCATGCTATGATTTCCCTTTTCGTCACCTTGCAGCGAGGTCAACGAATCGTCTTTGTTTAGGCGATCCAGAAAGCTTGAATCATCTCGAAGAGCGGCACCATTTTTGGGGGTATTGACTTTCGTGAAATCGAGCTCTTCATTGCCGACCCAACTTCTCAAGATTGAGAGCTGTGTATTGATCAGCTGTGTGATGTTGTACCAGGAGACGACAGCCTCTGAGCTTTCATTAAATGCAGGTGACGCTGCACGCTCCACCGCTTGACCGAGAGCCTGTCTTGTCGGAAATAGGCTCTCACATTTTTCAATCTTTTGCACGATGCCCAAGACTTGTTCTGCTGCAGGCTTACCGACCTCCATCTCTCCTTTGACCGAGAACCCGATAATCGCCTCAATCTCGGGTATTATGTTTGCACGACCTTCTTCCACGGATCGTCGCTGTGCAGGCAAAGTCCTCCCACATGTCTTAGCTCTAATACCCAGCCATAATTCATTGATCAAAGCCTTCTCGCTCTTCTGCTCTACTGAGCCTATCAACCGCTGCTTCTCTTGCTGAACGACGTCACCCCTGAGCACGGATGCTAGCATACTATGCCACTCAAGCCGCTCCCGATTTTCCGGTACTTGTATCTCCTCTACCGATGGCTGATCTTTATCTATCTGGTAGAACAGCTGTGTGTCTTGGTCGTAGTTATCTGCGTCGATCTGAACGTCTGAAGTGGGCGACGCGGCTTCAAGGTCAGAGTCATTGCTAGGATCGACGCTTGGAGTATAGGGTTCTCGACTGAAATAGTCTTGATAAGGATCTTGTCTGAGGTATCGGATATATGGCTTCTCCTGGGCCTGGTATTGAGCATTAGGATCCCGCTTTACTCGATGATCTCTAGAATTGGAATATGATCGATGTCGAACGCCAGTATTCGCCACCATGTATGGTGATTTCTGCATGGGCTTTCGATTTGGCTGGTAGGTGCTGGAAATTTGTCTTGCTGGACCTCCAGGTCGAGAGGGTTTCGGGCTGGAGAGGTCACCGTACGAGGCGCCGAGAGAGTCTTGTGCTTCTCCACCACCCCGTTGCCGTGATTGCAGGTAGCTCGGCCATATAGGCGACGATAAGTCTGTCAACGGCGTTACACCATCCTGAATGCTACTCCCAGGAGTGTATTCTACATTGCCCTCGCTGTCGTAATCCTGATCATTGTCAATTTGGTCTCTCAGGCTCATGACATAGTCATCCGATACTGTTGACTCCTCCGAGCCATTACGAAGATTCTCTGGACGAATGGGATCTTCCATAGCTGCAGGCAACGGCCAAGCGTAAAGCAATGAATTGCATTACTTAAATGTTTCTTATGGGCGTGGCGTAAAAGCAGGATATTCAGCCACAGCAAGCTGCGCTCTGCCAAGGAAATAAAAAAAAAGGAGATTACGCGGGAAGCGGGGCGGCCGGAACAGACCCGGATTTACCTGCGGTACGGTCGAAGGTAAATCAACACCAATTATGGTTCCAGAGACATCCATCTCAATAATGTGGAGAGCCGGAAACCGGATGGTGTGAACTTCACTGCGGAAAAGCGAAAGCAGGTGCAGTGAGGCTATGTCGGCTGGCTGAACATTACTTACCTACCTTAGCCTTCTACATATCACGATGTCCCAATGCTTGGCATCAGAGTGCTTTAAGGGCAACTGAGCTCTGCGTTCTTGAGCAAACAAGTCGCACAGGCGAATGTATACATGCGTAGACCTCTGAGTTCGTGTCTTTCATGTCTAAAACTAATGGACACATCGTTAAGTAAATCACAACTTGACACAATTCTGTTTGTTCATAGTTTCTTCATCGAGAATGGAGCATTACGTGGGTCAAAGATGTTCCTATCAGGGCGAGCGTTGCACAGTTCGTTTTGTGGGCGGCATCGCAAATAAAAGTGGCCAATGGCTCGGGGTTGAGTGGGATGATCCCACAAAAGGGAGACATGATGGCACTTATGAAGGAACAACTTATTTTGCTTGTAAGTTTTACGATGGTCTTTTCTCTGCTGCTTCCCATAATTCGCTTCATCATGAAGAAAGGAGACCCAAAAATCCTCTGAAGACTCTCCGTCTCTGGTCGAATACAAAGGTTTCTTGGACAGTACCGAATATAGAGCAAGACTCATTTCATCTTCACCAGGCAAGCATCCCTCGCGTACTGCTGGTTCTTTCATACGACCGAGCAGACCGCAAGACCCAGCGAACGGTCTCGTGGAGGCAATGGAAATCAAATATGTCTCCTCGTCGAAGGGCTTGACCAGAGACGTTGAGATCATCGAAATCAGCGGAAAGACAGTCGAGGAAGTCGGCTTTGAGAAGATAGAACGACAATTAGCAGGCTTGACAGAGCTGAAAATCGTTGTGCTCGACAGTCTGCGCATCAGAGGTATCACGGGTGTTCCTATGTCTTTCGCGAAGCATGAAGCTATAACGTCTGATGTTCAGCAGCCTCTATCATGGCTTCGGCAGACTAAAATTGAAGAGTTAGATCTCAGCCGGAATCTCTTCGAGCATTGGGATGAAATTTACCTTGTAAGCCAGTCTATTCCAAGGCTTCAGATTTTGAAATTAGCGTACGCAGAACACCCCCAAAACCAGAAGGTTTTCAAAGCTGAGCATTTAGGGGCAATCGTTTCTGTGGTTTGAGGACATCGGAGCTTGAGCCTACATACAAACATGATGACCAGCTCAAAGGACTGCACCTGGATGATACACTTCTTGATTTCAATACAGTACGGGCTCGATTTTTCCACTACAAAGGAATAACTGACAACGACCCAGATTTCAATCATAGCCAGCCTATACCCAAACCTCGCAACGTTGACAGCCTCCTACAATCTCATCTCTAGTCTTACCTCCGCACCGTCCACACCACGTCTTCGCCACCTCGACCTTTCCTTCAACCGCATCAGTAATCTTTTGTGCCTCGCCCCTCTCGCTTCCCTCCCCGAGCTCAAGTCCCTTTCCCTACGCTCGAATCCTCTCACCACCCTCAACACCACACAACCCCTGATCTTCCCAACAATCACCCACCTTGACATTTCCAGCACGTTTCTGCCCTCACTCCCTTCCCTCAACTCTATTCCCAGCATCTTCCCAAAGCTAAGCTCCCTTCTTACGCAACACACGCCCCTTTCCGCTCTGTCTTCCGCCTCACTCCTGACAATCGCCCGGCTAGGTACAATCAGAGAATTCAACTACTCCTCAGTATCAATGGCGGAGAGGCAGAATGCGGAATTGTATTACATGAGCACGATCGTGCAGCAACTTTCTGATGCGGAAAGTCTAGAACAGGAAAGGGATTTCCTGACTGAGCATTCGAGATGGCACGAGCTTTGTGAATTGCATGGGAAGCCGACTGTGCAGAGAAAGTATGGGCAGGCGAAAGGCAAGGAAGAGGTTTACCCACCTGGGACTCTGGGTTCGAGGGTTGCGAAATTTGTGTTCATCATGGCTAGTCATGTAGATGAGGGTAAGGTGAGTGGTGAGAAACAGGGAGAGGAAGGGGTGAAGAGGAGGATTGCAAGGACGAGGATTGTGCCAATTGCCATTTCTACATATCAACTGTTGGGGCTCGTGGCCGAGATGTTTGGGATGCCTTTTATGGATGTCAGATTGGTGCTTGAGACAGAGGAATTTGATTTCCTTGGTGATGAAGCAGATGGAGATGGTTCCGAAGACATTGGAGATTTTGTCGACGAGACTGCCGCCAAAAGTAAAGGAAGGAAGCCTCAGAATGAGTGGGTCCGAAGAGAAGAAGAAATGGTCGGAAGCACAAAGCCAGTGGGTGACTGGCTCCCCGTGGGCTTTGTGGGTAGTCCGAACAAGGAAGTCAATATCAGGGTAGAGGAGGTTAAAAGATAATGTCTAAATCTCTAGCTATCGCATATTGGTTGTGTCTCAGCATTTCCGCCCAACACCTTCCTCGCTGATATTTTTACTTCCTATGCATAAAATACACGTGGCATGAATCCGTTGCCCGCTTCTAGAGCGGTGATGCTCGTCGCCTGTCGTTGAACTGTAAGGATGCTTGTTTTGGCGAACTCACAACTAATGCGTAATGGTCTTGGAGCGCCAGTCCCCGTCTTTGCAGCCACACAAGATCCACACCTCCTTTCAACATCAATGCAAATCATCTGGTTTCCTTCAGTCGTGCATCATGCTTCTATGTTAGATCAAGGCTATGCTATGTTGCACGCATGGCATCAAACCTCTTATAGGTGTAACCTATAAAAGGCAGATTCATCTCAGCGCTTACATCACTGTGCTCGTTCCTCATCGCCTCGACCTGGGCACGAGTATGGGCCGTTGTATCGGACTGGTCGATCTCATTAGTGGGGAAGTAGGCAGTATCGACGTTTGATCGAAGTTCTGGAAGGAACGGTGCCCGGATTTGGCGCAGCTTGTCCCATGTTACCCCATTGAAGAAAGGATGCTGTTTGAGCTCTTGCGAGCCTTGCTGGCCCATAGAAGTTCCCAGACGGTCGTGGACATCGCAAAGCAAGCTATAAAAACTCATGGTCAGTAGATCGAGCATTGAAGATCTACCAGCTAAAGGCTGAGAATTGTAAGGAAACGTACCGTCTTATGCAGTCTTCAGCATCCGGCCACTGTTGCCTTCCCACAGCGTCCTGGAGGAGGGGGTTGTCAGGTGGGAAGTAAAGATGGTTGCGCCAGTCAACAATCTTTTTGTACGTATCGTGGGCGTCCTCCGCGCAGAAGGGTGGCCAGCCAATAAGACACTCAAACATAATCGCACCGACAGACCACCAGTCACATCCAAAGGAATATCCGTGGCCAGTAAAGATCTCAGGGGCAATGTAGTCAGGCGTTCCGACTGTTGAATAAGCAAGCGTTCGACGCGATTTACGCCATGTATTGATTGCATTGCGATTGCTCATGGTCAGATTAATTTGATCCAGGGTGACAGATTGTCGATTCTGCTGTTTTTTCCTATTTGCGGAGTCTCGCGCATTCAACAAATCCTGATAGTACGTATTTTCATGCACTCTGCGGAAGCCGGTAGACAAGCCGAAATCAGTAAGTTTGACATGGCCTTGTTTATCTAGGAGAATGTTGTCCGGTTTAATATCACGATGTATGTAGCCATGCCTATGAACTTCTTCAATTGCCATGATAATCTCAGCCATGTAGAACCTTGTGACAGCCAAAGAGAAGATTTCGTATCGTATCAGCATGGTCATCAGATCTCCACCGGGAAGAAATTCCATCAGCATGTAGAGGTAGGCATTATCTTGGAAAGTGTTGTGCAGCTTAACGACCCATGGACTATCTGATTCGGCAAGGATGTCACGTTCAGCTCTAACGTGCGCCAGCTGATCCTTTTTGAACATCTCAGTCTTGATGAGCGATTTCAAAGCGTAAATTTTGCCATCCGTCTTCCTCGACACCAAGCGTACCTCACCAAAAGCCCCTTTACCAATGATCTTGATCGTCGAAAAGTTCTCTGGGCGCTCCTTATGGCGTAAGTAGCGTAGGTAGCCAGCTTCAGAGCGTCGAATTCCCTCCACCTTCTTAGTTTTCTGGATATCGGATAGAGATGGGTTTCGTAGATCCACATCCACTTCACGTGCACTATAGGCCGATCATCTTAGCACATCATAGTCGTGGTATCCCGTGTGAGTTGAGATACAACGTACCGTTTATTCCTCTCCCGTGCTCGAGATATATTCTCCTTGAAGAAAGTCTCAACAAAAGAGTGGAGACCCTGTCCACGAGATACTACATTCGACGAGTATTTTTCGGGATTTTTCTCCGGCGGATCCTCGGAGGCAGGCGACAGCGACCGAGCATTTGTCTCTTGACTTTGAAACGAAGAACTTAGACCTTGCTGAGATCGATTCGATGGGGGAGGGGGCTGTTGCATCGTCCTTGCGATTGGTCCTGCCTGATGACCGAAAGGGCTGCCCTGTCTCGGAGGAGCCCCTAGGTTCTGATTTGCTAATTGATGCGCCAGGGGGAAGTTGGATCGTTCACATTATAGCCACCTTGTCGTTGTTGGTATGCTGGCTGAGGAGTAGCAAGGTTCTGTGGCGCCTGATACTGATTTTGATGTTGACCTTGGCTCTGGTAGGCGGACATTGGTTGCTGAGGTTGTGAGACTGCGGCGAAGTAGCCTCCACTTTGAGTGTTGTATGCACCCTGGGATTGATTGTTGCTGTAAGCGTTTGCGTTTGGGGTAGTTCCACCGGAATTGCTGTTGAAGACAGGTTGGGGGAAGGTGGATGGTGTGGTGGGGAAGACACGGTCGTTAGTTGGTTGAAAGCTGCGGTCATTGCTGTACCCTTGAAAGTTGATCTTCAGACGGTTCTTGGGATCCATGCTTGAATCCATGGTAGAAGTTGTAGGGTTCAGAGTAAAGGGGGTCAAAGTGGCACCTGGTTTGCAACACTCTTCGGCTGAGGCGTTGCGGGGTAGAGTGAATGGCGTTCCTATGGAAGTCTACTCACCACAGGGACTTTTGCTAGGTTGTAGAGTGAATGTTCCACCAAGCGGAGAACTTGAGGGAATGGACGAGGAGGGAGGAGGGCAGGTAAACCGCCCTTTAATCTTTGGATGGCTCTTCAGCGTTCAGGCGTTGGGTCTTCATGCGATCATGGATACTTCTAGACCTCCAAGGTCATAAGACAGATGGTATTTGACAGTCGGACCCAGCTTCCTGGGAGAGGAATGTGGGAGGGCAGGACTGGTGAGGATTTCATTGTCTCCTTTAAAGGCGTGGGAGTCCAGCCCCTGCGGAGTCGTCCCGCAGCGTCTAGCCTGGCGCGGCGGGAGCGGCATCTAGAAATATTTGAATATTTGGATATTATAATTCACTGCAGCTTGAACTGCCACGACTGCGCTCTGAGATGCTGCGTCAGTAAATTAACTTGCTCATGGCAGACCTGCCGCCATCCGAGCATGGCTCAGGCACTGCTCGAAAGGCACAACGCAACCCTGTCTTCCAGATGATGGGCAAGTTGTTCGCAAAAGTAGATTTTACTCAAAGCTAACAAGATGAAAAAGGGTTGCCCAGGCTCAGCAGAATAAAGCTTCCGTCGCGCAATTGGATGATCTTCTTGAGCGTGGTAGGATCATGGACGACTGCTCTTGCATATGATCGATATTACAAACGACGCGCACAACGCAAATGGGCCGAATACGTTGCTCCTCTTGCTAAACAGGTCGACCCGTCAAATACAATGCCCCGGAAAATCACTGTCATCCTGGCTGCACCTCCCGGGGACAACTTACGAGAACCTCGTGAGCATTTTCATGAATACATCAAGCCTATATTGGTAGCGGGTGCTATTGATTGGGATGTCATTGAAGGGCGAAAAGAGGGTGAAGTGAGAGCGGGCCTAGCAGAGAAGATCAGGAAAATGAGGGAGCGGAACGGAGAACAGCGCTTCAAAGCTGGCGATGAAGGCCCAGACTTGTTGGAAGCCCTCATGGCAGTGCGTCAAGCTATGGGCGTTCGAGAATGGGAAGGAGTCCAAGGAGATCTTGTGCTGGGCAGACATACCTGGAAAGAGTACGTCAGGGGTCTTCACGAGGGTTGGCTGGGACCGGTCGATCAGATCGATCATTCTTTAGGACAACCGCCAAAGAAAGAAGCGTCAATAGAAACTCCGGATCAAGTAACCAAGAACCCAGATTCCCAGGACGCTCAAGTCGAGCAACATTCCACGTCTTCAGAAGCGATCCTGGACGTACCGACTGAAGAGAATCCTGAGACACCTCCCAAACCTGCTCCTAAACCCTCCCATATACCACCCTTCATCGAGCCGTCATCATATTTCTCTGCGAACCTAGCCCCTACAGCTCCTGCCGAATTCTCTCCTTCAACCGTCCTCCCCTTACCTCACGTACTCGGCTTCCTCAACACTCCGAAACGAATGTACCGCTTCCTTAACCGACGACACCTTGCTGAGTCTACAGGCTCTTCTGTTGCCGCTCTCGTACTTGCTGCTCACACTAGGCCATATCAGCTTGAATACACGGAACAACAGCTTGTTGCGAATGAGTCAGAAACCTCCACCGCACCTAGGACTACAACCATCACAGATTTTCCAGGCAAAATGCTCTACATAGAGCAATATGCACAGCATCCGGCTGTGCAAGAAGACCGAAAGCGTGAAGCTGCTAAGCCAGCAGAGGTTCATGACGATCGGCTAGAAGGACTCGGCAAGAACCAAAGACCCTCTCACAACACTGATTCCGTCATCCCAAATCTCGTCTGGGAACAAGATTCCGTCCTCAAAGACGAAGAACCCGAGTGGCATAAAAGCGCATACCGGCCCAAAGTAGAAGGCGAGGAGCGGGAGCAGTTATGGAGAGAAGACATGGTGATCGACCCTCGGATTGACAGGCGGATGAGTACATTTGTGCTACCTGAAGGCGCAAGAGAGAAAGCGGAGGAGCTTGAGGGGCGCAGAAGGCAGAGCGATGATGGTTATCTCGAGAAAGCAAGGAAGTGGGCGGGGTATGAGCCTGGGGGGAAGAGGGGGTGGGAAATGGGATTTGAGGGAGACTCGGACAAGTAGCCCCTAAGGAGGCGGAGAGAATTAAAGTTTCAATATAATACTTTTCTAATAGCGCTTTTCTACCCTACTTGGTGCTATTGCTACGCTTTATGCGTTTTTTTTTTTAGCTTTCTAGTCTTTTAGTTTAGCTTCCTTTTCTTTGTTATATTTACTGTATTAAGAGGGCTATCTTTTTTAGCGCATAAGGCTAAAAGCACTTCTATGTCTTTTCTTACCCTATAGGTCTTGTTAGTAAAACTTATAGCTTATTATAATATAGAGTAAACTTACTTGCATCTATTATTAGTATCTTTTAAATCTAAATACCTTAAAACAATTATTTTTCCAAGTTTTTTAGCAGTTGAGTTTGCTATTCGTAGTCACTATAAGCCTTCCTATAACTTTTTTTAATAAGCTTAGCATCTTTTAATAAGGATTCTAGATTCTTTAGTAGCTGCTATTCTTTTAATAAACTATAATTATAATATTATAGAAAATTATATAAGCGCTTTAGCTATCTAAATATATCTTATATATTATCCTAATATACTAGATTTTTAAACTATACTACTTTAGTAGTCTAAAAAGATATAATAAGACTTAAGCTATTTATAATAAATAGCTCTGCTAGATCTTTTTTCTTAATACTATAATAACTTTTTATAAGTTAAGTATTGCTAGACTTGCTTAGTCTAAGGGTATAATAAAAGATTAGGTTAGAAAAGCTTTTTAAAAGCTAGTATATATATCCTAGCCAACTAGGATAATATACTAGTATTTAGTCTTGTTATTGCTTTCCTTATTAAGCAGCTTCTCTACCTAGGAAGGCATATTAACTTAAGTATTTATATATAAGATTAAAGGAATATAAGGACTTACTTTATCTATAAGATTATAAAGAAGCTAAATCGGAAAAACCTTTATATTATTAGATAAGTTCTCTACGCTTACTACTAACTATTAATATCTAGCTAATAATTAAATAAGTTTCTAGAAGTTAAACTATATACTTAACTAATTATAAGGGCTAAGATCTTTTATCTATTTAGCCTACTTAACTAAAGAGAGCTCTAACCTAATATAAATAGCGTTAAGCACCTAGTAGCAGGCTTAGAAGTAGAAGTACTATAAATTAAGTACTTGTAAGTGCGCTTTATAATCTTTTACCCTCTTAGAAAGCTTTAAATTAATCTAACTAGTCGATAATAATAATAATAGCCGAAACTAGTATACCTAGAATAGGTTAGTCTACTTTAGATAGTTTTAAATACTATTAATATACTTAACCTAGTCTAAGTATATCTGCAAAGATAGCTATAGTAAGGTAATACTTGCTAAAGAAGTTTTTTACTTTTGCTAAGAAGATTAGAGGACTTAATAGTATAACTTATCTTCTAGAGAATAACTTTATTAATTTCTTACTTTTTTACTAATCTTTAATCTTTAGCGCTTTTTACTATATCTAGCTATTATTTATAAAGTTAATATTTGCTTATAGCGATATATAAAATAGACTTATAAGATTATAAAATTTAATTATTTTATTTAGTTTAAAAGAAGTAGAATAGTTAAAATCTTAATAAAGCTAAAATATATAAAGAAGGAAACTACTTACTATATAGACCCTATATATACTTATAAGTTTTTTTATATTTAATTATATATTACTTATAATATAATAAATCCTAAGCTTTTAAATATATTAATAATTCTAATAGGTACTATATAAGCTAGTAAAGTATTTTGTTATAGAGGAATAATTCTTTAGTTATTAGTAAATATACTTAAGATATTTGCAATATATAAGGTAGATAGCTACCTTTTATAGAAAGTATTACTACTATTAGTCTATTAGTATTAGGGAAGAAGAAGGAATATAAGAAGGTTTTATAAAGTACTTCTAAAAGAAGGACAAGATATATATTACTTTTCTAATATATAATTGCAGTTCAATTAAATATTAGATCTAAGGGTATATATATAGAGCTATTTGCTTTGCTTAGATAGAACTATATATAGCCTAATATATAATTACTATCTATATCTTTAATACTACTATAGTAATTTTACTAAAAATTAGATCTCTATATTAGGACTACTAGCAAATTACTAAGGACTTTAAATCTATAGCTAAGTAGTTACTAATTATCTTTTATATATTAAAAAAAATTACTAATAGGTTTAAGGCATACTATAACTAAGATAAAGGTTTTCTTTTTATACTTTTTTACTCCCTATTACTTTTTTAATTAACTTTACTCTTTTAAATTTTTTTTAAGCGCTATATATAAGCTTTAAGGCTAAAGATATGTCTTTAAAGGCAACTAATACTAGGATAAGGGGCGCTTACTATCTGCGCTCTAACTAGAAATATTTAAGGATTTGCTATATAATATATTTCTTATAGTTGCTTTTAACTTTATTAATATTAATATCCTTTTAAATAATAGGCTTTCTTAGCTCAATAATATAATATATATAGAAGGAGCTAGAAAAGTCTTATAAGTTATATATTTAATATCTATATACTATATTTAAATTTTATTTAGCTTAATTATTATAGATTATTAAACTTAGACTTCTGCTAAGAAGATTTAATCTTTCTATATTAAGCTAATATATTGCTATAAAAGCTTTATATATATATATAAAATCTACTAGTATTAAAAGTATTTAAGGACTAATATAGTTAATATCTATATAGATTAGCTTTTTATTATACTATAAAAGTAGCAAATAGTAATAATAAATTTAAAATACTTTCAATTATTTAGCTTTACTTTTAACTATAGAAGCCTTACTATTATTATTATTAGTTATACTATTCTTAGGATATAGCGCTTATACTTCTTTTTAAGTACTTTATATAAAGCTAAAGCTATACTAAGGGTATAGCTAGTTTTATATAGCGCTTTAGAGTTTAATTTTATATAATTTTTAAAAGTTTTATTATTAAGAAGCTTGTTGTTAGGAATTCTATTATCGCTAGTATTGTCTATAAGGCTATTAATATTATTTATTACTAAGATCTAGTCTCTAGGTAGCTTTTATAAATAATTTGCAGCAGCAGCTAAAAACCTTAGCTTTAGACTTCTTAGCTTTTTATTTAATCTAATAATAAAGACTTACTAAGCTGCTACTATATTTAAAGTAGGCTATACTAAAAAGTAATTACTAATGACTTTCTACTTAATATATAATTTCTTATTTAATAAATTATAGTTATTATTAACCTATTCCTAAAGGATCTTATCCTAAGGCAGCAGCAATATATCTTATATACTACTATTCTAATATAGTATTAATAGGAGCTAATTTAATACCTTTTACTATATAAAATAAGCCTTTTTATTTTAATATATTATATATCTAACTTAATTTACTATCGGATTTAAAGCAAATCTCTTAAGTTCTATAAACTATAGCTTACTAATTACTTTATTAATAAAGTAAAAATTATTATAGTAAAGTGCTAAATTATTAAGTTAAAGTATAAATAATAACTAATAAAGTTTTATTTATTTATATAGTTTATAAATCTTGTTTACTATATTAGCTTATAAGAGAATACTATCTATAGAAGTCTTAATTAGCTAACTTTTAAAACGAATCTAGTTAGTAAAGTTTTATTTAATATATTATATAAGTATAATAAAGTATATATTATTAGACTAACGCTTACTATTTATTTAGACTATACTTTATGCAATCTAGTAAGTTCTTTAGGCCCTATAGGAGATTGCTAATTAGAATTATATAAGGTTAAAATCTTAGAATAAAAGCTAAAAGGAAATTAAATCCCTATATTAAATATCCTAATTCAATAGTACTAGCTTTTTTAAGTAATCCCTATAAAGTATTTTATAGTACTAGAAAAGGGCAAAGTATAATATAGTAAAGGTTAACTAGTAATATAATAATAAGAATACTTTAGTTAAAAAGGCTTAAATAAAGTATAGCTAACTATATAAATTAGTATATATAAGTAAATTTATATATAAGCTATAGCTTAGCAACCTTAACTTTAACTATAATAAAAGGGTGTACTTTAAGTGTCTCCTTTAGCTTATTATATTTTTTAAGAGTCCCCTAAGTAAGCTTAAAATTTTTTTTAAGTATAATAGCCTTATCTACTAGTACTCCTTTGAAAGATTTTATTACTTACTATAGGAAATATTGCTAAATTAAGCCTAAAACTTTTAATTCGCTAATAGCCCCTATAGTTGCACTTAGAATATTTAGAAGCTACTTTTTATAAACCTTTAGCTCTAATAAAGTTAGCTACTACTGTGTCCCTACTAAATAAATAGAAAAGCTAATAAAAGCTATTAAATTCTCTAGATACTAATATTCCTATAGCGCTATTATTTAACGAAGTAGCTTTTTAAGGCGTTTGCTGCCTTAAGTACTTTTGTTAATAAACTAGTTGTTTTTAAGACAAAATATAAGCTTATAATCCTCTTATTTAAGGTATTTAATATTATTTAGGACCCTTTGCAAGAGCTATTGCTTTTTAGTTTATAGGATAGGTACCTTATAAGTATTTTAAGTATCTTATTTAATATAGATTAGCAATTCAATTATATGCTATAGCCTATCTTAAGTTAAGGGATATATTTGCTTTAAAACTTTTTTATAGATACTAGGGGGCTAGCGGTACTTATAGTTATATTTTCGAGGTTTCTATAGCTTTTTAAGAAGATTTGCTAAGCTAATATTAGTCTTTCCTATTTTAATAAAGCTTAAGGGAAATAGTTAGCATCTAGGCCTTATTAATATAGCAGGTACTTACTATTTATAATCTTTATATAGGCTTAATACCTAGTTTTTAATCAATATTAGTATATTAAAATAGTTAGTAACATAGTAAAAGTGCTTAACTAACGTTTAATATAATTATAGGTTGTATTCGCTGTCTTAAGCAGCGCAAATAAAGGCTTCTATCTTGTTTTTTAGGCGCAAAAGAACCTAGATATTCTCTAAACGCTATTCTTAATACTATTTATTCTAATTAAGTCTTT